CGATATCGAAAATATTCCAATCGCAAAAAACGAGCACCCTATGCCGTTTTACGGTGAGTTTGATTCACAAGTTATCCATAGTTAAACGGAAAAACGAATTACTACCCGGAAAAAATACGATGACCCAAAACTTTTCAAGTTGCTCGTTTTTGCGAGTGTGTTACCACAGCGTTCAAAATTCGCAGGAAGTTGATGTTCTGTGGAATCAAATTCTTGATCGAACGATCTGAAATACACTTAAAAACAGCGATTTCTTTATTTTAAATTTACAAAGCTGATTTTAAAATAAGTGATAACGGTATCTTTTCAATTTTTCTTTCTTATCGTCAATTGTTAAAATGCCATTCAAAAGTGCACAAAAACTCTTTTTCGAATGTAAATATAGTAATTGCTTATCTCACGTTCATTCATAGCTCCCAGCAATTTTCTAAAGTCGATGTTTGATAAGAAAATGAGTTTTGACCTTTTTTACAACGAGCATTCGAATATTTAGCACAATGTGCGATGAATGGATGATTATTGTTAATAAACAGGAGTAAAAAAATTATCAACTGTAAATGACACGAGCTGTCAAAAATTGAGCGTTTGTTGCAATTTGACTCGTAAAAATGTAAATGAGCTTCTTTGTGTCAATCATGCTCAATTCATAATGTTGAAAATATTCTACGATTTCCTTACTTTTTCGTTATCATCTACCGTATATTCATGTACACCTGCTTTTGCTACATCAAAATTAGCAAAAAAATTTATTTTTTTTTTAATATCCTTATTTCCTATTTTTAATGTTATTTTATGGACCACCGAAAGCAGTATATGTTCTGCCAAAAGTCGTTAAAATAAATGTTCATCCTAATCTCTATCGTGGTCCATACAGAATCTGTTAATGGAACAAAACATGATTTTTATTACACTGAATTGTGTCAACATTTGGAAGGAGCCATCATTTTGAATTCTTCAATGTTTTCTCCTTATTATGTTCTTTCATATATGTAGAATAATCTAATCGACAAACATCATCAAATTTTTACAATATTGGCATCATTTTCAAAAACTGTTATTTTTCGCCTGCCATTGCGCAGGTGAATAAACAATCGCAAACCAAAGAAGTGTCAAATTTTACACAATAACGAGGTACTGTATCAATAGAGTGATCTAATATTTCTTTTATTAAATATTCGAAAATGATTCAAAATGTGTTTTTCCATGTTTTGTGTTTCTAATAATGACTAAATACATTGTAATTCTGAAACAAATAGAGCGGTTCAATTAGGCTATCAATAAGGTATATTCAGAACTGCTCGAAATTTTATGAACTTTTTTTGTATTTCACACAAAAATTTTTTCAAAACCCATATGAATTTTTCAGATAATTATGATACAATTAAATTTTAACCGATTCTAAAAGATGAAAGTTTTTGGAATTGTTCATTTTTCAAGTGCTATATATTTTCAGCATTCATTGATCTGAAACACCACTTGAAAATTTAAAAATTTGCATACAACTTAACGGACCATCACGTTTGACCAGCTCGCTTGAAAAGAATTGGCGATATTTTCAGATTAATTATTCGGTGTTGGACTCAGTTCAAGTTTGAATTTTACTTAACACATGCACAGTAACACATTTAAACACTGAATTTCACCGAACATTACGGCTCTTTATAAGGCACTTGCATTCATTTTTATCAACTCGTGTTCTAGAAGAATTCTGGCAAATCAGATACCCCCAAACTTGGCAAAAAAAATAATTTTTAAAATCAAGCTGTTTTATTTAAATTTAAATTGAAAAATCGGAATTGGAAAACAGCGCTTCTCAAATTCTATAAAAAATTTCAGCTTTCTGAATCGATTTCAAGCTTTCAACCACATCGTCCTTTTTTATGTTGTCTTAGTTCACATTTTTAAAGCAACGATTTTTGAAAATATTCCCGATGAAAAATTATACATTCTGTTGAAATTCGAAAATTTTGAAAGGCCTTTGCCCTATTCGCTCAATTTTTTCAGTCGTTTTTCGCGATAACATCTTGATTCCAAACGTTTCGCGGCGGCGACGCCGGCGACTGAAACGAGGTTACGTTACAATCTGCATGTGCGAAAAATTTACGAAAAAAAGTTCGAGAAACGCAAAAAAAGTGTCCTTAAAATCGTTGTACAACGGTGGGCCGCACGATATCAGATTGAAACACATTCGAATTCTACTAAAAAAAAACGACTTGAAAGAATGACTGACCTCCTCATCGTCACCAAAAATTGCGGCCCATCCCCCCGAATTTTCCAAATATTGCAATTAACCTCATTTTTGTATCGTTTGGTTCACAAACTGTATCAAATCTTCAAGATTCTTGCAACCATCATTAATTCATTTTCACCTTGTTCTAGCGTTCTAGCATGAATATTGGTTAGGTGAAAACTGATCTTTTCACTAACACCGTAGCAGAACCTTTATGCAATATTTGTTTCGTAGTCACAACAAACAGGTGCAATAATCGGTGCTTTATCTGTATATGAGCGAAAATGGAAATCCTTATGAAATTTGCAATGAACTTTTCAGGGTTTTTATTTTTTATTGTTTTCTTCACGATTATAAAAATCGAGTGTCAAGTGACGTCTTTAGAATGGATTTGTCCGTGTGTGCAACATTATTGCCAAAACGTATCCGATTTCGTATCAGAGTTGCGAATTTTGTTCGGTCAGATGACAAAAAAATATGTAACGAAGCGAAAACGAGAAAACGCTAACCAGTAGTATCAGATTTAGACAACTCAAACATCATGAACAATGAAGTTTGAAATTTCGAAGAAAAAAAAACATGTGAGCTTTTATCGATTTTTTGTAATATCCATTTTGAGAAAATTGCCGCTTGTTGAAGCTAAATTAAAATAAGTTTAAACCATATAGATTGCATTCCCAAAAAGATACATTTCTTGTTCTTTCCATCTTTGAAGTGGCTCGGGTTTTTTTTCGGCGAATCGGAAGCCCCTTTTCTATTTCTTTCCTATAAGTGCTGGTATTTTGCACAATTTCCAGCCTCCTCTCCTCCGCGTTGTTTGTACACACCGCGTACTGTCGACACCGCGAAAAAAAAGCCAAAAGGCTACACACATTAGATACATAATGAAACACGGGGTGGGAGGGAAGCACGGATAATTTTCAACTCGTAACATGATACGGGCAAACGCGTGAAAAACGACCGACAAAACGTTTCGATGCACGCCGATTAGATGGGTTATTGTAGGAGGAAATCGAGACGACAACCCGAGTCGGGTTTTTTGCGGTGTAGAATGAGAAGGAGTGTGATGAGCCGGCGGGTTGTTTGCATCCTTCTGTTTTGCAACATTTCAGCTTCTCTTGCCAACAGATACATCAATCTTAGTTCTAATTCTAATTTGGTATTCGTCGTAACAGGATTCAAAATTCACATCTCAACCAGTAATCCTCGTAAGGAAGATCATCTTATTGATAATTCAAGAATTTGTCAGAACATCCACGTACGGATAGTTAAAAACGTATACCCGAATGTTTGTAATGAGCGTCCAAACGAAATTATAATTCCTCATGATTCCGTCCTTCTTTTTAAAACTCTGAAATATGAGATCGTATTTATGTTCGATCTTCTGCCTATTTGATACAACACGTTGATTGACAAAATTAATCCTTTGAGCAGAGAAAGATGTTTTGGAACCAACCTCGGACAGTCTCACCTTTTTCTAACAGTTATTAGATTTTTCAGCTCCTCGAAAACTTCCGATGTCTTAAAATCAATATCAATTATTTTTAAACAATTTCCAAAAATAAATGTTTTCGTGAATACTCGAAAATACGTTTGATGACCAAACATGCGATAATACTAACATCCTTTCTCCACGTCGTTTCGCGGATAATCACCTCTTAGGGATTCCTGAATTTACGTATGCATACCCAAATATCCGATTCCAATTCGTCATTTCTAGAAATTATTCGAAAATTCAAATTGATTTGCAATAATAGAGGGAAAATATTTGAATCGAGAATATTCCGATTTCAGATATCGAAATGGGAGATTATAACGAAAAAAAAAAGCTTATCAGGCTCAACAGAATTGAAATTGAAGAAATATCTAGAAGTAGGAAAAAATGAAATAATAATAATTATTATTATTTTCATTTGTCATTGTAAGCTGGAATCAGATCGACTTATTTAGTCAGGAGAAATAGCTAAAAGGGGATTACAATAGCAGAAATTAATTTTAGGATTTGAAATATGTTGAAAATTCTGATTGCTTAATTATTACCTAATTATCGCTACATAATTAGGCTCATTTTGAGCTGTACGGGGAATGAGTACTTATAGCAATGAATTGATTCCAACTTTCAAAGGAAGTTTTGAATACTCAGAACTTAGGTATATTCAAATCTGAGTTAGTATTGTATTTTCTCTTCTCTAAGCAATCAAGTTCAACGACTCACTTATTTTGTATGGGTGTGTGTGTGTGTGTGTCAACAACAACGTCAACAAAACCTTAAATCCGAGTAAATTCCACATCTAATATCTGTGCATACATATCTTAATTTCCAATTTCTAATTCATTTATCATTCATTTGCACATTAATTTACATTCGCGCTCACAAAAATAGAAATTGAGCGACTGTTTTGGCAGTGATTAAATGATTACGAGGATTTGACGCGCTAAGTTACGACTGAAAGCGCGTCGAGATGAGAGAGAACGGCGGACGACGAGCATGAAGAGATTTGCACAGGATTTCGATTAAACCAATCCCTATTTAAGATATTTGAGTTTCTACGATTGGAAAATTCATTTCTATTATTCATTTTTATTTTTTCTTTGATTCCTTTTATTGTTTTCCATCACCATAAATACAGAAGCAAAATCTAAAATACATTACTGCACACAATTGCTTACAAATTAAGATACTTCTTCTGAGTCTTGCACATCAGTTTCGTCTTGAACATGTTTATTCAGCTCATATTCTATTTTTACAGTACCTGAAATGTCTGAACCAATGATTGACGTGACTTCGATAAAAAGCCCGGAAACAACAGCACAACGATTCTACAGCCAAGGAAAACGTATTCCAAAAGGTTAGCTATTAGACAGTAAAGGAACAGCGCAAATCTTTTTTCTAAATAATCTAAGCTCGAAACAATTGACTAAAGTCTAAAATTTAGCTCTAGATTTTAAAAAAGACCAAAAATTTGGTCGGTGTAATAGAAACGAATAATAAGCAGTTACCATGCGGAAGGCTTGTCAAATCCAAAGACGACCAGGCCGGCTCCTTTAAAATTTACAAAAAAAAAAAACCCGGTTTTGCACTGTTTACGAGATATCAATTTACCCCAAGATTGACAAGTCTCTCTAGTGGTACATTATAGGAGTTCAATTCTACATGACATAGCTTGTAGATGACTAACTCATGGTTTACAGACGTGAAGCGGCATTGCGGTATGTGCAAACAGCACGGCTTCTTAGTCGAGACGCGCGGGCACAATTGCACATTCAAAAACTGTACTTGCGAGCAGGTACAAACATAAAAATCGAACATCTTCGTTTTAATCATTAGTAAAATTTCCAGTGCGATCTTGTGCGAAAACGTCGTGAAATAATGTCGACACAAATTCGTCTGAGACGTGAACAAGACAAGAAGTTTCAGGTATTAATTCCTAATCGAAAAAACTTTACGATTAAAATAATTGCAGCGAACCAATGATGCAAGTGAGGCTGATATTGTCCCATGGAATGCTACCACTGAAAATGGCGAACTCAAATTTCCTGAAAATGTCAATATGTGTTACTTCTGTCAAAAGTGCAAAAATCATGGAATTCTCATGTGGAAAAAGGATCATAAAAAGAAGTGTCAATTCATGGATTGCCGCTGTGAACAATGCGATCTCATCGATTCGAGAAGAGCGTTGGACAGACATATCAAAAAGAGAAAATTAAATCATCCAAAAACCAAGAGCGAAACAAAAAGCCCAAGAAAGGACGAGTCTTGTTCATCAGAAGAATCTTCTTCGTCTTCATCGTCCTCGGACTCATCGCTGTGCGGCTCACGGAACTCATTGCTACCACCGTCAGCCGTTTCAATCCCGCGAAGTCCATTGGCCACTAATGCAACTTCTAGCCCATCGTATTCCCCAACCAACTCGACATCTCCATTTCCACCAATCCCCGCCACCACATTCAATTTCCCACAATTCGTACCTCCAATGGTCCCAAATTCGGTTGCAGGTCTATTGCCTTTCTTTAATTCGACACTCGCTTATTGTGGGACGAACCTTATTGCGAATCCATTCCTTATGACTCCATTCACTCCAATCGATATGCAACTTTTGTTTTCCAATCTTCAGAATTTGAGTGAGATGAAAACTGCTGTGACCCTCGCAAATACCGATTAATCATTTATTTTCATACTTATCAGTTTTCAGCATATTTTTTTACTAAATTATTTATTTGTTGTTTTTTTTTCAATTGTAGATTTTCAGCGCACCCCTGTGAAAATCCATTTTGATATTTTTCAAACATTTTTGAAAGTTCGATTTGAGTAATAACGGGTAAATTTTTAATTTTTAATGTCAATAAAGATAAGATATCGTATCATTTTAAAACAGATTGGCTTTCAATTTTTCAAATAAATGAATAGAAATCATGAAAACATTCGAAACACTGATAATCTTTGCTATAATTCAAGAGCCAAATATTTATTAAAAATGATGCAAACACGTATTTTTTTGGTTAAAATTTGAAAAAAAAAAGATGCAAATGGTTAAAAAAAAGAGAATACTCAAAATCTCATTGTCCAATACTGAACATTTTCTTTAGAAAATCGGGTTCTTCAACCTCGTTGATTTTGACTTTTTGTTTCGATTTCTTCTTCGATAGTGGAGTTAGGAGAGTTGGTGCTGCTAAATATTTTACATTATACATACTTGAGGCAAAAAATGATTATTATTTCGAATATTTTGCATAACGCTGAGTAGGTTCATAAAACATTCAAGGGTTGCCATACAAACTGAACAATGTTACTTTCTAATTTTTCTGCAGAATCGAAAAAAATTTGACCGCACATTTCGGGTTTACGGCCTACGATCGAATGAACAAAATCAGGATATGTGTCCTAGCTTTTTTATTCAGGATATGCGTCCCAGCATAGTATATAATATACATATATTATAAATAAAAGTTAATAAAGTTGAACATACTGCTTTGAATAGTCTGCGTTTTGAAAATATTTTGAGAAGGTGTAGATTTAGAAACCGACTTCTGTTTTGCTGTCTTTTGTGTGTATTTTGTGGTTGGAGTTCTAAGACTGAAGATAAGAGCAAGTAAACTTATTAAACTCACTTATTCCCATCATCAATGTTGGACTTCTTGGCTTGTCTTAGTTTTCCGGTATTCTTTTCGTCTTTTGTTAGTCTTAAACTAGGCAACGAATAGCAGATTTCGCATCTGATTGGTTGTAAATTATTACTGCAATTATGAAATTAAATTAGTTTACTCGCAAAAATCAGACATTCATTTAAAAAATGTTCAAAACTTTAAAATAATATAAATTTTTGAAATTATGATATATATAAATAAATAAATATATTTATTTATTTAAATCAAGTGAAACTGATTTGCGCCAGTTCAGATGTGGGACTTCTCTCGTTCGAATGTAAAACTTTTTCCGCTCGACGTCGGTGCAGTTTCACGACAGAACGCGGACAAGCCGCGCCGGAAATATAATGTATGTTACCAGGAATTATTCAAGTTAGCACATCTGTAGCATCCATTTTCATAATCACTCGACTTAATCTTGAAAAGTCACATTTTAAAACTTCTTTGATTGTAAAACATACTTCTAGCCAACCAATTTTTGCATAATGGTTAGTAATTGAGGACGGTAGAATAATATTTTCGGACAGCTTCGCCAACTTCAATAGATACGTTGCATTGCGCTCGTCACCTTCATTATTCAAAGAGCCCATGAGCGAAAGGTCGCCTGAATGAAGATATAGTGTATATAAATACATATACACAAAAGAAGTTATAATCAAATATATTTAATACTAAAAATTCATTCATAACATTTTTGTCCTAAAATAAGCCCAAAAAAAAACAAGCTAAAACAATTAATCGTATGATTTTAACTAAAATTCAATAGAAAAAAAAGACTCGGCAATCTGTGGAGGAGAAACAGCGGGTTTTAGTCCGAGCACAGAACGCCTGAGAATTTTCAAATTTGTAAATTTGTTAGACATCCAGGACGTGTATGGCCTGCTATTTTTTTCGGCCGCGGTCATTACCACATTGCAATATTGCACAAGATTTTTTTCGTGTGCATTCAGAAGAATCGATTTAAATATCAGATAGAAAACTATCAATTATTCGAACACGAATATCCTCGTTTTCGTAGAAAATAGAGCAAAATGTAGGTGATGATGATGAGCTGTTTAAACATGTTCATGAAAAAATGATGTGAAAGACTCAGAAGAACTGTCGGCGTCGCCTAACAGCCTCAGTTTTTAAATGTAAATCAATCGGATTCGAAGAAAAATTAGATATAAATTAACCTGATTTGATTGAAAAAGAAGAGAAATTCGATTGAGAACAGGTTAAAATTCGAATTCGATTCGAATTTTATTTCAATAATTCAACGATCAATCGAATTCGATTGAAATTTTGGAATAATTCAAAACAGTTCAATTTATGTTCGATTTCGATTGAAAACGTCAAAAAAGAGAGATATCTTTTTGCACGGAATGTACTTTCAATCGATACTTTTCTTTATTCCGTATATCTCCACGTTTAGTTTCTTTTTTCAAGACTTTTTTCTTTTTTTTTCAAGCCTTTTCATTCATCTGCGAAGTTTTCTAGAATTCCACATTATGAGAAGTAGCTGGAGGTTTGAAGCAGTTCGCTGCATATATCATATATCTGCTGTACATATACTGTTCATACAGTACCGCTCAAAAGGTTGGAAACTTTTGGTTTTTTGGGCATAACTTTTTTGAAACCAAACTTTTTTACATGAACTTTTTTTCCGATTGTTTCTTACGCAATTGCCGATATAATGAGCTATTAGACATGATTCGTACTTACCAAATAAGGATTTTAAGCCATTTTTTCAGAAATCCGTAAAAACACATTTTTTTGGATATGCAATTTAAGTCGGTTTTTTTACCGGAAAGATAGTTTATTGACACAAAATCATTGGAAACTAAAATTATAAGGTTAATACTTGATTGTAAAACCTCGGGAGTCAATAACTGCCTGGCACCTGCGAGGCATAGACTCGATCAAGTTGTCGATGACCGAGAGTGGAATCTTTTTCCATTCTTCTTCCAATTGTCGGAACTTTTTGTTCGAATTTGTGGCGGTTCTGCTTGCCACTCTTCTCTCCAACTCTTCCCACAAGTGCTCAATGGAATTCAAGTCCGGGGATTGACTTGGCCAGTCCATAACCTTCATGTGTTGACTTGTGAACCAATCCGCAATTGATGAATATTTGAGAAAAAAAAGCGAATTTTCTTAATTTCACAAATTTGGAAGTGTGCTTTGGGTCGTTGTCCTGTTGGTAAACACAACCACGACCCATTGCCATAAAATGCGGCAACATCTGCTTCTCCAGGATCTCCTTATAGACGAAGCGATCCATGATTGTTTTCACATGGTGAAGGGCGCCAATGCATTTTCCGGAAAAGGCACCCAAAATCATGCAATTGCCTCCACCGTGCTTTTCGGTAGGAGTTTGATACTTGGGATTGTATCGAGAACCTACAGGACGGCGGACCCATTGAATTCCGTCACTGCCAAAGAGCTCTCATCCGACCAAATAACACTATTCCAGTCAAATCGCGTCCAATTCAGATGTTGCTTATCCCACTCGACCTGGCGTCGTCTATTCTTCTCCGAAATGAACGGTTTCTTCACTGGTTATCTTCCGAGCAATCCTGCCACTGATAAACGGCGTTTGATTGTTGATACCGAAACAGGCGATGGAGAATTGGCAAAAACTTCGGGCTGGATCGCCGGTGCCGTCATTCGCGGGTTGAATCTGGAGGCTCGTACAATGCTTCTATCAGTCGCACGATCTGTCACGCGTGGAGGTCCAATATGGTTCTTCTTTAGGACCCCTCTTTGAGTTTCCCATCTTTTCAAACATTTGAAAATGCAAGTTTTTGTGACATCCAACTGGGCGGCCAACATCTGCAGGGTTGCTCCTGTTTGACGCCCTGCGTAAATTGCCCGTTGTTGTTCAACAGCCAAGTTCCGTTTTTTTTTCGATAGTGGACATGTCTAAAATTACAAAAATAATAAGGGCATGCAAAAAGAACCACAGAAAAATAGTAAAAAAACTTTTGAAAAAAAAAAGTTGAAAAAAAGTGATTTTTGAAAAAACATGAAAAAGCCCACAAAAACTTCACACATAATTGCATATGATAAGACTACCGTACCAATAATCTTCTGATTATGTTTATCAATATATCTGAAAGTTTCACCTCGATCCATACGTTTTCGATCATGTTATACCCAAAAAACCAAAAGTTTCCAACCTTTTGAGCGGTACTGTATATCGTATAACACTCACTCAATATTTACTACCAAAAAACCAAGTTCAGCCAGCTTCCATGGTGGCCTTGAAAAGTTGCGATTCAATTTATTAAAAAAAAAGAGTTTTAAAAATAGCAGAATTTGTAAAAAAAAACTATAAAAATCGAATTCAGTTCATATGTTTGGAATTGTCGAACTTTTGAATGACAAAACATAAATATTGATCCTCATTTTCACATTTTCAATTCCATAACGAAACGCGTTATTGGTCTTTAAAAACAAAAAAATTGTACAATTTAGGTACCAATATCAGTTAATTGTGACAATTTCTCGTTGTTTTTTTTTTCTGAGACTACCGAGAAAGGTAGTTTGTGGAGAAAATTCTTTCCCGTGAGCCCTCATTGACACAATCATCCAAATTAGGTTTGTTGTTTCGAATCCAAACCGATCCAAAGACGAAAATTTAAATTCGGCCGCTTCCAAGTTAAAATTTTAACAACAATGCCCAAGTTGTCTTCACAAATTACAGTATGATAATAAATTTGAAGTTTATTTATTAATTTAAAACGTTAAACATTAAAAAGGTCCTTCAAAAATAGTGACTTCCACTTTGGTGTTCTCGTCATAGATAAAAATAGAATCATATCCCTCTGATCTCTTTGCTGATGTTCCAACAGGTCAACGATGTTCAAAATATTCGCCATTCTAGCTGGTCCTTCGGATGCACATTTTGCCAATTCGTAATGAAATAGAGCCATTGCATATTTCGTTCGCTCTGTACTCACTATTTGCTTACTATCATCTGACAAATCGCCAATACCTAAAATCAGAAGTTCAGTAAAAAAAAAATAGATTATGTAGTTGGAATTACCTGAATTGCATATTACAATTGCTTTAAGCAATAAGTGTTCGATATTGTCCAAATTTAATCGAATCATTGGACCGAACAGTCGTTTACCGATAGATCTCGCCATTTTTTCGGTGTGAGAATCCCTTGAAAAAAAAAACTTTTTTTTTTAATTTTGCTGTCTGCACTAACCAAAATGGGGGACACTTAATAAAAGTTCCATCGGGATACACAATCGTGTCGGATTTTTTCGAATAACTGAAGAATGTATTGCTCAGATTTGTAAGCATTATTGCAGTATTTTGAATGAGATGATACTGAAATTAAATTAATTTCGATTAGAATCGGAAAAAATCGACAAACCCTATCTGAATGAGGTAGTTTTCTGAACAAAGGATATGTTTTGACATGTTCGATAGAAAGCCGAATATCGAATGGAAACCATCGTCTTGAAACCTTTTGAGATCCTCCCTCTGAAATTGCATCCAATGGCTGAAATTAGGCAAAAAAATTAAAAATAAAAAGACGAATGTTGAATTGATACAAAAAATAGCAACGGCATTCCAAATTTCGTGATAATTAGTTGAATTGTCTAGTATCACTTAACAGATTTCTTTTGAAAAATTGCCAAATAATATTGGGAAAGACATTCAAATCAAAATGTACCTCCAATTTATCAACCATTGACAGTAATGAATTATCATCCGCAACAATGTCTGAGAGCACAAGATTTAATTGAGGCTTGTAAGACGATTCGCGAAACTTTCTTGTTTGAACATCCAAATGAACTAAATTATTAATGAGATCGCATATTTGAGATTGAAGTGATTTTAAGGGCACGTCAACCTGAAATCGAGTGTACAAAATGAAGTTATCTAATGAATACCTCAATAGTTTTGTTTTCCAGTGAAGACTTGCACACTAATTTTTTCGTTTTTTCACGGTTCTTTTTCCATTCTGCTTTGATTCCCAATGGGTTCATCCCAAGTTGGACACATCGTGCATATCGGCAAGCACGACATTTCGGCAATGGATCTGTTCAAAATCAATATTCCCAAGTTAATATTTTTTTATTTACCTCCAAAATTCAAATTATCAAAACATCTATTGTCTTGATGACACTTATATTCTAGATTTTCAATTATAATTCTCCGAAAAAAAGATTTGCAACCATTACAAGAAGGTACCTAAACAAAAGGATTATAAAATAAAATCAAAATATCAAAATTACGGTATAATGATGCCCAGTTGCTTTTCCCAGACAAACTTCGCAAATTTTTGGGCCTGTTATTATAATTCGTTTTGGTTTTCCATGAGTATCACTATTTGGACTATTTTCGTCAAAAGAGCTTCAAATAATAATATTTAATTGAATTAATTTCTTTAAAAAACGATTTACCTGCCATTCGAAGAAGACGATGAACACGGCGAATTCATTTAATCTGAAAATAGTCATCGTCTCCAAGAAAATCTTCAAAAAACAGCTTCAATATGATGCAAAATCAAAATAAAATGTGACCACTTTATTCTTTTATGATATAAAAACGCAGATTTATACGCGATGAAAAATTTGTCGATGCAAATATGAAAAGGGAAACACAACATATGTATACTTTTAATCATAAAAACAGGAAATAACATCGCTTCGGGCAAAAATTCGAAACAAAATGACAAATTCGAGAAAAATTTAATCGATTGCAGCGACACAGAGATACTAATTTTGTGTCCGAATTCGGCGATTTGGAGTGAGACAACAGAGAACAGATTAAAGAGAGACAACGCGGTGGTGCGAACAAATGAAAGATAAAAGTTGAACTGCAGAAAAGTCTGAATTTCAATTCTATTAATTATAGCTTGATAAAAGTTGCATGTTGAATGAGAACACTTTGTTTACAACACGTTTCCCTTAACAATTTGTGTTAAACCAGGTGTATTCTTGAGAAAGACAAAGAGTAGAAACTAAAAAAATGTTGATGTAAACTAAGAAGTTGCTTTAAAATAAGATAGCTATCCAAAAGAATTTTATTGAAACATTATGATAGTATTTGTATGCGAATCAATCGAAGAACCCAAAAACGATGAACAAAATTCGCACATGTTTCCAAAACTTTCCGAATCTCCTTATATTTATTTTCATTTACAATCCGGTATTCAACAATTCAAGTCCCAATTCGTTCTCGTTTTGTTATGATGATTTAATATCCCGTCTGAGTGAAAAAAATGTTCATTTCAAGCACAATACGGCACAATGTTCTTGGTGTCCAGTTTCACTTGATTAAAAAAATTAAATATTTATAATTATGGAAACACTTTCAAATTGATGTAATTTTTGTGAAAATGATCGAATCAACATGAAAATTCTCAATTAGTTTATTGAATCAATTATAAACAAAAATACATCAACATAACTCGATTTGATTTCCTTTGTTCTTCATTACTTCCTTGAGTCTCTTCAGGAATTCCTCGACTGTGGCACGGAGGTATTCTGGAGATAATTTGGCCCATTCCTCAACCAAACATTTCTTCAATGACTCCAAATTGGTATAGGGATGTGCCTGGACCTTCGATTAAAGGACACCTTAACATAATAGTCGAGTGGGTTCAAATCCGCTGGCGACGCTGGCCATTCTGAACAAGAATAAATTATATATACAGTACCGTGCAGTAAGATAAACAATTTCACTTTTTTTATCATAACTTTCTGAAAAGTTGACCAATCGATCTGAAATTTTTGGACAACTTTAAGCATCGATAGAGTGATTATATAACAAAATTAGAAGGTGTAAAACATATTAGGAAAAATTTTATTGACAAAAAATCCGAAATTCCATTATAGCGAAAAATCGACTTGAATAATTTTGATACTGGTACGACTTGAAATTAAATGGAAAACAACAATTATCTGTCAGGAAGCTTAAAACAACTCAATATCTTGTTGACATGTCATTTGCATCTATCAAAGTTTGATATCGGAGACCCATGGCCTCGTCAACTTCGAGAGGGTTGAAACTGGTATATCCATCCATGCTCTCCTCAGCTGCTCGAACATTTCGGCACAATTTTGTACTGTTTGACCTCGAACACATCTACCAAGACCTTCCCACAAATGTTCAATAGGATTCAAGTCACGTGACTGGCTTGGTCAGTCCCTGACGGCCACCCTACGCTGCTAGAACCACTCTTTGATGAAGCGAGAACTACGTTTAGGATCATTATTCTGTTGAAATAAGTATCCACACTTTGCAAACGGAAGCATATGAATCTCTAGAATGGTTTTATACATTAATCGATCCATATTTCCTTCGATTCGACGAAGTGGGCCAGCTCCAGAAGCAGTAAAACATCCCCAAACCATCACGCTTCCTCTTCAATGTTTTACTGTTGGTAATTGATACTTTGGATCGAATCTTTTGCCGTCCGAACGCCTCACAAAGGTAATACCATCAGTTCCGAGCAACATATACTTCGATTCATCACTCGATACGACCTTTGACTATTGTCGAAACCTCCAATTCAAAAGCTCCTTATCCCACTTCAAACGGGCTCGGCGGTTCTTCTCCGAAAGGAGAGATTTTTTGACAGACCGACGTCCAAATAATCCAGAACCACGTAGACGACGCTTGACAGTATCAACACTGATCTGTATGTGACGTTTGGTGAAAAAAGTCATGGTTTTTCGGAAAAATCTACGTTGACATCATAGAACTGACTCAGTTGTCGCTTAATCTCGGAATCGGATAGACGCGGGTTGCTCTTGCTGATTCCTACAATGGTGCGATTGATTGCCGGAGGTGTTTTGGAAGGATTTCCAAGTGGTTTGGAATCCGATCGAGATTTCAAACATCCACAAATGGTCCAAGTCGATGAGTTCAACTGGTGTGATAGACATTGGATGAAAAGACCTTGTGCTCGGTCATCCTTGATTGCTTCAAAACGTCTGATATAATGTTTTTTGATCATTTTGATCGTCTCCTGCTAAAACAAATAAAAAAAACTGATGTTAACATTGAAAATCTAAAAAAAAAATCGACAAAACTTAAAATAAAAAAAAATCGCATTTTTGAAAATACGCAAAAAAAGGTCCAAAACACAAAAATTGCGTCGATAGTATCCCAAAATGAATAAATTATGTTTGGGAACACACTATCCGTTTTGTCCAATAATTTCAGATCGATTGGTTAACTTTTCAGAAAGTTATGATAAAAAAAGTGAAATTGTATATCTTACTGCACGGTACTGTATATGTATATATATGTATATATACATACATATATAAAGTACCGCAGAAAAAGATACGAAATAATTGATTTTCTTCCTATGAATTCAAATGACAGTAGAAACAAAATTAGATGGTCAAACACCAAATAACATTTTTAACGTTTAATTAAACAAACACTTAGTCGTCATACCAATTTCGTCATTAGCAACAGTACATCTTTTAGACGTATATATTACGAATTATCGTGGAAAAAATTTAATAGCCGAAATTTTTATTTTTGGCAACTTGCCGAATTGCCGGATTGCCGAAATTTTGATTTTCGGCAATTTGCGATTGCCGCACAGCCCTGATACATATATATGATATTGAAACTATCAATATCAGATACTTAGATTCGTCATTTTATAGGACTTTGAGTCACTGCTACATTGTCCTGCTGAGATGATCCTTTACCCATCACGATCGTGCCGTCTTTTCCGGGATCATTGGTTTTTTCACCAAAAAAACAATCGAGCATGGTGGAGACGACTTCTAAAAGTCTCACCGCAAACCTATTCGGTTGGATTGTTTTCGTCGGAATTTTTTTGCTAGTCCTAATAATAACACGACCAATTGCTAAAGATGTTTTGGTGGTCTTCCAGTTGATCTTGATTGATTTTGATTATTAATTGAAGCCCAGATGGTCGAAATACTAGTGGGGAATTTCTTAGCCAGACCGCAAATCGAAAATTTTGTTCGATCCTTAATAAAAAATAATAAATATAAGCACAAAGTATCGAAAACCACTCGTTTAAAAGTTTTGATGAAAAATAACTATTTCGTATCTTTTTCTGCGATACTGTATATATACATAATTTATTAATAATATAAACATCCTTGCAAACTCTGAGCAGATTGTTATGAGATGTATTCTTTAAAATCTTCCCCTCTTTTGAGGTATATCTTTCTTAAAAATGTTTAAATCATAAAAATTTTGAGAAAACAAAGTGTAAATAGATTTTGAGATAAATTCTGAAATTTAAAAAACAAAATTTGGCAAATTGAAAAAATAGCAAATTATATATTTTTTAAAGAAAATTGTTGAATAAAAAATGATTTGTTGCAATAGCAGTTGATGCCAATGTGTTTTGTCCAGAACGAATGAATTTTTCGTTTAGTTATCACATTTCTTCTTCTTTCATCTTCAGCTTCGCCTTTTTGTGATTCGTTGTTGTTAGAAGCTCTTCTCAAATGTGTGTGTGTGTGTGTGTGTTGTAATATCTTGGATTGCTTTCGCAAAATTTCTCTGTCTAGCGTTGGTCAAACTCCGCTCATTTTCTCGACCAAAAAATATCGAATTGTTGCCGTTTTTTTTGTTTCCCACGGAAATCAATAAGTGCTCATTTCGATGAGCAAATAAATGAAATTCGCATCATCTCTGGAGAGACGATGCTTCTATCGACAAACGCGAACTGATGTGTTTTATTTGATTATATCTTTTGTTGTTTATTTGACTACTGGGAGCAATGTTCGCCGCAAATTCGTCTTCCCAAAAAAAACCTGTTTGAAAATTGTGTATATGGGCATAATTTATATAATTTTAGCATGCAAATCGCATTCATTTTTCAAAATTTTTCTTTAAAATTTAAAATTATTGCGTTTTTATGTTTTCGGCTCACATATGTCGTGATTTATGTCAGAACATTTGAAAGAAGTTGTTTTCTCTCATCAGTGTTTTCTTATTCAGAAAAATGAAAGAAATTAGTCGGTTACGACGCTCCAGTATGGGTGGATCTGTTTCTAGTCTATCGAGACGATCATCGGTGTCACAGAAAGACATTCAAGCCATTCAGGAAGCTTTGCAGGTACCACAATTCAAACTTACTGTGTGAACAATTTGTAGAAACAACAAAAAATCTCATCGCAAGTGGTTTTGGCGTTATTAGTGCTCATTCCTCCATCTACATTTGTCTATTTCTATTCAATATCATTACACAACGGCGAATTTTTATCGGTAGGATTTTTCATCTGTCTTCCACAATTCGCTATTTCAGACATTAAAACCTCTATTTTATCAATACCCATTCATATTCCGCTGCATTCCTCCAATATTTGATCTAACCGCTTGGAAATTTACAATAATTCATTGTGCCATGCAGCTCATTCTTTATTGGGGTCTACCCCACGATAAGGCTATTGTTTTATCATCCGAAGGTTTTCCCGTTATATAGTCGGCGTCCGGCGACTGATGTACGTGGGTAGATTTACGGGGACGCGTCTTTCTCTTGGTCTCGCACGGACTAACAGTCATTCCAAATTTTATGGACCGGGGAAACACATCAAGAAAAACCGAAGCAGTTCACGCGTGGCGAGACCTTTTCAAGGCGCATGCGTGTAAATCTACCCGTGTACAGCAGTCGCCGGACGTCGACTATATTAGTATCACAATAAAGTATGAGCAACGAAAATAATATTTTTAGGCGAAGAAATTCGAGACATCAACAGTTTCTTCTCATGTATTCTAACATGTCTGTTATACATTCTCGGAGTCAGTGCAGGCTTCTACAGGTAATTCAGTTATTCGTAATAAACCCTGACATCAACTTTTCAGGGGTGATGTGCTTTACGAGCATTTCAATTCAATTATTTTGATATTTGCTATGTTTTCTCTATTAATTCTCACTTATTTAATCCTAATTTATCATTTTGGCAATGATTACGAAAGTAAGTTTGACATTGTTTATTTGATCGTATTATCGGAATTTCAGTAACAACAGCAAATGAGCTATATTTTGGTATCGAAAGACATCCGAAATTCCTCGACATTGATCTCAAATACTTTATAAGAACCAGATTTACTTTTGTCATTTGGCCACTTTATATCATTTCCGCATTATATTCTCAGAAAATTCTTTATGGAAAGATCTCAAGTAAGAGTTTTAAATGAAATCGTTTCTCGAACAAATATATTTAGACAGTTTGCTATGTTTATCCAGTCTTCAATTATTTTATATAGCAAAATTTCATTGGAGTGAAGATTTGTATTTGAATTCGCTCGATTCAAAGCATTCAAACTGCGGATTTTATCGACTCTGGACCGATCTGGTTTTTAAGAACAAGACAAAATCACTATTGTAATCATTATTTTTAAAGGTGTGGCATCCTATTTTATACACTACTCCAGTGACTGTTCTGTCGAGATCAAATAGATCACTTCGGACCATTTCAAATCTCATTTTTTCTATTTTAAGCATAATTCTTATAGCTTTAACCGAGAGAATAGACAGACAAAAATACGAATTCAGGTTACCTTAAATTATTGAGCTAAATTAAATTTTTTTATAGGAAATGCAAAGGAGATATGAAAATCAAAGGGTTTGACTCATTTTTCATCACAGCCAAATACAAAACAGATTCAGGAGACGCAAAAGCAAATCTTCTATTGGGCAACAACGCATTTATCGCTGCAAACGTAAAATTCTTTAATTTAGGAAGCGGATATTGGTCGTTGTCACGTCACCCCAATTACGTATCGGAAGCAGCAACTTTTCTGATATTCACAGCATTTCAAGGATTTCCTTCAATTTGTGCATATACGCCGGCATTCTTTATCACCGGTTTGGAAAAACAGAAGCTTTTTTGGAAAGAATTTTGAATTAAATTTGTAGGATTTCTGATAGCACGCGCGATTACTGACGAGAATCGATGTATGGCAAAGTATGGTCAAAACTGGATACAATATTGTTCAAAAGTAAAATATAGATTTTTACCTGGCGTTTATTAAATTTTCAAATAAATATATTTCGATTTACACAATTTGAATTGATTGCTTTCGGGTGCTTTTGTTGCTTTGGCGACTAAGGCGACGAGTTGCATTGGGACGTGATCGTGCATATCTACGCGGTGATTCCGGAACTGGAACAGAGCGTCTGCAAAAAGTTTATTAAGATTGTCGAAAAGTGCACAAGTGTGGTCACAAATTTATATTTACATTTTTGAATAATTTTCACATCCTTATTTTCTCATTTACAATATACATTTTACCTTTTTGGATGACATTCACGATAATATTCTTCGAGGAGAGCGTCCTCATATGAAGGCGGCGGAGACGTTCCACACCTGAAAGTATAACAATTGTATAATGAAATAATAAATGAATCGTACGGAATTTCATTGCTGACTTGAGAAACATAAGCCGGTGGTGAGAATTGGCTAGATCTGGTCTTTGTAGCTCTTTTTCTCATCGTCCTTGCTTCTGAAAAAAACCAAATATGAATTCATAAAATTAATGTTTCAGAACAAACTTTGAATTGTTTTGAAATTTTTCTCTCTCAATCGATTGGTCACCCTTTGAAGAACTCTCCGAGTTCGTCGCATTTCTACAACTTTGTCTAATTCCCATTGTTTGCATTTATTGATTCCAACCTAAAAACTTTTGAATTGATGAAAAAAATTACAGAATGGCACAAGAAAAATCAGTTAAAATTGATTTACCAGCATAGCAGCTACCATTCCAATACAAAATATTATAGTTGGTAGTACTATTGACGTCATTACATCCGTTGACGGAACGAAAAATTCTTGGGACGACATTTCACAAATTACGGAAGTTTCGCACTACTTATTGAAAAATAAGAAACATCTGGAGTGAAGTGATTTTACATGAAGAAAGTTTATAGAGTTGCATACACATACACACTCGCCAAGAAGCTTCTATTAGTGAAAAAGAATTTTGTTTGGATGTATGCGTCTGTGCACATTGAGAGCACTCACTTTCACGTATCGATTTTACTTCCATGCACATTTTTTTTTGAAAATACATACAAGAAAATTTTTAAAAAACTAAAATTATTAATTAAAATTCGTCCGCATTCATTTCATAAAACTTCAGTAATTTTCCAATCCTACGATGTTCCCAGTATCATTAAAATTGAACACTAACGAAAAACGCATTTCTCCTCGTAAAAATACACCCATTGTCGATTTACGAGCTGAAGGCGCCCTTCTTCGCTGCGAGACCTGCGAGGCAATAACGCTCTGCTGCAATGCCAGACGATTTCCTCTTTTATTTTCGCTTGGCCTAAATTTCTTTTACGTTTTTAACTATTTCGTGACTGTTTTTTCTTAAGTTGCTTATATTTTACTAAAAAATTACGTTATCTGTGCCGATAATTTGAATTTTATTTAAATTTTGTTCAGGGAATTGAAGAATTTTCCGAATTTTTGCTATTGTCAGTTGTCATATTTCGCTAGTTTTAAAACAAACGAATGTTGATTAAATTTGAATTTTTTTCAGGGTAAAATGGGACGTCGTATCCGTGTCCAACGCAAAGGAGCCGGAGGTATCTTCAAGAGTCACAACAAGCACCGTAAGGGAGCTTCAAAGTTGAGACCACTTGACTATGCCGAGCGCCATGGTTACATCAAGGGGCTTGTCAAGGACATCATCCACGATCCAGGACGTGGTGCCCCACTCGCTGTCATTGCTTTCCGTGATCCATACAAGTACAAGACCGTAAAGACCACCGTTGTCGCCGCTGAAGGAATGCACACTGGACAATTTATCCATTGTGGAGCCAAAGGTATTTTATTAAGCGGCCAATTTCTGGGTTTTTAAACACGTTAATGGCATAATTTTTCAATGTTTTAAGAATTTAGAAGAGCTTTTGTCCTTTTTCATAGTTTTACATTTAATTGATGTAAATGCTTTCCAGAAGGACAATAGTAATAATGCCTCTTACCCCCGACTGATATTTTTATCCTGATCGGTCATTCTGTGCATTTACAATCACTTCATAAGTATTTTTCAGCTCAAGTGCAGATCGGAAACATTGTTCCAGTTGGACTTCTTCCTGAAGGAACTACCATTTGCAACGTTGAAAACAAAAGTGGAGATCGTGGAGTTATTGCTCGCGCTTCTGGTTCGTTATTTAAATTTTAACCATTTTCATTTTTTTATTAATAGGAAATTACGCAACTGTTATTGCCCATAACCCGGACACTAAGAAGACCCGAATTCGTCTTCCTTCTGGTGCCAAGAAAGTCGTTCAATCGGCCAACAGAGCAATGATTGGTAGCATGCTGCGTCCAGAACGTTTCTAATAAAATTTATAGGACTCGTTGCCGGAGGTGGTCGTACTGACAAGCCGCTCCTTAAGGCCGGAAGAGCTTATCATAAGTATAAGGCCAAGAGAAACAGCTGGCCACGCGTCAGAGGAGTTGCTATGAATCCAGTTGAACATCCACACGGAGGAGGTAACCATCAACATATCGGACATCCATCCACCGTCAGAAGAGATGCCAGCGCAGGAAAGAAGGTAATTCGTGAAATAAGATTTATTTTACTCTGTTGTTCTTGTAGATCGGTCTTATCGCTGCCCGTCGTACCGGAAGAATTCGTGGAGGAAAGCCAGTCAAATTCACCAAGGAGGAGGCTGTTTAAATTCACTGTTATTTGTTACCAAACAAAATACATTTTGTTATATATTTATTCAATTTCTAAGGGGAAACAATGGGAGTATTGTGAACTGAATCAACTTGAACAGTAGAAGAAATAAGATTCGTGGTTTTGGAATCAATGAAGTCGAGATCAGGGCAATCCATTGATAGTGGTGTTCTGAAAGTGAATTTAAAGAAGAATTTTAATTTTCTCTTACTTTTCACGGTGGTGCGTAATCATCACGTCTGGAATATTCATTGGTTTCTTTTTGCAGCATGGAAAGGTGACGTTGCAGAAAACGATAAACAAGGTGATAAATGCTAATGTCATGACGAATGCAGTCAATATAAGGAGTGTCGTATTGAATTCTTCTACATCCAGTATTATGCTCTTTTCCATATTTACTCTAAAAGTGTACGCTCAATATATTTCGAAAATCTATAACAAGAGTGAAGCTCGGTTATATAGAGACAATTTCCAAACAAAATCATGGAGTGTTTTAAAGGCAATCTAATAAAACGAAAATTGAGGAAAAACTGCAACAGAAGCCGAACGTTATTGAGTCCAGTCCAACAATGTGAGTCTAGAGACGCGAAACAGCTACTTTTTCTATTAGTTGGCACGACGAACAGCCGAGTCCCTTTTGGGCATATTAGTTTTGCACTTTCAACATGCAAAAAATTAGGGTAGCCGAGAAAATAAAGAATGCGACACATTTGATATATTTTTGAAATTTAACAACAGAATGAAAAAAATGACAAACAATAATAAACAATTCTATTTGTTGAAATTCATGACAAAACCTTTCTTTATTTGGAGATATTGGAGAAGGAAATTTAACGTTGAAGAGTTTGTTTTTAAAGAAGATAGCTTCAAGGTTCTAAATTTTCCTCAAAGTTATCATATAAAATTTTCCTGAGAAAAATAAATTTAGCCTGCGATATTATCGGCGTCAAATGCCTGAAGAGAGGAGGGACATCAGTGTAACCTACGTGTTTCGTCCGATGATTATGCTCAGTGACTGAATATACAGTATGTATAAAATGCGCGTACGCTAAAATGCAAGGTACGTCGTCTTGCGTACGACTTTTTTTTTCTCGAAACCGTGTCACAGCGCATATAGTGCGTTTCCCTAAAACGCATTTCGAGAAACCTAAAAATATGTTATTTGATCTTCCTGACACACTACAATATCTTGTAGTTCAAACGCATTGCGTTTCTATGTATATTGCCAGTGCCGTGCTACTGAAAAACATAGGCTAAATGTTTAAAAACAATGATAGTGGTCTTGGCGCAAAACTACATATGTAGGTTTACGAATATATAGGTTAGCTGCGTCCCAAACGCCCCCCCCCCCCCTAAATATACAGTGCGCGTTAAAATGATACGCCACCCCCCAAAATTTCGCAGTTTTGAGAAAACCATATAAATTGGTGACAAGACAATTTCAATTCGAATTCAGGGACATTGAAAACCTATACAAGCGTATTTTCATGAGGGTCCGTTGGTCCGTATCTGCACAGCCCGAAAAAGTTGGATTTTCAATCGCGTCATAATGATACGCCACCCCCTATTTTTTGTCTTTTCTTTCGGCATTTTTGCGTTTTTCTTGCTTACTTTTCTGTATTTTTTACAATTTTTCACCAATATTGTTATTTTATCCATAGAACGATTGTCCGCTTTAGTTTTGGTTTAGTTGTATGTTAAAAATTTCTTTTTAGAATTTCGATAAAATAAACGTACCGCACTGGCGACATTGAATTGTTGCGGTAGGCGCTTTTATTGGGAAACAAACCATAGAAAATATTTTTCAACAAAGACCCCAACTCCCCAGCCAGTTATTGCATTTTAATCTTACGAGAAAAACGGTTTTCTTAAAATTTAAATTGAAAACCAAGAAAACGCCAATGGAAAACATGGAAAACATAAACCTATTCATGAAATATTTAAAACATTTAAACAAATCACATTTTTCCAATCAAAATATTATCAAAACAAGCAAAAAATGTCTGAAATTATAACTGCTTACAATAATATTTCTGAATGGATCGTCCAAATTGAGTTACAGTTCTCAGAGAAGTTTTCGCGCGTTCGTCCGTGGTCCAGGAGCGAACCCGCGCTTCGAACGCGCGCTTGACCTCCGGCGCGTTCGCCTCTAGACGAACTCGCAAAAAATTCTCTGAGCCAAAATCTTTCAACTTTAAAAATTTAACGCTTATGCTTTATGAGGCTACCCCCCCCCATTAATGATTGAAAATGATTTTTTTAATTAATGAAGATTTGTACTAAAATTGAAGTATTGCTTGAATGAGAAAACGCATTTAGGAAAATAATAAAAAATAATGAAACTTTGAAAAAAGAAGAGGGAAGTGTGGGCTCTCATCCTCAAACAATGCATAAATCTTTCGTTTTTTTATGTTTCTCGAAACAAAACGTATTAGTGTTGACTTGAAATCGAAAATCGCGCAAATCGAGAGCGGCGAACAAAGCATTTTGAGGACTGTACACACTGTGAATTTCCTTAAAAAATTGGCGAGTAAGCAAATAAATACCGAAATTTGAGAGACATTTCTTTTGGCGGGGAGACAACGTGAGGGTTCGGAAAATTGGAGCAAACAGAAAAAAATCATATAAGAAGCAATAGACTAGAAAAAATATTGCGGCATCATCAGCGCGATAGGTGAGAGATTCGCGGCAAAGTTGACGAAATCGAGAGCCGCAGCCGCTTGCACCTCGGTTTTTTCTAAGCTGTGCGCATCCTGATCCGCATCGCGAGCAGCACAACAGTTGTGGAAGCAATTGTACGAACACAAGACACAGATAAACGGCAGCATAGGCACAATGGAAGCATAATGGAACGGCTGTGGATATCATAGGAATCTTATATGCAAGTTATATGGAAGCATAATGGAAGCATTTTTTTGCGGAACCGCGTGTTTCGTATATGGAATGAGACGTATGCCTTCCATATGGGCAAATAAGAAAACAATTTGATTGCTGTATTCAAAATTTATTTCATATTAACACATTTATTTAATTTAAAATAAAAAAAAACAACAATGAAATGAATTTCAATTAAGATATAATCAAACCATTAGTTACTGGCAACTGCCGAACTATTCGAATCATTGTCAGTACTGACATCGAGCGGGACGCTGTAATAAGTAGAATTCATATCGTTCACACTTGGTTAAAAAGCCGTGTTATGATATTTTTAAAAACAACAACTATTGCTAAGAAATTAGGCAAAAGTCCTAATGCACATTTAACCTATCCTTTTTTCGCAAATATACGCTTGTAGAAAGAAACCGTTATCGAATTTTTACCTTTTCTCCACTTTTCCTAGTCGCTACACTTCGATTATAATGGGCCTATTAATTTGAAAAACTTGTAAACCATTGTTACGTAAACTAAATTTTTCGAGAAAATACAATCAGTTTTTTTTTACATCAATAATTTTCTTAAAAATAAAAATAATTTATTTTTATTGCATTTTTGGAAACCCTTTAGTGCACAAAATAAAAAGTGAATTGGCGGAAGAAAGAACAACTCCAAAATTTGAAGCAAAAAGGCATTTTGGTTAAAATTTCAAAGACATATGAATACTCACATCTGAGGGTTGCTGGTAGAATCAAGCAGCTTCCTTAATTGCGCCGCGAGCGCTTCCGGCGCTACACCAAATTTCCTTTAAAGTCGTTGGCGCATTCTATCGCTTAATCAAATAAATAAATTAATAGTCATAGCTCAAAATCTTACAGAAGATTATCCATGACTTCTCGAACCATGCGTAATGCTTTCGCTTTGAAGTCATTTGTCGGTTGTTGCCCAAAGCCATGGATAAGAACATCTGTAATATAGATATTTGCAATAAAGTATAGGATCTTTATATAGTCGGCGTCTGGCGACTTCTGTACTAGAGCCCCACTTAAAAAGATAAATGCCACTGAATGATATTGGTACGAAGGCTGTACGGCAATCGGAAATTTCGGCGATTCGGCTAATGGCAAATTACCGATCGAAATTTTCTTCGGCAATTTGAAAAACCGGCAATTTCGGCAATCGGCAATTCCATTGCCGCACAGCCCTGATTGGAACCAAATAATCAACAAGCTTTAAACTTAGGAAGTACTTTATAAAGACTTCATTGCGCATATTTTTCTAATTGAAACCATTTCTGGAGTCGAACAGGCCAATTTTTGATGATAACAACTTACAAATTGCGCGTACGAAGGTTTAGGAATTGGCGTTGATTTTGTTGTTTGTGAGGACTGTGGAGAAAAATTTTTTTGCTGAGTTGGCGAGTAAATTGGACTATCTGGATCTGAAGTGTCGAGCGAATTTGGTTCCATGTTAGGGACTTCTGGTTCTTTGTTATTGACTTCTAGAGCAGTTTCAGTTATATCTGACAACACTCTCGATCTTGTCTTCATCTGTAAAAAATTTCAAAACATTATGTTTTATTAAAAGAAAAAAGCGAGCGATAATAAAAAATATGTTAAAGTAAATAAAAATAAAACGGATTCGATGAGAAATTAAACACAATTCGATTGAGAAAATATTTAAATTCGATTTTAAAAGTGTCGGAAACGATTTGAAAACATCGTATCGATTTTAAAATTTTCGAATGCTATCAATTTATTTTTGGTTTCGATTTTGATGATAAATATGAAAATTTTTCCTTTATTTTTTAAAAACATTTTTCCTTTAATTTTGAAAAAAATTCTTTAATTTTTGACAAAAAAAACACAAAAAATCTTGAAAATTCATTGAGAAAAAGCAAAAGGACAAAAATTTTGAAAACGAATTTCGAAAATGTGAGGCGTGGCCGCATTGTGCAAAGCGGCGCACGGTTTTGCAATGCTGCGGCACGCCTCTTCTACGCGCGTCTGCTACCAGTTTGGAGCAAATTGTGAGTAGTTTGCGATGCCAATTTCGGAAAAACCGGCAAAAATATATTAATACGACTAAATTGTAGTTGGCAATCTTTAAACAAAGTAAGGAACAGTTGACTGAATTAACATAAATCTGAGTAGCATAAGTCATTAAATGGTAGAAGCTAAATTTCGTATGTTGTGTATCATGTAATTTTCAAATTTTCATTGTTTATATGATAGCATAAGTTTTTTGTATTGATTTTTCTAGAAATTGTCTTGGTCTGCCGTCCAGACGCCAATTGTATAATGTTTATTGACATATGATTATTTTATCCATATTTCATCCATATTCGTTCCACGGCTCGCAAACACCGGAAGCATATTCATCCCGTTTTCATTCCATCCATATTCGTCCCATATTTCTTCCACAGCCACTAAGAATTACATTATGCTTCCTATATGGAAGCATTATGCTTCCGTTCCACAGATTTCCCACAATACTTCCATTATGCTTGCGTCGCGCTTAATCAGTGGACGCAGTTTTTATCACGACAAAAAAAGTTGAGAGTGGAGAATGAGGTTAGTCTAGTGGCACGATGGCAGAGAGGAGGAGCAGTTGATCGGCGAATATGAGAAAAAAATATTGGCAAAATGAGCGAAACGTTTAATTACCCATCGAACCTAGGTGTCAAGAGAGAAAAGGATAGCATTCGATTATATCTGATCGTAGGTCTCAAATCGAATATATTTAAAATACAGTAATTTCTGTATTAAGATACACATGTTTCTCCGAATGAATTCAGAACGGAAAAGGTATGAAAATATAAAGCTATAACATGTCGTTGTGGACGCAACCTTTGTAACGAAGATGTAATAAAAATTTTAGGCTCAATTAAAAAAAAAGCAGAACACGTTGTAAAGAGCAATAACGGCCAATAAACGATACTTAGATCTGAACGAACGATGCCCCACAAAACAGGGGTCAAATGATGGGCTGAAATAATGTGATTCTAACGAGCACGTTTTTAAGTTTATACTGTTTGTTTTTTTTCATATAGGAACAACTTTTTTTCTCAATTTTGCGCACAGCATTCCATCAATTTCATCGTCTTGTGAAACCAGTTTCATAGTTTTTTTTTCAAACAAAATTGGTTCCAGCGATTAAACAACGCTGTCTTGGACGGATTATCTAATCAATTCCGAGAATTTTTAAATTTATAACCAGCTTCCGACGACTGCTGTACGCGGGTACATTTAGGTGCGTGCCTCCGCTATGGTCTCGCACGAACTAACTAGTTATTTTGCATTTTATGGGTCGGTTTCTAATTTCGTAGAAATTCAAAGAAATATCAAACGCATCAAGAAAAATTAAAAAAAATTACGTAAAATTTTAAAAATAAGTCTTCAAGTGTGGCGAACCCATGTGGAAAACCGCACTCGTAAATTAAAAAAAAAAAAATAAGTTTTATTATTTTATCTTAATTTTTAGATAGACCAAATTGAGTATTTCAAATTCTACGCTTCGCTCTTGAATGGCATCATATTATCGAAGACAAACAACTGTAGTAATCGGAGACTAAAATTGGATTAGTATCAAACAATAATATTGCAGGCGTCAAACGACTAAAGGATGCAAGGTTTTCAATTTCGAAAAAAGAGGAAGATGTAAATTTAACGTTTACTGAATGTTAAATTCACGCAAGCTAAAATGCAATGAATGCAGCCTCTTTTTGAATTTCGTCTTAAATTAATCGAATTTCTGGCCGTTGTCTGCTTCAACAATATATGATGTTTTTCAGAAAATAAAAAGGCGTGGCCAACAATTGGATTAGAGTGGACTAACTCTTGATAGATAAATTTGCATTTATTGAAAAAGAAAACTATTGCAAATCGACACAACAACAATGCTCAATTTTGAAAAATGTATGATCTTAACTTTTTATAGTTCTTTTTCCAACTGTATATAAAGTGGGTTATATTCCTCGGAAATCGCATTAATTAATGCATACATACTTTTCCTTTGTTGAAATTGTCTTGTAGGAGCGACGCCGTTTTCTTGACCGCGCTGAGAAAAACGAGTTTCGGTGAAACGGCGGTGAAAAGAAAATCTCCGTCTGTCAAAATCACACCCTCTCTCAATCGCTCTCTTCACCACCATTTCTGCACGATTTGTTGAAATGGCCGCATAGAAAGAATGGCCGAGTTAAGAAATTTCTTCCACGGCCACACACTAATTTTCGTTCATTCAACAATGTTTTGTTTCTATCTTTTGCCATAATGATACGCATATCGAATCATGTTTTTAAAAAAAGCCGTTCCATCAATATGTAAATTTTAAATTGCCCTGAGCATTTCTGCTTTAAAGCTCTTTAATAAGTTTAAAAAAATAACAGCAAAGATTTCAGGTACTTCAGGATAAAATTATACATATACAATGATAAGCAGCGTACTAAACACTCAGAAAGATTCATTAATGACGAATGTGAGTTACTGGCGTCTAACATGATTTATTTCGATTAATTGTTTAGTCAATATTTTCGCGGGCTGGACCATCTACCAAGATTCCCGGTGTCGCAATGCAATCATATAAAGTGGAAAATAAAGCACAGAGTCGTGTTCGCATAATGAAGTATCCTGGAGCAGTTGAAAAACCGCTTTGGGAATGCAGGTTACTTATTTTCAAAAAATTATTATTGCGATATTTTATAAAAATTCTTATCACAGTTTTAATCAATAAGGATTTTGAATTATGTTGTAATGTTTATCTATTACAATAAATCAATAATAATTGAAATTCAACATATTATTTAGCGTTTGCTCGAAGAAACTTTCTTCAAAACGCTCATACACTGAGCATATGAACATCCACAACAAAGCAAGACCATTTCAATGCTTATATTGCAATTATGCTGCAGGTTTCCTGTGAATTAGTGATTATTATAAGAAAATATTTTTTTCAGCAAGTCAAATGACATTACATCGACACAAACTTCGAAACCATACTCCAAAGACAGAATGGGGATATAGGTGCCCGTATTGCCCACCGAACGATCCGTATGGATTTTATATGGAGCCTGCAGGATATCAACAACATATTCAGTATGAATCCGCAACAATAATAAAAAAATAACCTGTTAAGGATTCGACATTTTGGTTTTTCTGCAACATTCGGCTGCCCATTTTCTGATTGTAAATTCACTTCGAAATCACAGCGATATTTCCGAGAACACTTGGCGAAACACAAAGGGTATCGCCACAATTTGTTCGAAGATTTCTTTTCCTTTGGTTGCAGAAATGAAAGAGTTGCTGGAGGTATTGATCCTTTTATTTTGTCAGAACAAGAACTCGTTCGATATATGGTCAATGACGAATGTGGTGCGTTATTTTGCTTTGTCTTAGTTTTACCCACTTGTCTAGGGATCGGTTATGAAAAGCGAAGAAAGCAGATATATGTCAGACCACGGAAAATTCAACCAATTCGCGCTAGACCTGTTCAGCCTCAAGGACAAACTACTAAAATTGTGTATCTACTCGAAAATAACACAAAAAATGGAGAAAAGCAAGGAAATACATATGTTGAAAGGTATACTAGGCGACATCAAACGACTGAACGAAATTCATAAAATAATGCCTATAGGCTGTTTCTGAAAAAATGGCTACTTACCTCACCGGGCTTATTTCGGTCCGCGTGTGGCCACCGTCATTTTTCCTAAAAATGTTTTATTTTTCATATTTTGTGCTTTTCATTCCAACATTATTTCACACCATACGATTCTGGTAGTCCATTCTTTAGAAACGGAAATATGCGTGTGTTCGTTTTTCTTGTATACGCGAATTTAATATTCGGTCAAAACGAAAAAATATTACAATATGAATGAAATTCTCAGCGCCCATTTTATACACATCTGATAAACGAATATATGCGTATATTAACGGGGCTCAATTTAGGCTTCCATCAAACGATTCGTCAATTGTTGGTAAGATCACATCTGTTCATCCAACAAGAATAATTTCAAGCGCATCCACTCAATACAAAGTTGTCATGGCAAGATTATGACTGAAAATTAAAAAAAAAAACATTAATATGTTTAGCAGAAGTCGAATATCTTGACGAATTATGAATCTGACGATGACGATGACGGTCCACCCATTCTCGACCGACAACAGGATGATGGGATGGTATTACCGGATACTGACTGGGTTGAATCTGAAATTGAAGTAATTTTGTCTATAATAATAATAGTTTTTTTTTCATTTAGATTAGCACGAATATTCCTCGATTTCCGAACGGATTCTTCGAAGAAGAGCTTGACTAAAAAGAATTACCCAAATGGCTGCCATTTTTCAACTAATACGGGATTATTTTTTATCACTTGTAATTTTCTCACATTTCAATTTGATTTCTCCGCCGAGTTTACAGTTCGAAAAATATTCAATGAAAAATTGTTTTGTTGCTCATTTCATTGATTTAATTTAGAGGTCACTGATCCGTCTTATCTTCATTTTCGATTTTTTAGACTTTCATTTCTTTTGCGTATGTGTCAGAGTCCTAATGGATTGTGGTGGGACGTCAACGGAATATGTGAGCAAGTTCATTGTGCCTGAAGAAACAACAATATCGCAACGAGTTGCGTCAGATTCTGGAAAATTTTTGAAAATGTCTGTCGATCCTGATTTCGATGATGGTTAGTTTATTGTATACATTTTTTCTCAAACTTTAATTTTTATTCCTATGATGTTTAAATTTAAAAAAAATTTTTTTCTTATCATTTTGACGAATTATGTTTCAATCGTTTAGCGTTCAGTCAAGAAGATGAGACACATGCTTCAATACCATTAACTAGGGAGCATATTCAGAGTACAAGACGTACGAAAGAAGCGAGACAAGGTGGAGGTGTTGTACGTTTAATTGAATTCATTTCTTGTTACTATATGGACAATCGAATTTTAGAAAATGTCCATCGGGAATTGTGACGAAGAGGTGGAAGAAGAAGACGATGATGAAACTGACGAAATGCGATCAAAACGAATTGCACAACAAATGAAACGGTTTCGTGAACAGGTATTTTTAAGCTCACACTTATACGGATTTTTAATACTTTTAAGGATAAGGAAGAAGATTTTGACATTCCCGAATTGAATCTAAACGATGATGATGATGCGATGAAAGCATACTTTCGGCAAAGAGTTGAGAATTTATTTTCTAATGATAACGTTTGTTTTTAAAGTATGTTAGTATACAGCGAACGTTGTAGGCTCTTGGGCTAGATGATGAACCTGTTGAATTCAAAAAACCCAAAATTCTTGAAGGATATTTATGGGGTGCAGTTATTGGTGGAGGATCGTATGGAAAAGTAAAGGTATCCTATAGAGAATATGAGTTCAATTAAATTGGACTTATTTATTCATTTTTTAGGAAGTAATAGATACTTACTCATTAACACGGAGAGCTGTAAAAATAATGAAGCATGACAAGATTAGAAAAATTCCGAACGGTGCTATGAATATTCGAAATGAAATTCGCATTCTAAACACTCTGAAACATAAAAATATTGTAAAATTAGTTGAGGTAAGTTTTCAGTTTTCGCGATGTAGACCACGGTGATTGTTTTATGTTTTAGGTGTTTGAAGTTGTAGCTAAAAAAAGAATTTATATGATTTTTGAATATTGTATTGGCTCAGTACAGCAATTGCTTGAACTCGAACCTGCACGGCGCATTACAGTTGGAGAAGCTCATTTGATCTTCTGTGAAACCGTCCGAGGGTATATCATATATTTAATTTTTAATCATTCAATTTTATTTTTAGTCTTGATTATCTTCATGCTCTCAGGATTTCTCACAAAGATATCAAACCGGGAAATTTGCTGATTGCAATTGATTTTACGGTTAAAATATGTGATTTCGGTGTGGCTGAACAGCTTTCCTTGTTTCAAGTTAGTTTCAATGTATTCAGAAAAACATTATATTTTGTAGAATAATGGTAATTGCACAAAAGTTAATGGAACACCGAAGTTTCAACCTCCGGAATGTGTTGCCGGATCTCATGAATATTTCGAGTACGTTGCTTTTGTGTTGTGAAGTTTCGTTTGTTATCACAAATTAGAAAAGTTATCAATATTTTATGTTTTAGTGGATATAAAGCCGATATGTGGGGACTTGGAGTCACGCTTTATAATATGGTATCCGGAAAATATCCATTCGATAAAACGGTACATAAAGTTAAAAATTGTTATCTATTGTATAGACTACAGGTTCTCATTCAATTATACGATTCGATTGCGAAGGACCCGGTTGAAATGCCGAAGAATGTTGAATTATCTCCACATCTTCAAGAGTAACTTTTTTTCTCAGAAACTTATTGGCAACGTTAAACGACTGAATGAAAAAGAAACAACATTTTTTTTATTAATTATCGTCAAAGTAATGCAAATGTATGTAGAAATATACGCTCTACTGTAGATTTTGGAATATTTAGACAACACTTCTTCCATATGTATCTATTCACTGTTTACAAAAATGTCGAATTTTTTATTTTATCTAACGCAATCACACAAAAATTTTCAAACATTTTTTGACGCTAACAATGACGTTTTTTTTTAATTTTACATTATGTTGAATATATTCATTGGAGAGTTTGTCCGTGTTGTCCGTAGGTCCTATTTTTCTTATCCTTAAACGAAATTACACCCAAAACTTCTCGAGACCTACCCTGGTTTTGTTTTCATGTGCCAAGTGTCTCGAAGTGAAGAGAAGTGGGCGTTTTTGCGTTTACGCATCCGTAAATCTACACAGATTTCGTGAGAAAATAGGCTCCACCTTTTTTCAGTCGCTTGACGTAAACAATAAATTGAAATAGAAATAAAAAATTTTCAGTTTGATATTGAAACTGCTCGAAAAAGACTTCAAAATTAGATATGGAACTTATGAGACCATGCTACATCCGTGGTACATAACGATGTTCCCAGAGGTTGAAATAATTTCAAAAGTTAATTATCAAATCTATTTTAGGATCAGGGCTTAGGAAGAATAATGGAACGATTGCGTACGGGCGATCGACCTTTAACTATGCAGCCAAGTATGAAGGTAATACAGAATTGTGAAAAATTGGATTACGGTTCAATATTCTCCAGATGTGTTCCAGAAATGTTATGAATCTAAACTTTTGTTCAACTTTGAAATATTAATTTGGTTGATGCAAGTTTAATAAAATCAAAACATCGAGTGAACAGATCAGCGGGAAAAAAACGTATGCTCGTGCTTTATGTACATTTTCAGGACGCCGAAAAACATTTTGCAGATATTATCGCATTAATTATATTTCAGATTTTGTATGATGAACAACCACAAGATCAGGATTCGATTATTCCTATTCTAACTGAAGGAGGTTTGTTTTCACTTCATTCAGAATATTTATAAATAAATTTAATAAAGGACAAATCGATCGAAGTACTTTCGATGGATTTCTTTATCTCGAAGCTGATGAAAATGAACCAATGGACGAAACTGTTCGGCCATCGTCGAGATCAAATCCAACGTCGGCGCCTCGTCATGGCGACGGAGCCGTTTCTCGCAACTCGCGTCGTCGCACGCCCAATATATTCAAATGTTTAATGAGAAATCGCACCCATAGCTCTTAGCTAGCACGTTTTTTGAAATTATTGCTTTTTAAAATTCTGTCGCTTATTTTTATGGCCATTGCTCAAACAACGCATCAAAAGATCGCCGAATTGACCTCACATGTTTCTATGCTCCACTCGACAGTATTCTGATATCGTATTTCAAAAGACGAAAAACTACCAGTGAAATAAAATTAACGAAAACACAATTAAAATTAATCGTATATTTACGGCAATGTCACTACAAGACTCTTGCTTTTGCTTCTTCTCTCTTAACATCTTTGAAACGGTTAAATTGACAACTATTATCTTTTTCTTTTAGATTATTTGCAACTCTCTGTCAAATGGTAACTAATTACATTACGGTCATAGATATTTCTGATTCAATCAGGACGATTATAGGGTTTTCTTAATCGATAGCTCGTATTTTTGTACTTTTATCGCACATTAGTAGATGCTTTGGATTCGAATATAATGTTGTGCCTGCCAAGAAATTTTTATGAAGATTTTTTGGTTTTGTATATTTATGAATAAATCCATGAAGTATATATATATATATATATATATCATTTGTATACATATTTGTAATAATCGTTGACGGTCGGCCTTTATACGGTTTGCAGTCGTCTGTCTGCGTACTGTGTATAATCTAGCGGAATTCGGGAAGATTCCATCGATAGATAATTCGCTTCGACTGACCGCAGCATTCCGACGTCGTTAATTGCAGTAGTGTATAGTCTTATTATTATTATTATTATTATTATTATTATTATTATTATTATTATTATTATTATTATTCCAATGCATATTCTGAATATAATGAATGGTAATACATGTAACACGTTTTTTTAAAATGTAGTATAATCTATTTGTATTATTTTCTTCGATTTAATTTTCAAATCAGCAATCTACCGAGATTTTTCACAACCACGAAACTGTTGCGATCCCTGGTAATTATTCGAATCCGTTTTACTTTAATTTGTTAATTCGAAACGGATCCGACAAATATTTAATCGGATCCGTCAAATTTCCAATCGACAATTTTACAATCTTATCCGTAGAGTTTCCAATCGGATAAGGTCTGGAGCCCAATTTTGTCGGATCCGATTGGTTTTGAGTTACCAGAGGATATTGAATAGTTTAGCATTGTCCAAAAACACTTTTAGGCGTTTAAATTGACGATAATTTGATTTTGAGTAAAATATATGTTGGTCTAAAGGACCAATACAGAAAAAATAAAAATAAAATAAGTTACAAATGCGGCAAAAAACGAAAATGATTATTTTTCTTTTTTCTACATATAACTTCTCTCTATTTTTTCTTCATCGTTTTTTTCCGGCATTGCCCTATAATGTTATAAATTAAAAATATATATATATATATATATATATATATATATATATATATATATATATATAATATATATAAATATATATAAATATATATATATATATATATATATATATATATATATATATATATATATATATATATATATATATATATATATATATATATATATATTTGGGTGTGTAATATAATGCGCCAATTAAATGATGCAAATGTGCCCCACCGAAATATCCATTTTCTGACGCGATTTTCGTGTTTCGTGCTCAAAATAAATATGAAATTAACTCTCTTCCATTTCGTAAATCATTGACGCTTTACTTCTTTTGAAAATTTATAGTCTTACGCATGAAGAAATTGAAATAATCACATATAATGCGATTTTTTTTTCATTCCCCCACTGGACAAATTTGAACTATTTGAGATTTTTATTGCATTAATATTCACATAAATCTACGGCGAAAACGCAGAATAGCTCCCTACTCCACCATAGATCCCCACAGCCAAGAATGCGACTTCATATTTTTCGAAACGCCCCCCCCCCCAATACATTGAAAGTGTGACCAATAAAAAATGTGGGGACTTTTCCTTGGTTGTGGGGATCTATAAAGGATGAGAACTCTCGATTATATGTGGGGACTTATATTGAATCAGCGTCTAATGTGTGGGGACCCACGGTTACAGGTAAAAAATCAAGTCTACAAAAACATATTTTATATGTTATGCTAATATTATATTTATTTAACCAAATTAACTGTTACATTTGTGGAATGTTTTTTTTTCATTTTACGTACAAATTTATGAAATCAAAATCGTTTATGAAGTTGTCTATCAATGCAGTAAAAGTTTTAAAACATTGAAAATGTTTCCAATGCAGAAACGTTAAAAAAATGCAAAATAAATATCATTTTTTTTTTCATTTTTTTTTTAATTTTTAATAATTCAAAAACTGTTTCAATGCTGCTAAAAACTATTGCTATTCTCTTTTTAGTGTAATAAATTGTCGAGATATATTTCAACGCAACATACAATCTCAATTCTTAATTTCAGAAATATGGCGACGACTATACCCGGTAGTTTGGTCAACAAAACAAAAAAATTCTTTATGGGCATGCCAGCTCCCTCTGGTTATGTTCCAGGAGTAGGAAGAGGTTGTGAAATTTTTATTTAAGAAAATAAGAAATCAAAACTATAGGAGCAACGGGATTCACAACTCGGTCGGATATTGGCCCAGCTCGTGATCCAACTGATGTTCCTGAAGCCGGTCCAGTCGGCCCATCACAAGGACCTCCACCTGCGAAAAAAGCAAGAGAGGAAGAAGAACGTGAAGCCGATGACTTGAACGATGCCAATTATGATGAGGTATACGCTATTTTCTTCTTTATCGAAAACCAAATTTTCAGTTTAACGGCTATAGTGGTTCGTTGTTCGCAAAAGATCCTTATGACCAAGAAGACGAAGACGCCGATCGAGTATATGCGGAGGTTGATGATCGTTTGGACGAGAGACATCGTGATCGAAGGTTCGAAAATATTTCTTTTGCATTTTTTCCGTTTTGTTTGAAAAGCGCAGCGCTTTATTTGCAATTCATGTTCATTGTGGTCGCTTTTCAGAGAGAAAAAATACAAAGAGCTTGTTGAGAAATATCATAAAGAGAGACCAAAAATCCAGCAAGAGTTTTCGGATTTAAAGCGACAACTTGCTGAGGTGAATATTTCGATTAATTTTTGTATTGTTTTCATTTTACTTTTTATAGGTAACTGACGATGAGTGGCAAGCGATTCCTGAGGTCGGAGATTTGCGTAATAAAGCAAAAAGAAACCCGAGAAACGAAAAGTAAGGCTGTATTAAACATGATTATCCCAAATTTTTCTAAATGTATTTTGTGTGATATTATTCACTGTTATAAATTCAGGTTCACGCCGGTTCCTGATTCGCTCATTGCTATGAGCATGAATTACGGTGCCATGAACACCTCGATCGATGCAAACACGGGAATGACAACGCCGTTCTCTAGTGGGATGACTTCTACTTTTGGTGCTGGTACAAAATGTAAGTGCCAGTAGTCTTCTATAATATTTTCTTTTTTTAAGCTGGAATTCTTACGCCTGGATGGAAAACTGGAATTGAAACTGGCACTTCTAGTTCGATTGATCTCGATTTAAATAAAATTGGACAGGCAAGAAATAAGATCATGGATATTAAATTGAATCAAGTTTGTGTCAAATGGTGTATTGCGTTAATTTTTTTTCATAGGTTTCGGATTCAGTTTCTGGGCAAACAGTGGTTGATCCTAAAGGATATTTGACCGATTTGCAATCTATGATCCCACAATATGGTGGAGATGTTAACGACATTAAAAAAGCTCGAATGTTGCTAAAATCTGTTCGAGAGACGAACCCTCGTCACCCTCCAGCGTGGATTGCTAGTGCTGGATTGGAAGAAGCAGTCGGAAAATTGCAGACTGCTCGCAATTTAATTATGGAAGGTTGTGAAAAAAACAAGACGTCTGAAGAATTATGGCTGGCCGCAATTCGAATGCATCCACCCGAATTGGGAAAGTCGATTGTGGCTAACGCAGTGCGAGCGTGTCCCCACAGTGTGAGGTTGTGGATACGAGCTGCAGATTTGGAGACAGACCTCAAGGATAAGAAGAAGGTTCTTCGAAAAGCGCTCGAACAAATCCCGTCATCTGTTCGTTTGTGGAAAGCGGCTGTTGAGCTAGAGGAACCGGAGGAGGCAAGAATCCTGTTGACTCGAGCTGTCGAATGTTGCAGGTTTGAGTTGTTGTGTTTATCTATCCATTACTGAAATACAAATTTTAATTATTATTAATATTATTATTAGTCATTTTAGTATTTGATTTTTCAGTACAAGTACTGAAATGTGGCTGGCTTTGGCGCGTCTTGAAACTTATGAAGAGGCTCGTAAAGTGTTGAATAAGGCCCGTGAACATATTCCGACCGACCGTCATATTTGGTTGAATGCCGCACGGCTGGAAGAGACGAGAGGACAAAAGGACATGGTGGACAGAATAGTTGCGAAAGCAATTTCATCATTGAAAGCAAACCAGGTAATTCACTGATGTCTTGTTCAAATTGATTTTTTAGTTTCTTCGATATTTTTGAATAATTAATATATTTGGCAGGTTGAAATCAATCGCGATCAGTGGATGAAGGATGCTATCGATGCAGAACAGGCGAATTGTCCATTAACATGTCAAGCTATTATGTAAGTTCTTTTAAATTTAAAAAAATCGAATTTATCGTTTCAGTCGAAATGTGATTGGCATTGGTGTTGAAGATGAAGATAAGAAAGCGACATGGCTTGAAGATGCTGAATCTTTCGAAAAACAACGTATGCACTCTCTCCCCGAAAATTTCGATGCTCATTTATAACGTTTCAGAAGCTTACACGTGTGCTCGTTCGGTATTTGCAATTGCTCTTATCGAAATGCCAAGAAAAAAGAGTATTTGGAATGCGGCTATTCAGTTCGAAAAAGATCATGGAACAATGTAAGTGCTATAATATTATTTTGTTCTACATTTTCACAATTTTGCAGAAAAGAACACGAGGACATTTTGCAAAAAGCCACTGAAATTGTACCTGAAGTTGAAGTTTTTTGGCTGATGCTCGCAAAATTGCGATTTGTTAACAAGCGAGTTGAAGATGCCCGCAACACTTTGAAAGATGTATGAAACTAGCTTTCGCTTTTGTGCTTATTTTAATAATTTCAGGCATTCGAGAAGCATGGCCATCAATCCGAGACAATTTGGCTGGCGGCTACGAAAATTGAAATCGAGTCTGATCAATTCGATACTGCAAGATCGCTGTTTGTTAAAGCCAGAAATAAGGCATCTTCAGCCAGGTAATTCGATATTTTGACTTTATTTATTGATATATCCGATAAATTTAGTGTCTGGATGAAGAGTGCTCGTTTTGAATGGTGCCTTGGTAATTTGAAAGAAGCAAAAGATCTTGTCGAGCAAGGTATCAAACTCTACGATGATTATCCGAAATTGTATCTTGTACTCGGTCAGATCCTCGAACAGATGAAAAATGTCGATGCAGCACGTACTGCCTACACGAGCGGAGTTTGTATTCATTTTGAGTAAGCTTAATTAGTTTCGTTTTTATAGATCCGAAAATGTCCTGGAGTCGTGCCATTGTGGGTATCACTTGTGCGACTTGAGGAGAATGCTGGACAAATTGTTAAAGCTCGAGTTGATTTGGAGAAAGCGAGACTCCGAATTCCAAAAAATGAAGATTTGTGGCTGGAATCGGTGCGATTTGAAATGCGTGTTGGATGTCCAGAATTGGCGAAAGAACGCATGAGTCGCGCACTTCAAGAATGCGACGGAAGTGGTTTGTTTCTCTATGGAAGGAAACCAATTTGAGCAAATGTGTCTAGGTAAACTGTGGGCTGAAGCAATTTGGATGGAGGGACCACACGGCAGACGCGCAAAGTCTATCGATGCGTTGAAACGGTGCGAACATAACCCGCATGTGCTCGTTGCGGCAGCACGACTATTTTGGAGTGAAAGGAAGGTATGCAATTGTTTGTCCGAAGTTTGACTTTCTTATTTTTAAAAATTTTTTCTGTGCGATGTTTTTGGTTTTTTTTGTTACCGACACTCGGTATTTGAGTAAAATTTAAAGCTTTTTAGATCAAGAAAGCGAAAGAATGGTTCTTACGAGCTGTGAATCTCGATCCAGACAGCGGTGATGCATTTGCGAATTATCTTGCATTCGAACAGATCCATGGAAAAGAGGTAAAACTTTGGATTGATCGAAAAATTGAATTCGATTTGAAATTAACAGGAGGATCGTAAAAAAGTGATCGAGAAGTGCATTCAAGCAGATCCTCGACATGGCGATCTATGGCAACAAGTATCGAAAAACGTCGCAAACTGGAGGAAAACGACCGAGGAAATTTTATTGCTAACAGCTGCAAAAATTACAGTTCCAACCTAATATTTTGACTTTTATATGAAAAAAAAACCTTTGTTAATATTATTTTGTTTTGAGTAAGATATGATTTTATCAACGTCTACAAGTGCACATTTCCTTCTTCTCAAGCGTTAACTTATCGCTTACTATACCTTTTACATTTTTAAAACTGAAATCACTATATTACTGTAAAAAAGTTCAGATGGCTCAACAGGTTGTCAATGTGTACACGACGGCTTCTTCTGCGGACAATTTATCTCGACATGAAATGCTAATGTGGGTTAACGATTGTCTTCAAAGTCAATTTACGAAGATTGAGCAGCTTCATACTGGAGCTGGATATTGTCTGGTAACAGTCTGTTTAAAATATTTGTTCCAATTTCATATATGTTATAGTTTACTGATTTTTTGTTTCCCGATTCGATTCAATTGAAGAAAGTTAAATGGAACAGTCGACTTGAGTTGGATTGGTTAGCCAATTGGAAACTTGTTCAAACTGCTTGGAAAAACATTGGAGTTGAAAAAGTTGTTCCAGTAGACCGTCTAATAAAGGGAAAATTCCAGGTGAAGATTACTGAGTTGTTGCAGATATTCAATTTGATGTTTGCAGGATAATTTTGAATTTCTTCAATGGTTTAAGAAATTATTTGATGCGAACTATGACGGACATGAGTATGATCCTGTTGCGGCTCGCGGTGGTGAGGATTTGCCATCTGATGCTCCACCTGCGGCTTCTAAAGCGCCGAGCCGCATGCCGGCGCGCAACGTTGCCGCCAAGCCTGTGACAACAGTTCGCAGTGCGAACGCAACATCTGCTACTCGACCAAGTCCGGCGCGGCCTACTCCCACTTCTCGAGTTGGTCCAGCGGCGGCATCGCATTCGAACGGAAGTCGAACTGCTACTCAGGTTGCTGCCCAACCGACGAAACCAGCCCAATCGAATGTGGATGCTCTACAATTGAAGCAAATGAAAGAGGAGCTGGAGGAGGTGATCAATTTAGTCGAATATATTGTCAATGGAAGAGAATTTTCGAAGCGCGGTAGAAAAGAGTTAATACGTGTCCCCAAAATTTGTTGTTCAGGTTATCCGTTCTACGCTACACTATTTCTTTTTTTATTATTATGTTTTTTTTTCGGATGCCAGAAATATTTATTACAAAAATATTTATTACAAAAACGAACATTTACAAACAGAATATTGTTGAGATATTTTAATTTCGCGTATGAATTCAGAAATTATTGATATTCCTATGTAAAAAATTAAAATACTTAATAATTGAACTCAAGAAAACCCGAAAAATGTTGGGGTTTTAAGAATATTTAAGGATTTTTCTAATTCAAAATGTTTTTATATATTTTTGTAACTTACCCACCATTTAAATACGTATAGTTCATTTACAATTTTTGGCGAAATGGAAATTGCTCTGTTGGTATTGTTTACGGCTAAATTCTCACGGTTATTTATTTTTAACTTGATTTCTTTATTTAGGTAAATCGCCAACTTTCCGAAAGCGACAATGTGATCGCCAGCCTTGAAAAAGAACGTGACTTTTATTTCAGTAAACTAAGAGCCATTGAAGTTTGTTATTTAACAGCTCAATTTTTTATAAAATTACATTTTTTTAGGTTATCTGTCAAGATAATGAATCAATTGGAAATGTTGAAGTTTCCAGAATAATTGACGTAACATTTTGGATATAAAAAATTATTAATAAATGTATGCGAAATTTAGGTTTTGTACGAAACTGAAGAAGGATTCGCTCCACCAGACGAGGATGCCAACGGCCAGTCAGAAGAATTTTAAATTTAAGTGCTTAGTTTTATCTGCTTATGTATGTTTAATATGCCCTAATTGCGCTTTATAACCAGCTCATTTTTCCTTCCCAGCACAATATTCCATAATGGAACGTATGTAGTAATAATTATTTATTCAGTTGGTTTCTTCTGTTTTATGGCCATCATGACCGGGGAGTGACGCCTCTTATTGCTACTAATACGCTCTAACTATTTGTGTACGCCAGTATTTTAATGTTTATTACATAAAGTATTACGCTTCTAACTTAAAAGAAAAATTCTCATCTTCCCAAGTAGATTCTTCAATGTTATCAGAAGGAATCAGACGTCTCTCGAGGACCGTCACGTTGTCATTCTGATCGACGGTGATTATTGTATGAGATCTTGTGCCGTATCTGGAAAATAAGAATTAACTTTTCAATTACCAGAAAACGTTTAAAGCATGCCTGAATCCGTTTGGAAATCTAACAAAGATAGAGCAAAGTGGTTTATTATAATCATCTCCAAATCCCGTTTGTTTTTCAAGTTGCCTATCAGGAAATGTGCTAAAATTGATTCATTTCAATTTCTTTTTTATTTCCAAACCTTTCTCGATCTGTTGCTATTTTAATGAGGGAACTAAAGATTTCTTCATTTGTCATATTATCCGAATTCTGCATTGCGTGATCAAATATTTTCTGTCCATATATGGTTTTTAGAAGAGGTATATCTGGGGGGCTGTTTGAGAACACACGAGTTGCGGATTCTGAATACAAGGCTAATTTTATAAGAAACAAGCAAACAAAATCACCGGAACTCCATTGAATGGGTTCCACCTTCTCAACTAAATGGTTTGTTAAACTTTCGACTTGATATAGACCATCTTGAGATCTAAAAATGTATATAAAAAACGATTCTGTGCTGAACAGAACTTTTGAACTGAAACAAACTGGAATCCATTGAATTGATGCGCTCGATTCTGAAGATTCACAAAAAACTGATCTCTATCTTTGCTTTGTAAAAACTCTTTTATTATTGAACCTACAAAAATAATTGATCATTTACGGTCTTATCAATTAAATGCGTTTTTTAATGTAAAAAAAATATATTAAATGTGCAGTTTTTTAAATCCTGCAGTGGAAAAATGTGGTAATTTAAATTTTTTTTCATTTCATGAAGAGGTCCATTATAAATTAATATTAATTTCAGTTTGAAATTTCCAATTATTTTCAATTCAAAAAAAAATTACCTCGACTTGGAGCTTTCAAATGTTTTGTGTGAGCAGGTTGAGTTACTGATAGAAGAATTCCTACAGTTCCATACTTATCAATTCCTAACCATGTTCCTCGTGCTGGATCCTGCTCATCTGTTCCTAAATTTAAAAAAAAAAACAAAATAAAATTCAATTAAAAAAATAAAAACCGCAAAGAATGTTATCGTTCCACTGCATTTTCGCGGTTGGTCGATCCAACGATTCATCGCGATTATTCAAAACAATCAACTTGTACCTCTCATCTAGACTTTTGGCTACCTTGATAAACGCAATGCACATCTTCAATAGATATGAATGAAAATTGCTGTGATAATAGCACTAAATATAAAACGATAAACGATAAATTTCAAACAAAGCGATTGCAAATGAGACGTTTTATGAAATAGCAATTATCAACTACAATGTATCCCATGTAAAAAAAGTAGAGAACAATTACATCAAAGATCATTGATCTGATTTATTAATATTGTGTGCTCGACTTTGGTGTTTTGTCAAGTAATAATGGTTTTTAGTGGAAAATAAGCAGAACGCACAGACAATCGGTCCGCCTCGATACGGCGCATTCCGCTTTTCTCGTGTTTTACATTTTGTTTTGAGTCCATGCCTGAAATTATTTATTAAACTTGGAAGTTTTACATTCAAAACCTATACAGAGCCTTTCTATTGTTCGCTTTGTAACCACAAGTGAAACATTCCAAAATTTGATATTTTCCTATCATTCCCAATTCGCTTTCGTATTCCTGATTCATTTGTTCGACCCACTGAGAAGGTCGGTGACTATAATGTCCATTTTCCACAGCATGACTGAGAAATTATATATGTAACAGTTGAGGTTTCCAGTTTCATGTAGAACAAACTTTAACAATTCTCTAAGGCTTGAAAACGAGTTGTCGCATTGCATACAAGGAAAAGACGTATAGTTGGCACCGTACATTTTCTGCACATAACCGAGTTCATCAATGTGAATCTAAAATAAGAAATTCATGATTTCAAATGTTCAAACTCAAAATCACTTCTTGAAATCTGGTCGCGTCTCCATAATTCTGCTCAGTAAATTTTGAAGGATTTCCACTTTTGGAGATTTCTCGAAAATTTTCCCATTCATTAGAATATTGACTCTAAATCATATCAAATTTTCACATATAATCAAAAATTAAGTTCAAACAATTATCATTTCTTCTGCATTTTCAACAAGAACGTTCTTTGAATCAGCGACTATTCCTTGCTGGTTTTCCCATTGTGCTGTCATTTCAATGAAGCATTCCTCCATACACCCTTCAAGTTTTACTTTTGTTTTTCTGTTGTTCAAAATATCTTACTCAAAAACTCCATTTGTTCATAATCTGCTAGCTGTGCAAATGCTGATTTAATCATATTCAAATGTTTCATGATATTTTCCATCTAGAAAGCATTGCAAGAAATATTTATCGAAAAATAAATAGGTTCAAAGAATTCAACTTTTTCTAAATAAATTATTTCATTTTCATCTTATAGGCACAACCAAAGTTTATTCGGAAAAAGCATAATTCTGATTAATAAATAAATAAATAATATCGGAATGTCAATTAGCGAAGATCATCTTCGTCTTCTTCTCCGTCTTCTGTATTTCCCACTCCAGCAGGAGCTTTAAGAGTCTTCATTAATCGCAAATACTAAAATGATTTATTTAGGCTCAAATTTCGAAGAGCGCATTTAATACCTCATTATCCATACTTCTCAAGACTCCGCATTTGAGCACAGTTTGAAATTGCTCATCATCTCCATTTTCATAATGCGCAATTAAAGATTCGCAAACGCGACCATCTTCGGTCTCACGGAAATCGCTGCATTGCCTGAAATATGATGATTCCGATGATTCCGATGTACAGTGGTTAGTTGAATCAGTAAGTATGTAAATAATAAATTGATTCGTCAAAAAAATGCATGCACCTTTGAAAATTTTAAAACAAATTCACATAAAATTTGAGGATAACTAAACACTTACGCAACAATCCATCCATAATCTTTCGTTGCTGCTACGGAATCTCCCATCGCCAAATTCACTAACACCAATGCAATTCCTAACTGACCAATTCGAGGTGTTTCCTGCAACAATAATCATACACCGAGCAAATTTCAAGCGTACCTTAATTTCCACAAATTTCTCGACTTCATCTTTAATAGATGTTAGCGCATCTTTGTATTTCCCTTCTTGTAATCTCAAACGCGTGATTTGTTTCAAAAACTTGCTAGCCATTTTAGCTCTGTCTGATTGTTGTACCAGAGACAATCCTTTCTCGTAAATCTATTATATTTTGAATGACAATTCATACTTATTAACCTTACCTTCAGAGCTTTTTCAGGATCGTCATTTTTAAGGACATCAGCTGCTTTCTCAACAGTCATCGCCGCTGTATCCAAGCTTCCGCTCTCTGCGTATCCATCAATGGCTCTTTCGAATAACTTGACAGCTTCATCAAACTCTTTAATATCTCGAAGTAGCATTGCAGCACTTTCTCGAGCTCTAAATGAAATTATTGCAATAATGCATACTCGCACAAAAATTACTTTGCAGCGTGAAAGAAACTTCTATTTTGCTCATAATATTCAGCACCTTTTAGAAGCGATCCGGCTGCTTTTTTAGGTTCTTGAGCGTTTCTAAAATCGTCTCGTTTTAAAATATAATCGTTTAATGTCTTTTTGATTCATTTCGATTCTATGCGTACCTATAGCAAACTGCAGCTCTTTCCATTGCTGCTGCTGCCCCATCCAAATCTGGTTTCAATTTCAATTTGAGCATTGATGTTTTCATGCTTAAATCTTGAATTTTTTTGTACAAAATTCACTGACAACCCCCACCATTCCTCAGCTTTTCTCTCGCATTCAAGAGCTTCCTTCAGTCTCGCATTATTGGCCATTTCGATTCAACCGCCTGCAATACGGATTTCAGAGAGTTGAATCGAAGAAGAAAAGCGAGAAATGTAAAAAAAACGACCGAGAATAAAAGTAGAAATGTGGTGGTGCGCTGTCGAAAATAATCGTCGAGAAACAAAAAACGAATTCTTACCGAAGAGGCAGAAATTGAGAAACAAGGAATATCCAAGCTCATTAAATCCCAGTGGTCAGCAGTCGAGTTCATTTAAAAATAAATACACGAGTAATGCGAAAAATAAACATGCTTCATGTTTCTTTCTTAAAGAAAGAATGAGAGTGAAGAAGAAAACATTATGAGACCAATTGCACCAAAAGGCTTTCACCCTACATAAAAGGAAATAAAACTCAATAAATAATTAAACAACGCATGGAAGTTTTATTGGGGAAGATTTGTGCTGATTATGATCTATAAAAGGATAAGAAAGCAAAAATTCTTTTCTGAAATAAATGTAATCAAATAAGCATAATATATAAATTATAATTTAACAAAACACAGTATGATTCATTAAAATTAGACGAAAATATAGAAGCAAAGAAAAAATTTGATAAAAAAAAAAGAAATTGTTGCGTTGGCGTCAGATTGTAGATTGATGAAGAGAGCGGAGGAATGATGAGATTTTGAGTTCAATGAGAATCACTCCGTTTCAAGAAGAAAATGAACATAGAGATGATGAAAATGATGGAAGACGCTTCTCAAAGACTTTTCGTTACTCACACAAACACGGCTTCAAACAATTCATCGGCGCCAGTAAGACTGCAAAAAATTATCGTTTCAATGAGAATAATTAAAATCGCTGAAATTAATTAATGAAATCAGTCATTAAATGATTTGCCATTAAATGCATTTAGTAGTGATGTAGAAGAATTTGATCATGAGAATGAGAATCAATCAATGTAAAAAGAACTGCCGCATTATCTTCACAATTATATGCTTAAAATTCAATGATTGGATAAAAGAAAGTAAATTTTAAAAAAGGAGTTTATGAATTTTATAGGAATGACGATCCGATTTTCGTTTAAAAGAAAACCTTCCTTAGATTCAAATATGCTTTAATGATTAGAATTATGTTAGGAATGTTAGCTGTGCTTTCGAAATTTAAATTATCGATCTGAATTTAGCACATGAAATTTACAATCAAACATATAAAATGATTTCATATATTAAGCTAACCTGATCGGCAGCAGGGTTCTGAGCCGCTGGATTATATCCATCACCAAAACCGGCCGCACCATGGTTAGCCGGCATTTGCGCCTCTGGAGCGCTTCTCAATTGTGCCATCGCGGCAACACCGAGTCCAAGTCCCAATCCCATGATATTGTATTTAGCAAGAACCTTAAAAAATTAAAGGTGAATATATAATAAAATTGTTTAATAACCTGCATAGCCTGCATAACTTCCGAAACGCTTGATTCATTAAATCCAGAAGTTCTGAGGGTGGATTGAAGGTTGTCGAGGAAAGCCAGAAGTTCATTGTTGCCAAGTCCACTCATTGGATATTTTACAGCGCCACCATTTCCGAATTGCTGATTAGCGAACTGCGGCTGATTGTATGGGGCCGACGCCTGTCCGAATCCAGAAGGAGCAACATTCATGTTCGACTGATTAAAAGCCGGAGATGGATTGTAGGCAATGTTGGTGCTTGACTGAGTGTGATTGTTTCCTCCAGATTGGTACTGAAAAGTATAACAAATGCTAATATTTCTCAAGTTTTGGAAAATGTACCGAAGATTTTCCAAAATCTTCTTTGTTAATTTCGCTTCCGTGATGTGGATCAGCAGCAACTTTCTCAAGAACACGGCTTATTGCCTTGGAGAGATTTCCTCCCTCCTCGTGTGCAATCGTGACGACGCGCTCTTGTGAGGTTTTCGCCTCATTTGATCCAGCTTTTGGATATACTTGGATTTGGCAGCCAAACTGCTCTCTAATATCCTTGATGTTGGCTCCGGACTTTCCAATGACCATTCCGGCAGAAGTGTTCGGCATGACAATTTTAATCTTAATAAATGCAATATTAAAATTTAATAGCATATTTATTTGTCTTACTTCATGCCCTCTTGGGGTGTTCTTATGATCGAAAGCGTCGTTTGCATTTTGATCGGCACATTTCTCGCGAATCTTTTCTTGGATGCTATCAATCACAGCTAAAATATTGTTCATTCTTCCTTTCATCAAACAAATTCTTTCGCTGGTTCCCGGATAGGTTTCATTATTCTTGGACATTTGCACTTTGCAATTATGGTCGCTCTTCAAATTGCGCATTGCTTCTCCTCCTTTTCCAATAATTGCTCCGACAGCAATTGAAGGAATAAGAATTTTGATAGCTAAATGGTCACCACCGCCTTCTTCATCTCCAAAATGGGCACGTTTGTTAACGGGGCCATCGTTTCCGTCCTGCGAACGCTTAATTCCTTGTGTTGATGGTTTTTCTTCGTAATGATCGTCACCCATTATAGACTTTCTGAAACATATTTGGTAAAACGGAGAGCAAAAATAAAGAATAGACAATTCACGACAACAACGCGAAACGCAGGCACGACAAAAGAGAACGCGGTGCTAGAGAAATCGATGAACACCATTTGTGACCGCTTCGCGTGCGTGTCGAGCGTCGCAGCACTTTGGAAGGCTGCCAACTGCGAATCTAACTCGTACGCGGCTCATATGTTATGACGAAACACAGCCAGTCGTCATCGCCTTTGCAATAAAATAAGAGGAATGGAAATTCTTTAAAACATGTTCTGCAAACTCCATTATTCGAAAGCTTTTGAATTTATATTAAAAAGAAAAAATTAACTTCGTAATCAATTAAAAATCGCAGTGAAAAATCAATAGGCAAAAATTTTATGAACCTTAAAGTATGATTCTTTACAATTATAGAAGACTGGTGAACACCTGCGATAACACTGAACCATTAAATTTTTCCACTTTTATTTTTAATAATCTATTTAGATACTTTTTGACTTTCCATTCAAAAATAGTCGAAATATGTGTTTCTAAACTCTGAGAAATAAAACAAACCACATTAACAAAACGAAAGATATCAACCTAGATTTCGAAATGACCTTTGCGCGTCACTTTCCACGTTTCAGCTGCATTGCGGACTTTTATGGTACCGTAAGCGACATAATATCCACAATTCTCTGCAAACTCATTGAGCGAAGCACGCGAACTTTTCTGTTTTGACAAAATGTCACACAGTTTCGCCGATTCAAAAAAAGAAATAATTTTTTCCATTTATTAGCCATTGTTTCTCTCAAAATGTTCCATTGTTTCAAAAGACCGTTTTCGTCCTATAAGTTGCAAAAAGTACGATTTTGTTATAATATTTATTATTTTCCTTATTAATTCATCTATGAACAATGTAGAACATAACACTATGTAAATTTGGAACGAATAATCTATGCGGGTTTATTAAATGCCATGCAACTGTTTAAAAATAAACGTTTACACAGGGACATAATTAATTACTAAAAAAAATTAATGATTTCAAACAAAAGAATATAAATAAAATAAGATGGGATGGATAAACAACATGGAAAACGATCGATGAATGGCCAAAACGAGATCACAATATAATACGTTGAATATTGAGAGAGTAAAGATACTCAGGAAATAAATATTTGTGTGAAAGAAAGACGAAACGAAGAATAAAAGGAACAACTGCGATAAAGATCATAAACGATTCTAGATACTAGATAAAAGGCTTCAATCAGTCCGTAGAGGTAATTTGGTGTTAGATTGGAACAAAACTGGAAACGGAAAATGAAGATCGACAGAATATGCATTTCGACTATTTTCAGGGATGATAGGGTTTTGCAATGACTATATGTACTTTCTCAATTTGGGACAAAAAATAGTTTAACCATTCATCTCATGGAACACAAAAACCTGAGTGATTTCTTATTACTCGCGATTTTTTGCACACGATCGAATTCGTAGTTGTGATATTAATGTAGGGGTATAATAATTGCAATATCGAAATAAATGGAGAAAAGAATGGACCAGACGGCAAGAATCTACTGATCATCACAATCGTTATCCAAATAATATTGGCGCAGACGCACGTGCCACGCAATTGAAGCGCACGCGGAAATCGTGCGGAATTGGTGGATAATATTACGTGGAAGGAAGTATATGTCGTTTTCATGCAACTGAAAATTCATAAATTATTATATTACAAACAAATGATATAAAAAAACCAGCACATTTTAGTATTGATGAGTCGTATACATGCTTGTATTTTACTAGAACCGAAATTCTAACATCTCTTACCTGAAATTTGGAATAACGAATTCCATCACGTCTCAACTGATTTAATTTGGCCTCTTCGACCCATTGAACACACTGAGACATGGGCGGCTCATACAGATCCAATTGTAGACGATCTACGATTCTGTGGAAATCGGCTGCATGAAACGTGATAACGTCTTTTACAGCTCGTCTTTCTTTACACTTGAATCTAAAAATTATATTTGATGAATCAAATATTTTAAAATAAATAGTTTCTACTTTTCAGCTGGAGATCGAATAGATTGTAGAATTCCAACAGCTGCAGTGGTTTTGCGTTCAAGGCCGTCTCCCACATGATCAGCATGGCACGGAGTTCGATCTTCGAATAACAATTCTCTTCGCTCAGACACTCGAATATGATGACTTTTTGGTGTGCCTTTTCTGCGTTTCTCTTCTTTAACCTCGTCAGTTCTGATTAGCTGCTCTCCAGGTCGAATCCAATAAATCGGTCCGTCATCAGAGTCGGAGATGTTCTTTTGCATATCGGAAAGATACGACCATTCTCCCCAAGGCATCAGCGGTTTCAAAATCGGTGACTCTTCGAGTTTTTCAAGCAACTCCGTGAATAATTGCCCACATTCTTCTTGCTTCGCGCCAACCATCGATAAAGAATGCATTGGTCCAAATCTGAAAAAATAAATTATCTTTAGGAGAAATCGAGATGACATATTATCGACGTCGCTGAGGAATATTTCACATGTCTATTTCAAAATAAGGTAAAAATGACCAAACGTACCTAAATGTTCCATGATGACAAGTCTCCATAACTTGATCATAGTAGTTTTTGAGGGTCATTGTTTCTACTAGTTGCTTATTCGTCAATGATCCTATTTTCACTGGAAGACTATCATAATGTTCTTGTAAATATTCAAAAATATCCTGAAGTTAATCGAATTGAATATTTAGAAATAATCAAAGTACAACTCACACAAAGATAACTTGCTGCGTTTTCAAGAACCCCAATTACGAAAACCGGAACACCGTTCGATTCAGCGAGACCCAGACGAATAAACTGACGGGCGAATTTTTCACTAAATCAACCAGATACATTTTAAAAAAAAATAAAGCGATTTTGAAAACTTACACATCAGTTGGGTCAAGTTCACTAGTTACACGACCCCAATCGGCACATAGCATAGAAGCACCACCGTTTGGATGGGTTTCGACACGAACAAATTTTCGAAACTGAAAAAGAAAAATTTACGATTAATTATATCATAAGAATATATTACAATCGCTGAGATAGTCATATTTAGAATGTCCTCGAAATTTCTAATGAAAGACACAAAATTTTCCACTAACCCTTGATGATATTTTCGGCAATTTATTCTCCTTTCCCGGTGATTTTTCCTCTTCTTCTTTCGGAGTTGTCGAACTCTCGCCGTTTTTACGTGTTTCCTTCGGTTTTTCTTTTTTAAGAATTGACGGTTCGCCTTTGAGCAGTCGTTCAACAACTTTCGACTTTGGTATAGCGGTAAACCTTTAAAAACCGATAAATTTTAGAATAATAAGGAGAAACTTACGATTCGGCCTTTTTCGATTTCTCCGCATCAGCAAATCTTTTCTTCTTCATTTCCTAAAATGTAAAAATAAAAATAAAGAGATATATTGTTTCAACGTCATACTCTTCCATGATTGTTTACTAATCTCGGTTCTGTTTTTATAACCGACTGTTTCGAATTTTCAGACGACTTTCCGTTTGTGTGTTGAGGCGGAGGAGCAGGTTCAGGCTGAAATAGACATATATTGACTTGCAACCGTATTGTTCTTTCTCACCTCTTCAGATTCTTTTGCAATGTCGTCATTAGTACCAGAATCAGAACTTGCCACTTCCATTTTGATTCTCACTAAAAATAATTCATCATTAAACAAATGAGATTATTAACATACCCCCTTCTTCCGTATTATGTTCATAGTTTTCAGATAAATGACGAACAACCGAGTTTGAATTGGCCAAAGGAGTTCGAGCTCGGTTTTCGAAAACATTCGCAATGTCATCAGGACGAATAGGTTGATATTTATTCGATTGGTTCTCATAATCCAACAACTCATCGCAAATCTAAAAACAATTGTTTGTGCAACTTCTATGTTTTTTTTTCGATAAATTTGTGAAAAAACCCATTTAATTTAAAATATCTTTCTTTAAATTATAAAAAAGGCAACTCTTACTTCTTCCTTGACTTTCTGTTTCGCCAAATCCGCCTGTCTTCTCTTCAATTGCGCTGCGATTGCTTCAAGAAGATCACTATTGCTTTCCACAATCTTTCCGTTCATTTTCGTCGATAAAATTTCAATGTCAGGATCAGTGCTATAATTTTTAACGTTTAATATGAAAAAGAAATTTAAAAAAAAACATACTTTGGTGACGGAATATCAATTTCAACTATATCGTCGTCCGCAGAATGTGCAGTTGTCCGCTTTGTAGCTGCTGGTTTTACATCTGGTGTTGATACTTTCGGAGGTGGTGAAGTGCGCCTAGCTGTTGAATTGACGACTGTAGCCTTCCTTCCTTTTCCACGTTGAACTGGCGGCGGTGTCGGCGATTTAGAGGGCAATTCCTCAGAATTTGTTTTCTTCGGTTTCGTAGACTTTGGCGGAAGTGGAGGTGTTGGTGACCGCAACTGCGGAGTTGCAAGCGTTTTCTTCGGATTTTCGGTTTTAATTGGAGGAGGCCTAGGACTTCTAGCAAGATTGTCAACAACAGGAGTCTTCTTGGATTTCGCTCTAGGTGGTGGGGGTGGTGGTACTGATTCGACATGATCTGAAGGTGGCGGTGGAATATCTTCTTTTTCCTTTGGCTCTGGAATCGGAGAAGCTGTTGGTGGCGGTGGAGATACGTTTGAAGGTTCCGATTTTTGAACTTCGGTTTTCTAAAAATTACAATTAATTTAGGTTTGTTTTTTTTTTAACATTTTCCAACTTACGGTTTCTTTTTCCTCTCTCACAAGCGGAATTTCGATCAGCTTCTCAACTGGTTTTTCAACCGTCATTTCAGCCTTTTTCTCAATTTTTTCGGAAGCCTTTTTCCCCGACTTTTCCACTTTCTCGACTCTTTCCGCAACCAGTTTTATGTCCTCTGATTTGTTTCCTACGTTCTGTTCGACCAATTGACTATTCTTTTTCGGTTCCACAGTTGGGGTAGACGTTTTTCCATTAGTCGTAGGTGGATTTGTGCCGTTTAGATTTGTTCCATTTCTTTCCACCAGCTTCTTCTCCTTTTTCGTTATTTGAGGAACAAATTTCTTTTCTCCGTTCAACTTTTTCGTTTTTTCGACCGTTTTGGCAGTAGCAACAATTTTTGGAGTAGCGAGTTTAGGCTATGAAAATTATAGTTTATATATTTTTTTATATTGAAAACCATACCTCAACTTTCTTTGGCTGTTCTTTCGGTTTTGGCGCAGCATTATTCTTCTTATCGCAGGCGACGGTGGTATGATGTGCATTACTGAGCAACTCCAAAACAGAAGCATCGTCAACTAGTGGTTGCTTCTTTGGCGGTGGAGGTGGAGGAGGAGATCTAATCAATTCCAAATTTCGCAAACAGAAAAAGTAAACAACTATTATTACCTATCGTTTTTCTTAGTCATCATCATCCTCGGTTTCTCACCAATCTTCGGCCATGCATTTGGTCTTTGATAAGTTGGCTGAAAAAAATGTTTTTTAGTTGTAATACTGTATTTTTTTTCTCGTTGGAAATATTAAAATCGAAAAAAAACGAGCACCCTACGCTGATTTACGGTGAGTGAGAGCTTAGTAGGTTATCCAGAGTACGGCACCCAAATTCCCATTGTTTAAATTTGAATTACCGCCTCGAAAAATTGCGATTGTAATTTAATCGATATTTTTAGTTCGGACAAAATTTTCAAGTTTAAAATTTGAAATCACCGGTTTCTGAGGCGGCGGAGGCGGTGGTGGTGAATAACTCTGGAAAGTTAGTTTGACGTTCGAGGTGCTGGGAGTCGGAATATGCGAAGCAGGCTCCTGTCGATTCCCAAATTCATTAGATTGAACTGCGCCTACTGGAACTTGGTAGTTGTAATATACCGTCGGATAATTATACCCGAATGGAACCCTAAAATTAAGAAAGATAGAAAAAAATATCTGAAAAGACTTACATTGGGTACATTTGACCATACATATCGGGTGTCATTGACGGTTGCTGCATATGGTTCAACGGCATCTGGGAAGCAAAATTATCCGAAGAATTTGGGGGCAATGGCGGAGTTTTTGGTCCTCGTGGACGTTCGGGTGGAGTTCGAGGACCCTCGCCATCACATAATCTTAAATATAAATTATTAATATTTATAATTTTTCCATTCACAAAAAAAAACGAGCAACTTCGGTGGATTAATAGTAAGTTTAATTCGCAGGTTTTTGAATTCTTACACTTTAAAAACAAATTTGAACTACCACCCAATAAAACAATTTTAATTTACGAGAAGTAGAGTGTTTTAAATTTCCAAAAAAATACCGTTTGGGTGGCGGCGGAGGCGGAGGACAGATTGGAGTTGTAGATTTCGACGAGTTCGCTGATGAACTATACAAAAAGCTCGATGGTGATAGCAACGGACTGTCGGCTACCATCGGTGATTCCTAAACAATTACTTTAATTATTTTTAAAAAATTCGTTTACATTATCTTAATTAGTGATTCATTGGATTTCTAAGAAATTTTTAATTAATACAAACATAATTGAATCGAAAAAAAACTTAAAATAATAAGAAATTTTAAAATTTGAGTAACTAACGTTCAACTTTAGTTTTTTTTTCATGAAAAACAAGTAATTGAAATAAAAGAACTTACAGTGCTCGGGGTTCTTCTCCTTTTTCGAATGCCATTTTCATCGCGGTTCGATCGATTCGACCTCTAAAATAATAAAATTTGAATAGAAAGGAAACTTTTAAATAAATATGGCTCACCGGCGACGAAAAATCAGTTTTGCTTTCTTTTCTTAACATCTGATTCCAGGAAATCTGTTCAATTGATCATTATGTCGATTTGAACTAAAAATGAAAACGTTTAATAAAAACGCGAGAAAGAAGAAAAAACTGGAAAGAGCTTTGTGTTGAAACAAAATGAGACAGATGAGAATGTAAAATTTTTTATAACAATAACTATGACATTTGATGGCGAGAGAGTGAGAGAGCGCAAAAAAACGAATTTATGTGAGTGTGTGTGTCTATGTGACTAACAGTAGATTCGTTTCAAGTGGGAGGCTTGTAGCATTACGCGCCGCAACGCGCACGCCCCGCATTCTCACTTCTTTTCGTTTCTACACATTTTACCATCTTTTCGACGCTCTCTCATACACACGGTGGACCCGCAGCGGCAGTGGCCGCACTCGCAGTCAATGTCGGACAAACATTAGACGGCGAGCAGGCATCGCAACGGCACATTTCTGCAGAGACGCCTGACGAGCAAACATAATTCAACGGGGCGCATTTGCAACACACATTAAACATTTTTTGCATTCAATTGCGTCATCTAAATACTTATGAACCTATTCATTAAATGCATTTGTTTTGAAAAAAAATTAAATGTCCATTTTTTTTTATTCTAAAAAATGTATTTTTTACTTCTCTGAAATTTTCTCATTTTTTAAATAAATCTTTCGATTAAAAAATTTTAACACCACTATTAATCTCAATAAAAGGAAAATTCATTCGATCTGCTTGAACGAGAGCAAATGTTGAAAATCGGATCAGAAATACCCTCGCGTAAATCAAGAAACAAAATAAAATTGGTTGATGAAATAAAATGGTAAAAAATATTCGAAACGTCACGTTTCTGACGGTTTAATTTTTTTACAGCCCCTATGTATATTCTCATTTTCGTGACACTTCTGAAAGTAGTTTAATAGTAGCTGAAAATCAATAAAAACAAAAAGCCGCATTCGATTTATACAACTGTAAAGAATTATGATAGTTATCACAAATTTAACTTCTTTGCTTTCTCCAAATTCACCTATGAATCTATAAATACAAAATAAAATATCTGTGGCGGGAAGAAAATACGAAAGCTATGGAGAAGAAACAAATTTAGAAAAAGAAACGACGAAAAGAAAAACAAGAAATATGTGTAAAAAGGAGCGGAACGTAAGATTATAAACTCAAAAAAAACGGTGGTGACATGTTCTTGTGTGTTTTGGGAAGAGTACACTTGAAATATTTGACTATTTTGTCAGTATACTTACATAAAGTGTGGGAGAAAAAGCAACAAGTAAGGCGCTGGAATAAGCAAGCAATAAAGCACGGCAAATCAGCTAGTTACGAATTATTTTTGCAAACGTTTTGAGAATGATAAAAAAGACCTATAATTAATCAAGAAGCGAAATTTGTGCAAATCCTGTGAGTGTTCGTTCATCAGGCACCTAAGTTGATAAAATTTTAATAATATTTGATAATAGATTGAAATTACCTCGTTGGCAGCGACTCCGGAATTCAAGGCGAATGTGATTGATCTTTTATCAGATTTCTGTTCGGCCAAATCGATGAGCTTCTGAAGATTTGCAGCGACAATGACCAAGTCGTGGCAATCGATGAGTTCGGCGGTCACTAGCTCATGAGCAATTCCTTCCACTAAAAACTTTTAAAATATTTGGATTTTCGTGCAAGGTTGCATACTCACCCGTATCAGCAGATTTCGTGTAATCAAACTTAATGTCATTAAGTTCCCTTTGTTGATTACGAACTCTAAGCACGAGATTGAGGGTTTCTGATGAATCATCGTTTTGCGAGTTTCCACTGTTGGCATCTCTATCCGATTTTCGCGGTTCTTTCATCTGGCCATCGTCGTCCTCGTCATCTGTATCACTTTCGGGACTGTCATATTCAAATTCCCAATTTCCATATTGATCTTTTCGCAACTTTCCGGATGCCACCTTGAAATTATTCAAATTTCATGATTCAATGATTCAAAAAAGATACTTTTTTGGTGCTGTGATGACTGATAACTGGAACAGACGCCAAATTCTCGATTAAAGTGTGTACAAGGTATTTCTTGTCCTTTGATTTTTTGAAGAATGAGTATTTGAGAAGTTCAGCGGCGGTTGGACGCTTAGCAGGATCTTTCTGAAGGAATGAAACATTTTGCAATTAAAACTGGCAAAAAGGAAACCGAACCTGGAGGCAGTCGCGAATAAGTGTTCTGAAAGATTTTCCATAAGCCTTATATTGATCCTTGCGTTCAGCATTCGTCTCAAGCGTTGGTGGATCGTTTTGAAGAGTGAGCATGAGTACTTTCATTGGTGGATATTTATGATATGGAGCAGTTCCGGTGGCAAGTTCAATTGCAAGTATTCCGAGACTCCAAATATCCGCTTTGAAGTCATATCCTTGAACCTGCTCCATAACTTCCGGTGCCATCCTAAAACGATATTTTATGAGGTGAAAAATGTATCAAATAAAAAATTCGTTCTTTATCAATATTTCTTTGGAAAGATTTTCTTACAGTAATTTACTCACCAGCACGGAGTTCCAACAAACGTATGGCGCACTTTCTGAAACCATCAAACAGTTGAATGCTAAGCAATTAGTTTAATACCTGTCTGGATAAATCTCCTCCAGAAGACGCCAACCAACCGGAGACCCCAAAGTCTGCTATTTGGATAGTTCCGTCATCCGCAAGAAGTATATTTCCGGCCTAGAGTTATGCATTTGAACTGGTTATTATATATTAACTTTATACTTTGATGTCGCGATGAATTTGTCCATTCGAATGAAAATATTCCAAACCTTTGAGGACTTCCCTCAAAACTGTCGCAATACTGACTTCATCCAAAACTCCGAACATGGCCTGCTCTTTTCCGATCGCCTAAAAAAGCCAAACTTGTAGTTGTAAACCAGAATTATTTCTAAGTACCTTAAGTTTTCGTTTAAGGATGTCAAGCATTGAACCGCAGTTCAATAAACGCATTACAACCCAAAGCTCTTCTGAGGCCACGAAAGAAGTGTAATAACTGACAACGTTCGGATGATTGCATTGTGACATTGCCTAAAATTAATGAGCAATCATCATTTCAACTCCTGTTACTGTAAGACAAATTTAGTTCTATCTTGTGTTTCCCGACAAAATTCCGATAATGAAATTCTGAAAGAATGAGTGTACCAACCTGAATCTCATGGCTCAATTCATCGACCGAGGTCTGACATTTTTCCAGATTAATACACTTAATTGCGACACGCTCATTTCGTGGAATACAAATTGCCTTAAAACGAATAAAATAATCCGGAATAGAATATCAGTCATACTGTGTAAACGGTAGCAGTTGCTCCGATTCCAATTGATTCCTCGAGTTTATAGCTCGCTGCATCGGTCGGCCAACGATTATCTTTATCTTGTGCTGATGTTAAACAGCCGTCTGACGCGGCGGCAGCAGCTTCTGCCAAATTTGCCAAACTCATCAAAATGAATTCGCCAGTTTTCTAAACAAAAACAATCTTAGGCTGTTCGTAGAATATAATAATAATTGAATAAAAGAAAGCACATGTATGATTATGTGAATGTATAACGGTGGACAAACGACCACGAATGGAGGACGAGAAATGTCGAAGAACGCCGCGATTCGAATAATTTATTCACAAAATTCGCGATCGATGGATGGGTGACCACTTGATCGTGAATGATTCAAAATGGCGGGTACGAGAGACGAGAGAAATGGAATTAATATTTGTAGGAATCACAGAAAATGTACAAACACCTATGCCCAACATTATTTACATGCAATAATTTTTTTAGATATGATAAATATAAATCAAATGTAATAAAATATGTTATAAAATTCAGAAATGGTGAAATGTAGTTAGGTTTCTTTGAGTTTGTCGATCACTTCGCGGAGCAACGATATCTCGGCCTGAAAATTCAATTAATTATTATTTTATTGCCGGTGTAAAAAATCGTATTTCTTAAACATACGATTTCCATGATTTGGAGAATATTGAAAATAGCACGACGTATTTTAAATGTGAACTTTCAACACATGATGAAAGCAAATGAGAAATTTGATATTATACGCGCATTCAACTGCAAATTACAGAAGTGACATCAAAAATTCGAATTGAGAAAAAAACCAATTTGATAATCAATTTTCTAGAAGCAATGCATACAAGGCCAACAAGATACAATCAGTCAAGATAGAGTAAACCGCTATAAACGATTCGCGTAAGTTAGAGTAGATTGCGCGCGTCGGACATAATGCGTTCGTCGCGTGTTGCATCGCAACTTCTAACATTACAAACATTGACTCGAGTGACATGTGAGGTTACAGTCATATATTATCGATGTCCGCTAATTTCATAATGCTTACTAATGTAGTGTTTCGATGTGGGAAAAAAGAAACACTATTTCCAAAAAATAGATTTTTTCTAGTCTGTCTTCTTTTTTTTTTAAAGTGAATTAGGCCATTTTACGAAATCATTTTTTTTCTCAAAACGGAATCGCTAAATACATAAATAATATAAATATTACCATCACAAAATTCGTGAACCCTGGACATTTACGGTTCAACGTATTTTTCGATAATTCAAATTTCGATTGAACTGTGGAAATTAGTGAATCGTACTAAGGATAAGCTAAAACTCACTGAGTTATAAATTAAGAGAAAAACGAGAGCTCGTTTTATTCTGATTGTGGTAAAAATGAGAAATTTCAAACAATCGTTGTTTCGACATAAATTAGATTTCAGAATAAACCCGTTTCGACGAGAAACTCTATAAGATTTTTATTTTATTTTCGTATATTGTTTTTGAAAAAATTTCGGATCCGATTGATTAATTTTCGTTTTAGTTATTGTTCGAATGCAATTTGTTTTATTTTTCGTATTTTATTAAAAGATCCTCACACGCGATTGGTTTTGAGTTACTGAGTCACAATATGAAAAAATTTACTCTGATACATTATAATCCAAATGGCGGAATTATGAAAAATCAACTAGGAATGATTGAATGATATCAACATACCCTCGAGTGTTTTACTTCGAGCTCAGCCAAATCGATGAGATTTTTTTTGAAGGCTTGAACCCTTCTCACTTTCAAATCTTTCAATTCCGCCTTTGCGAGACCGCTTATCTCTTCGAACTTTTTACAACATTCTGACTGTTCAGCTTCCGCCTAAAAACAGGAGTAATTTGAATAAAAATACAATCTCGACCTTTGGAATTTCGCGATTTTTAGCACGAGCCCTTTCGAGATTCTTATTTGCTGCTTCATAATTGGCCAGACAGCGCATACGACGATACAAAAGATCCTTAAAAAACAAAATATAATCGAGAACCGGACAAGTATCTAGGAAAATCACTCGCATTCAAAATATTTTTGAATTTGAAAAGAAAAACGGCTATCGCCGACCATTCTGAAAAAAATTTATTTTAATTTCTTTGGTTTTAAGAAATGGTTTATATATGTATAGAGCAAAGATAAAGAACGAATTAAATCACTTCCAACAGAAACTTTTTAGTAAAATTTCGTGGGATTGTTCTTAAAATTTCCGAATTTATGAAATTCTTGATAATGGAATTCAATCATAACTCAAATTAAAGTTAAATTAGTTGAAAAAACATATTGTTGGCATAAAATAACTGAAGGATGGCCTACCTTAGCTGCCTGAGTATCTCTCGCAAAGTAGACCAACGTATCACCAAGTTTGAGTTCCTCATCATTAGCCGATCTTGATTCAATTTTTTTCAACTTGAACATTGCATCGGCTCCACGAGCAAAAGTCCGCGCTAATGCCTTATTCGGTTCGCCACGTGCGATTCTTTCAAACGAGTCACCAATCTTTGAAAAACATTCAACAACATCTGCAAATTATGAAAAAAAAAATTGGCAACCGAAAAAATTGCAAACTTTTTCTAGCGGCTAAAGTCTTTTCCGATTTCGCTGCAGCTTCTTTAATGTGTACATTGTACTCAACCATATAATTTTTCTCTTTTTCGAAAAATTCATCAACATCTTTCTGAAATTGTATGTCTTTTTAAATAAGAGAAATATATGTATCTCTAGCAAGAAATCGAATCGTTTTAAAATGTTTTGCAAGTTGCGTCTAGTGGCGTTTCATCAGAATCATAAATCTACCTGTCCTGATAGCAAGACTTCGTCAGCCGACTGAGTGAACCGCTTCCAGAAAGATTCAACAACTTCCTTTTTATTTTTCCCGCGAACTGACAACTAAAAAATGCATTGGCATCATTCAAGAAATCAAATATTTGAACTCACATCACCATCGTATTGTAGGAAAACCCGGAAATTATTGTCCTGTTTGAAAACATTGTGTGCTGCCAGACGTTGGAGAAAAACTTCGTGCATGGCTACGGTTTTCTTGAATTGTGCTAAATAATCCCTAAGAAGAATAGAAATGAAGAATTTTTTTAAATATAATTTTAACGAACTGCTCCAAATCGTGTTTCATTTTCAAAAACTCTTCTTTGGTCATCGTTGCTTCTCCCTCTCCAAGCTTTTGAAGTTTTTCTCTAGAAGAATCAAAATCCGGCTTGGGCGGCGCAGGAGGAATCTGGAAAAAGTTATTTATATTGCATTAATGATTCGATTCAACATGAAATTTGTAACTATAAATAACTTCTCACTCATATTCGTAATTTGAATTTTTTATTACGAGCATTTTATTTTCGTTTGGCGCTGACAATTAAGAATAACGTATAAAAACCCACAAAAATAATAAGTAATCAATAAAATATGCCCACAACATAGGCAAAAATATCGTCTATTGAACCATCGATTTTTTTTTTAATTTGAAACTTACAATAAATCCAGCATAATTCTCATTTGCTTCTAAAGCACCATGCAGCCACAAGAATTCTTCATGCTCCCGAACGACCGACGTTTCACTTTTCATATCAGGGGCTCTTGTTTTTGTATGAACAGTGTATCGAACCTGAGAACGTTTAGTTGAGAAAATTCCAATTTTATTATAACATTACCTTATCTCTTTCGGAAAGCGCATCGGAAATGTCGACGAAAATCGCGTTGGCGGTGTCAGAATCAATATTGATTTCCTCTGTCCGGTGCTAAATAAACATGATTTTTAAATGAAAAAGAAATTTATAAGAAATAATTTTTTAAAGTAATAAAACAACATAAATAGCACTTATTAACGATTGTATAACTTACGTTTCTGTTGTCAGCAAAGGATGAATAAGTATTATCCTTTGGCAGGATCGTTGAATTATCATGATGATCAAAGCTCTCATGCTGCGAAGAATCAATATCAATCTGTGGTTTTGTCTCCTCGACCGGCGATGAGTCATTCGATGGACTGAGTGGATTTTTGAAAACTTCCTCACCAACCATTCTAAACACTTTTGGAAATATTCTGGAAGTATGACAAAATCAAAAAAAGCAAAAGAATACGAACTGCAGACGCGAAAATGCGAAAGAAAAAATTAAGAAAGAAAGCGAGCTCAGCCAAAAACGCAATAGAGAGCACTTCATTCCATCGATTTTCGGAAAGCGAAATGTTCGAAACGGAAAATGCCACTGACAATGAGTTTAGCGAAATTTTCAAGTATTTATAAAATGAAGAAAAGCCAATAAGTGGAATAAACAGATCTGCCACCAGAGTGTGTTCTATCGATTGACTATTGTGAAAACAAAAACTAAACAATTAGGGGTTTTGAAAACGAGGTCGAGTGGTAGTGCAATTGGTTTTGATAACATTCTGAACAGAAATAATAGCAATACCCATTCGCTGTTACGAATATATAAAAACGACAAACGAAGACAAATGATGGAACGATAATAAGGGTGGTGGAGAATTCAACGAAACGGCATCTTGTATATTTGTTTCAATACACACATTAATTGAGCGCTGATTAAGAGCTGGACACAATTTGAAAACTGATAGCTTCGTGAGCTCCGGAAAAATTGCAGGTACGCAAACACTGAGTACGTAAACACGCCAACAATTGGCGACCGTATTTGGAATATAAAATCCAAATAGGAACAAAATCGAATATTTGTGCTTCAAGTATTTAGAAGTCATTCTTTATCTTCTATGTGATAGTGAAATTATTCTTATAACATTTTTTAAAAGTTTACAGCATGATAAATAAATGTTTTTAAGGTTATTTACTAATTATAATTTTTTATTGAAATTCCAATAAATGCATATTTCCTTGAACTATAACTTTCATCGAATAAATAAAATTTTAGAAAATAAACGTTATGAGCGGACATTTAATGTTCTATTTCTTTGAAAATGAATGGATATTTGCGAGATATTTGCCGAACCAGACTGATAAACTGACGAATTCTTTTCATGATGGTAACACAAATTGTCCTTGTCTCTTCTTACTTACTCGATTTTCTCTCACGTCATTGACACAGATGCTATTTATAGGCGCAAATATGAGGACACGTGTCCAAAATAGACGAAATTGATTATTGCGACAAACAACTTTCAAAGAATATTTTTTCAAAAAGAAAACAAAAATGACGTGATTGGTAATTTTCCGCTTTCAGTTAACCTCTGAAAAAATGATGAATGGTGAAACTATTTTTCATTCAGATATAATTTTACCTTTTGATTTGGTATCTTAATATTTCTCGTTAATATAAAGAAAAATAATTTGTAATTTCCAAATAGAACTCACGAATTTTGGGATTTTAAAATTGCAAAAGAAAAATGAGAATCATTGGAAAAATTTGAGAAAGTGAAAATCTAAGCAACTTTTCATCATTTCATCCTCCATTTTGTTTTCTTGAACTTTCCTTTATTTTGCAGATAATTTTTTAAATTTTAAAACTGATATTGACAATAAACAATTTCGTATATTTTGTTTGAATTAAGAAATAATAATAAATAATTTTAATAAACGTTCCACTAATGAATTATTCCATAAAAATATTCGTTCACATGTCCCGTGATGAATTGAATAAATTGCTACTTCGATCGAAAGGAAAAACCAGGTTGCGAGCATTTCCAAAAAACGTTACGATTGTCATTTTCCTCCTGACAATAAAAAACGAAACGAGAAAAAAACGTTTTTGAAAGAAGAAAATTGAAATTTGCCAAATTTTATCATTTGTTTTTCGATGCCTTCCTAAATTCCTGTTCAACATTTTGTCACTTTGTCGTCCGGTTGTCAGTTTTTGCGGTAGTCCGTCCATCATGAATTTATTGTATACAATTTCTGACGACGAATGTACCGGTTTATTGTACTAATAGCCTCCAGATTGTATATTTCTAATCCCATTCTTCATACTCTGTCAGGAATCAGAATGTATTCCGGATATTAATCTGATTCATGTAAATGCGTGTATATATACTTTCAAAAAACGAACTTTGGCCAATTTTTCGTTTCCTTGTCACTTGAACAGCGGTCGACAAACCCAAAGTTCCTCATTTTTTGTTTTTTGCTTTTTCTTGCTCGCCAGTTGTTATCACAAATTTTATTTTCTATTTTTGAGGTTTGATGATCTGCAAACGTCACAAGGACCCAATAGCATCCGCAATCTACAGTCTATCTCCATTTGGTCGAATATGTGTTGCATTGTGTGCTGCTGTTCTTATACATCTCACTATTGGAACGTATCATACATTTGGTATGTTACACCAAGAAATATAGATTATTAAAGAAATAGAAAAAGAGAAACTGAATGAAACTGATGAAATCATAGTAGTTACTTAAATTTTTAGGGAATATGCTCCCTTACATGGCATCTTATATGCGGAATAACACAGATAGGTCAATTCGTATCGAGAACATGATGTGGATTCCAACATTTCAAGGTTAAATTTATAAAATTTCCGCCTTCGACGAATGAAAATATTTTAGGATGTTTTCCATTTGCAATGGTAATTGGAGGAATAACCACAAATATCTTTAGTCCACGAACTTCCGCTTTTCTAGGATGTTTCCTTGTAACGTATGCCGTTTTTTTTAAGAAAACAAAACATTTTCTGTTTTAGTTCAAGCGTAGCTATCTCAGGATACACAATACAACATTCGTTATCATTGTTTTTCATTTCTTATGGATTGTTGTTTGGTCTCGGAATGGGGATTGCTTACGTTACAGCTGTCACGACTGTCATTAATGTAATTTTCATTTTCTTAGAGCGGAATTGCTTTATATATTTATTTCAGTGGGCTCCTGATAAAGTTGGAGTGGTTTCGGGAATTGTTGCTGCAGGCTTCGGCATTTCTTCATCGATATTTGCACCAATTCAAACCTGGATAGTTAATCCGAAAAACTTACCCGCAACAAAGGATGGGTTAGAAACTTTCTATTATTTTTATTGAAAAATCAATGAATTCGCAGATACTTTGTGCAACCGGAGTTGCTCGAAAGAGTTCCGCACCTATTTAGAACTCTTGCAGTAATATATGGAATAATGCAGATGGTTGCATTGGTGTTTGTCTGCGATCCCCCATTTCGGGTAAGACAATAGAGGATATAAGAATTGTTTAGAATATATAACCAGAAGGCGATGTCGCTCAAAAAACTGAGTAAAATAATCAAATTGAAGCGTTTTTGCTAAAAACTTAACGAATGTTTATTAAGTAAACCAGTCGCCATGATAACAGTTCGAGCTCTCCTCGCGGATGAGTCAATAACAACAAGACGATAGATAAAATCTAGACCGCTCCATGCGGTCTAGGAAACCTCGAAAGTTAGAATAAAACAATAATTTTATATTTTTTAGGTCAAAAATATTTTAGGTCGAATATTGATGCATATTTTTGCGAAAATGCGCGCATAAGCTAAGCTTCGTAACACCGATTTTTCCGAATTCCTATTTTTTTTCGAACTCCATGACTGAGAATATTCATATTGGATGCGCGATTTTGAAAATTATGAATTGGGCGTGCCAATTAATTGGTCCCGTAGAATATTCTCACACTCATGTTGATAATCAAAATACTGAAAATTCGTAACAAAACATTACAACAAAGTTTTAAATTTTGCGATAAAAAACGAAAAAATGCTATTAGCGTTTTTCCGTACGAGACCTAAGGGCACAATTGAAATGACAAAACACATCTCAAATTCGTATATTCACGAGAATGACATATTGCAATAGTTTGCTGGTAATATTCGCCGAGAAAATAGTACTGAAATTGTTCCCGGATATTTTTAAAATTAAATTTAACATTTGTATAGCATTTCACTTTTAATTTATATTTTTAACCTATCGAAGTGCGTTTCATCAGATCCGACATTCTGGACTCGGCTCTATATCCGACTATTTGATTTCGAGCCATCGAGGCAATGATCGTTATTCCTCTGTGTCCTACCGTCCTCTTCGACTTCAGGAAGAATCGGTGACTGGGTTTTGTCTTCGGTGGTCTTTAGTGCTCCTGTGCGTTTGTGTGTGTGTGTGTGTGTCCTTGCATTTTTCGTTTCTGAAGCTTTCGTTTATATTTGATGTTTTGATAAATATATTTATTATTATCTTTGTCATAGTATTTAATCTAATACTTTTCAGAAATCTCGTTCGGAAGAATCACTCTCCGAAACCGAAGATGAAGATGATGACGATGAAACTCCAGTATTCAACAGCAACGGTAAAGGAGCGTCAAACTCTTTCAGATGCTTGTCTCATTTCAGAAGATGAAAATTTACCTCAAATGACACCATCCGAAATGCTGCGATCTTCGACGTTCTACTGTCTTTTCGCAGCGTTATTTTGTTGTTCATTTTATGCGAATATGTTCTATAATTTATACAAGGTAAGTTTTAAAAGTTGATATTAACGTTTTCTTTTTTCCACTAAATTTTTGCGTTGCCTGACATATTGAAGATTAAAAAATAAAGAGAAGATTACAGACATTCGCTGAGTCATTCATCGAAGACGATTTCTTCATTGCAATGGCTTTTAGTGTGGGTTCAATAGCCAATGCAATTGCAAGAATTGGATGGGGTTATTTAACTGATCGCACCAGCTTTCAGGTCCATTTTTGTTTTAATTGTTTTTTTTTCTGATAATAAGTTTTCAGATTTCATTATCTTCTGCAACTTGTCTTGCAACATTCTTTCTTTTAACTATGCCTTCAGCAAGCAAACTCGGGAAATATGTATATCTATTATGGGTTAGTGTATGCAATAGTATTGATAGTTGATTAACAATTTTATTGTAGTTAATTGGTACATTTATCTGTATGGGAGCGACACACGCACTATTCATCACCGCCACTGTAAAATGTTTTGGAAATCGTCATAAAGCAAACAATTACGGGTTTTTAATACTTTCAACGGTTTTAAAATTATTTAAACAAAATCTATAAATAGTATTTTGAAGACACTCAGCGGAATTCTTCTATCCGCCGTATCAGAATTTTATCTGAAGTCAATCGGTTACACATATTTGTTTATTACAACGGCAGCTTTTCCATTTTGCGGTAAGCAGATTTTCGTTTATTTTTATTATACATATTTTCGGATTCAAACGACTGATCGAAATAAAACAATATTGGCTATTCGGCAAAAACGTCGGTAGAAACAGTGGACGAAATAATAAAAACAAATTATGTGTTTTTCTCAAAATGGGAAACAGTATCGCATTTGTGTGTCGCCAAAATCGAAGAAAAATACTTTTTCCGAGAAAAGTTTTTTCTCCAAAAAAGCAGCTAATTATTCTGTCGTGACACTACAAGGTCTTGTAGCGAAAAATTCGGGTTGCTGCTTGTGAACTATACGTACATATGTGCGTACTCTGGTGACCTTGTGATAAGCTTAAGGATAGTTTGATGGGGAAAGCTGGAATTATTTTTTAATTATAATTTTTGATTATTCTGCTAAATTCAAGGAAAATTGGCTAAATGCCAAACAATTAAAAAAAAAGGTCTCCATGATCGTTATATTCTTATGCATATGTCCGTAAATTACACTTAGTTTTGCGCCAGAATCACCCCCATTGCTTTTTGGAATTTGGCCAATTTTCGCGCGATTTCGACAATACACAAATTAATTACAGTTCCGATTGTATTTTTTTAAAAATGCATTAGAAAAGTGTGTATTTTCTACATTTTTGATTGCGCCACCGATCAGTCATTTGAAGCCGGCAATAAAATATTGTGTTTTAGCCTTCATCATCATATCATGCATACAATACACACCGCAGGGAAATCGCGTTGTTTAGAACGAATTAAATGTGTAAATAGAATATTATTTGTATATATTCGATTTTGTTTTAAACGGGTTTTCAGACTATTAAAAATACTCAAATTTCCTGCATGCATATAGAGACACATTGTAGTTTTAAATATGTATTTTCGGATAGACGTGTAATTATATTCACATACACTTACCAACATGCTAATGATGATTCTAGTTTGATCTTAAAGTCTATGTCATATGCTTATAAAAAAAGAAACGAGTTAGGCTATATTCGCATTTATTCAACAATCAATAAAATATGAATAAACAATTTTCTTGGGATTTGGCACGTGATTTTCTTCTATCAGTCGGCAGAATATGATTGAATGTGTCGAATAATAAGTTACAATTATTAAACATTGTTTCTTATGAATTTGTTGGTCTTTCGTTTATATAATTCCGCGCTTACGTTGTTCGTCGATGGAGTAGCAGTATAGTTCGCATTCCTAGGATTTTAGATAAATCAAATAATAGTTTCCCGATTTTTGTACCTGTTTGGTTCTTGGTGATCTCCATAGGTTGAAGTCAAGCTCTGGGCAATATGGGAAGATGTATGGCTCACATTGGTCGGTATTAGTGAAACGATTCACCTATTAGTTGATAATAATTTATGATTTAATTTTTGTCATACGTATGTTTAAATATCAGAACTATTTTTTCAAATTTAGTTTAAATTTGAACTTCTAAATAATGAGCCCAAATGTAAGTATACTATCCCTTTAAAATACGATTTCTTACCCGTCTGAACCAGCGATGGACTTTTTGTGCGGGGTCACGACTGTTGAGGGTCACATTCGGGCAACCGTTGACGATGAGATCGTGCCAAAGAATGAACGGCATTGGGTCGCAACCTCGAGATGGGGAACCGATTGGGCAGGCGCACAGCTAAATCGTTTATTGGCAATAAATGTATTTCCTCGTCTTGAACTCTTCGAAATGTTTTTTTAATCTTCGTATATTTCTTTGAAAGTTGAGATTTTGTATTAATGAAAAAGAAACAATGTGTTTGCAAGCTTTCCACAATGATGAGTGTTTAATCTCCGGATATTGAAAAAAAAAACGATCGAAAATCTGACACTTGGATTGTTTTATCATCGTCTTTGAATCTTATCATAGCCCTGTCGCGCTTTTTTGCTGCCATTCAGCCAGCAACGATGAAATGGGTGTTTTCGCAACTTGAATATATCGAATATAATGTGACGACATAGGCGGCAAAGGGCAGATTTGTGAAAAAGAACCGCCCAATATATCAAATGAGAAGAACTCTAAAATTCTTACTTGGCATCCATTTCTCTCTGTAACAACTGCGCAATCCAATCCGGTGCACAACATGGGCGGACAATTGTCGACGATTAATTTGCCAAGATCTGCGATCACTGCTTGTTGTGATCCTAAAATTCTAATAGACAGACATTCAAAAAAAAAAAATAAAAGATGCAACCGACTAGGTTTCAAAAATTTTATGGAGATGCCAAATATCACATAAGGAAACATTTTATTTTATTTTTTTTTGTGAAAAGCATTTGAATTGTAATTTATAATTCGAAAAAAATTCCGACATCGATAAATGCTCAAAAAATGCAACTTACGCGATGTTTGAGCGATTACAACTGTGGCGAACGAGCTGAGCACCAGGAAAATGAGATTCAAGCGCACTCCTTCCATAACTATCTACAACAAATGTGATGTAAATCTTTTCGACGGTATCATGAAACGTGTGATAATAGCCAAAAAAGGCGTGAAAGACACTCAAATGAAAGGCGACACATGCGATCTCTTTTTTCGATCGGTTCGCGCGATAAAATGAATCGAAAACGCGAAAAAAGGCGTGCGTATATCATTTGGTGAGAAAACGATGTTGTAGCAGCGCAAGAATTTGAATTTGAATTCGATGTCAAACAGGTGAGTGAAACTGCCGCCGCCATCCGGATAATATTCAACGCCAACGCGATTGCGATCTGTCAAGTCAACTCTTTTTGTTGGCTGTCGAATTCAATCAAACAGACCGCCTCAAAAGGAAATTAATTTCTATTCAATTCGCTGTGAATTTAATAATGTCTAGAAATTTGAAATTGGAGATGAGAAAAAAACTGGTTTGTAAGTTTAATTCAATCAGATTTTGCAGTAACGGTCATCGTTCTGCGAATATTTGAAAAAACCATTTGCATACAGAAAACGGCAAAAATACTTGTGCACGGTTTTCCCGGAATATCATACAGCACGGACCGTTTTTTGTATCATTGAATGCTTTTATTTTTATGTTGTTTTTTGTAAATTTCAGGAAAATTCGTTAAGAGTTGATACATCGGATGGCTTGAACTTTGTGAACTAAGCGAATTGTGATCTCGCAAGAGAAGATAAGAGCTTAACCCACGTTAGTTTGAACTCCCCGGGAGCATTCCATCAAGAGTCATAGGACAAATTGGACACCGATTACCTACGTGAAACTATCGATGTCTATCCGAAGAATCTGAAGGTGGCTATCAAAAACCGATGATGGCGAATCAATCAACAGTAATTCGTAGAGATGCTCAATAATTTGTGGTGTCAGTTCGAACGAGTTTTGTTGATTTTGTTGAATTTTTTGTTCCGATTTTCAATGCACAGATAATTTTGTAGAACCTTGTACAAGCTTGAACGTAACATCAGCTTTCCACAAAACATTTTTTATTCTTGAAAACATTTTTAAAACAAACAGAGTCTAAAATTGGTTCTTGAATGAATTAATCATTTTTCACAAAACCGGTTTTCTTTTAAATTCAAAACAACCTTTTTTATATTTAGAAACATTTAGAACGGAAGGATAACAGCGGAAATAATCATTATAATCATGTTGGAAACAAAATAGTTTTCTACTTTAGTAAATACGAAATGTTGAAATAATTTGAGAACCGGTTTCGTAGAATGGTTCAGAATACCATGTCGAGTCTTCAGCAAAGAAAATTTAATGAAAAACATTGGAAAATAATTATTTTTAAATGAAATATCCCTAATTATTAAACAGAAATAAAAGATTGAAGTTCAAATATAAGACGAAATAAACCGGGAAGTATATGGCATTTGAGAAAATGACATTGCATAACAATCTGATATCGGCAAGTCGTAAAACGATTATGAAATCAGGATATGGCCGCTACGAATGATAAGCCAATTTCAAACATGAATAATGAAGTGGAGAAGATACAGAAGCTAAACGACGATTTCGATTGCGGTTTTCAGGCCGCAAAAGGCATCCATCACCAAAAAAGGCGGAGAGTGACACCACAACAAGAATACTTTGCGGAGAAGCGGATGGAGACCAGCTTCGGAACTCGTTCTTTCTTGGATTTCTTCTTTCCAATTACAATTTTTGGCTGTGGTGAACCTCACTGAAACTCCGCCCACATGAAAAATTGATGCCAATTTGTGTACGCGCCTTTTTGCACGAAAATAATCGATCGTATTATATATAAATGTAATTGACATAATTTAAACTACCGTAGATGACGAATTTAAATCAAGTTTAAACCCATTTAAAAGAAGCTAAGATAATTTAAATCGTTATAGTATTGAAATACGATGGAAACCTGAGAACTAGCTGGAATCCGGAGGACATTAAGGCAATTAAAGTTCTGATCGTTTTCAGGTCACAAAAAGTGTGGAAGAATATAAATAATGTTTCCAAGTTATCATAGTAACAGAAAATTATTTTCATGTTTTTTTTTGTTGTGATGTTCCAAAAATAAAGTACATTGAGATAGTACATTTATAACAATTTATTTTCAATAACAATCTTGTTAAATTAACAAAATAAACTCAATATTTTTCTAAAATTAAAAGTCCAATCGTTGAAAACGAAAACTATATGAAGGCATCAATTCTCCAAATACGAAATGTAAGATTTGAAAGTAATGCAATGTTATCTTGAGTGGATTCTACAACGACTGCAGGTCGACTAAGCAGGACAAGAAAGCGGTAACCTGTTCCATAAGCCGGAATCCGTCGCGACACGAATAATATAATTATTCGATTCGATCGAAACTTGGTTGAAGTCAAGAAATGTAAATTTATTTAAAACTACATCACATAATTCCCTAATTCATGTAGAATAGCACAATATAAATGGCTCTGAAACAGAAAATGGATGGTAAAAGAATAAATATCACCAATTAACATATCGAATATTTGCCAATGAAATAGGGAAAATTAACTAATTCAAATTACTATTAAATACAGGCATGCAGATATAAACAGCAAGGAGCACAATATAAGTGATATGGACTAAAAACAAAACATGAACGTATTTAGAAAACTGTAGCGTTTTCTGACATCCGTATGCGCGTTTAGAATTATGCTTGTTGAATCTTTTTATAAAACAGTATATAAGCAGCACGATTCTGTAAGAGTATTTTAATCATTTTTGCATATGTTTGTATTATGGTCAAAATCGCGCGAGTGCGAACGGCGCGGTCTACTTTAGAGTTGAGTTTTGCAACATGAGAGTCACTTCATGTGCGGGGATATCAATTCTGGCATTTCGCCAATTATTCGCAATCGCGCAATTTCGACAATATTGGCTTTCAGAATGTCTCGCTTACATCAATTGATGAAGAATCTGTGCTTGTCACTGATTCATCATCAAATCGCAGCCACTCATTCCTTTGCAAGTGCGAAACAATCGATGTATAATGTCCCGAATTGAGGCGGCCGCTATGATTCTTAAATCACTCGATTACTTTCTCGACTTGGCTAAATTGGACTACCGTAACCGCGTACAGCCGGTAGACCGTCTTCTGTTCTCTGGACGCAGCCGGATGAAGACATGAGGATGGATCGAAACGCGTTTTTTCGAACACAACCGGCGCTGAATTCTTGACATATTCGCCATTGACTAGCGAAAATCTTTTTAAATGAATCACCTGTAACGGATTAAAAACGTTATTTGAATTTGAAAAATATCATAAATTACGGGTACGTACCAAAACCGGGGGAAGGGACCAAAGTTTCGTTATTCGAACCGCCGGCTGCAAACTTTTACACCGTGGACAATTCCATCTACTGCCCCCGTCCAATTTCTAAAAAAATGTTATCTTTCGCTCCTTTAGATTAAATTTAGAAAAATTTGACATAAAAACAAACGGAAACTTACTGTTTGTGAAAAGTGCGACCTGAGGCAATCTTCGAGTACAAATTGGCCATTGTGTCCAGTTGCTAATTCAGCGGAAATAAGACTATTTTCTTCAAAAGTTGCAGAAGATTCAGAACAGGCGCAGCATCGAAGCTCGGAAACAGTTAGAACCTGAATATCTCCACTAGTTTCGAACAATTTGGAACAATGGAATACGCTGAATATTCTAGTGATGGGCGAATACGAAAATCTTTGATTCTTTTTAGCATAATCAGCTGCATCCTGTACAATATGTTCCCCGCCTTTGTAATTCTGCTCAAACGATATTCGAGTGATAACCTGTAATAAAAAATGACGTCTTCCAATTTGTCAAAATCGTTTTTTTTCTACTTCATTCGTATCTTCGTGGAGGGCATCGAGAAGGAAAAGCTGAAATTCGCTGGCATCGTGTTGCTGGCCGTCAGCAAGAGAACTATTTACTTCATCAGCAAACAAATGCTGAAAAAAGTAATTACAGCTCAAAAAACAACCAAATGTTTAAACAAACCAAAAAACGATTCGGTTTAATTGCCTGATATTGTCCACTCCACACAATATCAATGAGTGTTGAGAATGCAGCCGAAATTATTCCACGTGTTCCCATTTTGTTATGCAGATTCACTTTCGATGTGAACACTTTTCTCGTGAAAATGCTTGAAAGATGAGGTGTTTGGAATAGACACTGAAAATTAATTGAAATTGTCGAACTATCGGTTCAATTTTACCTGCAATGTCGCTGACATGAAGCAAGTATTTCCCATGTTATAAAGTCCTGTTATTCCAGGAACCTAAAAAATCTCTGTGATATTGGTTTGAAAAAAAGGTAGCTTACCGCCCCATGTCGTTTCGTTCCTGAACGTTCAGCTGCGGTCATTAGTTGATCATAAATTGAAAATAAATCATTTTCTTGTTCAGCACTGAAACATTGTAATTAGAGAACATCAGGTGATCGAAGGGGACCAATTTGATGATTTATTACAAGTAGAAACAGGAAGCAAGTTACGAAACCACCAAAACATTCGAGCAGTTTCTTTTATAAAAATAAAATAAAAACTCACGTCATTAATGAAGGTTTTGTGCCACGATCAGGCGTAGGCGGAATTCTAAAAAAAAAAAAGATTTTTAAAAAATAATAAAGTAAAATACCTTGGTCGATTTGTGGAAATGTGGGACATTTGATTTTCGGTTGCAGGGTGTAGAGGAAGTGACGGGACTGGTGGTTGAGCGAAATTCGCATCCTGAAGTGCTAAAATCATTTTAACAAAGTGTCAATTGCATGCCTTATGTATTGTATTTGACGGTTTCGGTTTTTCAGATCGATCGAGAGTTGGTATTATTGGACGAGATGGAGGAATGCTATCGTAGCGAGGAAGTGGTGCTCCATTTGGTTTCACATCAGGAAGGGTTGGTGGAATGGAAACGGGAAACACTGTTGGAGAATACTCTTCAAATTCAATCTATTGTTTATTAAAGATGAAATCCAAACTGACTTGTTGGTGGAAACGTGGGCTTCGGAATTCCGGGATCGTTTAACAGAGTCTGCCGTCGGACAGGCTCTTGCTGTTTCGGTTGAATTTCTTTGCCATTTTTCGAAGACGGTTCGTGGGCAGTGATATTTGGAAAGTTAACAGAAGATATCATTTTGTATTTTTGCACAAAACTATCGAGTTCGTCTCGATTCTTTTGCGGAAAATTCTCTTTACCCTATAAATCAAAGAATTAAACTTTTTCGTATTGGAAATTAACCTCAAGTTTCGTATATGTTGGATATTGACTTTTCCACATGAAAAATCCGCCTTTCATGAACATTGGTCGCCGCTTTAACCGAATATCTGCTCCAACGTACTGAAATTAATCAAAATAAACATTTAAGAAGAAATAGCAACTCACATCAGTCAATGCTCGGTACATGTAGTTCGCATTTGTGTCGCGTAACGGAATTCCTTTATCCAAACTTGGCGTATTATCTTCCATAAGAACAACAAAATCGTATGTCCCTAATCTCGATAGCAAACCACGTTGTTTTACTTCGATATTTGAACGAATTTTTGTGAAAATTATGCTGAAAGTTAGAGAAGATATAAAATATCAGAATATATTGAAAACTCACGATTTATTGACTATTTCATAAGGAATATCAATAACAGTAATAAGTTGTTCATTTGCGTAATACACTACTTCGTTTTTATTTTCTCTGAAATCAGTTTCTATTGATTAACCTAAGCGTATATGGAAGTAAGAACTAACCTATAATCTAGAATAATTGCGCTCTTCTTAATCGCATCCTTTTCCACCATTCTTACAAGTTCTTTAGGAGATATTAAAATGTCATTGGATATTGTTATGTCTTGCTCCGATGCTTTTGATTCGTTCGCCGAATCAATTGAATTTACTCTTTCCATTTTGTCATTTCGAAGTTTCAACTCATCGTATTTCTTTAATATTTTTTATTATTTTATTAATATAAGATGGTAAAACTTACCTTAGACAAAACTGATTGAAGATTTGTTATTTGTTCAATACAATCTGTAAAATCCTTATGAAATAACAGTTTAGTGCTTTTCTGAAAATACATAAATGAATCTTTATAAAAAAATAAAAAATACTTGTTTGATAAAGTTTTTAAAATCTTTATGTTTTCTAATAATATCCGCGAGCTCAGCAGATCTCATATAATGCTGATACTGCATTTCATTGTCTCCACGGGCCGATCGAGCTTTTTCAAGCAGATTTTTCAGATGTTTGTGAACCCTTTAAAATTATAATCATAAATATTTTCATTGAATATAACTTACTCTTCGCATTTCATGTTTTCAAATTTATTAGACAATTCTCGGGGTAGTGAGCTGCTGCTTTGCAGCTCTTCAATAGAATGATATTTCAGCCCACTGCTATTCATTTTGTTTTCATCTAAAATACTTGAAATATTACGAAACCCGAAAACATTGTGAAATAATCGAACAAAAAAAATAGTCCGGTTTGCCGCGGTGTAAAAGTGCGTGAGATGTTTGCACAGTTTAGGGAGTATCATCACATCTTATGAACAAAAATTACAAATAGCTTCAAGCAGATTTTTCAGATGTTTATGAACACTTTAAAATTATAATTATGAATGTTTTCTTTGAATATAACTACTTTTTGCATTTCATGTTTTCAAATTGATAATTCTCGGGGTAGAGAGAGCTATTACAATTTTTTTTTAAAATCAATCATAAAAAACTGAAAACAAATGTCTTCGTCTCTCAAAATCACACCCTCGATTTATCGGATTCGATTGGTCGTTTCATCGAAATTTCTATTCCCCGCCGATTTTCCAGCAGGATTTATTGGAGGTATTTAAACCAAAAATTAATACTGTAATCTCCAAAAAAGACGCATGACATTGTATTTCTTTATAGGTTTTACGATGTTCTTTAATACTTAAATACTGTAGCCATGAATTTTTCTTCATTCTTGCGTTTTGATTATGCTTATTTTTTAATTTTTATATATGTTATTTTTGTAATTTTGTTGAATTTTATAAATTGGTCAATTTAGCATGTATTATCATTTTGCGTGGCCTGTTGCTGCAAAAAATGTTTGCTTTCATATTTATTAACGTATTAAAATCTTCGGTGAAGATGTAGAAAACAAAAAATAGTATAATAATGAAAAGGATTACACGTTCTATTGGCTTCTTTTTCGATGTCGGACATCAGAGCTTATAAACTCCAGTTAAGTGTTTAAAAAATGTGAATAAAAATATCTGTTATCCCATATAAAGATAAATTTATAATTTTTTCATTGCCCACTCTCAAAAGTAATTCTCTGGTTTATCTTCTACATATAATACCAATATCGTTATTTAACAATCGGCAAAAGACTGGTTTTCTTTATTAGTCGAGGACATATAAATTTACGCGCTGCTTATGACTTCAAATATTTTTTCAATCCATTTTTATCTGATTTGGCATTAAAATCATTAAAAAAAAAACTCCAGCTTAATCAAAGGGCATGCAAAAATTCAGCACCAAGTGTGTTTTAAAAAAAATTACAAATTACAATTTGACTTTGTTTCGTATTACATAGCTTATTAAACTGTCACATTTATTTACAAAAGATAATTATTAAATAATTAAAGATCACGATTTTCATTTATTAAATAATAAAACATTATGTTGAGGATTAGAATCGTTCAATCTTGCTTCTTGTAGATCCGTCAATGTGAAAACTCGTTTTTTCTGCGGCATTTTTGTCGATGATCCACTTGCTGTGGTTGTACATGTTTGACTACGCGTTCCTCTATCAATTATTGAATTTTGATCAGCACTGCTTGAGCTATACGACTGTTTGAACGTGCTTCGCGAGCCAGCATCAGCGATTTTCTTTCGAATGCCCAAGATCTCAAGCAAGCATCGTCGAATCTGAAAATCTCGAATTTTCTCATTAAGCAGTGAAAAAAACAACTTGGAAGTCTGTGAAAAAGGATAAAATTGGATCCAAAATGCAACGTATTACTAAAGAAGTTCGCACAATTCCAAGTATCAGCATCATTTCAGAGAAGTTTCTCTGGAAAAGACATGGGTCTGTGTTTAATACCAATAGGACACACCTGAAATATCAGAATTCAATGCTCAGAATCGGAAAATCAAAATACCAAATGACGTAGAAAACATTGAGAACAGCAAAAGTTCCGACATTTATTGCAAGTTTCCATAATGGGAAGCGAACCATTCGAATTCTACCACCTTTATTTTCCTCCCTAGATTTTTAAAATTTAAATATAAACAAAAGCTGAATTACCTCTTTTTAAACGAATTGCTAAAACTTTGAGCTCGCCGTAAAAATATTACTGAAATTCGTGACTATTTGAACGAAAAAGTGTTTTAAAACCTGTCGAAATGAAAACTATTAATGTGAAGAAGTAGACTGAAGCTGTTAGAAAATTTCTGGATCTGTAAAGCGGTAACGAGTTTCTCGGAAAATAAAGAAATCTGGAAAACTGTATTACTTACTTGTACATTGCTCTCAAACACGTTTCAGCTTTACATCCCGACCATGAATTCAAACTCGGAAGTTTTACAAGTGCTGACACCGCCAAAGTATAACTAACCATTATTATGAAAATAATCCAACTGAATAAAAATTGTATGGTTGTTTTTTTAACGTTTCCTCCAATTTTCACCTGATTATCATTAGATAAATGCATCTTTTCATCGTAAACCATTTTCGATAGTGAAACGGTTTCCAGACGGCAAAAAGCTATAAACTAGTTTTAGGTTATATGTATGCATATTCAATTCAAAACATGACACCTTAAGAACTGATAGCGAAGTGTAGGATATCATAGCTGACCAAAACGAACCGATGAAAAACGACTCGATCACCATCACCATATCTCGACTAAATTAGATAATTATTTTTAAATAAAGAAAACACAAACTTTATATCATGCCAAGTTAAAACATAAATTACTGTAACCAATGCACTTGTACAAGTCAAAAGATCTCCAATTGCTCGATTTACGAGCAAAATATAGCATTTTCGAGATACTCTTCTTAACTTGATTGCCTAAACATAGAAGAAATTACATTTAGACAGAGATAATCATATCAAATGATGACACATAAAAGATTCTTATGATTATAGCTTAAAGAAAACCAATAGTCTCGGAAAATTAGTTAATAATTACCTTGTAGGTGCTAACAAGATAGATCGCTGTACAAATTGCTCCAATAATTGCCAAGGGCATCATTAACCATCCGTAATAAGTTCGGTAAACATTTTCGAGTCGAAGCGATTGCCTTTTCTAGAAGAATGTGTTCAAATAAAATTGTTATGATTGGGCGTATTCGCCAATGTCAAACAATTTGCCAGTTCTAAATAAAGTGAAAATTCCAAAATTGGCCGAGTTTGCTGAATCTCTCAGCAGACATTAATGGTCTCGGCAAAGTTTTCGCGCACCTTCAGTCTGCGCAAATTACAAATTTCCGGCGATAGACATTCACCAAAGATATTATTTTTTTTTTGAAAACCGGATGTTAAAAACCTATCTAAAATCTTACATTTTTAATATTAAAAAATAAGTAATAAATTATTAACAGACATTTATTTAAAGAGAAATTTGTTGAGTGTTTATGACATCACGTAACTCAATGAAACGGGATTCAATGCTACTGTATATTTCATCACTTCGTCAAATCCAAAACACAAACCCTGAAAAGATCAATTCGCTCAGTTGTTGTTAGGTTGAAGAAACAATCGGTGCGTTGGTTGGCGCTCATGTCATCTAAAGGAATATATATATATATATATATGTACATGGATAAAAATCGAAGAAAATAATTCATTAATAAGAACGGTTAATTCTATGAAAAATGGTATCTTTGATTAAGCTAATATATATTTCAAATTCGAAATACTCAGCGAATTTTGGGGAGCATTTCTTTCGAGGTTAAGAGGTCCATTGTCCTTAAACTTTCTAGAAAACTGTTCCAAAACTCGCTGAGTATAAATCAGCCGGTCACTTGTTCTATGTAAGAAAATATTGGCTATTTTGATCACTGATTTTATCTATTTCCTGGTATTTTTGGAGGTTGGCGAAGTTGGCAAATTTAAAACGATCGAACGAGTTTGTCATTTCAAATGATCTTAGCGCATAAAGACGAAGAAGAAGATATTCCTCTCTCATATTTACTTCAATTTTCAATGCAAAAGCAAAAATGAAGGACAATGACACTAAAGTTTTGTTATAAACAACGCATTCTTAAAATTTCGGGATTCTGAAACCAATTTCGGAAACGATACAAGTAAATACGTATACAAAAGTCCAAAATAGTAGAGTCCGATGGATGATGGTCATTCTCTCCATGAGAGTTAAACATAAATGGACGTAACGAATGTGAGAATCGAGTTTGGCTGGAATAAATATTTGTTTAGAATGCAAGAAAGAGTCAAACAACATTTATTCGTTTAGTTTTAATTGGTAGCCTTCAACTAAAAATAAAAACAACAATAATTTGAAAAAAGAAAATAACAACAAAAACAACTATAGAACACAATTTCAAAGAATCTAGATGTACGTTATAGTATACTACCAAAGTCAACGTAGGAGTATATCGATTTTCCGAGTATTTCAACAAAAATTCTTTGATGCAAATTAACCATACTATGAATAGTTTTGTTAGTTTCCTACACAAAAAGGGAATGAATTCGTCTTCATCTATTTTTCTCCTCCGTGTTTGTGTATAGCAATAATGTGATGAACTAAAACTGTCGAAAACAAAATATCAGGTTCTCTCATATCAAATATGAAGTTAATTTACAAATCAATGTCGGATGTCAAGAATCGTTTAACAGAATGAACATTTAATTCAGTGGATGTTTCCTAGCAAAATCGAATTACAAAGCTTTCAATTGTGAATTTCTGAGAGTGACTATTCAAAAGAGAATCTATAAGGCTATGTATAAATTTGAAAACAAGAGAAGTAGGATTTTAATTTGGTGTTAATAAGAATACCAGCCGTCAAAAAATCCACATTTAAAAATTAATGCGAATAACTAAAAAAAATAACGCACTAATTTCGGAAAAAAACATGAATATGGTAAAAATACACTGCTCCACAAAAATTTAGCCTCACCCATATAAAAAAATGACATTTTCACGAAATTTAAACATTAAATAAAATTTGCTTTATTTTCCGAAATTTGGCGATCCACAAAAATATAGCCTCACTAGCAAAAAAAAAACGCTTAGAAACAGATAGAAAATAACAACAGTAACATAACAGAAAATTGGTTTAATAATCGAATGACATTTCCTGATTGCGTGCCACTTGGAAGAGTCAACCAGTTGTTGATCGACTTTCTTCCAAGCCTCGATAATCGCCAGTTTCGGCTGTTTTAGATTATCGTACGCCTTTTTTCCTTTGTAAATATGGTTGACTATGTATCCTCATCCGTTTTCGATGGTATTCAAGACCGGGGAGCAAGAAGGCCAGTCGGGAACAGCAATATTCCTCGTTTGTATCCAAGCGATAGTGCGGCGGGCCCGATGAATTGGGGCACCATCCTGCCATACACTATCATTCTGTTCCTGTGTCGACACCAGAAGGGCAGAAGTTCGCGGCGCAACAAATATCGATAGTTCGAGCTGCTCATATTCTTTGCGACGGAGCACAGTTTCACGCGAGCGATCGAACTGATTGCTGCCAATACCATGACACCACATTCTTAGAAATTTCTCCGCCAAAATCGAATGGGTGGCTTTCTAAGATCATGCGAGTAGCTGCGGTATCCATCAGGGCCATCACAGATTAACTTCTTCTCCTCTGAGAAAATCACTTGAAATTCAGTTGGCTCAACTTCGAAATTAACCACAACCCATTTTTCTTCAATCCGTTCTGTTGAACTTATTCACAAACTTCTATCAGTTTTCGCGATGTTGTTCGGCCAACATTGGAGCTCTACGCATCTTGCATCTCTTCACATGTCGGGGAATTGCTCAGAACATGTCGAATCGTCTCTGAAGACCCATTTCTGATTCGATTTTGGTGCACGTAGTGAAGGTATTTAATAATTTTCGGAGGATCATTGTTCTTTCTCGGCTAGAAATGGCGGTTGGAAGTCCAGATCATGTCGCAGTATCATATTCTGATGGATTCTTCTGATAATTATTGATCACTTTTGGGCAAATCTTGAGCGATTTGTCGATTCGAAAGACCACCATCATGTTTGGCTATAATTTGGCCTTGCTCAAACGCCGAAAGTGGTTTACATGCTGGAATTACTTGAGACACACATAATCCTATCATAAAAATTGCAAATTCAAAAAATGAAGCAAAAAACGGTTAAAAACATAGGTGAGGCTATACTTTTGTGAAGCAGTGTAGATATCGTTTCTTATATTTTGCATACAAAAAAATAATTATAAAGTCAAAATCTTTTCAGGTTTCTTTTAAAAACCAGTTCAATTGTGTCGATCTTATCGGAATCCAAATCAATTTAACAGGGTTATAATTCTGTGAACTTCATTTCTTGTTCAGAGTGATTTAAAATTGAGAAAACGAAAGACCAGTGGATTTTCACAGCTAATTTCTCAGTACCAATATTTTGACACTCATTTTTTCGCATAATTTTAGAAACATTTTTTATTGAGGAAATTTTCCGTCCGTTCTTCAAAAAATTAAAGGGTTGCGGTAAAATCGAATAAGAATTTATGCAATACAAAATCCTCAAATTTTCAACACTGCGTGTCGACAATACCAATGATGTTGAAAAAAATAAAAATAATTGAATTTTATCATAGGAACTCAACGATACATCCCTTTAAAGGGATCCAAACTAAATTGGCCAGAAAGATGAGTATTATAAAATTGGTAGTGAAAAATCTACATTTTGGGTTGTAAAAAAATCAATTGTCGCAAATTTAAACAAAGAATTATGGTACATCTTCTTACAATTAGCGATTATGTTTTTTCGGCATGATACAAATCAGAAATTAACAGATATGATCAGACAACAGAAACATAGTCAAGTGATTAATCAATAAAAAGGTGGTCAACGGTTTTAGAAAGGAGTTGAGTGATGATGTTGATGTCCGAATAGTTTCCTTCAATATTTTTGACATTTGTGTACCAAACGCATGGAAAATACGAGAAGAACAGACGACAAAACGAAGAGAAACAAGTTTCGATCGGCGTCTTCATCTCCCTCGAAATCGAGCGCAGAAATCGTCGATTTTGCAGAGTACACGCCTTCTTAGAGGCAAAATTGTTCATTGAATACAGAAAGGAGTTCATTTCCCAGTAAAAAATGAATGCAATAAAAAACAACCATGCGAATAAATTAAAAGATAAATTAAAACTTTCAAACGATTGGTATGTTGCAATACAATTTTAGATAATATCACACTTTTTGATTTTAAACTAGTTAATTCAAGTTCTGCTTCAACTCCACAATCTTCGCTTCGTACTCCGAGGCTTGCTTGGCCGCCAGCTTTTCAATGTGATCTAGTTCGGTCATCTGAAATTCATTGAGTTTTTCTCTCGTTAGCGGAACATACCAGCGCGTTAAGTGCATCACGATAAACGGTGACGTCACCCGACGTCGGCACTGTCGATGACTCAGAAGGTTTTCTCTTCTTATCCTTTTTTGGAGCAGCTGTCTTTCCGACCGATTGCTCCGACTGGCTCGATAATCTCTTTCTGATATCAGCAGTTGTGTCCTGTAGCCACTTTGTGTAAGCCTGAAAAAATTAATTAAATAAAAGCAAACTTGTGGTTAAATATAAACGCAAGGTCATTTTCGAATCATTGTCTTCTCGGCAACAACCGTGAAAAACGGCCTTGAATTTATAGATAATAGCTTTAAAAAATTTAAAAAAGGGGAACGTCAATTGACGTTAAACGTATATATAAACTGCATGGTATTGTACAACTATAATTAAAAATACATTTTTTGGAAAAAAAACTCTTAAATTTTGAAATCAACAAACCCCTGAATCCTCGAGATTCTCAAGCGGTTTCTTCGCTAAATCTCCGATAGTTGTCACCACGATTTTGCGCTCTTTGCTGACATTCTGTTTGGCTTCTGGAGCTTTGTGACCAGCAGACTCGACCTTCTCCAAAATGGCAAAATTCCTGTTACGGAGCTCCTGAAATGAAACCATGTTAGCAAATAAAACGAAAACAATTATTACTTCAATCTTAGCTTGTAGTCGCTGATTTTCGGCTTTCACCTTTTCGAATTCTTCTGAACTCGATGAGGAAGGAGCTGAAGAAACTGCATTTTCCCTTTGAACGATAACAACTTCCTCAACTTCTTGAGCTTTATCGAAAAGGGCTCTAAAATAAAGTAATTCCATTTGAACGCAACTAAAAGGATTGTTACTTTTCAAGATCGGCGATTTTCTCTTCATCCTGTTGTTGTTTCTCAAATAATTCCCCTTGCTTTTTCAGCAAATCAGCTTCTCTCTGCTTCAACTCGACATTCTGCTTCTCCACGGCTGTCTTACTGCAAAAAAATCTCGATTAATCACATACAATTCTTCTCGTACGAATCAACAAACTCTTCAAGCTGCTTCGTTGTACTTTCTACCATTTTCTTCAAGTTTGCGTATTCGACGACAAGGGATGATTCCTTCTAAAAATAATTAATGCAGATTCTTCGATGCAGACAACTCACTTTAACCCATTCTTGCTTTTCAGATTCTAATTTTTGAATGGTTTCATTTTTCGCAGTGATTTCGACAGTTAACTCCTTTACGGTATTGATTTTCTTTTCAAGCTCTTGTTTGCAATCCGCAACAACTTTCTCAAGAGCTCTAATTTGCACATTAAGATTATTGAATTCAATTTCAGAAACCTGAATGTTCTGAGTAGATGGAATTTAAATAATTAAATACAATTACTTTTGGAACTGAATTGGTCTTCACTTCTTCAGCCAGCTTCTTGTTATCATTCTTGACCCCATCAAGCTCTCTTCTCAGCGCGCTAATTGTTTGTTGCAACTCGCCCACATCGCGACCGCGGACTTCCTCAATGCGTGCAATAGTCGTTTGTGACTCTCCCTGTAACCAAAAATGCCCAAAAAGGTTCGATATAATGATGATACCAATTGTCGGCGGAGTTCGGCTTCCAATGTCGACATTTGTTTGACACGAGCGGAGAGAGTCGCATTTTTGGTACTGAAATTATTATTTTATTATTTTTTTCGGGCATAACTGATACAAAAAATTACGATGTTCAATTTGATAAATTGAAAGTCGAGCTAAAAACAAAAAAGCTCGGATAGCATTCAGATAATTTCACTATTAAAACAAAATTGTCCGATCAATCAACGAACTAACTAATAAAATCACATAGTTAATTCAATGTAAAGGATACGAGAATAGAATATTAGCCTTCAAATTGAATGACAATATTAAATTTGATGATCGGATTGGTTTTTTCAATAATTAAACAATTTTGACAAAACTTCTCGTATTAAATATTGGCCTATGTTAATAAATGTAGACAAATAAACCATACATCTCTTCCTTCTTGAAATTTTCGAGCGCCAATTTGTCCTTAGTCAGTTTATCGATTCGAGTGTTGTTTTCCATGAGTTTTCGTTGACCGGCCTTTACTTCTTCTTTCAGTGAATGCTTCTGGAAAATACCAACTTTTAAGCAATGATTTTGCGGTTTATCTAACTTGAAGCTCATGCTCGCGCTGCATAGTTTCCAAAAACTTGACATATTCTTGCTCAATATTTTCGCAACTCGAAAGACGCTGAATAACTTTTTTGAAGTCCAAGTTGACGATTGCTAAATCCAATTATTGATTTTTAATAAAAAAAAATAAATCCGCACGTTTGGGGGATTTTTTCTTTTCGGTCTTAATGTTTTCTTTTCCATTTCCAAGTTTAGTGTCAATTTGAAGCTTTGCTTCGACAGGAACATTGTCAACAACTTTTTCGGTTTCCTCCTCCTGTTTCTCGTCAGCTGGCTTAACGACAGTATTCTCCTCAACTTTCCTTTTTGATTCTGTCCTCGGTGATTCTTTTTTCGCTTCAGAATCTTTCTTTTCTTTGTTCTAGAAGAAATGAGTGATTATACGATTATACGCAAACAAAAAGAAATACATATGTTTTAAACAAATTAAATTTACATACCTCCGCGAACGGGAATAAGATTAAATCATTGGCGATTAATCTAATCCCGTCGATTTGAAATAAATACCCATTCTTATAAAATGCCCAGTTATGTATGTTTATATATATATTTTAATGTTTTTACTTAATCTAATGTTATACATTCACGGACAACTAACCTTTTCAGTTTTTTTGGTAGCCTTCTTCAAATTTTTTTTGTCTTTCTTGCTAGGCTCACTGAGGTAAATAAGGGCCTCCTTGTTGAAGTTCTTAACAATATTTTTTTTACAGATTCCGTTTTGGATTGAAATTTTTACCTCGTCAAATGAGCTATCTTCTCTTCTTTTGAAAAACAAAACAATTGCCACGAGAACAATAAATACGGCTCCTCCGATGACAGTAAGGATCGTAATATCAAACGACGTTGGATCAACCATTTTGTTACCTAGAACAAAAAAACTTCAAAAGTGCAAAAGTCAAAAAGAAAAGTACACGATGTGATGAGGTCACGTCGAATGAGAAAAAAGGAAACGAAATATTACGAAAGATCGCAGCAGAACAAGGAAGCATAAAAAGCAACAGAACGAACTCATTTGAGCAACGCGGTACAAAAAAGTTATAGACATGTCAATCAGCTTCGATAGAAAGATAGCTGACGGCATATCGGAGGAGCGTGCTTGCTTCTCAACAATTTCGATGCGGAGGCCCCCAGCAAACAGCGTTTTTTTGGGGGGCGAGAACGCTCATCTATTCTGTTGTTCTCTGCGCTCTCTGTTGAGTTTCGATACACTCTCACATCGAATTCGCCTTGTCCTTTTCTGCGCCGCTCGTCTCGATTTCGACGGTGCGCCCCGGAATTTTTCGGGCGCTATTTGAAACAATTATATCAGCTATACATATTCGTCTTAAAAGAAAAGTTAAAAGTGCAATAAAATCTCACAATTTTGGACAAAACATTATGGTTAAATTATGTTTTATAGGTTTTTCTTAAATTTTTTTCAAAGAAATTATTAAAAATAACCAAGAAATATTAAAAAAAAAACCATCCTGAATAAGAGGAATTTTGTCGAATATGATTGGTTTTGAGTTATCAGAATTGTTTCAATATGACATCATTTTATGAGCAATATTTCCAATAGAAACTGCCAATGAGAAAATGTTTGGCAATTATTTGAGTTCAAATAAATTATAAAAACGGTGTGCCATGAAATCAGCGAAGCTGATATCTCATCACGAAAGTATACGCCAGTTATATAGAATTGGTTTTTTGAGACGTGCACAATTGTTTTTGCATAAATAAAGAAATTTAGCTGCTCGGAGAAAAATTGAGATTTTGATGTATTTCGAGGAATGAGCAAATAAATAAATATATACCGCTTCGTGAAATACTAAATTGGCGATGCGGTTAAAAAAAGAGAAAATGTTTTTTCTTTTTTACAACTTTGAATTTTTTAATGCAAATAGTTCATTATTTGTCAAGAACAAACATTCAATAAATTAATAAACTAAATTCGAATGTGCAACACGTTTTAGGTGTGGCAGCTGATAAGAATGGAAAATTTTTAGAAGTGCGACGCGTCTCGAAGTCGCACTTCCACAAATAAAAAAATTTCTAATTTCATTTTGGACAAACGAATGATATGACATCATTTACAAGTTGTTTTATTTAAATAATATATATATATGTATGTATATATATATATGTGTATATATATATATATACGATTCTTTCAAAAAAAAATTCAATAGCGACCAATTTTTCATTCAATTAAAAACAAAAATTGCAACGAGTAATGAAAGTTTTGCAGATTACTTACACTTCCCGGCACTGATCGCCCAAAATAGGTCAATGATGATGTTTCGTCGAAAAACGCAATGAATTGGGAAACGACGAAAAATTCCGTAGGTGTGAATGAAAAAGACGACGACGACGACGATGAAAAAGATGGCAAAAAAGAAATTGGTTAGAAATAGTTGATTGATTCACATTTAAACAGAGATATAGATCAAATTAAAAGATAAAAGTGATTAATCGTTAACCGAATAGATCATTTGTTCATGGTCAACGAATAGAAAAATACAGTCGAAAATAATCAACGAGTTTTATATGGAATTTAAATGAGAATAATTTTGAAATAAATCGATAAAACTGGAAATGAAACATTTATTCACGATGGAGCTGTTATAATTATCGAAGATAAACGATTGAAATCGTTTTTTCATGCAGAAAAAACAAAAATATATTAGGCGCACCCATATGAAACTCTGCTACCTTAAATAAAGAATAACATTGATCGGAATACGAGAAAATAGAGGAAAATAAACGACTTTTACATGTTAGGCTCTTCAACTTGAATGTCGCTATCAGCGCTCACCGCACTACTTTGACTAGGTCCCTGCAAAAATTATTTTATTCGAACGAATCAGATTTCCCCTTGTTGTTTGTGTTGCTGCTCTTCATGCAATTTTATGGCTAACCGGAAATTAAAACTCGGAAATGAGAATTGTGACGACGAAATCCAACGCGATATATTTCTAATTTGTGGGAGAAACAGCAAAAAATTTGCAGCCGGATTTTTCATGTACGGCATAATGACGTCATGAATTCAGGAGTACATCTTAATGAAACTACACAAAGTGAACATTATAGGATTTCAAGGGTTTTCTGGGAAATGACAGGGGGAATCATTGATTTTACATTTGGTTGTGGACGGATGATTTCGGATTGTCATTGATTAGAAAAAACGGAAACGCGCACAATTGAAATTTCTAAAGTTAGTCCCTCCACGACGATGAAAAAAATTATGAAATTCCTAAAAACTCTTGTCCCTACAAACCTCACTCTGCGACGAGCGTGCGTCTTTGGACGGGCTCTCGTTATTGCTTGACTTTGTGTTGGCTGTAAATTTATCAAATTCTGATGGAATTATTTCTTCAAATTCACAAACCATTGTCGGTTACTTTAAAATTCTTTCTTTTACCTCTCCCTTCCTTTTCTGGAAAAATAGTGATATTCGCCTAAAATAACCATTACATTTTTATAAAATCGCCAAATTATTTATTACTTGTTGCAAAATAGTCTTCCAAAGGACATTATTCGTTTTGAACATGGCATTTTGACAGACATTCAGAACACTGAAATACATTTTGAAAACAAAAAACATGCTAAGCATACGTTGCGCTGGTCGCATTTTTATCATTCTTGTTAATGGCTCGAAGAAGTCCTTTGGCTTGATCGATACGATATTCTATTTCTCCTGATTCAATGAGTTCAACCACAATGCGTTCCACCTAAATATTTACATGACGAAACAATTTTGATAGGTATTATAGAAAACCTCTTCTTGTGTGAATTGTAAATCCTTCATAATAGTATTGAAACTGATGTTCGAATATGGAATCAAATACTGAACAACACAGCGTTTTCGGACCAATGTGTACAAATCATTAACATTTTGCGATATATACGGATCCAGATGGAGCTAAATATTCTAGTTATTTAAAAATTTTCGTAATGAAACATTACTCTATCGGAAACGGAGTTCATAATTTCGAAACATTTTCCAAATTGGCTGCTTGTATAGCAGCGCAGAAGCTCCAAGAATTGAGGTTCAGATTCAAGAAGTTTGCGATAAACGCCATCCTCTGACATTTTCTTTTTCAGTTCGGATCTTTTAAAAGTTGCAATACAGCAAAGAACGCAGTATATTCCAAGATCGGCATTACTCACAAACCATCTATCCGGTAAATGATCGACTTTAAGCTAAATATTTTTGTTTGAAACGACTCATGCATTTTTATAAAAGCTTTTACCTCCAATATTCTTTCGGCGGCAGATTTGTATTTTTGCTGGCGGAGTCGAACAAGAGCTTGGGCAGCATAAACCCGAGCCTAAATTATTCGAAATTAATTCTCACGAATTTTGCCGCCATATAATACAAAAGCATTCAGAAAAATATGGGATATACATAATTGCATACCATAGCGGAGTCAATAAGAACACGATTACTCTGTACACTGCTAGAATGAGTCATATTATCTCTGTCCATCATAAACGCGCTTTGATCTTGCCTTCCGTTATTTGTCTAAAAAGTTTGTCAATTAAATAAATTTTCAAAAACCAGTGCGAATACCTTTTCAGCTTCTTCAGCATCATTGAGACTGCGAAGAGCCTGAAAAGTCATTGAATCAACTCTGGCCCAATCACCATCGGCAATCGAGATTTCAATCCAATTTGAATACATCTGAAAACTTGAGATTATAAAATGGTCAAAGTGGAATAAATACGTTGATGACGTGTTTTAGCTGCGTACAGTAGTCGCGAACACCTCGACCGTATAACTTCAATGCCTCATCGATTTCTCCAGTTCTCATATAATGTTGGAAAAGTTCCTCAATCGCGCGCCGTGTTGATTCCTAGCTTAGAAAATGATTATTTATACATTAAAAATTTATACCTTCACTCCTTCGTCTTTAAATTTTTTATAGTCCGAAAGAGCGGAATCGCGACGACTATTAACAATAGCATTTGTGTCCATTACCCAGTTAGAATCATATTTCGGCTTAGAAAGATTTGACTGAATAATACATATATATATATATTAAATTATGGGGAATAAATAATTTTGTACTGAAAATCCATTAATTTTAATATGATCCTCCAATTCTTTGTGCAAAGAAGTATATCTGACCGAATTTTGAGTATTCTGCAAAAAACATTTATAAAATAAAACTAATGTTTTGTAAAACAAAACCTCTCTGATATAATTAATGAGAGTAATAATCGCATCTTGCTTGAGAGGTGGGCAAACTTTAATGATAAATTCAAGACTGAAAATGAAAGTTCCATTAAATAATAAATATGACTGAGATATACCGTTGGAGAATTCCGAGTTGAGAATATAAAGCTGGAATAGTTTCTACGTCAATTGCGGGAGTGTAAACAAGAATTGTCTCCTCATTATCCTCATCGCGAGCTGGTTCATTTTGTTTTGCCGTTGACGCTGTAAATTCAATATTATATTATAATTATAGGTAACATTTACGTTTAATTATATCGGTAGAAACAGGATTAAGACTTTCTTCCATCACAATTTCTTGAATTTGGAGTAATTCGTGCGCATTTCCATCCAAAGCTGAGTTCTAAATAAAATAAGGTTTTATAATAAAAAAGACCTGAAACACACCGCTGGAGATGTGTCCATAGGATCATCTATTGGTTCCGCAGACATGATATTTCCTAAATTGGATCGATAGACAAATTTATAGATATAATATAGCGCTATAGCTATAGCTCACGGCGTTCACACTAGTGGGATTTACCTGAAATGAAAACTCAAACTGTGTCAGTGGTCGATTGTTGGCGTCTTTGACGCGCAGACGAATTTTTTAAAAATCGCCAGGTTTTGGCTCATTTTTCAAGTTTTTTGAATTTTTCTCAAATTTTAACAAAAAAGTGCACCGACCACGTTTTTCGCAAGGCTTTTTTCTATCGAAAAAGCTTTACTATAATTCAATCGGATAAGTATTCAGAGGTCCGTAGTTTTTTAAAGATTGAACTGTAAAAATATTCACATTTCTTTTCTCTGTTTTTTCACTCTCTCTTTTGTTAATATCATTTATTGTTATATTATATGGTTTGATTTATACGATTATGTTTGTTAATACTTGGAAAAACATTTCATAGTTGTTTATTTTTTAATTTTTTTTTGCTAATTTTAAATGTAAATAGTGTGTCATTTCGGCGGAGAAGTTGCAAGAGATTCTCTATAATTTTTTGTTGTTTTTTTTAAATTTCGTTAGTTCTTACGTTAATTTACCGTTGTCAGCTTCTTTTTTCGTTATTTATCTCTCTCGCGTCATTATCTACTCGCATTGAATTCATTTATTGAATTCAGATAAGCACTCCATCTCGAAAATCAAAAGCTGGCGGAATGATGAAACGATATCACGGACAATTCGCTTTTCGAGATTTTTTTTTAACTTCCGAGCTACTCCAAAAGACCAATGGAAAGACGTCCTCAACTCAAAAATGTATTTTTTTTTAGTCATTTGTGTTGTATAACATCAAATTGTTCTTTTCAAGCTGCCTAATGAAATCGGTAAAGAGAATCTTGTTAAATGTGTTTGTTGATTATCCATTTGTTTCCAAATTGATAAGTGTGTTTTTTCCCTATTAGTTTTGCAATTTTCCAAATGTCCTTATATCCTCTTTTTCCGAATTCAATCTCTCTCGCGTCTTTATCTACTCGCATTGAATTCATCTGCTACACATCATCAATTTTTATATCATAATTCAATTGTGTAGTATTTCTTTCGCTTAATTGATGGTTTTATCATTTAAAAATGTTATGTTTAAAAAAATCCTATATAAATTAAAATAACTGATTTAATTTATAACTAATTAGACCATAAATTGCGGTGAATATGATCCACCCGAAGAAATATAAAAACTAATCGTTCTTATTGAAAAAACGCTCCATTTTGAGAATGTTTCTAATTTATTTCACAAATTTAATTTGTTGAATTTATGCACCGGAATAGCGCTAAGCTGCATGTGCGCTCCATTGAGAAAAATCTTTTTTTCATGTAAATCCCACTAGTGTGAACGCCGTGAGCTGAAAATTTACAAGACCGCCGTTCAGAAGTCGTCCACACAACAAAAATCCGGCCACGGCCGCCGAGTTCCGGCTGACCTTTTTCATCTCTCCTAAATTTAGGAATCGTCGTGTGATAATGTCCAACGGAAATGAATCATCTATTTTTGGAAAAATGAGTAAGTTCTAATTTATTTTTATTGTTGTTTAAAAAATAAAGCAAGATCTCGTTTCTTGTTCGGTAAGATAATAAAACGTTATTGTAAACGTTAGAGTTATGTTCTGCACGTAGTCTTCCATTTAACATATTTGTTATTTAAACTATTTTTAGCTAGCCGCCCGGCTGGTAAAAGGCAGATAAAGCCCACAGCCCTTCTATTTGAAACTCTGAACGCTGCCGAAAACGAATCCGATGATGATGATGAAGATTTCAATGTTAAAACAGATAGTGATAAGGAATCGAATGCGAGTACATCAAATTCCGACGAAGAGAGTTCAGATTCTGATGAAGACGAAGAAGAGCAGGAGGTTGTTTTTAATCTTTATATTTTTTACGAAATTAAAGTTATTATAGGCAGATGGATCAGAAGATAGCAAGAATGCCGAAGATGATGATTTGGAAATTCAAATTTGCGCGGTATGTGTTAATTGCAATTCGAAAGGAGGCGAGGAGTTTATGTCTTGTGATAGGTATCCAATAATTTAAATTAACTTCACTTCATACCATCACATTTCTAAAGTTGTGGAGTCACTGTTCATGAACATTGCTACGGTGGTGTCATATGTGAAGAAAGTGATGATGAAGATAGCACAAAGTCGACGACAACAAATTGGTTTTGTGAGCCTTGCATTTACGGGGTTGATGGAGCACCATATTGTGAATTCTGCCCGAGTAGGATAGGCGCTTTCAAACGTTCAGGTGCTAAATTTTAAAAAGAAAAGCTAACTGGTTTATTTAGATGTTGGAGGTCGATGGATTCATTTAAGCTGTGCTCTTTTCACGCCAGGAATTTCGTTTGCCATTGTTGAATCTTTAACGGGAGTTAGCTGGCAAGAATTAGGAAATTCCGCATTCGGAAAAAGGGTATGAATTTATTTTCAATCACATATATTATATAATTATTACTGGAAATAGCATTTCAGGCATGTTCAATTTGTAAGGACAGAGTGGAATCACGAGTTGGAATTTCGACAAGATGTGAAAGCGGTCTCTGCAAAGAATATTTTCATATCTCATGTGCTCAGAAATTAGGGCTTTTAGTGGATGAAACAGATCAAGCTCCTAGCGGCGAAACAGCATCTTTAATGCGTTACATTTTTTGTAAAAAGCATTGCAATATAGATAAGGCGAAGAAACAACACTTATTGTAAGTGATTTTGTCTGGCATTGGCCAAAATGTTCGAACCTTTATAATGACCACAGTATTCAGATATCTGAAATGGGAGAAGCAAGAAATTAGAAGAATAACTATGAATCAGCACAAAAAACCGATTGAAGCACGCGAAAAGAAACGTTTGCATCAAATGAGAGAAAAATTGAACGCCACATTTTGTGAGATGAAAGATGTGACAATTAATATACCTACAATAGTATACTTTATAAGTTCATTGGAAATAGCGAAAAATTATATTTTAAGGCAATCGAGAAAGCGAAACGAGCTCGCTACTTAAATACTTCATATGAATATTTGGATAAGTTTGAGGATAAAGCTGTTGCTCATGGATGTACACCAGAAGAATTTCGAGCGCCGTTTTATAATATTAGTCGTACAAATTCGACTGCTATTCCATTAGGATTTTCGGAGGAATTTCGAACGTTTGTTGTTTAGAAGAACTTTTTCGAACTATTGCTTCCGTTTACAGTTATATGAACATGCGGGATTCCATATTAATTCCCGAAGAAGAAAAGAAAATTATTTCCTTGAGAAGTACCTTGGCTGAGAAAAAAGCAAAACAGCAAAATGAAGCGGTAATATATTATATTCATGAGTCTACGTATAAAAATGAAAATATATTCAGATTAAGACGAAAATCGAAAAAAATGAACAACTTATAACAGAAAAAATGCAAATAATTTGCAATATCAATGATGCCATTCGTGTTATTTGTGATAGAAAAAATGAAAATGTTTCCGCACTTCTTCATCAATTCGAAATTAGCTTTGAAGGAAATGGATCTGAGAAAAGGTGAAGACATATTAAAACTACCAGCAAAGGTGTATTTTTTTTTCAGCTCGCTTGCTAAAATTGCAAGTTGTAAACAAGGAAAGAAATCGACTTCTACCACGTTCAAGGCTTCTCCATTACCTGATCAACAGAGGCCCACATTATGTGATGAGTGCAAAAAGGTTTTCATTTAGACGAATTCAACAGGCAATTATTCCTTTTTTTTTAGAATACCGATCTCCATTTAATGACTCAGTGTGACGAGTGTCATAAGTTTTATCATATCGGTTGCTTAAAACCGCCATTAATTCGCCTTCCGAAACGAACTGCCAAATATGGTTGGATTTGCCATAACTGTAATGAAAGTGACGATGAGCAATCAGTATGTTATATTATGCATTGAATCACTTGTTTATAATCGATTTTGATTTAGAATGAATTAAATTCATCGCATTCTCCCGTTGAAGCACTCAATAGACATCATCGGGTGAGACGAGCCCCGAAACGGCACGCTCAGTATACAAGCCATTAATTATTCAATTTTTGTGATCTTTTATTCTTTCTGCTCACTTTTCGTTTTAAAGGGATAATTTTTTATTAGCACGATTAGTTAGTTGTTTATACAATATTATGATCACCTTCTGGTTGTGTATTTTGTTCTTCTTGATGTTCAACAACTTCCTGAAATATCGTTAAATTTGAATGTTTTTATTGAAGTCAAACCTCTTCTGATGCAGCTTCATTTTTTGGTGCGAAACACCGAAGAAGTGGTCCCAGGTCGAAGTCGTTAAGATCTTCAGGTAGTTTCTGTATTCATTTTCTTCGTTATTTTTTATTTTTATTTTCTTTCCTTACCCTTCCCTTTGTTTCTGGCAAAAGAACAACACAAAACGCTGCAATAACTGACAATGCCGAAATTAAAATTGTTGGAGCATTCACGCTAACAGCCTCCTAAAATTAGCATAATTTTAGAAAAATTCGAATTATTGGACGTTGAATGCTAAAACAAAAGATTCATTCGAGACGTACCATTCTTTTTAAGTATGGCGCAGCTACTGAGCCAATATCTCCTATGAAAGCAATAATTCCACATACTACGTTTCTTACAGTGGTTGGAGTTGCCTAAAATATGATCACAACAGTTATTGCAATCAAATGTTTTGCTTACTTCTGTATAAAGAAGTGGTTGCGATGACCAAGCAATAGAATTTGCGCTCTTCGCCAGTAGTGGAAATATCATTCTTATATTTTTTTCAACTAAATATGTTCATATACGTATTAAGATTTATCGAGATGTTAATTAATAAGTAATTTCCCCATTTCGACACTTACTTGGTACATAAATTGTGCACAACATAAAAACAGCTGTCGATAGCAGAGAGAAAAATGAGACCAATTTTCTGTCGCAGCAAATCAACAGGATAACTGACAACCCACCAGCAGGGAGTTCGATTAAACCGGAAAGGAAATATCCCAAGTGCTCGTCTTCAGATAAATCGACCGAAAAGAGAGATAATGCCCAATAAGTACCATTCATGATAACGCTATAACCGTCGAATGATATAGATGAAACCGAATCGAACTCACAGAATAAAAGAATTGAGTAATATATTAACAAGAAGGGTTGGATGACTAAAAACGTCAAAAACTGTTCTTTTGATTCCAACTTGCTCTTCTTGAGAATCGTTTCGGCAATTATGAAGTGGAATTTCCATTTTATTGTAGTGTGAACAAACGGCAATGTATCTTCAAGCAAGGAGTAATTGAAACTTTCTATATTTTTTAACCCACCTCTCAATTTTGCGCTCTTTTTTGTTGTTCACAAGCCAATGTAACGATTCTGGAGTAAACCTACAATATTCAAAATACTTATTAAAATAATCAATAGTCGATATATATGTATATGCATATGTATATATAATATTATTATTATAACATCTACAATCTATTCCAAAATTTCGGTTTAATTTGGTGCTCCTTTTTTGTGATTGTAAAACAATTACCTGCATATGTAGATCTCTCATATTATTTAAAACTTACCAATAAAAAGGAATGGTGAGAATCCCGGGTAGTGAAACTGCGAAATAGAGCCATCTCCAGTTAGAAATGAACATGTCGAAAACTCCGGCTAATATATACCCCAGTACCCATGTAAGACTGCTAAGCAATGGAATAAATGAGTGGAAATCCAAGGCGACAGATTCCATGCAAAGAACGTAACCAGTCATGGCAAAACTCTTGAATAATAGTACATGAGACGTACGTTGTTTTCTGGTTTTTATACCGTTGTTGCAACTCCAGAGAAAAATCGAAAAATGAGAAAAATTGTGTAATTTGGAGCAATTGCGCAGATAATGTTAGCAATAACAGAAGTGTAAAGTGGCACGAGAAACGCAATTCTTCTTCCAAATATGTCCGATAATTGAGTAATCAAAGGAGTTACCAACATCCCTCCTATTGTATGTTGAATGCTTTGATGATATTTGATAAATTTACCTAATAAGAAAATAGACGTTGAATGCTCAATGCTGTTGTAGTCATCGCAAACTAATCCGAATTCAGATGCCATTGTCGATACATTTTGATTATACGCGTAGCTATACCCAGGAATTGAAGAACAAGGCACTTGCCAATTGTTTCCGTCTAGAACATGGCATGAATCGTTGCTCAGTATTGTATAGGTCTTAATAGTCGAGTTTCGGTTATCGTAGATTTTGAGATATCAAACCCATTCGTCCTTCGGTGCAAAATGGCAATCAAATGTGGCTCTTTTTGTGATAAATGGCATAACCATCATGTTGGCTGAGAAGAGCAATTGGACTGAGTTGGTAATAAAATAAGTAAGCATCTGAAAATGTGATTCTATTGTTATTTCTTCGGGTACTTCATAGTTGCATTTTGTTTTTAACGTATAATGTGATACCTGGTATCGCCCATATTTTCCAAATGCAGTTAACACTTTGTCAGCATCGAGAAGCAGATAATTAAAATTGCCCATCGATGTTCCTCGTGTTTTTGCAGCTTCTTCTCGTTCGGTCATCATTATTACAGTAATTCATGTAGATTCACTGAAATAGTGCAAATAGAGTTGGCGAAATCGCTGATAAACTGCGAAAACCGACAGAGCATTGAATCGCAATATATGAAAATGACCCACCATAGACAAGGCCCTAAGCTGATAACCATTTGATAAGGCATTGTACAGTTAATCAGTGGGTTATGTCAATATCAGAACGCTTTTTGTGTTTTTGTGTCCAATTGAAGTGTGAACTCGAATTCATTGGATGCTTGTCAAATTCTCATGGAGAACTGAAATTTAACTAATACATCATATATATTTAGCGAATTATATGTATATATATATATATATATATATATATATATATATATATATATATATATATATATATATATATATATATATATATATATATATATATATATAGATTAATTGTGTATGCAAATGAATTCAACAATTAAATAAAAGAATTAAAATCCAAACAAGTAAGAGTTTATGAAAAAAGTAGGGTACTCGAACAATGTCTGACGGGTTATTGGTAATATCTGCTATCAGCATATAATGGTTCATATATGCAGATACCCAAACGCAAATAATGTTGTACATACAGTTATCCAAATTTAGTCATTGAGGATTTTCTAATCTCGAGAAAATTTTGACGTAGATTTTGAGTGCAACGTGTTCAAGCGGCGTGATTGCACAATTTATATACGAAAACTCTGGAAGTGACAGCGTAGGAACGTGTGATTGTGAGAGATCGGGACATTTCTTTTCACCGGTGTTTCTGCGACACGATTTTCTGACAAGACTTCAAACTGTGATATTTCAAATGTTGTTGAATCGCTCATAATCGTGACTACGAATCTTAATAATACAGTCTGTTTCTTAAAAAACGGAAAAGTATTTTGTTTTTATTTACCTTTGCTATTCGTGATATCGAAGGTATAAATGTGCCAAAAGTATTTTCTTATTTTTTATGGAATGAAATAAGTGATTTATTTGATTCAATCACTTTTCCCAAAATTTATTGAAATTTCTACGACATTTCAAAGTTTTTATACGATGATTAAGCCATTAAAAAAGTCTCCTGATTTCTCAATGCAATTTTGCCTCTATGTCAAGAATCATGATCAGATGTTATCAGTAGTCAATGTTCATTTTCCCATATATCATACTATTGTCGTCTTCTGCCGATTCTGTTCTACACTTGCAGATTTCTGTCCTTGATTTGAAAATTTTTTTAAAAATCTCTTAACGCTTTTATGTTTCTTTTAATTTTTCTCTCGTTTTTTCTTTTGCGTATTTCTCAATGGTTTTCGTTTCAAAGTACAATTGAGCATTATCACTTCTTTTTCGCTTGATCATCCGATTTTTTCGATAAAAACTGGTGTTTTCTGAACCATGGTTCAATAATTTTCAGATTTGCCCCAATGACGGTGATTCTCAAAAAAGAGGGTACCAAAAAAGCCAACGGGATCTCAAATGGAGTGGCCAGCGAAATGTGAGTAAATTAATAACGTTAACAAATTTGCATTTAAATCTCATTTTAAACCTTTACTGACAATGTGTAATTTTAAAATTGTCAAAATTGGTTTAACCTATTTACGAAAATTGAGAACAAATATCTGACAAGTGAGTCTAAATGCTAGATATTCAGTATTCGTCCAACATGGAAATTGACCGACAGTGAGCCCGTTTGGTATGTCTTGTGGCTCGTTCGAATTAACATCTTCGTTATGGTCTTCGGTGCATTTGTCGCTTCATATTTAGAACGATTTGGTCTGATTCGTAGCAAAAGTGCTAAAGGAGATCGTCGAATGAGGGTTATTTTATTGTCGAAGACGGACGAATTTGACAAGTTTGAATGGTCGAACGTGTTTGCCATTCTTGGTCTTAGCGTGATTTGAACAGATTTTTGCATTTGATATCTACTGTAGTTTTCAATGTGTTTCAATCAAAAATGATTACAAGACCATGACGCGACTATTTCAATTATAAGCTACACCTTCTAAATTCGTCCGTCCTCTACTATATAGAACGCTTCAGGAACCGTAAAATGATTGTTTGATTTTCAGGATTTCGCACCACTGGATAACCATTTCGACGCTACTTATACTAACCATATCTATCGTCCATCAACCGATGTTGTTAATCGACCGATCAGTGGAGTTCCTGGGGCGATTGTTCGTCTTAAAGATCGTTACTCTGATGATTTTGGGTGGACCCAAAGGTAATTTTATCTTGACAATCTCTTTACAAAAGCGCGTTCGTTTTAGATTTACGGGTACAGAATCAGAAGTCATTAATCTAGGATCTTACAATTATTTGGGATTTTCGCATCGAACTGGAATTTGTGCGGAAACTGCAGCAGAATATATTGATAAGTATGGATTGAACTGCGGAGGGACACGAAATGAAAGAGGTACATTTTCTTCGACAATTTTCAGATAGAAATTGGATATTTAGGATCACATCAAGTGCACAGATCTGCTGAAAAATGCATCGCAAATTATATTGGAGTCGAAGATGCGGTCATTTTTCCAATGGGTTTTGCAACGAACGCTATGAATATTCCCGCTTTGGTCGATAAGGTTGGTTTATCATGAAATTATGATTATGATGCAATTATTGAATATATGAAAATAAATGAATCAAACACGTTTTCAATTTTTTGTGACATTCGAAAATTTTAGAATTCTTTGATATTATCCGACCGTCTGAATCATTCCTCTCTTGTAACCGGTTGCCGTTTATCAAACGCAACTATCCGAGTGTTCCGCCATAATGGTAATTTCCAAATTTCAAAACTTTAATATAAATTCGAATAGACGCCGCTCATTGTGAAAAAGTTTTGCGAGATTCGTTGTGCGAAGTTAGTCCAAAATCGGGTAAAAAGTACAATAAAGTATTGATTATTATAGAAGGAATTTACAGGTATTTATTTGTTTCAAATTATTTTGTTAAAATTTCATTATTTAGTATGGAAGGAACAATTGTTGACTTGCCATCGTTCATCGCTATTAAAAAGAAGTACAACTGTTATCTATTTTTGGATGAGGCTCACAGTATTGGTAGAAATTTTTGAGATTTTCGAACACATTGAATACTAGTTGATCCATAGGTGCTATTGGACCCACTGGCCGCGGTGTTGTGGAATATTGGGGGTGTGATCCGACTGATGTTGATATTATGATGGGTACACTCACAAAATCGTTTGCATCTGCAGGAGGATATATGGCAGGACAAAAGGTTCAATTCAAATATAAATTAATACTTTTCAAAGAAAAGTTCTAGAAAATTATGGATCATATTCGGCTTCATTCTTCTGGATTCTGTTATGGATCCACTATGTCACCTCCACTTGTTGCTCAAGTTGAAAAAGCCCTTGCTGTAAAAAACTATTAGTAATTCAATGAAAAATAATTTATTGTAGATTATGTGCGGAGAAGACGGAAGTGACATTGGGAAAAACAAAGCTAAACAATTATTGACCAACACTAGATACTTGCGTGAGCGTTTGAAGAAAATGGGATTTCTTGTTTATGGACATCAAGATAGTCCTGTTGTTCCTGTTATGACCTTTTTCATTACTAAAGTCGTGTAAGCATCATTTACCATAACAGAATTTATAACGATGTTCACATTTTAAGCGAGTTTTCGCGACGTATTTTAAAACGAAACATTGGTTTGGTGGCCGTCGGTTATCCAGCTACCCCTCTTCTCGAAGCTCGGATTAGGATATGTTTAAGTGCTGATCACACTCAAGAGCATTTGGATTATGTATGTGTAATCAATGATGTGTTTTAAACATATGTAATTTAAATTTAGATCCTTGAAGCGATGGAAACTGTCGGAAAAGAAACCGGAATTATGTATGGGAAAGGAACCTAGGATACGTTTTTTTCTTACCGACAGCTGGGGCTTCATCTCGCTTGATATTCTCTACAATTAAATAAAACGTTAAATTTCCATTTAAAATTTTTTATGAAGTTCCAAAGATGATTTCATTCTTTTAGGAAATAAATACCTTGCCCACCACCTTCAATATTTAAGTTTTTTTTTCCGATATGCCATTCATAATATGTATACGTAAAACTTCTTAATTAGAACTTAATTGAGCGGCCAAGTTGGTTGATATCTCTTTGTGCATTCAATAACGTGAAACCAAACTTCCGTTAGAAACCGCTTATTGTTGCCAAATATATTTTTCTTTAACATGATTATTAATATTTATCTGCTCAATAAAATGCAATAAACAATAAAATATTTGCGCTATTAATTTAGACTACTAATTTGACCTAAAAAAACCGTAATTTGAATGGCAAGCTGAGTTTTAATTAATTCGGTTTTTCGTGTTTTTCTTTTATGTATCCGAGGGATTCTATGAAATCTTCACGGCCCATATGCTTATCAGCTTCAATTCGCAGTTCGACGAGTTGCCCAATGTGTTCATTGCTCAACTGCTCCATTTTTTCTGGGGATAAATCCTTGAAACTTTAACTACAGTATTTTGATAAACTAATTAGAAATACCATTCCAATTTCTCCTTTCCGAATTCCCGCTGATGACAATTGTTTTGATAACGTTGTGCAGTAAAGCTGCATTTCAATTTGTGGTTAAAGATTTTAAATAATTCCATACCGTCCATTCTGTAATGAATTGTTTTACAAACTCAGGACTCGCATTTTTGTGTCGTCGAAATTCATCTTTCACGTACACATCGCCCATCAACCGAGCAGATTTTGGAAGTCCATAGTGTAACCTGAATAGTGATATTTACTCAACAAATCGTGCCGCAGAAACAGCGGACAAAAGCGAGATTCGGTGAAACGGCGGTGAATACAAATGTATCCGTCACTCATACACACACTCTCTCGAAAATACAGTTTCATTGACGATTCACCGGCGGTTTAAACGAAATCTCTATTCACTGCCGTTTCTACGACACGATTTTCCGAGAAAAGAAAATATTAAAAATCAATTTTTAAAGGTAAAAAATTAAATTACCGAAGAATACTTTTGTACAAAAAAAGAGGAAATCTTTCCGGATTAATTGCATTAGCCACTTTTCTTGAAACTGCCATTGAATACTCAATAAAGTCCTGATCGCGAACAGATAAAACAATGAAATGACCGAATTTTATATATGGTATTTTCTAGTCCACGGCCACAAACATTTTTTTTTTAAATTTCACTGCTGTTCATTGAATAGAGATTTCGGTGAAACGACGGTGAGAAGAGTATTTGAGAGAGTTTTTCTTCTTGAGAGATGAACACATTTTTCTCCGCTGTTTCAAGCATTAAAAAATTTTCAAAACTGCGATTTTATTGTCTTTCCTTTTTTCAATGTTAAATCTAAAAATGCATGTTTACAGATAATGTCAGAAAGAAAACGCGCTCATAATGAAGATGATTCCGATGATGCGAATTCGGAAATTGTAAAGCTATTTCTAAACCATTATCGAAGTTGCGCTGCGCGACTGCGGAAAATTGACTAAATTCCAAAAAAAAACAATGACAACGATCATGGTCCAAAACAAAATGTGTAGATTAATCCTGAAGATAGGTTGAAGACGCACACCACAGGCCAAGACTTCTATTTGATTAGTTTTTTGCCATTTAGCCAATTTCCCTTAGCTGCGCGATATCGATGATATGTATGTTAACGAAAATTAGATAAAACTTTAGTCCCGACCGCCGTTAACGAGATCACATAAAATTGAAAGAGATGATGACAAAAAGTTCAACCTCCTCCTTATTTTGACCGGAAGTGTAGCAGTTATTAAAGCGCCAGAACTTATTCAAAAACTCTATCAACGATGCGGAGAAGATAAAATTATTATTAAAGTAAGCACACATTGAAAAATGAGAAATCTAATAATTCAGGTGGTTGCAACTGAAAATGCGTTTAAAATGCTAAACTCACAGAAATTGGAAATTGATGAATTAATTTATCTCGATATGGATGAGTGGAACATGTGGAGAGAGCGCGGCGATCCGGTACTTCACATTGGTAAGATCTGTGGTGAATGAAAATCAATCAGTTTCGAAAACAATGTTTCGAAGTATTCTAAATTTTCAATCAATTACGATCTCAAAATTGAAAATTAGAAACGAATCAATTTCGAAGAGTTTTGAATTGAAACCATGTTTTCTAATCAAATTAAACACTTATCAAACGAATCAGGTTAAGTAATATTTAATTCTTGTTCGAACTTGATGGATTTTCATTTTTCTGAGGAACTCTATTGACATTCATAACAATTGCTCAGAACTTCGTAAGTGGGCTGATGCTATGTTAATTTCTCCATTGGACGCTAACACGATGGCAAAAATCGCGAACGGAATTTGTGACAATCTTGTCACATCAGTTATCAGAGCATGGGATTTCGAAAAGCCTGTTTATTTTGCACCTGCCATGAACACTTATATGTGGGAGAATCCGTTAACAGTGGGCCATAGGAATACGTTGAAATCGATTTTGCAGTTCAAGGTTTGGTTATAATGCATTTTATAATTGATTTTTTCTTTCAAGGAAATTTGTCCGATATCCAAAGAACTTATGTGCGGTGACAAAGGTCTTGGCGCGATGGCCGATACTGAAACAATATCCTCTTTGATTTCCGCTTTAGTTCGTGATCAACTTGCAGTTCGTTCTAGACACTAATTTCATAAAGATAACGCAAATAATTAAAAATTAAGTTTTTTTTTATTTACAATCGAAAAATAGCGTGAGTATCACAACAAGTGAAATGCACCGGAATCATGAATTTTCCGCCCTATTGTCGTTTTTGCACAAATGTAAAATCAAATGCACGACTGAAAAATGATTTGTTGATTTTTTCGAGAATCAATGCACGAGAATTAAAATTTAGTCTGGGCAGTTTAAATTTTAGGAAAACGAAAATAGATTTTTAAATTGTCTGACCAATATTATATACATTTTTGAGACTGCCTGCCGATTCAGTACAAGTTCCATTACAAAATTTGACTACGCAAAGTTTTCTAGTGTTGATTTGGGAATGATTTTTTGTTGAATTCCGAGTAGTTCGAGCTTCAATAATTGCCGAATGGCGACCAGAAGAAGTGCTTGAATCTGATGAGCTGCTCTGAAATTGATATTATTTTTGTCTTTGATTTGATTTCGAGAACAAACCGAAGCTGATGAAGTCCGGCCGTATTTTCTATTTTCAAGAAAAGTTAGAAGAGAGCAGATTAACTCGCACTGCTTTCCAAAAATCTGAAAATTGAATGTTGAAATGTATATTTATATGTAGTAAAAAACACTCCAGTACTGCAAATAGAGTGACCAGTATACTGGGTTCGTATCAGGGCTGTGCGGCAATCGGAAATTTCGGCAATTCGGCAAATTGCCGAAAATCAAAATTTCGGCAATCCGGCAATTCGGCAATTTGCCGAAAATCAAAATTTCGGCAATCCGGCAATTCGGCAATTTGCCGAAAATCAATATTTCGGCAATCCGGCAATTCGGCAATTTGCCGAAAATCAAAATTTCGGCTATTAAATGTTTTCAACGATAATTCGAAATATAAATACCGAATTTTCACGGTATCCCAAATTATTCAATGGACATTCCTTTTTGTTTCGCGATTTTTTTTTTGATATCAAATTGCCGAAAATCAAAATTTCGGCAAATCGGCAATTCGGCAAATTGCCGAAAATCAAAATTTCGGCAATTCGGCAATTCGGCAATTTGCCGATCGAACGTTCTCTTCGGCAATTCGGCAATTTGAAAAATCGGCAATTTCGGCAATCGGCAATTCCATTGCCGCACAGCCCTGGTTCGTATACACAATGCTATTTGCGCCGGAAACCGTTTAAGAGATACCATTTCCAGACGAATCGCATTGCGCAGACGGCTCCTGGTCACCCTATTTTCTAAAAATTTATTAATTTGTTTGAAAACACAATTACCACCATTAATCACTACATAGATGTAAAATGTATTTTCATGATTCCTTAACGTTTTTTTTGCCTGTGAACATTTTAGAAGGAATCAAAATTAAAACCGCAACACTCCTCGCGAAACAACTTCACTCTGATGTTCAAGGCGGAAATCCAAAAAAAATGCCGTAAGCCAGCCGGTTTGGCTTTCAGATTCGTTTGGCCATCACCCATCACTTTTTAAAAATAACATACCATTAAGAGATACATGGTCTCATCATCGTTTTGCTCGGAGCTATCTTCTCTGTTGTTCGATTCTTCATCGTTGAGATTCAGAAGCATGAGGTTTCTATCATTTTCTTGAATCTTCCAACTAACTTCATCGATTTTTTGAACCATCAAAAGTTCATTTGTTTCGTTTTCAATTATGTTTAGCCATTTGCCATTTATGCCAATAGAAACCTAAAATGTTCAAATAAATTGTATCAATTAAGAAAATTGGTGCCTGTGATATAGTGAATCCTTTGAATGAGTTAACTAATTTCCGAACCGAGACACGCGAGGACTTCAATTCGATGTTTCCCGAAAACCACGCACATCTTAAAACTATTATTTGGTTATTATGGCATTTTCGCTATTCTTACCCATAACTACTTGACTCGTGCAAAAGCAGTGTTAAAAAATGCTTCTCCTTTTCAATTAGACTCATTGATGAAAATTCGTTCCAAAATGCCAAAATCTTTTCTTCGTTCAACCTATATTTTTTTTTTATAATTTATAAATTTAAAACAAAAAACGTACGCCTTTTTATTGATAATTTTTCCGAATAATTTACGGCCTGTAATTTGATCGCAAAGTTTTTCCGGTAATATGTCTTCAATTTCATTTCTCGCAAATTGAATATCATGTAATTTTGTGTCGAATGCTCCATGTTCAATTGATAGAACTAATCCAGCAATTTTCAAAGCGTCTTCCAATTTAAGCTGAATTCGTCCGGATATTAACATTTCACGTGCATCTTTTGCAAGAATTTGAGCACATTTTGGGTCGGAATTTAATATCTGGATAAATAATCTTGAGTAATGTTTGAATAAACGGTCAATAAATTACTTCAAGTTCTCTTTGAAAATCCAATCCAACATTTCGTCTTAGCATCAAAATTGGCTCGTCTTGTGAATCGATTTCATTTTCATCGACAAACCTTTCCAACAGTATGGTTTTCCATCCTTTTCTAACTACATACGGAATATGGTATGGTTTCAATTGAATTTCTAAAACAGCTTAATCATGGAAGTACATATCGTTTTAAAACCAAGAAGTGGTGAGACCATCCATAGGGCGAATGACTCTTGAAATATGTTTGTGTTAATTTCGAATTCTCTTGACAATAAGTCGAGGATAGTTTTTGCATCCACGGCATTTCCATTTGAAATATTCACATCAACTGCGTTATCTAAAATTTTGCAACACAGATAAACGGCGGCATAGGCACAATGGAAGCATAGTGGAACGGCTGTGGATATCATAGGAATCTTATATGCAAGTTATATGGAAGCATAATGGAAGCATTTTTTTGCGGAACCGCGTGTTTCGTATATGGAATGAGCCGTATGCCTTCCATATGGGAAAATAAGAAAACAATTTGATTGCTGTATTCAAAATTTATTTCATATTAACACATTTATTTAATTTAAAATAAAAAAAACAACAATGAAATGAATTTCAATTAAGATATAATCAAACCATTAGTTACTGGCAACTGCCGAACTATTCGAATCATTGTCAGTACTGACATCGAGCGGGACGCTGTAATAAGTAGATTATAATGGGCCTATTAATTTGAAAAAACTTGTAAACCATTGTTACGTAAACTAAATTTTTCGAGAAAATACAATCAGTTTTTTTACATCAATAATTTTCTTAAAAATAAAAATAATTTATTTTTATTGCATTTTTGGAAACCCTTTAGTGCACAAAATAAAAAGTGAATTGGCGGAAGAAAGAACAACTCCAAAATTTGAAGCAAAAAGGCATTTTGGTTAAAATTTCAAAGACATATGAATACTCACATCTGAGGGTTGCTGGTAGAATCAAGCAGCTTCCTTAATTGCGCCGCGAGCGCTTCCGGCGCTACACCAAATTTCCTTTGAAGTCGTTGGCGCATTCTATCGCTTAATCAAATAAATAAATTAATAGTCATAGTTCAAAATCTTACAGAAGATTATCCATGACTTCTCGAACCATGCGTAATGCTTTCGCTTTGAAGTCATTTGTCGGTTGTTGCCCAAAGCCATGGATAAGAGCATCTGTAATATAGATATTTGCAATAAAGTATAGGATCTTTATATAGTCGGCGTCTGGCGACTTCTGTACTAGAGCCCCACTTAAAAAGATAAATGCCACTGAATGATATTGGTACGAAGGCTGTACGGCAATCGGAAATTTCGGCGATTCGGCTAATGGCAAATTACCGATCGAAATTTTCTTCGGCAATTTGAAAAACCGGCAATTTCGGCAATCGGCAATTCCATTGCCGCACAGCCCTGATTGGAACCAAATAATCAACAAGCTTTAAACTTAGGAAGTACTTTATAAAGACTTCATTGCGCATATTTTTCTAATTGAAACCATTTCTGGAGTCGAACAGGCCAATTTTTGATGATAACAACTTACAAATTGGGCGTACGAAGGTTTAGGAATTGGCGTTGATTTTGTTGTTTGTGAGGACTGTGGAGAAAAATTTTTTTGCTGAGTTGGCGAGTAAATTGGACTATCTGGATCTGAAGTGTCGAGCGAATTTGGTTCCATGTTAGGGACTTCTGGTTCTTTGTTATTGACTTCTAGAGCAGTTTCAGTTATATCTGACAACACTCTCGATCTTGTCTTCATCTGTAAAAAATTTCAAAACATTATGTTTTATTAAAAGAAAAAAGCGAGCGATAATAAAAAATATGTTAAAGTAAATAAAAATAAAACGGATTCGATGAGAAATTAAACACAATTCGATTGAGAAAATATTTAAATTCGATTTTAAAAGTGTCGGAAACGATTTGAAAACATCGTATCGATTTTAAAATTTTCGAATGCTATCAATTTATTTTTGGTTTCGATTTTGATGATAAATATGAAAATTTTTCCTTTATTTTTTAAAAACATTTTTCCTTTAATTTTGAAAAAAATTCTTTAATTTTTGACAAAAAAAAACACAAAAAATCTTGAAAATTCATTGAGAAAAAGCAAAAGGACAAAAATTTTGAAAACGAATTTCGAAAATGTGAGGCGTGGCCGCATTGTGCAAAGCGGCGCACGGTTTTGCAATGCTGCGGCACGCCTCTTCTACGCGCGTCTGCTACCAGTTTGGAGCAAATTGTGAGTAGTTTGCGATGCCAATTTCGGAAAAACCGGCAAAAATATATTAATACGACTAAATTGTAGTTGGCAATCTTTAAACAAAGTGAGGAACAGTTGACTGAATTAACATAAATCTGAGTAGCATAAGTCATTAAATGGTAGAAGCTAAATTTCGTATGTTGTGTATCATGTAATTTTCAAATTTTCATTGTTTATATGATAGCATAAGTTTTTTGTATTGATTTTTCTAGAAATTGTCTTGGTCTGCCGTCCAGACGCCAATTGTATAATGTTTATTGACATATGATTATTTTATCCATATTCCATCCATATTTGTTCCACGGCTCGCAAACACCGGAAGCATATTCATCCCGTTTTCATTCCATCCATATTCGTCCCATAATTCTTCCACAGCCACTAAGAATTACATTATGCTTCCTATATGGAAGCATTATGCTTCCGTTCCACAGATTTCCCACAATGCTTCCATTATGCTTGCGTCGCGCTTAATCAGTGAATGAAATACTACAGGACATGACGTCATTCTTTTCTCAATCAAAATGTTTGTGTCGAACATACCAATATCAGAGCAGTTGGTTTCGGTTATTATTCTTGACAAGTATATACGGAACTTGACTTCTCTCTCTGTTTTACTTTCCATCGAATCAATGCTCGTTTGATAGTTTTGGAAAGCTCCAGTAATTGGTGTTGCCATGCTCATATTCTGGCGTGAAGAAAACATCTCTTCCTGAAATTAATTGAAGTGAAATAGAGATATATATTAAACAAGTATATTTCATGGCAAAATTTTCTTTTTTTTTTTAATTTTATATATTACAACATGAAAATTTGTGAAGCATATGACATAGATGTGTATTGAATAAAAACTGTGGAAATACATAGAATTTACAATAATTTCTCTGAACACCTCGTTTGGTTTGGAGAGATGATTTTCATTAGTGTTGTAGAGATACGGACAACAAAAATGATAATGAAACCTTACATGAATTGCATGCACCGGCAGCGACACATTTTGATGTTTGCTGATTCCTCGTCGGTATTCATCCGAATTAGTTGCTATAAAAATAACAAAATTCGTATAATCGTCGTCCGGCGACTGCTGTACGCGGGTAGATTTACGCGCATGCTCTTTGAAAAGGTCTTACAACGTGTGAGCACTTATTTTGCCGTTTTCACGTGAACGATTAATTTTTTCGTGATGAGTTTGACATTTCCTTGAACGAAGTCATTCCATTAAAAATTTATCGAACCGACCCATAAAATGCAAAATAATCCGTTACCGCGTACAGCTTTCGCCGAACGCATACCACTTTCATGTAAGAGCTTTAAGGTTTACTATTTTTTTTTAATTTACGAAATTAACATTGCACCTGAAATATTGTGTCATGTTTTCGCAGTTTGGTTTTTCAAATTTTTTTTCATAATTTTATTGTGGAAATTAAAATTTTATCCAAGTTTAAAACCTTTACATCAATGGTCCATTAAGTATCAATTTTTTGTGAAACGTTTAGAAAGAATACAAATCGACTGCTGATTCTGAGGTTTCATACGGTCTGCGATAACAAGAATCAACACAAAAACGCGTCTGAAATAGGTACAGTATGCTCGTGATATTTAGTAGAAAGAAATTTGGATACTGTAGACTGCATTTGTGCGTCGAATCTTACTGCGGACAGTATCTACAATCGTTTTGTTTTGTTTTCTCATTTTTTTGCTATGAAATTAGTCGTTTTTGAAGAAATCTATTATCGACATCGTGGGGCTGCGGAAAATTGGTTTTTCATTTGATCTTTGCAAATTTATTCATTTATCATTTACTCAAGGTTTGTTCAACTAAATTTGTGGTATTTATGTTTTTTTTAAGAGAAGATTCTGTCAAAACTCCTTATTGGGGAGTTAGAAAATCTGAAAGGTCGCTTACTCGTTGTTTTATTACTTTCTGCTTGAGATGCGGATTGCTGCGGATCCATTTTTCCGAAAGAATATTTTTCAAGTTCTGAAATGTTCGAGAATGACATTAGTCACTTTTATTTGAATAATATAAATAAGCAAGTAAGAAAGTGGTGCGATGAGTCGCTTGTCGCAATAAAAAATCGATGACTGGCGCATTTGTGGTGCACTCACAAACATTGGCTATGCGAGAGAAAGAAACGAGGAAACATCACATGGTCGAATGATGTCAACACTGAAACTAACACAATGGTGCCATCTATCCTTCTGGCAATTTCGTAATCTAAAAAATTGAACCAAAAACTCATTTCAGTGCAATTTTCCTTGCAAATCGACAAATTTAATTTTGCAATGGTCCCATTGGAAAATGTATCTTCATTTATTCAAAAACTGCAAGAAATAGATTTGTAATAAAAATGCAGTTTTGTGCACTTTTTAGAGATTTCCGGAAATTTTTTTGGGGAATATGAACTCCAATTTGGGTGTCTAAAAATGTTTTTTTTTAAGATGGTTTATATATTATAACATTGTATGTAGGGAAATGAAAAATTAATTGCAAAAATCAACAAAGATTGAAGGAACCTAATTTAACCTAATCTCTTCAAATGTTGAATAAACTTCTTATTTTTTACGAAAGTAAACAAACTCCAATCGAAAATTGTGAAATTTGTTTCTTGCTGATGACTGGGAAGAATTCTTCTCACATATGTACATGTCTTCAGACATTTACAGTAATTTCTATTTGAAAAATGTTTTCGATTTTCCAAAAATTTTTCAGTCAGACCCCCGAAGATAGTTATAACACCACGAAATATTGTTTTTTATCGGAACATATCCAAATTGGGTATGAATCATATCGGGTGCATAAGGCTCCCTAATGTATTGAAAAAGGGTAAATTCGAAAATCAAATTATCTTGCATACGGTAGCTCACAATACACTATTTATAAATAAAAATAATTAATGTAAAAAACTTGTTTTGACTATAGCGTTCTCTAATTTTTGTTGTTATTTAAAACAGAACAGACAATCAAAGATCAACGAAGTGATTTAATGAACACTGTCATCGTCAAAATCAGTGTATGTCTTCGAAGAAATTTTTTGAAAATTCCGAACAATCATATAGGACTCGAATATACTCTAATACTTTAATTTTCAAAACAATTCAATATCATGTGATTCTAGAAACTAAAAACATCAATCGTCGGCCGGATTCTTCAGCTCTACGACATCACTGAATTTATGATGTCCATGATAACTTTTCTGACTTCGTTTGTATGAGTTGTTTTCGCTCACCCAGCGAACAACTCGGACATTGGATTTCGAAATGAAGTGAAAAATTTGCCCATTTTCCCCTTTGCTTCGAAAACGCCGTAACTCTGGAAAAGTGGACCTCTAAGTTTGTAGCAGACAGTCGTGAATACCAGGCAAGATTATAAATTTGAGTCCAGAATAAAAATTGTCGCAGTTGTATTTTGCTATTGTTCGCGGTTAGACATTCGGAACGGTGTCGAAGACTTTAGAACACGAAATAACGAGTTATTCAAAAGTTTGGAGTACTATTCAAAATCAAACCGAAAATCTATTGAATCTTCTTTAAGGGATCTTTTCACGACAAAAAATGTTTTAAAAAATATTGACTTTTCAATGGGCATGAAAAAACAAATTCAATGCAATTTTTTAAATTTTTTTTTTTGAAAAAATAGCATTTCACGGACCATGATACTCCTCTAACTAAAAATGTCGTTGAAATTGAGTATTTGAGTATACAGAATTAATTATGCGTCCAACAATATAGTAAGAAACTAGATTTTTTAAACTTTCTAAAAATTTAAAATTTTCTGAGAAAAAAAAAATCAATCGTAAAATATTTAAATGAAATTTGTGCTTTTTAATTTTTTTTCTGAAATATTTGCGTCACGGTGTTTGCACGAATTTTCACACGCTACCATTATTTATATATTTTTTGAGCCATGAGTGTTAATAAATCAGGATCAAAGAATTAAAAAGAATGAAATTTGCGATAAATAATTTTTTTTGCGATAAATAATCGATTCAATAATTTTACTGAGAAAATGTTTTATTTCTTTATCCGAAACGACATCACTATATGATATAATTGTAGAAGAAACTATTGGACAACTGTTCCCTAGCGTTTAAAAGTTTCTAAAAATCAACAGAAAAAAAATGGAAAAGCTAAGAATAGAATATATCAGAAATAAAACAACGTTTTAACGTATACAAATTATGTTGTCTAACCGCCATGATGGTTAAGCGCAACTGAGAGTTTGCGGCCTTCCTAAACATGCAGTTGAATATGGTTTAATACATATGAAGAGAGTGCCGACCTGTCGACACGAAGACTGGTGTTTGGGTGGCAGAGACGTGACTATATCTTTTCGGAAAAAACAATTTCATCATAGAATCGCGGACCTTAAATTGTAATAAATACATTTGAAATTAAAAATGAATTTTGAAAACCTTCGAGCTGAATAGAAGAACCCATGGGGAGTTAAATGTTAGCGCATCACTAGTGAACGGAAGAAGAGTCTGGGCAATTTTGTAAAGAGGGGCGTCCTGGTTTCCAGTCGATAACTTGTTGAAACCCTATTATTTGTTTTATTTGTATTCGTTTTCTATTTGTTGCAATCGTACCGTATTCGATGCAGCGAATAATTCAATTACGAATGAGGCGAAGCTCACGAATAACAGGTTTCGTTCTGCCGTCGCAATATTCGCCGACATTAATCCCAATCGACAAACAGATAATACATTGATGATGGCTGTTATTGCGGTGCAAACAATCAGAAATGCAAATACACTGTTGTAAATTTGTGCGGAGTTCTGAAAACGAGCATATGCAGGCAAATTAGAGGTTTAAAATTACAGCTTCCGTCTTTACAGCATAGCAATCGAGAACAGCCGTGTATGTGTAGTAAGCCCGATTGAGAAAAACCTCATAAGTTTGAGTAAACGGGAAGATCGTGATGATAACCATTATAAATGCAAAACTCTTGTCCCAATACTGAAATATGAATACCGTATAGTTGAAGGATATTAACAATAAACAGTTTTTAAAACTGCATTTGTGATTTTTTTTTTGAAGTTATCATCAAGATTAAAAGCCATGCATTTGTCATCAAGATTTGCCAATTTTAACGAAAATTGTTTTCATAATTATTTAAGACCAACCCTTTCAAAGTTCGGAATAAGAAATATCATGCACATTCGATTGAGAGACGTCAAGAATATCATCGAATATTGTATGAAACCCATACTGTAGTGAATTGTGAAAAAAAAATTTAACGGAAAATGCGTATAATTCGTATCGCTGTGAGCTTTGAATAGAAATGACATATAACAGTTTTCGCATGTATTTTGAGGGACTATGAGAGTGATCAACGTGTTTAAGAATGTTATAAGGTTCTGTAAACTCAAATTATTAAAATAAGCTGAAAACAAACACTTACGAAGAAGTAAGAAGCTATATACAACTTGAAAAATGAATTACTGTATTCTTTCCAATAGCGGAACATCATGTATACAATAAGGGTTTCGAGAAGAAGCGAAATGGAACCATACGAGAACGTAACAGCAAATTTGATGGTGAACATTTATGACGCTTCAAATTTGACTGGTTATTTGTTGAGCCAGGACCAAACACAAAATGCAAAATGAGCTTGGCAAACTTTTCTCGATATCAGCAATTAATCATGATCGCTAGGGAATTTCAAGCAACGTCTACGCCCGCCTACAATCAACGAAATCGCAATTATTCGTATGTTGCAATTTTCGAAAATGAGTTCGTCATCAGCGAAATACCTAAATCGGCACTCGATTTGAATCACGGAAAGACTTTTTTAATTATGTGAATGTGTTTCTTTTAAGTGCTAACATTTTCAGATTTCACCTGCATTAAAGTTATCAACATTGAAATAGTCTGGAAATTTTTTATAGAATGCATCCCGTTCAAACTAGAAAATAGCAGGATATAAAAGCAAAAAAAGAATTTATCAAGAGCAATTAGTCTGAGAATTTCTATTTTATTCCGAAAACGGTCTCTCAGCGAATTTTAGGGCAGGTCGCTCGAGGATAAGGGGCAAATTGCCGTTCTGTGTGAGTCGCCCAAAACTTGAGATATATGAAAAGATGGTCCTTAAACATTCGGGATTCACGTATTTGGCGACAGTAATATCACCCCATTATTTCCCGCTACGTAAATAAATAAAATAAATCAAAAAGTGATCATGAAATATATCGAAAACTAAAATGACAAAATGAGGATAATTTTTAATCGAAAAAGTTGAATTCTGTAAGGACCTGATTTATCTACTTATCACCGTCGTAAAAAAAACGAGCTCCTTGCGGACGATCGTATTTTTTCGGGAAATAAAAATGTGGAAATAAATTATAGGAGATTGAGTACAGTACTACGGATAACCAGCGAATCAATAGACGTAGGCTCATTTTTTTGCGACTGTAAAAAAATTCTCACATCGATTAAATGTTGCGTAGAAGGAAAATGAAAGCTTTATAGAAATCTTTTTTTTAGTTCTTTTTTCCCAAAATATGCATAGTAAAAGCATATTCGCATTTATTCAAAAAAAAATCTAAAATAAGGCTAGCAAAGTTTTGTAAAATGAAATTCGAACTGATCATTATTACCGCCTAGTGTGAGAACAAAATTTGTTTAGATGATATTAGCACTGGCTGGAATCGTTCGATCGTGGGAATCTACAAAGGGAATTGCCGGAATATGATTCATGAAATACAATTTTATGATCAGGCTAGAGTTTTAGATTCCCGATGATTCCGTTTATCTGTCATTAATTACTGTGAACTCTTTAACGTCAACAATACACATAAATTATAAATATCATGTCGCGGTTTGTTCTAATTACGCAATTATAATTATTTTAATATAATCCTATAGAAATGAGTCATTTGAGTATTTTGATCAAAACGAACTTTGGCTTTAAATCTGACAATATTAGTGATGAGCCGGATGATTAATTTTACAATTCTCAATCCCTTGGCGAACTTTGGTTTGTGTTCACCCAAAAAGGCAAACCTGGGGCGATTCGCTTTGGACGATTTTTTCGGTCGTACCGTCAGAGTTTTTTTTTACTGATTTTTTAAAATTAAAGAGGAAACCTAATCCAGAATGAACTATTGTTCTATTTAATAGTACCATTTCCTTCGAATCCCCTCTTTCCCATTTTTATCTTCTCATGCAAGATTTACTCACGTTTTAAAGATTTTTTAAAATTAAAAAGCCCCTCGCAGGTTGAAAATCAATGCGGACAGTGGAAAAATGCATAAAGGCGGCTTGCAGGGTCCATGTATTAGTTGCCTTCATCGCAAATTTCCCCACTGGCCTCGGAAAATGTCGGCATATGCATAAAATGAAGTTTTTTCTCGCTATGATTTGAAAAACAGGCTGCTCAAACCCATTTTTAACAACCTTGGTTGGTAGATTTATAAAGTAATCTTGTCTGCCAATGAACAATGTGTATTTTGTTATTTTTGAGTCTGTAAGTGCCTTGAATTTTCAATAGAACACGAAAATTATCGAGCTGAGAGCTATAATATGAAATAATCAGCTAGTTCGGGCGAGATCATATCGAAAAGAGTACCGCAATCGCCGGACCTTGACAATCGATTTTGCAGAATCTGAAGTTTTTTCGCCTTGAAGAGTCGGCCTCACGATTCAAAGTGAATATCTCTTCATTATTTCATATCATTCATCGTCCTTAATATGTATTATTCAAACATTGGTTTTTGTGAATCTTCGCTTTATTGCTTTATCAATAATGGCAATGGCAATGAAAATCAATCAAACTAAATTGAGAACATACAAAAAATGATATTCTAAGAAAAACTAGTTATTCAATAGAACGTATAGTGTTCTTTTGAAATCAGATGCTGCAAGTCGTCAAGTGCATTACAGTCCGCGTGCGTTCACATGTTTTTATCTATTGTCATGTCCGCAGAACCATCTCATGACTGCTGTACGCGGGTAGATTTACGGTGATGTGTCTTTCACTTGGTCTCGCACGGACAAACAGGTTGTTTTGCATTTTATGCGTCGGTTTGATAATTTCTTAATGGAATGATGTTGAAAATTCCAAAAAATGTCAAACTCATCAATCAAAAAATTAACCGCTTACGGAATAAGGGTTCACACGTGAGGAGTGTCAAATTCCGCGGGAATTCGACGAAAAAGGAGGAAAAAAAATGAGGGAAATCGATAATATCTCTCGCGGAGAGAGAGTGTGTGAACGGAGAGAGCGCGCGCCAAAGGGTAGAGATAACGCGCGCTGAGGGAAAGACAACGGGCGCAAAGGAGGCGCAGGGGGAGAAGTTAAAGGCCGGCACATTAATGCCGCTTGGATTTCTCGCGGCGCGGGGCGACAGTAACCTAACGGCGGCGTTAGGAGGTTTTTAAAAAACGTTTTTTTTTGGCTTTTGTTTTTTTTTAACGGGATTCAAATTCTATTATTCTAATTGCGGATTATGGAGCGATCTCGCGGAGGAAGGAGAGTCGCGATTCAAGGGGAAGAGAACCTCCCAGGTATGTAGTATAACTTTGGTAGAGTTCCCCGAATTGGCGGCGCGGCCGCGTGGGAGGTATTGGGGGGTTTTCTTTTCCCATTAAGACGACGCGGCCGTGGGAGGGGAGTCGGGAGCATTGCCCTTGCGAAGGGCCGGAGTTAAGTGATGACAGAAGGCTCAAGCCGTCCATTTGGGCGGCGATGAAGAGCTTCTGACTGATAACTTCGTTCTTGCCACACGAAAATTTGTTCCTTCGGGGACGTTGAATTCTGGGCGGGGCCCAGAATTTTCAAATGGTGCATCGACCGGGAATCGAACCCGGGCCGCCCGCGTGGCAGGCGAGCAATCTACCACTGAACCACCGATGCGGGTGGGGGTGGATCCAATGCATGTGGGGCGTCCCCACATGCATTGGATCCACCCCCACCCGACCGTTGGACGATTTTGTTAATTGTTTTCGTTCATTTATTGTAAGATAAATGGTTGTTGATAACAGTGCTTAAATTGGAGTCTAGAGGAGTTGAGATCTCCTGAGTTACCTAAAACGCCGAGGGCGGATTGAGATATCGAGAATTTAGGAAGACTCATGACACCAATCAATGACACGCCTAAAAGGCGTACGAGAAGCGCGGGAGGCAGCGGGCCGTTGCGCAAGCGTGCTTCCACGGGAAGTTCGAGTGACAAGGTCGAGGGGCAAGTGGCAGCCGACGATAGCAGCGTGGCGAAGCCGAGTAGTGCAGGGGGCCAGCTTGGGCCGACCATTCCCAAGAAGTCTAAGAGCGGAGAGTTTGTTACTAAAGCTCTACTCGAGACTACTGGAGAAATGTGGGAGGAGAGGGTCGACAAGCGATGCCAGGAGCGCGCCAAGAGGTAAGCGAGAGATAGAATCCGTGAGTAACTATAGAGGTGTTAAGGCATACGGAGAATTGTTGTACCTCCAGAGGTATTCTGTTGTGTCTCGAGAAATTTGTCGTCGTAAATGGAAGACGGGATTTAAAGAGATGTTTTGCAGAACATCGTTATGAGTAACCGAACAACTGCTATCGTCACGGTCTATAAGACGCAAGTGACACGCCGCGTGGCCGCCGCCACCAAACATGGAGCGGCTGCGGCGGCGTATTTAAGGGGACTGGAGAGAACTGAGCCCTCGATGGAGGAGCTGTTGGCTGCAAGGCCGATATGGACGGCGCTCCTGAAAGCGCTCCAGGGTCTTGAGGGAGTGGGCGCCTTGGAGGCGGAGTGCTTGCGTAAGCTAAGCGCCCTCAAGGTGTCTGAGAGTGCTTTGAGCGCGGCTCAAAGGGCGATGGAAGAGCATAAGAGAACGCGGGATTACATGCGCGTTCTGCTCGCTACCATTCGCGAGGTGAATGAATTTGAGGAGTACATGGCAAAGCTATGGGAAGCGTTCCCTGAGGAACCTAAAATTGAAGAGAACGAGGTTAAGGAAGAGGAGCTTGCGGTCCATGACTTGGTTGATCAAGTGGCGAGCCAAGTCGAGGCGGAGCTCGAGCAGCGGATTGCTCCAGAGTTTACGAGCACTGAGCTCGGACGAGGAGAGGATGAGATCCTCGAGAACAGCGAGGGACGTTACGGCTCTTGCCTGGACGCCGGTCACGCTGTTGATGTCGGCCTCCCACGGCAGGGGGCTGCCGCGGAGAAGGTCGAGAGGCGGGAGGCGAGACCAGCTCTCAGAGGACTCGAAGAGGAGATAGAGACGGCATCGCCGGTGGAGCGATCGCCCTTCGGGAGCGGATCGGCTACCTCTCCGGCAAGAGACCGAGGAACGCGCGGCGTGGCCACGTTTCGTTTGCCCACTATTGAGATCCCCAGTTTCGACGGTGAGCGGGGAGACTTTGATACCTTCTACGAGATCTTTATGTTTGCGGTGGGCAACAACGAGGAGCTGGACACCTCAACGAAACTGATTTTGCTGTTGAGCAAGCTCAAAGGACGCGCGGCGAGAGTGATAGAGGGGCTCCCGCGTACCGCTTCATCTTATGAGGAAGCATGGAGGTTACTGAAAAGACGGTATCAGGTGGATCAGGAACGAGAGCAAGAGTGGATCCATGAGTTTGAGTGTCTCCGATTGCCGCGAAACGCGAACCCATTGGAGATGCAAGACTTATTGGATCGTTGCGAAGGCGTAATTCGTCGCCTCGCCCGGTTCAATCTGGGCAGAGCGCCGATGATGGCAAGCCGGTTGCTGGAAAAGTTCCCAGGGAGCGTACAGGAAAAGATTGATAGACAGATGGCGCGGTACCATGTGTCTTTCGATATCTGGACCATGATAGAAGAGCTCCAGCAAACCCTTCGTACAGAGGTGCTTCTGTACCGAAGGCACCTAGACCGGCAGAGATCGTCACAGAAAGGGGAGTTCCCGCGGGAGTACATGTGGGAACCGGAGGACGCGCGGATCCACACCGCCCTGGCTGAGGAGCATCGACCGTACCAGATGACGCGGTCATCGAACTGGCGTGGGCTCGAAGGAAAAACGACGCACGGGAGGGGAAATAGAGAGATGGGAAATGGCGTGAAAAGGAATGGCGGGCAAGAGCAGAACGCTTTTCGGTGCCCCTTTGACGGGGGTGACCACCGAGCGTTGGATTGTTGGCTCGAATTGTCGCAGAAGAGGGCGGTAGCTCGTAGTGGAAGGTTGTGCTGGAACTGTCTAAGCCCCAACCACTTCGCCAGTCAATGCCATGCGGAGCCGTGTAGGAAGTGTGGAGATAAGCACCACACCTCGCTCTGCCCCTCCGGCGGGAGTAGCCGTCGGTTTTTTCGAGGCCACGCTAGCAATTAGCGAGGCCACGTCGGTCGAGCCCTCTGCGAAGGCGGCAGAGAGGCTCGAAAACAGGGAGTCAGGGGACTCCTTACCGCCTTGCGTAACTGGGGGGAACTCACTGGTGTTGGTGAGTCTCCAAAGAGACGCCACCCTGCCAGTAATTAAACACGCTGTTGCGGGACAGTCGATGTGCATATTAGTGGACAGCGGAGCGAACCAGAGTCTGGTGTTGCAGTGGGTGGCAGAGAGTATGAGGTTGAAACGCCTCTGCGGACGTACAGTTAAAGTGTCAGGGGTGGGAGGAACCTCACAGATGTTAGACACTGCCGTTTATGAAGTTCCATTGGCGGCAGGAGAGTTCCTATTGGAGGTAGAGGCTACGGCAATTCCGCGCATCTGTCATGAAGTCGATCGCCAATTCCTCAGGAGGGCGGAGGAAGGCGAGGAAGGGACTATAGAATCTGAAAGGGTCGAGATCGGACTATTGATTGGTATGGACCATTGGGTAAAGGTCATGAAAGGAGCGAAGCTCTCAGGACTGTCGAATGGACAGGTCCTGCTAGAAACCCCACTCGGATCGTGTGTGTGTGGGAGACCGACCGTCGCCGAGCCGATGTCAGTAAATGTCGGAGTCTTGTCGGACGATGAGAAAGTGGCCCAAATGTGGAACTTAGACTATCTGGGAATCCAGATGCCCGCCAGTGCGAAAGGGGCATCAGAGAGCGAGCAAGTTGTGCGGGAATACCTAGAGAAGGTAGAGGTGGGGGACGGAGAAGTTCACGTAGCCATCCCATTCAATGGGAAGGAGAAGAGGTTGAGCTCGAACTACCCGGTGGCGCACCGACGGCTCGTGTCGCAATTTCACTCCCTGAGAAAGAAGCCGAACGCGCTGGTGGAGTATGACAAAACCATCCAGACACAGTTGGCCAGTGGAATTATTGAGGCATGCGATGAGCTAGATGGCGAGGGCGCGGCTCGTGGGCCATGCTACTACATCCCACACTCTCGAGTGTTGAAACCAGATTCGAACACTACCAAGGTGAGGGTGGTGTTAGATTGCTCGTCACACATGCGGGGGAAACTGTCGTTGAACGATTGCGTCCATAATGGACCCTCGGTGTTGCGGAGTCTGATGGGCATATTACTGAGGGCGCGGGTGCCCAAGATCCTCATTGCCGCCGATATTGAGAAAGCGTTTCATCAGATCAGGATCAAAGAGGCGGACAGGGACGCGGTTCGGTTTCTGTGGTGGAAGGATTTGAAGGAAGGGCCGGTCCCTGGAAACGTGCAGACGTTTCGGTTCACGCGGTTACCATTCGGATTAGGGCCCTCGCCCTTTCTCCTGTCTGTGTCGATCCTCATGCACTTGAGACTCAATCCACATAAGTTGAATAAAGAGGTGGAGGAGAACATTTATGTGGACAATGTTCAACTTGGGGCCGAGTCTGACGAAGAAGCGGTCCAGAAGTGCCGGGAGGTCAAACAGATCTTTGCTGGGATGCGAATGAACTTGAGGGAGTTCGAGACCAACAGTGCAGCGGTGAGCCAACAGATACCAGAGGAAGATCGTCAGCCGAAGGCTGTCGTCAGCCTGCTTGGCATGGTGTGGGATACGGAGAAGGACAGCCTGAGCATCAAGTTTCCCGAAAGGCCGAAAGGGGCAAGGGCGCGGCCCACTAAGAGGAACATCCTCGCCCATCAGGCGTCGATTTTTGACCCCTTAGGGATGGTAGCCCCACTCGCTACGAAGCTCAAACAGTTCTTTCAGTATCAGTGTGAGCGCTCGATCGAGTATGATCGATCTTGGTAGCGAAAATCGATCGGGATCGATCGATCTTTCTAAAAATCGATCGAGCGCTCGAGATCGATCGATCCCGAGATCGAACTTACCTGTGCTCGATCGATCCCGGGATCGATCGAGATCGAGCGCGTTCGATCTCCATCGAGCGCTCGATCGATCGCTAACGCTCGATCGATTTTGGTCGATCTTTTGTGAGCGCTCGATCGATCTTGGTCGATCTTTTGTGTCTTTTTTTTAAACACATCTCATGAAATGTGAAGAATGCCATCATGTAGCAAACTTTTCGTAGATTCCGAATTTGCTTTCAAAAAATTACGAAAGTCTCCATTCTTTTCCATGCTGCAGGTATTTCGATGACTAAAAAAGTTAGTTCTAGTTAGCAAATTTTATTGAGATTTGAACCGTAGTCTCTCGAGAGTTTTTCCTAAACGGTGAATGAAAAATATATATAGGTCACCGCGGAAAATGTTTAAAAAATTTATCTTAGAGTTAAAAAGTTTGAAATTTTTGGGTAAAAACTTGTTGGAAATAGACGTTACGAATGAATTCAGCAGACCCGAATGTAGTAAAATCTGTTTAGAAAGTTACCGTAAATGATCTGAAAATAGGCGAAATAGCCGAAAATGAAATTTTTTCATAGACATTGCATGATACTTGTCATACGTTTTGTCCTGACTCCACCCCCTTATTGCAGTCCCTGATTGGCTAAATACTACATTGCGAAAAAAACGAGTCCCGCTGCAAACACGCCCTAATGCACCTCGAAAACGCGACGCGTAGCGCGTTTCGAATCGCGAATTTGAAATAATTTTCGAAAACTTTATATAATTGCAAATTTTTCTCGCTTTAAGAGGCTGTTTCACATAAAACTCCGTAATTCAATGGCAGTTTATGCAATTTTTTATTCGTTGGATCGTTCTCAAATTTTTTTTAAATTGGAAACATTATTTATTATTATTTTTTTAGAATGACATCCATTGCGTGGGATTTTATTCGCAAACCTACTGATCCCACTACTCAGTATATTAAGTGTCCAGTTTGCAAAGTGAATATAAGTTATAATAAAAGTACAACCAATCTCATCCGACACGCAAAGTCGCAGCATTTGGAAAAGTTTGAGAACATTTTGAACTCCAAGGTTTTTTTTTTATTTTTTTAAATAAAACATTTTTTTAATTTAGAGTAAACGGGTCATTGAAAAAGAAACTATTGGAGCACCAATATATAAGGAATGGGAATTGGAAATCACGAAGTTTGAATATTTTCGTTTTTTTTAACTATAATATAACACATTCCAGAGCTTTTTGCACAGGAGGAATCCCTTTCCGTTTTGCAGCCAATCAAAATTTTATCAGAACTTACAAACTCTTAGATCAATCTGCTGTCGTGCCCACTCCTAAAATGATTGCACATCACGTTGAGAAGATATCTCAAATTTACTTAGATGATATGAAAGGCAAATTAAGAAATGTGAAGTCATTTACATTAGTGACGGATGGCTATGGCGAAATAAGAAAAGATCGAAACTTCTACAGTTGCCAGATTTTTTTCGTCTCTGAAGATTACAAACGAAAGAACGCCTTTTGTGGAATTCGTCACGTCGCTAAAAGCACAGCCGCCGATATTGCTGAATCGATATGCTCTTTACTTCAACGAGTAGGAATAAACTTAAGCATGTGCGAACTAACATGCACAGATGGAGCTTCGAATTTGCGCTCGTTTTCAACTGGTCATTTTCTCAAAAACGTGCATTGTGGCTGTCATTTTCTCGATCTAGCATTCGAGGAGTTTTCAAAATTGAAGAAGGTTGAACCAATTATGGGAAATGCACAAAATTTGTCATCATATCTCTCTCGAAATAAGAGCGTCCGAAGTGAAGTCAGAGAAAACGCAAAAGCCTTCCCGAGCACGGCACCCTTGCCGCAGTGTTTGTCACCGACTAGATGGGCTTCGATGTATCTATTATTAAACAGCTATCAAAAGAATTTGAAATCGTTAGTGGCAGTAAGGCAACTTCAAAAATTGTTATTGTCCGCAGCACAGCAAAAAGTTTTGGATGAGATTATCGATGTTCTGGAGCCAGTTTATATTGTTCTTCTTAAGGTAACCAATTATATTTGTATTCATTTATTTGATTATTTATTTAGTTTGAGCGCGAAAACTCGTATGCATCGGAGATCATCCCAAATTTCATAAAACTCGAAGACAAGTTGGACAAAATGGGAACCTCGCTAGCTATAAAAATGGCAAAGATTCTGAAATTTAGGTTTTTTTTTTAAAATTTTTTAAGCTATCGGGAAAATGAAGCCTTTACAGATTCGCGCAATCTTATAAGGAAAATGACGCTCTGCAGCTCGCTATGTTGTTGGATCCCCGCTTCAGCTTCGTGCCAAATCTAGAAACGTCATGGGATAAATGTGAAGAACTTCTTATCAAAAAACATGAAACCAGTGCTCAAAGAGACCTAAGTTCATCACAATCAAATGATTCCGATTCGGACGATGGAATGAACTCATTTTTGAAAAGAAGGCTTGAGGTGCGGTCTTCTGAGAAAACAATAAAAGTAATTTTAATAATGGAGTACTACTTTGGTAAAATATTAATTTTAGTCAGAAATATTGCATTACAAAGCAATACTCTCAACAAATCGGCCATCGGCCAAATCTGACCCGCTTTCTTTTTGGGCCGGTCAATCTGCTCATTTTCCCATATTAGGAAATTTCGCAAAGGTGTATCTGAGTTGCCCAGCTTCTAGTTCCTCAGCGGAGCGACTTTTTCGTAAGTTATTTAGAAATTTTTTATAACTATTATCGGTGTCTACTACGTAAAATTGGCAAAATGCCAAAACAATGAAGAATATATGTGCGCTTTCAACCTATTTTTATGCGTAATCCGTTCCAAATTTTTTTAATTTGAGAATTTTCAATAGTCGCTCAACGCCGACAATATGTATGTATGCCGATTTATTTTGCAAATGAGTGTTTACTATTACACCGATTATATTTGTCATAATTTCAGAAAATGTTCTGATATTTTGCGAAACAAAAAACGCAATCGAATGAAACCGGACACAGTGTCCAATATTTTATTAACTTCTGCTCTCGCGAAAGAGTAAGTGCAAAAATTTAGGAAAAAATTGATTTTATATTTCAGACATTGGGAGGATAATGAAGAAGACGTAGATTCAAACTATGATATTCTTGATTTCGCCATAGAAGACGACGAAAAAATGCAGGATGACGAGGACGAACTTGAAGACGCGCAACAGCAAAGGGAGGAGTATAGACAAGAGGACGACATTGAAGGTGAACAAGAACTAAATTTCGAAATCGAAGACATTCAGGAAAGCAATTTTTAAAAAACTACACTGCTCCACAAAAGTTTAACCTCACCCATTTTTTTTTTTTGAAAAAATGACATTTTCACGAATTCTATTTCTCGGCTAGAAATGGAGGTTGGACATCCAGATCATGTCGCAGTACCACAATCTGATGGATTCTTCAGATAATTATTGATCACTTTTGGTCTGCGCCCAAATCTCGAACGATTTGTCGATTCGAAAGACCACGATCATGTTTAGGAGAACTCTTTTTAGCCATATTTTAACAATAAAATCGTTTTTTTGAAATTTCGTGACAATGTCATTTTTTCAAAAAATATCAATGAGGTTAAACTTTTGTGGAGCAGTGTAATTGGTTTTAAAAATTTTATAGTCATGAACATTTTCGTTTCCAAAATTCCCTCATTTTTTTTCTTTTCGTTTAATAATTCCCACTCTTATTTTATATTATTTTTGTTCTTCCTCGTTTTTTATCCTATTAGTATTGTACGTTTTCTATTATAATTTATGTATTTTGTTGTCTATTACGGGAAAAATAAATGAATACATGTATACATAGAATGAACTTTAATAGCTTTTTTCTGAATAGAGCTGGTTCGAAACGGAATTATCGATGCAAGGCTTTCATTAAAATTGTGCAGCCGGTAGAAATTAAAAATTTGCGCTTTTTAAAACGTATTCAAAACTAATTTTAATTGCATATAAATTTAAAGATCGATCGATCCTGCTCGATCGAGCTTTTCGAGCGCTCGAAATGCTCGATCGATCTCGGGTTCGATCGATCTTTAAATTTTCGAGCAAGATCGATTTTTTAACGATTTTGAGATCGAGTGCGCACACTGTTCAGTATGTGTGGGGGCAAGACGTAAAGTGGGACCAAGAGCTGTCGACAGCGTGAGAAAGATGTGGGAAACGGTCGAGAGCAGTCTGGAGCCGAGGCGGTATGAGATACCGAGGAGGTTGACTCATAGCGCGGTGGTGGCATGGGATCTCGTAATTTTCTCAGATGCCAGTAAATACCATTATGCCATGGCGGCCTATGTGCGGGGAAAGCTCGAGGATGACACCTTCACCACACAACTGGTGATGGCCAAATCCCGTGTCAACCCGAAGGAGCACTTGAGTATCCCGAGACTCGAACTGTTGGGAGTATTGATCGCCTCGAATTCGGCACTTTTCTTGGTCGACGAGATGCAAATAGCGTTTAAGTCGGTGGTGCTGTTCTGCGACAGCCAAATAGCGTTGTACTGGATCAAAGGGTCGAACCGCTTGAAGACGTTTGTGTCGAACCAGGTGAAGCGCATTCGGTCAAATTTGGAGGTCTGCCAGCGGAAGGCGGCGACAGATCTTTACTATGTGCAGTCTCAGGAGAACCCCGCGGATCTAGCGTCCAGAGGAGCCTCCCTGGGGGAGATCGCCGACTCCCGGTTATGGAGAGAGGGTCCGGCGTTCCTGCGGAACGAGAGAGCCGCGTGGCCGGACACAGGGCTGGACTTCAGCTCGATCAGCAAGGCTGAGGAGCCAGAGGTTCTTGCGGAGTGCGTGGGAGAAAAGACCAGTCCCAAGCGAAAGAAGTCCGACCCGGGAGCAGAAGTAGCGGCGCTGGTGGTTGCCACAGTGGAAACCGAGAGGGATGTTAACGGGTTCTGCGAGTTCGTGCCATACCACAGGGCACGATCCTTGTCTAAGCTCGTAGGCATCATGGCAGCAGTCACCTATTTCCTCTCAAAAGTGTCGGGCGGTAGAGTGAAGTGGAAGGGACCACTCATGCCTCAAGTGTCCGGGGCTCGGAGGTGGTCAGCACTCAGATATGAACGGATTGAGAAGTGGCTAATAGTGCGGCACTATGAAGAGATGGGAATGACCGACGAGCTTCGCGTCGATTATAACCTCAATCCTCATGTGGACGAGGACGGGGTGATCAGGTGTGTTGGGCGTATGAAAAACGCCTACCTGAAGCTGTCAGCAAGGGAACCCATCTTGGTGGTGGGGGGTCATCCCTTAGCTGCACTGATCTTAGCGGAGGCTCACGAACGGTGCGGCCACGGAGGCCGCGAACATACTATCGCAAAAATGCGCGAGTCGTATTGGATTACAGGGGCCAGACGGATTGCACAGAAAATGCTGCGAGCATGTGTGGTGTGTAAACGAGAAAACGGTCGTCCGTTTCGGTACCCCGAAGTGCCGCCTTTGCCCAGGTGTCGTCTGACGCGGACCAGACCGTTTGAGCGCATCGGGTTGGACTACTTCGGACCGGTTTACATAAAACGAACGTCCGACCGAGAGGAGGTTAAGGTGTGGGTCATGCTCTTGACATGCTTGACAACACGATGCTGCCACCTCGAAATGGTGAAGGACAACTCCGCGGGAGAATTTGTACTAGCCTTTCGACGGTTTGCGGCTCGTCGGGGAGTACCTGACAGTGTGGTTTGTGATAACGCTCCCAGTTTTCGGTTGGGACTCGACGTTATGAACAAAGCGCTGGGTGAAATCGTGGAGGAAGTTGATGTGGCGCGATATTTCGCCACGGAACGGGTGAAGCTACATTTCATCACCCCTTACGCGCCGTGGAAAGGAGGAATTTACGAGCGGCTGGTGGGAGTCACCAAGAGGATGTTGCATAAGGTGGTGGGTAGAAGAGCGTTCTGGACCGATACCTTTCCGACCATACTGGTGGAAGTGGAGGCAATGCTGAATAGCAGGCCCATCATGGTACCTCCTCAAGGCCTGGATGATGTGAAGGTCTTGCGCCCGGTAGACTTCCTCCTGCCGGAAGCAAACCTGAGTCTACCTCAGGTAGGAGAGCTTGAGGATGAGTATGACTTGTCTGTCCAAGCAACGGAACAACGCCTGAGGCAGTACGTTGCGGAGTATGAGAAGGTGCTGGACTCCCTGTGGGAGGTGTGGTATCAGCACTACATCGCGGCGTTGCGGGAGAGGAAACACTACCGTTCCGGAGCGGGGAAACCTAGGGTTCCGCTTGTAGGGGAAGTAGTGTTAGTGGTAGATAAGATGCAGCCTCGGCATGTTTGGAAACTGGCTCGGGTGGTAGAACTCAAAAGAGATCCAGATGGAGAGGTCCGGACTGCAGACTTGCGTTACAAAGGGCGCGAGGCGCTGAGACCGGTGAATTTACTGGTTCCGCTCGAGGTAGATCACGAGGACTTAGGCGGTCCGGAGAAGGCTGAAGAGTCCGATCAGGGCCAAGGCGGAAGCGTTCCAGCAGACGGGCAGACTTTACGGCGTCCTACGAGCGATGTACCCGCCCACCCCCATAGGTACAATCTGCGCAGAGGGAAACCGCCCGAGGCGGTTCTTGGGGGGCCGGGAGCTCATCTCCTACAGAGATGACTCTCGCTGGGGGGAATGTCAAATTCCGCGGGAATTCGACGAAAAAGGAGGAAAAAAATGAGGGAAATCGATAATATCTCTCGCGGAGAGAGAGTGTGTGAACGGAGAGAGCGCGCGCCAAAGGGTAGAGATAACGCGCGCTGAGGGAAAGACAACGGGCGCAAAGGAGGCGCAGGGGGAGAAGTTAAAGGCCGGCACATTAATGCCGCTTGGATTTCTCGCGGCGCGGGGCGACAGTAACCTAACGGCCGCGTTAGGAGGTTTTTAAAAAAACGTTTTTTTTTTGGCTTTTGTTTTTTTTAACGGGATTCAAATTCTATTATTCTGATTGCGGATTATGGAGCGATCTCGCGGAGGAAGGAGAGTCGCGATTCAAGGGGAAGAGAACCTCCCAGGTATGTAGTATAACTTTGGTAGAGTTCCCCGAATTGGCGGCGCGGCCGCGTGGGAGGTATTGGGGGGTTTTCTTTTCCCATTAAGACGACGCGGCCGTGGGAGGGGAGTCGGGAGCATTGCCCTTGCGAAGGGCCGGAGTAAAGTGACGACAGAAGGCTCAAGCCGTCCATTTGGGCGGCGATGAAGAGCTTCTGACTGATAACTTCGTTCTTGCCACACGAAAATTTGTTCCTTCGGGGACGTTGAATTCTGGGCGGGGCCCAGAATTTTCAAAAGGAGACCATTTCGAAAGAGGCATTCCCGTAAATCTACTCGCGTACAGAAGTCGCCGGACGCCTTTTTTTTGTTAATAAAAAATTTTAATAAAAAATAAAATAAAAAACCGCCGTTTTTTGGAAATTCAAAAAAACTTTCATATTTCTTGGAAATTTTCGAGTTAAATGGTATCCTTAAAGATAGTTTTTGAAATAAATAAATAAATAAATAAATATATATATATATATAACAATTTTTCCAGCATTTTTTGAGTTATTTCTTCCAAAATGTTCATAGTGCCATTAGTATTTCTTTTAAAATACAGTTGTTGGATTCGGAGTGACATTCGTTGTTTTTGGAAAAAATACATTGTGCAGCTCAGCTCGCGCCTGAAATAATGAGAAATACGGATTTAAATGCGCGTTCTTCTGGCAAATGGTTTGAATTTTCAAAATCGTTGCGAAAAATCGACAAAAATACTACCGATTGCCCCGAGGTGAAGAGTTGCGTATCTGTACTCTATACGGACAAAAAATATATAAAAATAAAAATATTTTTATTATGAAATCTCAATCGTATACAAAAAATCGTGATCACGTTTTGTTAGGTTTTGTATTCGATTGCAAACAATTTGCCAGAGGCGTGATAAAATATGAAAAATTTTTATAACGTTTTAGCTCGCATCGACTTTCGTTATTGATGATCCCACGATGATTCATAAACTCAGGTTAATGAAAATTTGAAGATTTCATTTCAAAACTCTTCGAAATCGACTTATTTTTTATTTTCGATTTTAAAATTGTATTCAAATTCTCTTCTTGAAATTCTCGCCCACATCGAAACAGATTCATTTATATTCCATTTCGATTTCGATTGATTTTTATTTACCAGAGAACATTATTTGAAAAACACTCAGTCATAATTCCCTTGAAAATTGAGTCGAATGCAATCATTACCAAAAAAAGTGTTATGCTCTTCAATTAATCAATTTCAATGTATCCCATGGAAATATCGAGAAATAGCGAATTACCTTTGAACTGAACATGAGTAATACATAGGGATGATTCATTGTGAGTGCGTCGCTTATATATGGAAGAGCAAATTGGGCAAGTATACTTACAGATTTTGGTAAATAAAAAGAATACACAATGAAAATCTGAAAATTGAATATTTTATCGAAAAACATGATTTCTTACCAAATCAATAAGGGCCAAAACTTCGACTAAAAATGATATTGTTGACATATAAAGCAAATTTCGATCGACATTTTTGAAACTGCCTTTGGCATTTGGAAGATTAAAATAGGAAATTACATTAACAATTAATGCTGCCACTGTAGTTAGTGTCATAAATACCAATAATAAACGGACAGTATACTCCAATTTCTCAAATAATTTTCTATTTAATTGAAATTGACGGCATTTTGATACCGCAGTTGATTTGCTCGCATAACCATCAATATCGGGTCGATATTCATAATAGCATCGATTTATCAATATTGGATATAATAAAATATAAGGAATAATTGTCACCGCAATAATTACATACGGCAAATATTTTCTCCAATACTAAATAAATGTTATGGTGTTTCACAAATAATTATGCGAATTGCTCACTTTTTCACTTTGCAGGTATAAAAGGGCCGTGCAACGGTTCAAAGACACTAAGAATATAGCGGAATATTGAATATAAGCCATTGATGATTGGGTCGCAAAAAATATGAATAAGGGAAATTTTGAATAATTCTCGTTTGAATGCGCTTTAAAAAATACCGACAGTGTACAATTCTTGCATGTATTTTGAGGAAGACGAAGAGATATAAACGAATTGATAAATGTGACCAGGTTCTAAAAAATATATAAATGTTTTTTACTAAGAGCATAACAGATTTTCCAATTTATTTTTTATTCGAGAAAACATTGAAAAAAATCAATTTTTTTTAGTTTTGTTTAATAATATTTAATTAAAATTTACAAAAAAAAAACGCAAAATTCACTCACGTAAATATAATTGATTTTGTAGAGGCGAAAAAAGCTTCCACTAAATATTTGTGGTTTTCGATGAATGACCAATACCGTATGTGTGTATAAAATAAATGTGACAACACCATAGAAACAAGTGAACGAAAACGTCGGATTGAACGTATCCATTTAAGAGTAGATTGACGGAATGAAACTCAAAAAATTTCTGAAAAACATGAAAATGATTACAATTAGCTATTTTATGTTCATTATCGAGAATTTAGACGCGTATAATTTGTTATTCAGGATTTTATAATTAACATATATTGTTTCCCTCGAATCACCAAGCAATGATCAATTTACTAGACTATAGCCAAATGAAGTAATTTCGGGGTCCAATGTATCTACCAGGGGATATTTGTGTGTCATGGGATTATAACCAAGGGGGAATATTTCGGATGACTCAATTATGCGAGGTGTCTTAATTTTGGTGTCCCATAGGATTGTTACCCAAAATAATCTCTTGTAAATTGTGGCATGAAAATTGGTGTGTTGACACATATTTTTACTTTTGCTCGAATTCAATTAATCACACGAAATGTGAATCATTTTTGAGCAGTCCGTAAAAAGCCTTTCGTCTTTAGAAAATGACTATTTTCTTTTTAGAAAATAACTCTTTTCGTGCCAAGAAGAATAACTTTTATTTCCGAAATTCATTGAATTTCGGACAGTTGTCTTCCATTTAATACTCTATTCTAAAAAAATGTTTACACAATTAGAATCAAAGACGCATCATGAGAAGATAACAATGGGAAAGAAGGGATTCGAAGGAAATGGTACTATTAAATAGAACAACAGTTCATTCTGGATTAGGTCTTAGAGTAAACTGTCATAATGACACGGAAATTATTCGTCTCAGGGGGTTTAACCAAAATATCGTGCAAAAGATTCACATTTCGTATCATTAATCAAATTTGGCCGTCTTTGAAAAACGAGAAAGAATAAGTCGTAAATCAGGTTTCAAATTGTGGCAATTGACGAGCAACTGATTATTTTTCTCGCTGACCCCTTACTTTGAATAATCAGAAATTCGTTGCATCTGGCTGCTACAGTTGAGGAAAAAAAATCAATAGTTCAGCTTTCGTGAGCCATTGTAGACTAGGTTTTCATGGCGAGGAGGACTCGCCGTCTTCTTCTTCCAGCCACAATTTTTCCTTGTTCTGCTTCCGGTAGAAGAATGATTATTAGGTTCATTGATGCCGTCGATCTACCTTTTCCTCAGCCTTTCCGAATTTCCGAAATTAGAGTAGGGACCATTCCGCACAGTTCGTTGTATCATAGGGGTGTTTTGTACCTTAATTGGATATCAAAAACTCTAAAACCCAGTAAAGTTTCGAATGCAATTTATACAAGATCAAATTAATAATGAATACAAGATGAGGAGGCAGTAATTTCAATCAAAAGCTTCCTAAATTCGTCCATTCTCGACTATAGCAGTTTTAATAGATCGTAGTGCAATTGGAGAGTCGATGATACTCACAAACACATCTTCGTATTCCTTTCGGTAGACAATCTTTTCTCTAATCTGAAAAGAAAAACTGAAAGTGATTGATAAAATATTAAATACGGACATATTTGTAGCGAATTAGTAATCCAAATGGGTGACATAGAGTCCAGCAATCGGCGAAGAATGGTAAAATCAGTGTCAAAATATTTAAATGATTTCGTAATATTTGAAAATTCCAAAGAAGCGATGTCCGACATATAAGCTGAAAAGTAGGACTTCGCTTTTCATCTCCATTTTCTTCAATTTTGTACCGTATCAAGTATTATCACCATTGGAAGTACAAACGCGAAAATTGAAAATACAATGAACTGATTCTCATGATACTTTGATCGATATTTCAATATTCTCAACATTTTCGTTGTTAAAATATTGAAAATCACTGAGGAAATTGTCATGAATAACATGAATATAATTGCGATAATTGGAACTACGGTAAAGTTCTAAAGCGTCATTTTCTCTTGGGAATTGAAATTATATTCATATTTACGTCAAATGATTTGATCCAATATGATTCAGTGAGATTTGAGTAAACAAAATAATAATTAGTGTTCATAATCGAAATATTGATTATTGATGCGATAATTATAACGACAATGAGAACACCCGGGAAGATTATTCGCCATTTCTGAAGCAATAATATGGAAATGGGGGATTTTTGTTTGAAACTAACTCGTGAATGATTATTGACGATGGTCATTGTGTATCGGTTCAACGATATGCAGAGAACGATGAAAAATTGAATGTAATAAGTAGTCCAGAGAATAAAAACGAAGAGGCTCATCAAAAACTGATTTTTGCTGAGATTATAGAGAAAATTGGAAAGAAAACAGGATTCGCATGTGATTTTGGGTAATTTGTGGATAATAAACGAATTCAGATATATTATTGTGTTCTAAAAATCAATTATTTTCTATTATTAAAAACACTTACGAATAAGAAGTTCCATTTGTATAGATAAAACTGGATACCCAAAAATCGTTGCGAATTTTTGAAGAGGAATGCGACGGTGGCGACATACAAAGCGTAGCATGACAATTGAAATCCAGTAAATCCAAGTATAAACGCCGAATTGGGCAGTTTTTCGAACAATTCGTTTTTGACTTTCGAGTCGTCCAACATGGCGAGCTGAACATCAACGATCAATCGGTTTCTGGTGGTTATTAAACATCAATGGTATCATGTAGACTTTGCAAAAAAAACCCCACAAAAATAAAAAAGTTTTAAAAACTCTTAAAATCCTATGAAAATTGAGGGGCGTTTTGCATGCATTTTGTGCATTTTCATAATTGTCCGAAAATAAAAATAACGATAGATAATATTAACTTTTGATTCTTCGAAATATTTTAAATTGCGTCAATCGATACAAGCTCATTTCAAAAATAAATGTGAGAAAAAGAAGATCGAAATATATTTTGTTCGCTATTGCCATGGTTTCCCGATGATGTGCATCGGACTGTTAATGTTATTTCTTTAACGCTCTTCACCAATTACCCTCGATTTTTCCTCTTTAATTGTTGATGATTGGAATTGGAAATTTTGATGATAATTAACAAATTTATTGGAAATTAGAAAACAATGACAAAAATGAATTAAGAAGCACACAAACACACACAGATTCAGAGCACAGTGATATTTGATCTCATAGGGATATGTTGAGTAATTGCTGAAATGGAACAATAATGAATTTGAATTTGTATATATTTTGAATACTTCTAATACTTGACCGATTCGAAGAATGCATTGCTATATCTCCAACACTGTTTTTCTTTTTTATCAAAACATTCAAAATTGCTTTTCGGCACTGCAAAGTAATGTAGGTTTGGAATTCAATGTTCGAAATATATTCTTACTCTCGGAGTAAAAATTAAGAGAATATATGGATGGCTCAAGGTTAATGCATCGCTCACAAACGGCAATGCAATGGATGCTATTGCTCGAAGCGAAGATTCTTGGTCGAATTTCAGAAGCTTCTGAATTATCTCACAAATTATTCATTAGCTTTTTTTTCGGATAAATTGCCAATATGACAACATTGTGGTTTTGAACTCACCGTATCAATGAAGGCAATTACTTGAATGAGAAATGATATGCATGACATATAGATGAGATCATTATCATATTTCCTGGAAGAATTTTTGAATTTTGCTAATCGTTGAATACACAGTATATTAGCAATTGCGGACAAAATAGTTGTCACAATCATAAACATTGAAAGGGATTGTGAAATACTTTCAATATTCTGAAAAAGATAAGTAAACGAGAGAATTTCGCATCTTCAAGCAATACCGCGTGCGATACAGTAATATAACCATTTATTGATTTCATATACTCATAAGTGCAATCATTGAGAAGAATCGTATATGTTTGTGTAATTGGAAATATTGTAATGAGAAGCAAAAGAAAAGGAATAAAAACTTTCCAATACTGTAAATTGATTAGTCATTAAAAGAAGAGTTACTTGATAGACTTACTAAATCATTATGATTGTAATAAAAGAACTGGGTGAATCGGTTGGCAGAAACTAGGAATATCATCGAGTATTGAACATAGGCCATACTGTAATGAATGCACGAAAATATCCGAAGTGGAAATTCGTTTCTTCCAGATATCTGATCTTCGAAGAAACTTGCGAGTTTGCAAGTTTTACACGTGGCATTTGGTATTCGGACAGTAATAAAAGAATTGGCAAATGTGAGAATATTCTGCAAAAAAAACGAATCAAAATTGTCTGTTTATGAAAAAAAGGGATTTCTAAGGGTTCCGTTGCTCCAGAATGCATGATCGTCTTCAAATATAATCTTCATATATACGATCATCTTCATATATAATTGTAATACAATGAAAAAAAAAACAATGAAAAACATGAGACCGCACGCGAACCGCAACGCGGCACCCTTTATAGGTCTTACTTAGACCGATTCAGATAGCTGCTTTCTTTCAGAAACAGATTATACACATGTATAACAATTTTTTTAAATCTGATAAAACTATGTTTCAAAGTGCTTGCAAACTCACTTCTCTACTTCTAGTGCTTACGTAATAACGCAATGGATAATTTTCAAACCCCAAATTTAACAAGTTTTCAATAATTGGCGACATATCAACTCACATAGAAAAAATTCGCCTTATATAGTGTGAAGAAGCTTCCAGGAAATGTCTTGGAATCTTTGCAAATTAACACGAACGTTAGAATATACAGTAAGATGCTAAATGCGCCATAGAAGCAGGTGAAGCTGAATAACGGTGTGAACGTGTCCATCAGCGACAAGCACAAGTGAGCAAAATGATTAATATCGAGTTAATTAATTTCATTCGCCGTCATGTCTGAGGGATGTTCTAAAAAATGAATGCGCACCGCGCGTTGCTGTTTTGTCTACTTCGACGTTGAAGCGAGTGATAATTACACCATGAGCCAGCCTTTTCTCACTGTTTTGCTCGTGCTGGAGAGTTTTTTTTTTTGGAAAATCATGCATCGCTCTCCCATAGGATTTGATTTTTTTTTCGTCTAGTTAGACGCTACAATTACGCACCAATGTTTGAATTTGTGGAAATTTCGATATTTTCATTTAGGAATATGATATACATGTGCCATGATTAATTAAGTGCGTGTGATTCATCGAAACGTTGTACTAGGAAACTGACGTCTTTTTTGTATTCCAGTTGCTCATAGAATGTGACAAGGCGGTCAGTACAATCCAACGAAAGTTTGTATACACCAAGCCAAAAACCATGACTTATTCAACAGAACACAAACAAGGAAAAACAGTACCTTCTGTGCGATATCAACAGGATCATTGTTAAGAAGCGCGCCTAATTTCTGTCATCTAATTTTCTCAGTGACGACGACATCTTCAATTCTTTCTCATATATTCGGGGATATACAAAAAAGGAATTTAATATAAGTTTAATAAAGGATTGCATCAGCTCCTGTTCGTCCCACGGCTTCCGGTGGAACTGAGGCAATTTTGATTAAATTTTGTGAGAGTTGCAAAAGTTCAGAGCCCGAAAGGCTCGCACCTTACACAATAACCAGAATTGCAGCAGCCAAAATTCGTCACAATCGAAAAAATCGAAAATTTAATATTTTAACACTCTTTGTACAAATTCAAGATCATCAAGGACGACGATGTAGTTGGAATTGAAAATCTTTTGCTAAAAATACTGTTCGATATTTTACCAACTGTGGTTAGTTGCCCAAGAAGGTTCAATTAACTAAAAATCATAAAATTTATAGAAACGGTATTTTTGTAATTTATATCTTTTCTCATGGTCATCGATTTCAAGCGGACGAAGTTTGAGTCCAATGGGAATATCGGTGGACGATTTTGGAATTGAAATGGAATTAAATAAAGCTTCTGGAAAATGCTTTATAAGTTTTAAATACTAGCAATAATTTCACAAGACGACACATTGAAGTTCTTAAATTGTGTGGAGAGTTTGAAAGATCCGCCAAAGCTGAAAAACGATTAAAGAATATATATTTTCCCGCCAATTAAGAAAATGGTCACAATTCTCTGCACATTGTACTGACAATTGGAATGACGATTTCATTTTTTGGGTCCACGGCCCATCAATCTGTTAAGCTAACCTAATTTTCATTTTAAATTTATTATATGAACGATCTCGGCATTTCTCATTAGAAAATTTTTTGATAGAAACTTGGGATCCATTACTCGACACTGCACTCAAATTGGAATTCTTTATCTGCAGCATAGCATATTGTGTGTTTGCGGAACATACATCATGAATGCCGTCAGTACTTTAAATATTTTCTATTCGAATCAAAATTCGAACTATTTATGTATAATTCTACTAAATAATGAGCGTTACACAAGATGCCAAGATGATGGACGCAGATGTGCACGTAGATGATAATATTTTTCGTCGATCTGTGATTGTGCGATGGAAATCGGCAACCGACGTAAATGAGATTATGCGAACATTTTTTGATCACGGATTTGGCGTTAATGTAAGTTACCATTAAAAAAAAATAATTTATAAGTTCAATTTAAGAATCTGGACAACTTGAAAACATCAATATCGGATGATGATAGTAATTTTCTGTTTGTAGAGTTCGATAATGAATCCACCTCCCAATTTTTGGGTAGCTCAGATTCAAAAGTTGGAGGAAATTCGTTTAGAGTATCTCAGGTGATTAAATCTGATGGAATAAACAAGGAAGATGTATGAATTGTATACTTTTATAACCTCTAAAACCAAGTTCCAGTCTATTGATCTTTTGAAACTTTACCAAAGCACCTCTTCGGATGACGAAATTGTCAGTTATTTGTATGAATTGTTACGGATTTCCAATCCTGTCAAGGTTGTGTGTCGAATATTTTTTGTTAATCGTGATATTTTTAGGAACCAACAGTACAAGAATCCATTTCATTCATAAAGTCCTTGTTTAATTCATTAATCTTTCAACCGACGGTTTCCGTTTTCGGATCTTACGCATGCACTTTTCGTCGACAAGGATCCTCAGATGTTGTATGAAAACGTGTTTATTACTCAAAGTCATAAGTAATTAAAATCCAGGATATGACTGTATTCCCTGCCAATTATTTGTTAACCCTCGATAAGACAATACGGGAAGATACAATTTTGAACCCCGATCAACACCATGTGACTTTTAAATATTCAAACGAAGTCGAATATGTTAATTGCAGAAAATCTTAGAATCTCCACTAACATTGCAGGAGATTGAAGCATATGGTAAAGGGAAAGTAATTCGAGCATTTTATGCGATTCTTTCACTTAATGAAGAAGTTCGACGTCGATTTCGTGTGTTCCATATTGCAAACTCACGAACACCGTTACTCGTTCTTGAAAGCAAAATTCTCGAAGGTTTAAAATTTGATATTTCAATTAATAATGCGGCTGCTGTGAACAAAGCGCTACTAATTTCACAATGGATCGAGAGCGACAAATCAAAAGTGATGGGGTAATCAATTTTCACACATAAGATGCCAAATCAATCAATTAACTACATATATTTTAAGAAAAGTGATGGCTTTCTTTTGTCATTGGGCTCGATGCAATGGTCTCATGAATCGTCAAAATTCAGTAAATTTCCCTTTTTCTTTTATATACCATGTTTAAATTTAGATTGGTAATTTTCGATTCAACACGTATATCCTTAATCACATGGTTATCCATTTTGTTCAACGTCAGTTTGGTGTAACCATGTTTTTGCCAAAAGCTGTATTTTTTAAAAATCTTCTTGATTACGTTGAGATAAATTAATTTTAGCCGGCAGGATGCCGTGTGAAACAATATTCATTTTTCGAAGTTTTCGAATCTCCAAGAGATTTCTTTCGGGTAAGTGTGGAATTGAAATCAACTGAATATTTAATTTTATTTTTTAGCAACTTTTCAAATATTATTCGCTTTTCGATTTCGATGCAAATATAATTTATAATGAATTCATTATGCAAAAGTAATAATACATAAAAGTAATTTTAGTTTATATAATTTGTTTTCAATTTTCTAGATTTACGGTTCAAAACATTCATAATATCACTCCAACACCAATCGTAGTTTTGGTAACGTTTTACTTCTATAATAAAATTTAAATTGAAAAAAATTTTAGGATCCAAGTGACGTAACGCATAATATAGCTGCACAAGTAACCATAAACGGTCTGAGACGTTTCAACGTTCTCATACGAAACGGATTGCTCATTGTAAGTGTTGAATTTGTATATTTTTTTTTAATATTAAATTTTTTGTCATTTTCATTCATTTTGGAACCATTCACGATCAATCATAACCAAATTTTAGCTGAAACAAAAGGATTTGCGGATTAACGCTCTTCTGTCCACTCACTTGCATGCCCTAAATATTTTACGACAAAAGGCTGCTCTTTCAAGTTAGTCTAATTTCCTTTTAAAGTGCGTAACTTTCAAAGATATAAAAAATATTATTAAAATTAGATAAGAAATCAAATCTTCTTTGTGTGGCATTACTATAACCGACTTGAATAGGTATTTGAGATCAAAAATCAGTAAATGATATACGAATTTCAATAAATGTTGCGTGGACATGTTGCGTGGTTCCACCTAGTGCATTTTATTTGACGACTATGTTATAAATAATTTTCTTGCGATTTCGATTACCCAATTTTTCCTTTTTTCGAGATCTCAGAGATAAGTACGAATGAAAAAATGCCAAACAATATGGAAAATAAGCGAAATTGAAATCATTGCGGACTTGTGAATTTTATTTGCCGACAATTCACTTGTTGTCTACTTCGCGACGAGTTAACGTAGAGATTTTGTTCTTTTTTATTCTTTCAATTTCATATCATTTTCAATTATATTTTTATAGTTTCAAACGTTTCCCTTTTAAAATATATTCTTTTTCTCGTTTACTCATGTTTGAATTTCTCCGACATGAGAGAGTTCATTCAAAATTCTAGGGTTTATTGAAATATTTTGAAAAAAAAGAAATTGAAAAAAGCGCATGAATGCAACTCTACTTATAAAAGTGATCGCTCGAACGCGGCTGCGATTCTGCTCAGTATCCGCCACTGCGTCCGAATGGTGTCTAATATCCTTCCGCTAAATCTTCCCGTTGAACGATAGGGTCCAATTGGTTAATCATTCAACAAGTACTCGTTATTCTCGCTCGATCGGGTATCCGCCGTATTTTTGTCCCAAAAACGTCGTCCACGCGGAGTGCTACAAAAAACGTTAAAAAAATCCAAAAATACTTTCGTGGCGAAACTATAGGGAAAAACGTGTGCCTGTAAATCTGACCGCGTACAGCAAACGGGAGTTGTGCCTGTGTAAAGGGCAATGAAGAATTTAAAGACAAATGAATTCTAGATCCGGATCAAAACAAATTCACTGTTGTGCTACCTGATGTCGTTCAAACTCCGCGTGATATTTTCGTGTTGATGTCGAAAATCCTCTCGTTTCATTTAAGCGAAGAAGATTTTGAATCCACCAACTTTGAGCGAGTATGTCTATTTTTCCTTATCATTTTTTTTCGCTTTTTAGCCATTTACTTTAATAACATACGGAAAATCGTGGATTGGAAGACGAGGAACCAAATTTAGGCTAAAGCAGAATCATCAGTATCCTTCGAACCTGCATCTTGAACTAGCTGTAAATTTTAAAAATAAAATTCATGTTATTTTTATGTTTTCAGGTTTCTCGAAGTCTTCAGCCAAATTATGGAAATGATCCTGTTGCAGTTATAGTTGTATGCCTAAAAGAAATTGATGAAACTAAACTGTAAGAAATTTAACCGGTTAAATTTAAATTATCGCTATATTCAGAGTTGAAATCGAAGTGATCGAAGGATCTGTCGTCGATATGCGAAATGCGATGCATTTTTTGTTTGATCAGTTTATTACGAATAATTTGGAAGATTTGAGAACTGTCGGCATTTCCGCTCTAAACGGTTTATAAAAAATATTTTCGGGTCTTTTTTTTATTAATTGGAAACTATATCATATTTTTTTCAAATATAAATTATTTTAAATTTTTTTGTGTGTAATTATCCTTTTTTGATTGTAAAAGTCTCATTAGATATCTTATTTTTCAAAAATTTGTTTTTTTTTGTATTCGGAAAAAAAGTTTAGAATGGAGGAAAAGGCTTCACAGAAAGCGTTACTAACGCAAACTGTAAATGAAATTGTCAAACTCCTAATCGATGCTCATAATCAAAAAAAGGACATCAATTTGAATCGACTAAAGTGTTTGGTAAGATAATTCCCATCTATCTTCGTTGTAGTCCGCAGTTTTTTATTCACTGGAAATGGTATTCGAATTATTTATTTGTTCATTTTAATCGCAGCTTGTGAAAAACTGCTCAATATATCGATGGTTAAAGAATATTGTGTTTCCAAGACCTCTATCATAGCTTATGGCCTTTTTCCACAGTCGGACGACGCCGTCAATGTGATTATTAGAATAAAACGCATTTCAGGTTGCTCAAAAGAATGGTTTAAGTTTCCAACCAAAACTTGTCGACATAATCGCCGGTGTTCCTGCTGACTTCAAGGATGCTCTTCTTCCAAAACTCAAAGCAAAACCGGTGCGAACAGCTTCCGGCATTGCAGTTGTCGCCGTGATGAGCAAACCCCATAGATGTCCGCACATCAATTTCACTGGAAACATTTGCGTCTATTGTCCTGGAGGTCCGGACTCCGATTTTGAATATTCAACGCAGAGTTATACCGGATATGAGCCGACGAGTATGCGAGCCATTCGAGCAAGGTTTGCCATTTTCATTAATCCGACAGAAAAAATTATTTCAGGTATAATCCGTATCTTCAGACTCGTGGCCGTCTCAATCAACTTATTCAGTTAGGGCATTCTGTTGACAAGGTTTATTCGAATATTTCCAATCATTGTTTAGATTCCGTATTTTTTTCTGTACTATTTTACCATTTTCAGGTAGAGTTCATTGTAATGGGCGGAACTTTTATGTCGCTTCCTGAAGATTACCGTGATTACTTTATCAGAAATTTGCATGATGCTCTCAGTGGGCATACATCATCATCGGTTAAAGAGGTTTGATTAAAATGTTATAATATCAAATAAGAAACATTAGTTTAGGCGGTAGCGTATTCAGAACGAAGCAAGATGAAGTGCATCGGAATCACAATCGAAACCCGGCCGGACTACTGCTTGCCTCGTCACCTGAATGATATGCTTCTTTACGGCTGTACAAGATTAGAAATTGGAGTGCAATCGACATATGAAGACGTTGCGAGAGATACGAATAGAGGACATACAGTAAATCAATGAATCGTTAACACAATTCGAATAGTTTTTAAGGTAAAATCAGTATGTGAAACATTTCACATGGCGAAAGACACCGGCTATAAAGTGGTTATTCACATGATGCCTGATTTGCCGAATGTCGGATTAGAAAGAGACAAAGAGCAATTTCTAGAATTGTTTGAAAGTCCCCATTTTCGGCCAGATGGCCTGAAACTTTATCCGACATTAGTTATCAGAGGAACTGGGTTATATGAATTGTGGAAAACAGGAAGATATCAGGTTTAGTCGAAAACGCCGTTTTCCAATATTTTTATTGTAATTCAAACACAGTATAGAGGCAACGCGTAATTTTTGAACGAGACGATTTGTCTCGCAATAAATTATGCGTTGGCTGACTATAAAAAATAAAATTTCACATATAGATAGTATACATTCAAATTGATTATTTTCGCTTTATCGCTCCTTTTTTGCGAGTGTAATAGAACTGAATTGGATCTATTGTCGGCGTTAAACGACTTAACGAAATTAAACAAAAAATAATGACTATTTTCCAGCTGTCTTGAAAGCCTGCGTACTTTGCATTTTTACGTACGCGCAGATAGTATTTAGGCCGACGGTAAATTTCCAATTTTTGGCGATTGAGTTTCCCGCCGCCGTTAGTTCGTTTAACGCCGATAATAAATTGTTTAATTTTTTTTTACAATTTTCTGACTTCGGCAATACCATTCATTTGATTCAGAGTTATCCACCTTCAGTTCTGGTTGATCTCGTTGCCACAATTTTATCTCTTGTCCCTCCATGGACTCGTGTCTACCGTGTTCAACGAGATATTCCAATGCCTTTGGTCTCATCAGGTTACATTTTTTATAATAAAACATAGAATTATTTTTAATTCATATACGGAATTTTACGAAAAGTATAGTTCTTATAATTTTTTTCCAAAAAAATGTGGCTACTCGGAGCCATCGATGCCTGCACAGAATTTTAGCAGAGTTTGTGTGCGTTAGAAAAGTCTGCAAAAATTTTGCACAAGGTTCCCGGGTATCAGAATCGGCCGCTGCTAGCCAAAATCTGCGCGCCCCTTTGATTACTGATTCTGGTAGCCGCTTTTTTTTCGAAAATAGACTAAATTTACAGGTGTTGAACACGGAAATCTTCGCGAACATGCAATGGCGAAAATGAAAGAGCTTGGACTGAAATGTCGAGATGTTCGAACAAGAGAAGTCGGAATTCAAGAAATTCACAATAAAGTTCGGCCAGAAGATGTTGAGCTCATTCGAAGGGATTATGTCGCGAATGGAGGATGGGAGACGTTCATTTCGTATGAAGATCCAAAACAAGACATTCTCATCGGGTTACTCAGACTCAGAAAAATTTCTGATAAGGCACATCGACCAGAATTAAAGGTAAAATCAAAAGTAATATAAGATGATTTTGTTTTATCTTCAGGGGAATGTGTCTGTGGTTCGTGAGCTTCACGTTTATGGTTCTGTTGTTTCGGTTGCTGACAGGGATCCAAAAAAATTCCAGCATCAGGTTGATTAAAAATGAAGCGTTTATTAAATATTAAAGTATTTAGGGTTATGGCCAGCTGTTAATGGAGGAAGCAGAAAGAATTGCTCGAGAGGAGCATGGATCAGTTAAGCTTGCTGTGATTTCTGGAGTTGGAACCCGAGATTATTACAGGCATTTTTCTGCATATTACATACATTTTATAAAATTTTTTCAGAAAACTTGGATATGAAATTGATGGTCCATATATGAGCAAGTCATTGTTGGATAATGTTTGAAATGGTTTTATTTTTATTTGTTGTTACTTTGTTATTACTAAATAAATAGTTTTTATACAATTGTTGTCACAAAAGGATTATCTCGGGAAAGTGAGAAACCTGTCATTGGTGTGTCACAACGAAAAAATGTTGGCTATTTTATTGATTGTTGGCATCATATCTATTGGTATTGAAGGAAAATTAGACTTGAAGAATATAAGTAAGTTGAGATGATTGGAATTTTCTATCAGAGTTGAGCATGAATTTTCTGTGGCAAAGAATAATAATCATAATGATAGGGTTTTAATTGTTGTATTTTTACGGCTTTCTATCCCAATAACTTTCGTTTCTGTTACAAAATCGGATTTTTGTCATTTATTGCAAAAAAATTAACTAAAACTGCTGAAAATCAATCAAAAAAATATTTCTCGAAATTGCTCCAATTTTTCAATAATTTGGATCAGGGAAAATGAAAACCGTGAATCTTTCCTGATTAGTATTCCCCTCAAATTTCTGTTTGCAATTTAATCTATAGAAAGACAACAAACCTATCCACCTGGCAATATTCCTACAACGATGAGTTCGGCTGCAGGAGGTTAGTGATTTTTGCGTAAATATTGACTTTTGAAATTTACAGACTTGTGTAATGCTGGGTGTCCAGAAGGTTGGATTCCATTCAATCGAAAATGTTATAGGGTTCGAATTCAACCATCTACATAGAAATATTGATATTTTTCAGAATGTTGAAAAGAAATTGAGCCAAAAGGACGCAGAAGCTGAATGCCAAACCGAAGGAAGTCATTTAGTTTCTTTGCTTTCGGCAGAAGAGGCTCGGGCGGCGAAATGTAAAATTTAGAAGTTAAACAAATAGTGAAATTGTTTAGTTCTTATTATGGACAGCCCATTTTTCGTAACCTCACTATCTTCATTTACTTCCTCAAGTGCCGATATCTGGATCGGATTATCAAAATCGGTACTTCCCTTATTTTTTCCGCCAATTTTTTGTCAACTCTAGAAAAATGGTTCTTGGTTTTGGACCGATTCAAATAAAGTTGAATTCACAAACTTTCCATCAGGCGCTTCTTCCTCGTCGGAATCATGCTCGCAGGTAATATCAATTCGACGTCTTTAATTTATTTTTGTGAATAAAGAACAAACAACTTAAGATAACGAACGGTGCTTCGGCAGTTTGGCAGCCTATTGATTGTAACCACAAAGCTTCCTCCTTCATTTGCAAAAAGTCAGCTGTTTATTAATTGAAGAACAATAAAAAGTTTCATAGTTCATCAGATTTACATTGTCGACGTCGCGGGACTGCAGAAAATTGGCTAAATGCAAAAAATTTAAAGAGGTCTCGGCGCGCGGTGTGTTTCTTTATGATATCCTTATACATAGGACCTTAAATCTACACTTAGTTTTGCGCCAAAACCACAATCATTGTTTTTTGGCATTCAATCAAAACATTTAATCAAGCCAATTCGTAGCCGAAGAAGAGCGAACACGGGGCAACGTTCGCCAGCTTGTCTCGGTGCAAACGAAATGCTCCAGTTCGGACGATAGCGCTCGATTGGTCGCCGACACACTCCCGAACTGGGCTCGATAGGTTCCCACCGGTACGGTTCGGGCGATAGCGTTCAATCGGTGGCAGGCGGACTTCCGAACTGGAGAGGATTATTTCAACTTCCGAACTGCAGCCAATATGCATCCAATTGGGAGCAGGGGTTTTTAGCGGTTGACTCCAGTTCGGGCGTGAGCACCCGAACGGGAGCCAGACATTCACTACAGTTAACTAACGACTCCAGTTTGGACAACATTGCCCAATCTAGCGCCGACGCATATCCGAACTGAAGCCGAGAAATTAAAAGAAAACGTCAGTGAAGTAATCGCTAAGGCGTAAGAAATGTGGTGTTTTTCTGAATAAATGTGTGTTACTTACGATTTTGTTTTGTTGTTGTTATAATTGGATTTTAAAGTTTAGCCAGATGAAGAGAATCTTCGAAAACTCAACTGATGAGATTGAAAAGGATTTCATGGAACTAGCGAACAGAAGAAACGCGTATAGAAATGCTGATAGTGCCAAAAAGACAATGATGAATGAATTTCATAATGGTGAAAATAGACGTATCAGATAACGAGATGAAACTGGCATAGATGCAAATTATATTTTAGAAATGGAAACGACGCAAACAGAGTCACAAATTTTACCCAGTGTCGAAAGTCATGAAAACGTTGACGAAATGAGTAATGATAAATTCAACAAAATTGAGAAATAGTTATGTAATAGGCAATAATCAATATGTTCCGACGTCAAATTGTGTGAAAATGGATCCATCAAAAAAAAGAACGGAGGCTTTATATGCGGTGACTGCCATGATCATCAAGCTCGGACTATCGGAGAGAAAAAGAAGAGAATTGTATCGAATTGTGGATACTCTTCGAATGCATCAGGACATCATGGTAAGTCGATGAATGCAAAATTGGCAAATTTGTCATTTTTACCCAAACGCAATCACCTAAACCGTGTCAAATTGAACTCTGAAAATTACTTCTTCAATAATTTTGTGGTATTTTAATGCTTAAAAACGAATGAGGTTCTGAATAAGACAATGAAAAAGTCAATAAATGAAAATATTAATAAAAACGGCGGCAATTTTCTTGTTATTAAAAGAATGTTTAATGATATGTGCAAGTTTTAACACAGAATTTAATTATAATCAATCAATGCAATTATAAGCAATGTGAAACTAAAAATTATAAATATAACTAAAATTTTTAATGACAGGTTTTTAAACATTTCAAATTCAAATTGTAAAGCTTAGAATTTTAGTTCGAAATATTTTAGCCTAAAAATCTTCAGTGTTCGGAAGTGGAAAATAAAGCAAAGAATCTGTCAAAAGTCGACTACGAGAAATACGATGTTTGCACAAACTGTAGTTCATACTTTGGTGGAAGAAAATGCAATAATCCCGGATGTTTTGAACAGTAAGTGTCCCGAAAAAAAATGGAATAGTGTATAAAATTATAGGATTCAAAAAAAGAACGGGCGCAAATTGTACCTTTATGATTCTGTATCGCAGCTCAGTGAAATCGTTGAGGTGTTCGGGGTTCCAGAAATGCCGAAAGATGAAGTGTCGGAGATTACACCTCAAAGAATTCACAGAACAAAGAAATATTTTGATTGGCCACCCTGTAGACATGTGTTGTGAATCCAAAACGCTCGATCGGAACTGGCACACTAGAATTATCATTTCCGTTTTCGGAATATTTAGAGTTTTCGGATGGGGTCAGACATAAAAGAGAAGTGAAAAAGTACGTTTACCGGTTTTTTTATTCTGAGTATTTCTTACCACAGAGCCTTCCCTTCATATGCGGCGATAAAAGTATTGAGTTGCTTGAATCGCGGGGACCCTCGGATAGTTTGAAAACTTTGAGAGACGTAGACATTTTTTCACCACCGTTTTACCGAAATTCGCTTTTTTTTTAAATAAATGTTTTTGCTCCCCCACCCCCTGATTTTTAGCACCCACTTTTGTTGCTTCCAGTTTAATAATTTTTTGCTCCCACTTTTGTTCAGTTCTGCGAATCTCCACTTGATAACTTGAATTATTGCAAATTTAAAAAAAAATTAAAAAAAAAACTTTACTGCTAAACATTACTGTTAGAAACTGCAAATTTTGAAGTGCAGTAAAAAAGTAGGGGTGAAACCTAAAAATTGGGTGTGAAAAAGTGGGGGTGGTATCATAAATAAAAAGAGGGGTTAAAAAGTCGGGGTGGAATAGCAGAGATGGTGGTTAAAAAGTGGGGTGGTTTCTAATAGACCTCCACCGTGTGCGCCTCGACTTCCCCAGGCCGCGTCTCGTGGCACGAGTACGCCGCGTCCGTGCGGGCTCTCTCAAATCCGAATCAACGAATGTTCTCGAGACGCGCTCACAGCGGTACGGAACCTTCGATCTCGGGACAAGGGATATCGCTACTTTTAATATATTTTTTTTTTAAATTTTAACAAAGCTCGTTAAAAAAATGATTTAGTAAACATTAAGACAAGAAAAACCATTTACATGACTGTTTATTAGCTGCGTATCGCCGAATGAAGAGCACAACTGAAACGGTATCAATAAAAGTCCGAGCAGAGTTCGTCTGAAAATAAATAATTTGTTGTTTTCTATAAAATAATAGACCAAAATGAATCAAAAATTTAAGAAATTAGTTAAAATTTCACAACTTTAGAAAAATAATCACTATAAAAATGAAAATAGAAAACATGACAACAATATTATAAATAACGTGCCGTCCGTGAATTTCTTCATTTTTCTAAGTATCGTCGTTTTCACGAATTTCTTTCGTTCTTCAAATACTTTTGTAGTCTTTTTTGATTAATTAGTTTAAATCTCGTAAATACCTTCTTCTCCAAGTGAAGTGACAATGTAGTTGTTTTCAGACTTCCTCATATAAAAAGGAGATCTTCCGAAGGAGAAGAGCAGCTTGGGCAGCGTTTAATGGAATCAAGAACACCACCGATTTGATTTCCTGTAACAAAACCCGCGCACAGCTCTTCGATTCCATCGTTCTCCCAGCGCTGACTTACGGATCAGAGACTTGGACCTTCACCAAAGCTCTTGCCGAGAGAGTCCGAATTAGTCACGCTGCGCTTGAGCGAAGATTGGTTGGCCTCACGTTATCACAACAACGTGAACAAGATCTTCATCGAGAGGACATCCGCATCATGTCTAAAGTTCGGGACCCCCTACACCACATCACGAAGAGGAAGATGACCTGGGCTGGACACGTTGCTAGAAGAACAGATGGAAGATGGACTACTCTTCTAACGGAGTGGCGGCCGTGGAATTGGACCCGGCCAAGAGGAAGGCCTCCCATGAGATGGTCGGACTCGCTTCGGAAGGAGATCACTACAAGAACAGCTGAAGGAGCCGTTATCACCCCCTGGTCCACCCAAGCCAAGGACCGAAAAGCTTGGAAAGCTGTGGTTCGCGCCTCAACAGGCGAAGGACGAACCGACTAAGTGACTAAGTAAGTAAGTGAAGTGACAATGCAGTTGTTTTCAGACTTCCTCATATAAAAAGGACACAAAACAACATGGGAAATTTAGAAATGAGTGAAAACGAAGTCACGTTGGTTTTTTAAATATTTTAAACATTCACGTGATCGATATTTTTGGAATAACCAGCTTAAAAATTGAAAAATTTTCACATAGGAGAGGATTTTTTTTAAATTCATTTATATATTTCCATGTCATTTTCTGCAATTTCAGCCTCGCATCTTCTGGGCATTGACTCGAGCAAGTTGGTGAGTGTCTGCGCTGGGATCTTCATCCATTCTTTCTTTAGTTTCTGAAACTTTTCTGCATAGTTTCTGGTATTTGTCTTTCAAACGTTTTCCAAAGTCTTCCCAAAGGTGCTCAACAGGATTCAAGATTGGCTCGGCCGTTCCATAAAGCGGAGAATTCCAGCTAGATAACAATCCGAAGCATTCCTCGCGATTCGTCAAGGATTGGTTCGCAATATTAAATAAATGTAAGATACCTTCTCGAACAATATGTTAACTGTGTTTATCACATGTTTTTATCGCTGCCTTCATATACGGTATTTCCAAAAATGATTGGGAGACGTTGATGCCTTCTGTTTAAAAATGATTTAATAAAATTTATAGCTTTAGAAACACAAAAATTCACTACTTTCATCCAGAGATCGAATCGAAATTTCTGCTTCTTTGTTAGGAGCATCAGGATTCTAAGTGGCGATCACGTCGATCTAATCTTACAGATTAGTAAAATTTAAAAATGTATGCGTAAATAATTGCGTCAATAGATAAATGAATAAAATTCGAAAAAAAAAATCTAAAATTATTTTTAATAGTAGGGGTCACACTACTTTTTTTTATGAAGAAATATTGTTTTTTTCGTATACGTATACATATATATATATATATGTATATACATGCATCCGAAATAAGCGTCAACGCTATTATGAGTATGCCCAACACTTGGATATAATGAGATAAACTGTAAAAATGACCTTGATAAATGAAAATCAATCGGATTCGAAAACCAATTCGGTTTCAATCGAAATCGATAAGAAAATAATCTATTTCGAAGTACTCACAAATTTCAATCGAATACGATTTTAAAATTGAGAATGAATAATTCAATCGATGCCGAAAATTTTTGAATTGAAATTCACTCATAGATTAATTGAATTGGCCTTCAGTATATCGTAACCAGTGTAGAATTACGAGCGTGTAGATTTACGCGCTGACCAAATATTAAATGTTTTTTTCTCGATTTTTTAATTAAAAAAATGTTATGAGTGTTTTAATCCTGATACCCATTGTCATTTGCATTCTTATAATGTCGACCTCCATATATACGTAAAAGTTCACGGAACTAACGGCATTTACTTAAACAAGCGAAAGAATCGTACATTTATCGAATATCTTAAGACCACCCCAACAATGTTTTATTTACCGTAAAAATAGTATGAAAATTATTGTTCAATGGGGAAAGTCATCCGATTAATTGAGAATTCTCGAAATGCACCAAGCATTCTCGAAATGCACCAAGACGCTGCACAATTGAAATTTATAACCGAAAGCCAAACGAGCGTTGATTCCAATCGCCTAAAACTAGTAATAACTTCACATTGAATACAAAATTAAAAAGAAAACTGAGTCTACAATGATAAAAAAATGATAACGTACTTTTTGGAAGAAGCTTGAAGTCATTGAGTATATTTTTTTCCCTTTCCCTAGTATTGATGAAGCTGTGAAGTACCGAGGCGAGCATATAATTCAGAATTTTGTGTCCGTTGGAGGTTGTCTTCGAGGTTGCGCGAAGGGTTCAATATTTGACGCCATTGAAGTCGCTGCAACTATGATGAAACAATGAGCATTTTAAATAAAAATAATATAAATACCCGTCTTGTTAACTTTAGTAGTTGTCAAAGTCCTTCGGCTCCTGTTCAATATGATTGTGTTTCCTAAAATGTACTAAAAATTAGAAAACGAAAAATGATGAAGAATAAGTTTTAACGATGCCAAATTAATTAAAAAATGCCATAAAATAATTTTAAACTATCAATCAGCGATTATAAAAATGTAAGATAAACAGCAAAAATAAAAGAAACTGACTAATAAAAAAAGAGACACAGAAAAATTCTCAAAAAATAACGCGCCCAAAAACACGCTGCAAAGTGTATGCCACATACACTTCTCTTCGCCTCGAGAAATCTGGCAATTAGCCAATATTTTTTAAAATTTCGTCAAGTCGTTTGACGCCGACAATATTTAATTTTTCTTCGAATCAATTTGATTTTCATTTGGCCCGAAAACAAGGTTAACTCTAAATTGTGTTTTGTGTCTTGCAAGATTGGGTTTTCTGAATTCATCAAAATCGAATTAGCAGAGATTTTTAGAAAAAATCTGAGCTTGTAATACGCCTTCAGAAGTAATTTTCGAGTTGAAAAAATAAAATTCAATTATTAATATATTCTGGTAACCAAAGGTGAAAAATTTCAAACTTCTAGACGATTATACAGATCACAAATAGCACCTGTCGATATGAAATTTTTCGAAGATTATATGAGCAAATGTAGCGAAAAATTACCAGTGACGTCCCAAAGACCTCTGTAAACAATATTTCAGATATATTTTTGGATTTTTGATCTCGCTGAACCCTGCAGGACACTTCTTGCAAACGACGGAGCTAATATGAGTAGTTCGAGTTCATCTGTCAACTTGTCTCGCAACGCTTCAATTGCGCGCGCATTCAGAATACAATTTTCTCTCATTTTTCGTTTTACATAACATAAAAGTGTATTTATTGAATCCGCAATGAAACCACTCAACCAAATATATTTAAACAAAGTGTTAATTAACATGAACCAAAAACGAACAAAATATTACCATAATAAAATGTTACATGATAGAAGCTGTATTAAAAAAACACCTAATTTGGGGAAAAAGAAAGGGGGGGGGGTTGCGATATATATGAGGTAATCTGAGCAATTAGAAAACCAAATCAATTAATTTATATACAGAAAAAGAGGGTGGATGGACTTAAATAATCAAAAGTTAGTGCCGTCGAAGAGAGATATCTTTTAGGGCAAATTTTAATTTGAGAGAAAGTATTCGACAATCCAATTAAAACAAAATTAGTAATAAAACCAAGATTAATATCAGAGAAGAAAAAAACATACTAATTTGTGGGATATTCATCGTCGATAATTTCAGTTTTCACTTCTTGTTTGATTTGAATATTTTCAATTTTTTCCATACAAACAGGCTCACGTTTGCATTGAGAATCTATAATGAACTGGGTTTTATTTCTAAATAGATTTTAACTTCCGAATTAGAAATAATATTTATTTTTGATAGCTTCAATGCAAAAACGTTCAAATCTTTTGTTTGTTTGACAAGTAGACAAAAACCTACAAATGATCATACCTTCTTCCGCAGTTTCAGTTTTGACTTTCTTGAGCATTTTTTCTTCGCAATCGATTTCATCACTGCTTCTCAAATCCAAAACATCAATATTCTTCACCTTTCCATTACGAATAACTAAAATTATAATTTCGAAATTATGAAGACGATTCTATTATACCGTACTCAAACGTGAGAAATAATAATTCGTTTTATATCAACACAAATTTTCAAACTTCTATCTTTTTAGTCGCTCCGCCCCGCCGAATATTCAATGCGAAGTCAATGAATTTGTAATTATTATTGTACTCACTCATTCTTTTCTAAGATTTTTTATCTTAGCTTGATCCTTTCCTATTCTTATGTGTCGCAATAATTTTGAAACGAAAATTCTCACCCAATTGCTTCGCCGCTTCTCGGTGCTTATGCAATACGTGCACTTTGAACGTTTTGTAAGTCGATGCACAAAAACGGCAAAACGGGCACTCTTTGTGATTGGCTGAATTATTCATTTCATTTGCATTAATTTCATTTTTCCAATAAAAATTTGCCTAACTTATTAGTCAATAAGGGAGATTTACCCGAGATTTTTCGTTATACTTTTTTTTAAAAACCAAAACATATTTATAAGGGGAAACTCCTAATTAAAACATATAATTAAATGGAATAATAATTTTTTGTTTTAATACTACTTCAGTTCGGATAAATATCATTTAATTTTTATAGAACAAACTCATTAGGTTTTTTTTGAAAACGAAACTGGCGTTCTGTACTTTACAGTAAAAATGTTGAACCTACCGCCAACTTCGTACTGAAGTTCTTGAAGCAAACCCCACACCTCGTGTACGCCAATGTGCATCATTCGGTGCGATTGCAATGCCTTAAATACGGATATAATTTACTATTAATTGTTTAAATCTCACATATGTTGAAGAAAATTTCGCGTTACAATCACTGCATTTCAAAACTCCCTTTGTTGCTGATTTATTTGCAGCTGTATGTTTCAAACTTTCGTGTTCCATTACTTCCGCAACCGCTTAATATCAAAATAATTTTGCGAATGAAAAGAAAAACAAACTTCGAAATTCTCGTGGGCAAAAACGGCATTCCATTCCAGCATTTCGTCCAGTACAAGTACGATAATGAGACTCAAGATGGGTTTGGAGATTTTCACTAAACTCGTTACAGACTCTGTAAAATTGAAAATAATCGCTTCTTTCTTTCATGAAAAATTGAATTAAAAAAGAACATTCTCGTCACAGTAACCTTTTAATGTGTTCCTTACGCTCTTTGTAGAGTTTAATATTTCTCCTCTGAAGACTTTTAAGTGAAAATTTTTTCTAGGCGAGTTTAATTGAACTTTAAAATAGCCTAAATGGGTCCTAGAATATAAAATAATCAGTTGAGGACGCCAACTATAACAATTTTTATGAAATATTAAATATGTTTGCATTTTCAAAAAGTATTTTATATTTTCCCCTCCTTCGAGAATGAATTATATAGTATTTTTTTAAACTTACGGGCAGAAAATAATAGACTTGATTTCCTCGCAGTTTTTTGCGCATTCGAAACATTTTGCGAAATTTTCGTGCTGTAAGAAGAAAGTTTCGTTATAAATAGGAAAAATTGGGAACATGCTTAACATTATTGTTTTGATGCATCTTAATTCACAATTATATAGTCAACTTTTCTTTATTATAGAAGTAAAAATATTTTAGTAAACTTACTGATACGTTTTATGGTATTAAAAAATTTAAATGTCATTACGCTAAAGAAGACATTAAAATTTTTACTCTTATAAGAAAACTAATTGAAAAAGGTACAGAAAAACGAACGTCTTGTACGAGATGTTTGTGTAAGTCGAAATGAGTTTCGAAAGTGATTCCGCATCTGCAGTGATACAAGGATTGGTAGCGTAACATATTATCAGATTCCGGAGAAGTTTCCCGCGTTTCTTCACTATCCAAACTGCTTTGCGGCGTATCGCATGAATTATTATCATAATCATCAAAATCCAGTGAATTGTAGGCTGAAATGAGTCATTAATTCAATTTACTTCTGTAAGTCAATAATGTTTATTGGAAACACAATACGTGACGTACTATAATATATGTTCCAGACTATTGCTGCGATCTGATCGAATTAAAGCATTAAGTGATATCGTGGTAATATTATATATTAGTTATTAAATTAAAAAATAGGAGCACAGTGTTTTTGGGTTCATGTTTATATATCTTATACGAAAATCGAGATCGTGTTGGTAACTTTGTTGATTTTTTATATCATTACTTTACATTTTTACTCACTCACCTAACCACAATTGGCTGTTGCTATTTTGAAGCTCAACAGCCGCTGCTGAAACCGACGAAAAAATATCATCGTACATCTGATCCCGCTTTTCACGCTCCTTGCATTTTTTAAGATATTCCTTCGCATTTTCTATTTTATTTTTAAGAGCTATCTTTTGCCAATTACTGCTGTAGTTGTAATATGGTTGCGGTTTCTTTTGAAGTCTAAATCCCAAATTAGTTTTTCGATTATCAGAGATAAGGAACCTGTTGGATCTTCGGACATTTCTTTCTTCGCTCATCGACTTTCCGGACCCTAAAACAAATATAACATATATTTAACTATTATATTAAATACGAAAAACAACGGACAAAAAATAAACATCTACATTTCTCACAATATACAACTTAGTTGACATTTTACAAAATAAATTGATTATATGTATAATGTACTTTTAATCCCTTTGTAATTGAGTTTCGACGAAACTAATTAGCTTTGCCAAGGGTTTACATGCAGCAATTGCAAATCATACTTCACAATGTTTTAAATAAATTGAACTACGTTATATAAAATAATTTTGTTTAAAGACAGCAGGCGTTATTTTTTGCATGAAATGGCCGAGGTTACTCTTAAGGCCAAGGCCACCAAAAATTTCAACTCCATTAAACGCCTCGAAAACCTAAAGACTTATTGAATTGGAGGTTATTTTGTAAAATCTATAACAAAAATTATAAATGATAATAATAATAATCTTTTTTTTTATAAATGATAAAAAATTATAAATGATATAATAGTAATCTTTTTTTTTTATAAAGTACAGCATTCCTAAGAAATAACTTAATTAAGAGTTAAACTATTTCGTGCATATTTTACTTTTTCCACTTAGATTCTTACGTTTCCGGAAATATCATCGTTCAATTCCCCTCTGGTCATTTGTTCAGCTCCCTATCGAAATCTGAGAAGGATGTGCCTAAATAAGGCCAATTTGTATATAGCGAAATGTCGAGTCATTTGATGAAAAGTGTGTATTTCTCATACTCACATTCTGTAGCATTGTGTCGATTAAGGTGTTATTTTTGCGCATCATGCGATCAATCTGCAAATAACTAGGCAGAGTATTTGATTCCTACGGAATTGAAAACCCACAGAACCATTAAACCTCGTTAATCTAAGTGATGTGGTTAACAGTGTAAGTATTAAGCTTTAATAAGGGATTTTCTAATTAAGTGGTTTTATATGAAAACATTTTGGCCTTTTACAGGGTTATCATTTCGGTCAGCCAAAGCCGAAGCAAGATATATTTCTCAAATTCGGTAGAGTAAGCCGAAATTTTCAAGTTAAATCAAATATTAAATGGTTTCCACACTCAAACTATTCAATAATATTCGTTTCAAGAAAATTGTTTTATCAACACTTCAAAAAAAAAAACAAGCCACAAAAACGCACTAATACGACACTCCAATTATACATCGCCCTCGATTTAGAGTTTAAAACGGTGAGCGACTTTTGTTTCGAATCATTCCACTATTTGTCCCAAAATTTTTCACGGATTATCTCAAACCAAAAATAAAACCCTATCGAAACGAACATTTTTATAATGAAATCCAAAAAAATGTTTCAAGTTCACAGAGTCAATTCGATCGATTAGAACAAAATAACCTATGAGATTTATGATAATAATATTGCAATCACAGGAAAAGAAGCTTCCTGCATTGATTACGATTTACGGCACTACAATTTCCACTGTTAAAATTCATATTTTAAACTATCACCTCGAAAATTGCGATGGTCCACAATTCGTCAAAGTCCTCGTTTTGGGTTATAGTAATATGTAAATATAATGAATAATTAACAAAAAACAGTTTGAAAACAATTAAAATTTTCTGCTCGCGAAAAAAGCGACTACCGGAATCGATCGCAACAAGACCCAACTCATTTTTCTGCGATACGTGTCTTTATTCAATAATTTTAATTTCGCAAATGAATTTGCATTTTTTGATTAAAAATATCCTTGTATATTTTGTATTCCAAACAATTTATAAAGCTAAAATTCGGAATGTTCGGCGGGAAAACGTTTTCCACTTTGAAATATTTTTTTTTGATTTTCGTGCGGTTTTTCGTTTTCCGTATTCTGCATTTTTGTCATTTTATTCTCTGGCAATTCGTTTGCTCTGACCATTTTTTGCGTATTGAACATTTTTGGCATAAGTGACTCAAGAACATGCAAAATTTCGAATAAAATACGTATTGCTGGTTTACTAATCGAATATGTCCAATTTGGAAACGAATACGAATGCAGGATTTGTGTCAAACAAGATCGGTGTTTGAGGGTTCAAAAGTCAGTGTTGATAATAATTGGCCTTATCATTTTTAGTCACTATTGTTCCGTTGAAAAAAAAAGCAAAATTAGAGAAATTTAAGTAACACAGTATCGCATGAAACTACAGATGTCACTTCCACTTTTCTACTTATCTTAGTTCTTCTGATGACCCCTTTTTTGAAATAGACGATGCAAGAAAAAAAAAAACATTTTACGAAAACAATCGAACATCCGCCGTCTACGAATATGTCTTATTATTTATGAGTGAAAAATTAGTCTGTATTGAAGAAAACCAAGAAAACACCACAGTCATTTTGGCTCAGTGAGCAGATGTATCTCAAACTTCCCGGATGTTCACTCTTTTGGTGATCTTCACCTAGTTTTCGACGAATTCCAGTTGCAAATTGAGCAGATCGCATGAAAGCCATCCCTAAACTCAGGTGAAACTCTTGATGAGTGGTTTTAGTCAGAAGCTTCTTATGATGCCCTAGTAAATTCATAATGATTTCCATGCGTGTGTGTAAGTACATAGTCTCCTCGCAAAAGTCGTAATTAAATGCCCATAAGCGACCGTACGAGCCAACTGCTTTCTTGAGACGTTTTTCTCTGTTAGTGGCAGATACAATAGCAGTTTTTCTCACGCACCAAAGAATCACCTTTAGCTTCTTTTGACTAGCATTTCTACCGAATTTATTACGGTCATTAAACTCAACGCCATCTGATCGACGATTCGGTACTGCTTCCAAATAACTTTTGATGGAACAAACGTAACTCGTTTCTTGTGGAATGTGGTCGTTCTCGTCCACCATGGATTGTGCCAAATTACCGAAAACGCATCAGCATCTTCAACAGTTCTTCTGACAATCCGAATCACCTCTAGATTCTTCAATTGTCGAAGTATGATGCACGTCGGATGTTCTTATTACTGCAAAACAAAACTGATTGAGCTGAAATTGGGGAAAATATAGTCTAAACATAGCAAATTTTCAAAAAATATGCTAATTCATAAAAAATGACATATTCAAAATGGCAGTTCAATTATTTTCAAAATTGTTTCTTGCGAATCGCATTTTTCAACTCCACAGATGTTCAGTTTCTACTGTATTTTAGTTTGTATACCTGAGAAACTTAACAATTTTGTTTTTTTTGTCTCGAATCAGCAGATGTTTTATTTTTCACAAATTTCTCTATATGGCAATTATCAAAAAAGTTCATTAATGCAGCAATCGCCCCAACATGACGAACCTTTTCGTCATTTTTTCTTCCCTCAAGTCCTTCACAAATCTTTCAAAGCCTTTCCTGTGAATAACTAATGAAGTGCAAAACAGAGTAGAGACAAAACTTGGTTTTGCCAAAATTTGAGCTCACAAAATTATCCCTTTTAACATTCATCACTATTAAATTTCGACTGTTTGCATAGATAATTACATCTCAAACATTATAATTAAATAATAATATGCGAAATCAAAATTGTAAAATAAAACTTGTGATACCATTGAGTAATTATGTCATAAAACATTGTAAAAGTTCAACAAAGCATTATTTCAAAATTTTTTTCTTTTTTGCTCAATTTTTAAATCTCTTATTGTTCTAATATTGCTAATATTGAATGATGCTCAAATAAAAGGTTGCAGATCGAATGAATACTAATTTATCAGAAGAGTTTTACCTCGAAGAATGGGCGAGCTCGTCTCGTCTTCTTTTCTACATCATTGTCGCGATTTCGGCAATCACCTTGCCGGTTCTTGTGGCTATTTTAGTCATTATGCGACCGCATCGAAATTCGCAATATTACCCGTATATGTGCGCGATTATCATCGCAAATTTCGCATTATTGTCGGCAGTCTTCTTCCATGTGCTATCCGAGAATACAAGTATAATTTACGGTTTGTTTCCTATTTTAAATGCTTCTATCTGTTTTAGTTCCGCTTTTTTTCTGTATAAGAACATCGGCCGATAAGAATTGAACTGATTGAACTGTTTGATCTGAGAATGAGTTGCCAGCAATGTTAAAAATTTAAATCTAAAATTAAAAGAAAATAGTATTTTTTGGAAATATAATTTTTTTGGCTTTAGAAGTTGATCTTATTGACCGGTTTTCTGAGACCCATATTAAAAGTAAATTTTATTCTAGATAATTTAGATCTTCTTCCTGGTTTCCTTATATGTAAATTATCCGTGTTCGGTGTCAATGCTTCTTCATGTTTTATTCACTGGACATGGGTCGCAATGTATTCTCAGGTAATTTATGATATTTTATGAACACCCCGAGATCACTTAATTTATGATAATCTTATTTAAAAATAATATTACCGATTTTTAGCGATTTATTCACGTGTTTTTTCCTCTTCATTCTCGTAGAAAACCGCCGAGAAATTCATGGAAAACCATTTTCTAGTATGTATTTGATTCTATTTGTTTTACAATTTTTTTAATACAATCGTTTAGCATACTGATTGGATCGATGCTCGTTCAATTATGGTCATTGCTGATTATCACTGAACTATCGTATAAAAATAGCCAAGGAACGTACTGCGCTGCTGACGCCTACTTCAAGAGCTCGTCGAAGACTATTGTGCTGGTTGACAGCACATTGACCTTCTTCATACCATTCCTTCTTACCGTATTCGCCGATATTTCCGTGCTCATCTCTCAAACGCCATGGCATCCGTCGTTCAAGTTAATGTCTGCCGATAATTTGAGAAACAACAACAGAAGCGATAACATCAAAATCGTTTCCAAATTTAATTTAGAGGTTTCCACTAACTATTTTTTATTCACTTGAAACAATTCATTTCAGAGCTATGAAAAACGTCGTTCGATAGCAATCAAGAGATGCTTGATTTCGGCTACAGTAACCCTCAGTTTGAATCTTCCCAATTATTTGCTTCAAGTAATTGATGAGTTCTATTCCTTAAGGGAACATCCGGACATTTTCAATAGAAGCTTGTTTTTGCGGGTACTAGATATTCATTTATTCGAATTTTTGCTCTCATTGACATGAAATATGATGCATTTCCAGATTGATGCTGCTTTCTACATTCTGTATCTTCTCCAGTTTCCACTTGTTCCTCTTAATATGTACTTCTTGAGACAAAATATTACAAGAAATTCGAGGTAAATATGGAAAAGAGGAACTTTGAGTATTTCGATAATAATAATAATAATTTTGAAGGAAATTGAAAGAGAAAATGCTTCTTCCGATTGAGCCAAGCAACGTTATCGAATTGAGTGAGGCAACGAAATATCAGCAAAGTGCTACTATTCAGGAATAATTATAATTATCTCTTAATTAAGTACAATAATGTATAATATGTTTATGTGTGTGCGAATAAATTAGTTATTTTCAAACTGTGCGCGGATCCTCTTATCACAATGATACGATTCCAGTTTCGATTCGCTCACAAACAAAACAGTTACACTAATTTAATAGCATTTCACAAAGACCGAACTTGTTTTGGATACCTTATAAATATGCGAGAATTCTGTTCGATCCCATCAATTTTTGTCGCATTTTCAAACAATTTTCATTTTTTAGATGGGAACAATTTGTGTCGTTTTGTATACGGTCACTGGGGTTTCTGCTCTTGCCGCCATCATATCAATTTTCTCAACTATTCATGTATTGAACGATATTAATAATTTCGAAACTGAAATTCTTGAAAATATTAAAGAATTTAGGGTAATTAATGAAAGTTTTTTACCCTTTCACTTGACGTTTTCAGGAATATTCGAACGATGCGTGGAATGTAATGATTCATACGAACAATCAGAAGATGGGATTCGATCGCATTCGTGCTCGTCGACAATATGTTGTTGGCGGTGGCGCTCCAGTTTCTGGTTGCCAATGTGGATCACAAGCTTCAGGATGTCCAGCTGGCCCACCAGGACCTCCTGGACAACCAGGAGCACCTGGAGAGCCCGGACTTCCTGGAGATGATGGCGGAGCAGGATCCGCTGGAGTTGCTGGCGACGGTGGACACGATAGCAAATGCATTTCATGCCCTCAAGGACCTGCGGGACCACCAGGGCCAGACGGACCACCGGGACCCGCAGGTCCAAGCGGAAATCCAGGACCCGACGGACAAGGCGGCTCAGCTGGAGCCCCTGGCCCTGCAGGACCAGCTGGAGCACCGGGAAATCCAGGAAATCCAGGAAATCCAGGGCAGGACGGCCAACCAGGAGCTCCAGGAACTCGATCCACTAGTTCACCAGGCCCAGCTGGTGGACCGGGACCGGCAGGACCACCGGGACCGGCGGGAACACCGGGAAGCGATGGAAATGGCTCTCCAGGGCCAGCAGGGCCAGCAGGACCTGCCGGAAATCCGGGACAACCCGGGTCTGACGGCCAACCCGGAGGACCTGGAAGTGATGGAACTCCGGGAAGTGATGCGGCCTATTGTCCGTGCCCACCAAGAAGTGCTGTTGTTTCAGTTCGAAGACGACTTGCAAATTGATTACTCAGAAACACCAAAATGTTTCAATGAATACCAATCTCAAATAAAGCGAATTCATTTTAATTATTTATGTATCTGAAAAAAAAAAACGAATAAGACACGTCGTTATTTATTGGCAACTGCTTTTGCATTTGGTGACATTGGAGAACATGGTGAACTAGGCGAAGCCTTTTTGTCCCAATCAACATCAGGCATCATTCGCAGAGTATCATAATTTGCTGCGAACGGATCAGCTTTTGACTTCTAAAATTTTCAAACATTTCATATATAGTTTTCAAAATATTAATAACCGTGTCGGATGGTAGTTTGAATGCTTGATTTTTTGTAGCGCCGGTGGGACCCGTGCCAGCCACTGAAACTGATCTGATTGAGAATCAAATGATTGCGAACCTTTTAATGTGTCATCGCTTTTTGTTTCTGAAGGTTTTGATGCACTTTCCTCCATATCACCCAGATTCTCATAATGTCCGTCGTCTGATGGTGCTTTCTAAAAACAAAAAGAAAATATTATTTCAAATAATTTCAATTATGTACATTGAGTGGCAGGTTTTGAAAAGAATTCGATCTGTCCGATTCAGTTTTTGTTTTATCATCTGAAAAATTGAATGATTGATTAATATGTAATTAATAAAATTAACCCGTGTTCTGAACGACCGTTTGAATCTTTTTGACTTCTGCTGGTTTCGTGTTTATAATACCCATTATCAATAATTGATGTATTGCCAGAAGATTATTTGAAGGAAATGCCATTTTCCTAATTTTATCATTAATTTCGCGTGGTGTTTTATGAAAATGATTGAATCAATTAAATCATTATCAACTAATATCTAACCACCAACTAACCAATTAATCATGCCATCACCATATTTTTATAGAAGGTTTGCAATTTTGAACACGATTTTTCATAGATATTTTAAGACGTAAATCAGAACGGTTTCGATCCATTGCTCAAAGTCGTCGTGCTCGAAAACAACTACGTGATAAGCTTGGAAGATTCGCAAAACTTCGGAAAAGATCGGTTTCAAGATCTCGGTCAACGTCAAAATCACTATCAAGATCATCTTCGGCATCATCGGATTCGTCATCATCCTCATCGACTTCATCAATTCATTCGGACACTGTTCTCAGTCGGAGTGGTGGAACTCCAAAAATTGGAAGGTTATCAATTTATTCTATTATCATCACAACTCATATTTTTAGAAGAACTCACAGCGCTAGTCCAGTTTCGAACTTCCGAAGTCGTCTCAATTCGCATGCCAAGCATCGTCGTGCGCGACGCAGACCTCGATCAATTTTGACACCGAAGGGCAAAAAAAGCAGAAATGCTTCATTGGGTCGACGTGTCGTCATCGACGAAAATGCGAACGACTACAAAATTCTGAGCCCAATCAACAAGACGTTTGAGAATTCGATTGGCACAAAATCTAATAGAGCCTATTTCAGGGAAATTCCCAAAAATCGAACAATTATCAAAATAGTGAGCGACGAAGAGAACAAAACAAACAAAATCGAACTGATCACAACCTATGAAAATGGGAAAGAAAATAAAGAGAATAAATGAACTTTTTCAAAATTCTGGAACCATCCTGGTCGTGACGTATTAGATTTGGAGCGGGATTGGGAGCCGTTGATCAGTAAATTTGCGCCGCCCGAAATAAAGCTCTTTTGGTAAAATTATCAAAAATTTACCGACTCTCCAAATCGTACGTATGATTTCTTAATGCAAACTGTTTTTTTAAAGACAAATACAAATAATTAAAATTCATATTCATATTCACACAAACAATCTTTGCATTTTACAATTAAACAGTAATCGTTGAATTCAAAACGGTTCGCCTTAAATGGGTATTTAGCTTTTTTTTTTAAACATGATTTATCGATCTCCGCGCTCCATGTGCTCCCTTTTCTCAAGACGCTTCGCCCAATGACAATCTAAGTCATATGGCTTATCATCAACCTGAAAATCTTTGAAATATTCTCTCGAAAACGAAACAAAAACCAAATAAAATTCTCCGTTGGGCAACGGACGATTGCACGACGAGCACGTGAAGCAGCGCGGATGCCAATGACGATCCAGTGCGAGAAGACACGTGTCGACTAATGTCTCCATGCAACCTGCCAATTAATATATACACATTTCCTCGATCGTTCCGACTAATTAATAAAACCTGCGCATTTTGGATTATACTTTTGAGCAAAACATTGAACACAATATGCATGATTATCGGCTGCCTGGAATGCTTGTTTTATAGGTCTCTTGCACGATGAGCACGTGAAATGATCCGGGTGCCATAAACGATTCATCGCCACCAAAGCCTAAATTGACATTTACATTCTCTTATTGATCTCAATTTTACCTCATCTCCAATCGATTGATGGCAATGCCCACAGAGTCTTCTATCAACAGTTCTATCCATTCCTTTTAATTTTGAATGAGTTGAAATCATTCAAAAGATGATTAAAACAACTCACCTGCGTGAACTTTTCTTTTTTTTTTTCGTAGATAAAAAATATACGATTTGCTTTATTTTTTATTATTAATTACTAACCAATTAGCAATATGGCTTACTCGCAACTTGTCAAAATAACCAAAGGATATCTCAATGGTCAACGAATAAGAGGAATCTGCAGTAAGATTTTGTTTACCCTTCGAACAGACCTTCTAAATTTTGTTATGGAAGATGAATGAAATCGCCAAATTTAAAAAACCATTTGTCCCGCGAAAAATATGTGTTTAACTTCAAATAAAATTATATTTCTCAATAATTTAAAAAATTTAAGCCCTTTGATACTTATTAATGAGGCGTATTCATTTTTCAAAAAATGTAAATAATACCATTTTTTAAATTTGCAATCCTCCCTTAGTTCTACAATAATTACCAATTCACTTTTAACTCTCTGAATTCCGCCCGTCTTTGAGAATATATTATTTTAGATTCAAATTAAACGATGTAAAATATTAAGCGAAATAACATAAAATAAAATAACAGAGAAATATTTGTGAACTATTCACGATTTGCGATTCGTGGGGATCTCGAATTCATTTTTTCATGAGTTAATGCCGTTGATCAAGTGTTAATAATTTCAAAACTTTTAATGTAACCCATTATGTTCAATAATTGCTAACATTTTGTTTTTAAATTTTCATTTAAAAACCTGATCAATATTTACGTTCAAAGCCCCACAGCTAACGCGAAAAAAAAAAACACCGAAAGCTGGCCGAGAAGCTGGGTGATTCGCTCGCGCCTTCTGAAAGAGCATGAAATTGACAAGTCTGCTACACAGTTGCCTTTTGAATGTGCAGTTGTTCACTGGGTATATTTGAAAATGACAGCCTCGAGTTGTTCTAGAATAATTGTTTTTTTTTTCAAATATTTTGCAGCATCAGAAGTATGAACTAATACATATAAATGTTTGAACTTTGAAAAAAATGCTACTTGAAACATTACACAATGGAAATGTCAAAGATCTTTTTTCAATTCGCCACAATATTAGTCTCGCAGACATTTCCATCCCAAAGTCTCCTATATATACGAGACACCCTTTTAAACCTCTATTTGTCGAAAAAACATTTTCGGGATGTAGGAGAGACACAAAGAAAAACATACATCGTCCTTGGATTTTTCGAATGCATTTTTTTCGCTCAACTACTTTTACTTTTTTTTTCTTATAAGATTTTCTTTTCTTCTTTTCTTTTTCTTTCATGTTTATATTTTTCATTTTTTTTCACTCAACGAGAGAGAGAGAGAAAAATGACGAGAAAACAAAACCTTGAAGAATTTGATAGATTTTATTGGATAATCGATTCTCGATGTAAATCTGCGCAGTGCTGTTTAAAAATGATAACATGTTATGACAAAATTGATTACAATTGACCATACGTCATTTGTGTCGATGTTTCTATTCTCCCACATAACCACAATGAATTGTTTTATGTATTTTTTTCTTTTTACATTCCTTTTTATTATAATCAAATGTTTTTTTTCCATAATAATGTCCCATCATTGATATTTCAGCTTTTTCCTTTTCGAAAATGAGCTCATCCGAACGTGCTATTCCAACCATTACTCGGCGATGTTCGTGCTCTAGCGAAGCATGTGAGTTTTACTTTTCGCTTGAAATTTATTTCAAGTTTTTAAAGTCTCACCAAAAAAGTCAATAACAAGCGGAACTCCGGCGTCAGTGGAAAGAATCTCTCGAATTCACGATCCAACGCATTTGCCCAAACAACTACTGGTGCAACATCATCACGATGACGGTGCATTTCTCCGAAACATTTCTGCTACCGTATGTTCATTTATCGTTGATTTCCTCGTCGTTTTCACGATACCGTAATATTCGATGTCTGGTCGTTAATAGATCGTAAAAGACCCGGCGCGATCGTCTGCCGTTTTTGCGTTTTATTCGGTTTTGTCATCAAGTGTTTTTGAACCCACCCGTATAGTCGAATGATTGATACGACTGAAATCAGAAATAGGCCGAAATCAGACAATAAGGGAGCACGAGGTCAAGAAATCAAAAAATGATTTTGCATTGAATCAAAACATACTCGTCTGCTAAACGAATAATTGTCTGCAAGAGGAGCTCCACAATAAAAACTAGGACCGTTTTGACAGCAATTGAACATAATTTTTTGAAGTTTCCACAAGTATTTTATTAATTGATTAACTTTTCGAGCCATCACTCATTTTCTTAAAATGCGTTTAATTTGATGGAAAATTGATGTTCGTACGAGACTGTTTACACTATAGGGAAAAGCTTTCGGAATTTGGAATAATTTGCTCGTAACTTAAAGAATATTGGCACAACATGAATTGAAGAATATAGGGAAAATCGAAAATTGAATAATATTTGTCTATAGATATAGGCGAGATATCCGAATGCGATTGGCATCTCCTTCGAAACTCAACCGACTGGAGTAGCTGGTTGTAACATGCTTGTCGCATTCAGTCTTGTTCATTGATATTCAATTGCATCGCAACATTCGTGGTGCACTCGCACTGACCCTCTCGTGTTCATTTTGAACCCTGTTCGACCAACGCATCCAATAAAACTTTGTCGTTTGGGTACGCGCGCCCTCATCGTGGGAATTGCACGTGTGGGGTGGGTGCGCGTCGCAGAAAGAGGAAAAGGAAGAGAAGGAGGAGGAGGAGGAAGAGGAAGAGGCAATATAAAAAATCGAGCGGTCGTCTGCGAGCGGTGCATCTGTCCCCGCATTATTTTTTGCATCTCCTTTCATTCGCGCCTTGTTGTTGCGTTGCTTCTTCGTCATTCGGTCTAGGGAGAATTGTCAAGCACACGACCTATTAGCCCCGCCTCTATTTGATCGCATTCTTTCACCACACAATCGCTGCTCATTCTTTCTCGCGTTGAATCATTCGGACGAGTTGTGATCATGGCGACTGCTGGTGTCCTCTATGCGCATTATAGCGATGTGCCGTGTTTCCACGAGGATCCCATCGTTATTGTGAAAGCTTCACTCGAGGTAGGCTTTCAATTCGAAATAGTGATCTTTGATATCCCGACTTTAAATAGCTTTGAAAGAATTTCGCTTTTTTTACAGGATTTGGTACATGAAGTTCAAGAAACCACAGCAAACAAAAAACTCCTCGGTGCACCGACGTCACTTCCTGAATCAAGAGTAAAGCATTTAATGGCAGTTTCCGACTTTGGTTTCCTTTTTTCAGATTTTAGTCCTTTATACTGGTGGAACCATTGGTATGAGAACGACAGATGGAGGTATGCACATATTATGTATATATTATACTTGATAACGAAAGTGCAAAATGTGAGCTCGGTTAGGACTTTTAGTGAACTTAATAAAAAAGAGGTCTATTAGAAACCACCCCTACTTTTTAACCCCCACCCCTGCTATTCCACCCCGACTTTTTAACCCCGACTTTTATTTATGATACCACCCCCACTTTTTCACCCCCAATTTTTATGTTTCACCCCTACTTTTTCACTGCACTTCAAAATTTGAAGTTTCTAACAGTAATGTTTAACAGTAAAATGTTTTTAATATTTTCAATAATTCAAGTTATCAAGAGGAGATTCGCAGGACTGATGTCTAAATTACATTTTTCAGAAACTATTGTCGAAGTCAAACGACTTGAAGAAATTTAAAAAATAATTGGCTATGTGCCAATGCGTCTCGAGGCAGCGAGATTGCGTCCATTGCATTATAGCGTACGCGCATTAAATATTCAGTCAACGATTAATTTAAATCTACATTAATTTCGCGAATTTAAAGGCTCCGCCTCCCTTCAGTCGTTTGACGCCGACAACATGTAGTGTTCTTATGAAAGGTTGACAATTTTAACAAGAAATTAACTATTCTCGGAAAACCCGGTTCAGAAAAATTTCGTCTTTTGTCAAAACGTCAACCTTTCATAAGAACGCTACATAGTTTCTGAAAAATCTAATTTAGACATCAGTCCTGCGAATCTCCTCTTGATAACTTGAATTATTGAAAATATTAAAAACAGTAAAATTTTACTGTTAAACATTACTGTTAGAAACTTCAAATTTTTAAGTGCAGTGAAAAAGTAGGGGTGAAACCTAAAAATTGGGGGTGAAAAAGTGGGGGTGGTATCATAAATAAAAGTCGGGGTTAAAAAGTCGGGGTGGAATAGCAGGGGTGGGGGTTAAAAAGTAGGGGTGGTTTCTAATAGACCAAAAAGAGTGAAGGTTTTTTTGAGATTCAAATGTTTCGACATGTTTTATTTGTGTTAGAATCCGTTTACTATAATTAAGCGTGTCGTATTTGCTAAGAAAAGACGATTTCTCATCGTATTTCGCATTAAGTTTTTCATCTTTTGAACAGATAAGAATTGTGTTCATTTGAAAGCATTCTTGACATCGGAAATTGAAAAATCTATTGAGAAGATGCTCAGGCAGGATTTATGCGAATAACGGCGTATTATCATTACACATAGTATTGAGTAAAATTATAATGCTCTCTTAACAGCTGCGGAAGGGCTTCGATTCGAAAAATTATTTATCGGATCCACAGAATTTCTTGACAAAAGTTTTGTCGGATTCGAATGGTTTTGAATTAGCAGAAATCAATCATAAGATTTCAGTTGAAAAAAGCAACACACTTCAAATAAGATTGAACATTCTTTTTTATTGGGGAGTGATGCAAATTAAAAGTGAAACAGTGGCAAAAATTCCGAGCATTTTCTTTTTTTTTAAAGGGGCGAAACAGTGTAGACAGCGTGTTTTTTCGAAACCGAGGAAAACTACAGTTTCGCCCAATGAGTTTGCCAAGATTCTATTCTCACAAATTGTAGAGAAAATTCATACAATTTTAATCAGAAGCCTACAAGTTTTTTTTTTTTATTCAAATATTTTATAAGGCTTATCTAAGAATTTTTTTTTAATTAAAAATGTGTTAACGAGACACATTGCCCATTATAAAATTAAATATGCGCAATATTTATGAAGAAGAAAACGGTTTCTTAATCAGTAAAAAAAAGAAATCATGTAGAGTTTCTCGAGAATTCCAATATCTGATGACGGCTTAGTCTGAGTTGACTTGCTTCTTCTCTGATAACTCAAAATCAATCGGATTCGACAAAATTCGGCTCCGAAATCAACCCGATCCCATTAGTAATTCGACGGATAAGATTGGTATTTTGTCGGATCCGATTGGTTATTACTTGAATCCGTTTTGTTTTAATTTTTCAATTCGATTCGGATCCGACAAGTTACCAATTGGATCGGGTTGATGCCGGATACGAATTTTGTCGGATCCGATTAGTTTGAGTTACCAGTGTTAATTGTCGTAATTATGCATTTTATTTTACTCTAATGCCTTACAATATTGAATTAAACCTTTCCAAATTTTCAGTTGATAGAAACGGAAAATTCAGATGTAAATAAACATGCATTTACAAAAAAACGATATTACAGTGTATTGTCCTGTTGCTGGATATCTGCCGGAAGTCATAAGGGACATTCCACCATTGAACGATCGCAGCTATATCGAGGCAAACTACGCCGACGTTGCTGTTCGACCATATTCGCTTCCTCCTGTCCGGAATATGCAGAAACGAGTTGTATATTGGGTATAAACATCTTCGAATTCATTTTCTTAATTTTTCCTATATTTAGATAGTCGAATATGAGCCTCTTCTTGATTCATGTGATATGACATTTGATGACTGGATTCGAATTGCATCCGATATTAAAAAAGCTTACCATAATTACGATGGATTCGTAGTTCTTCATGGAACTGACACTCTTGCTTACACTGCCAGTGCATTATCGTTTATGATGGAAAATCTCGGAAAGCCAGTTATCATCACTGGAAGTCAGATTCCTGTTGCCGAAGTACGATCAGACGGTATGGAAAATCTGATCGGAGCCCTGATCACTGCTGGAAATTTCGATATTCCTGAGGTTTATACCTCAAACAATTCAAAGGTTTTGACCGTCAATTTAGGTTTGTGTTTATTTTAATAACAAATTAATGCGCGGAAATCGAACTGTGAAACTGGACAATTCGGCGTTGGAAGCATTTGACAGTCCCAATATGCACCCTCTTGCTAATATGGCTATTAACATCAAAGGTAGATTAATCTATGGACGAGTTTCTTCAATATATTTGTTTCGCAGTGTGCTACGACGCCATTTTCCGAAGCGAGAATATTGCTGCATTCGACGTCCACGACAACTTATGCCGTGACGTTGGAATGCTTCGAATTTTCCCTTCGATGACCATCGAATCGGTTCGCGCCTTTCTTCAGCCACCGACGAAAGGCGTTATTCTACAAACATTTGGCGCTGGAAACATGCCAACTCGAAGGTCTGATATCATTGCAGCCTTGAAGGTAATCATAAAAAAAAACAAAGTCAAGTGATTTGATGCGATGCTTAGGATGCCATCGATCGCGGTGTTTTGATTGTTAATTGTTCGCAGTGTCTCAAAGGTCAAGTCGACGTCAACTATGCGACAGGAAAGGTTGGTCACTTGATATTAACTATTGATTTCAAAATCTTCTCATTAGATTCTCTATGATATTGGTGTTATCCCTGGATCCGACATGACATCCGAAGCAGCAATGGCCAAATTATGCTATGTTCTCGGAAAAGATGAATGGGATGATCAGAAGAAAAAGATGGTACGATTGTTTCAAAAAGCATTGAAAAATGATAATCGATAAAACTCAGATGCTTCAATCGAATTTGCGCGGTGAAATGACTGTTGCTCATTCAGGTGCCATGCGCGAATTGGATATCAGTATGATTAACATTTGATGCGTAAAAATATGCTATCATATTCCCTAATTTCAGTTCCGCATATTGCGAAATGTCTGCGAGTCTCGTCTTCTCAAGAAGTCCAACTCCTTCGCGAGGTCATCCTCCCGCCATTGTTTTGTAATGCTGCTAAAACAAACGACTCGAAACTTTTGGAACAATTAAAGGTAAACAAATTTCATTTGTTTTCAAATAATAATAAGCATTATTTTTTTGAAATTTGTCAGGGATCCGGCGTCAATTTCTCGGCACCCGATTACAATTTGCGAACAGCGCTTCATGTTGCCGCTTCCAACGGAAACTTGGAAGCTGTAAACTATTTGTTAAAAATCGGCACCAATGTCCATTTGAAGTAATCATTTTTTCACGGAGTTTCCATATTTCACGTAATGTGTCGTTTTGAAGAGATATGTTCGGATACAATGCGCTTCTATGTGCTGTCAAGGCTAAGAATATTGATTGTGTACGTGCAATTCGCAATGCGGGCGGATCAATTGATGCTTATTCTCAGAAAATAGGTAATTTTCAAGTCTGATTACGTGGTGGATATTTATCGTCAGGTGTCGATCTATGCCTTGCTGCTGCTCAGAATGATCTCGAACTACTGCGATGCTACGAAGCAGCGGGATGTGAAATGTTGGAGCTAGATTATGATAATCGTAGTGCACTTCATGTGGTAAAACTCGTCGATTTCTATTTCCCCCAAAAAATTACATTTTCATTAGGCGGTTTCACAAAATCATCCGGAGATCGTTGTCTATCTTCTTCAACGTGGTCTCGATCCACATGCGATGGATGATTTTGGAATAACCCCAATTCAGGAAGCTCGTCGAAAGAAACTTCATGTAATCGAAAATATTTTCGAAAATGCTTTCAATAATTTGAGTTTCAGAATATTGAACATATTTTGACGTCATATGTTCATAATCCAGATGGTGTTGGAACCTCATCAACTGACGAAATTTTCCACTTGGAATGAACAATTATTAACCGCTACATTTTTATTTCTGTAGAATGTAAAATGTTTTCGAAATACTGATTTGTATAAGCGAGTAATTTATTCGAGTGAACTTATGCTTTTGAATACGCTTTCTGTCCCATTATTGCTCCATTCGAAATAAAACTGGTATTGTAGTTAATTAAATTTTTAATTTTTTTTTTGAAAAATTTGAATTTATAAAAATTCCAAAGGCAGAACGAGAAGTGCCCGTATTTAGATATTCAAAATTCCTATAGGCGTATTCATAAAATAGAAAAATGCAAGTTACTTTTCATAAATTTGCATTTTTAGATTCCGAATTAAATCTACTATCTAAAAAAACGCTTCAAAAACAAAAAAAAAAACATTTTTGTAATTTTGTGATTCAATTGAACACGTCAACAAATAATTCCAATATAACGACTTCATTTTTATTTTTCAACGGTCTTTTTTTCTGAATAATGGAAGGATCGCAGAAGACTTCGTAAGATAGCATTATTTTATGTTCTATTGGTACAATAGTATTTTAGCAAACGAGTGAAGAAACTGGTTAAAATGGTTAGTGAAGATTATAATAATAAATCTAATACCAGATTTTAGCATATTTCGCATAGTCTTAGAATTGACGAAATAGCTGAAAATCAGCGATATATGATGGACGAGGTTCGAAAATGTATACCAGACGACGAAACAGAGGTTTGCAATAGAAATAATGTGAACATAAAAACATTTGATGAAATGAAAATTCAGATTGATTTAATTCTGCGAATAACATTTTCAAGGTACTCGAAAAGAATAATTGGACAAATTTAATTTTTAAGGAAAATTCAGCCAGAGATTATTGAATTTATAATGGATTCTCTCGAAAAAGAACTTCTAGATTAATATTGAAACTAATGTATTTGAAAATGAAGCTACCGAATTGATTGGGCAATTTTATTTTCTGGGGAGCTGGTTTTTGAAAAAGAGAAGATCTGCGTGGGAGAAAGACAAATATATTAACTATATTTGGGTGATTTAAATGGATACTGATGATTTTGTTAAGCGCACTCGAACATTCCATTGACAGAGGCTGGAGAACCGATACAACAACTTGTTCTCGGATATCGACATACAGCCGGACCACAAACTTGTTGCTCAGAAGCGCTTCTGAAAAATGCATTGTAGGAGAAAAAGAACAGCAATTGATGTTTTGAAGAAACAACAGAAACAAACCCTTGACAGACACACGCAAAAGTGGTTCCGGTGCATGATCTTGTTCGCTGCTGAGACCCACATCGCCCACACGTATCACTGCATACGGACCATTCTCCCCAATTAGTCCAACTACACGTCTGAATTTTGGAATTTATTCTCTAGAAAATAATACCGAATATATATGTAATTTTATTCGACAATTGATTTGATTTTTCAACATTTGTACGACCGAACGAATCGATTCCGTTTTGAGAAAGTGATTCCCAAAAGTGTTTAATTCCGCTGTAGAAAAAAAGAGAAAAAATAAAAAATGAAAAACAATTATTTTTTCTTCAATTGAATCATGTAAACGAATAAAATTACGAAAATTTTCAAATTAAATTAAAAATATTTTGAAAATAAAAAAATTTAAATTTAGGAACCTGTGAATATGCAGAAACGATGAGGAATGCGAGAAACAGTAAGCTTGAAGCAACTAGTTTTCTCATGCTTCCGAAGATAACGAGCGGATGGAAATAATCGAATACGCCAACAACAATAATAACAATCCAATAATATTTGACAATGAATCATTCATATATATTTACTCATTTTTGCGAGTCTCACCCCTCTTACCGGCCACTGTTCTCAATTTATCCGATTACCACTCATGTGTCATTCAAGGACAGTTTTGCAAATTTTTTTCGACAGAAATGAACATTTATTGGGACAAAAATAAATGCAATGCGCACAAGTTTATTCTTCGCATTTCATTGTGATCATGAAAACATTTGGGGTTATTTTCGGCTTCTTGAAAACTTCGGCAGCGTCGATCTCAGTCGGTTCAACCTAGAAACAAAAAATTCTGAGATAAATGATTTGATATTGAAGACAGGAAACCAAATGTTTCTTGACATGAAATTAACACATTTGTGCAAGCGCCTTTAATGCATGTGAGTTGGTTGCCGCGAAATTGAAGATTTAAAATAATAGCTTAATGATTCGATCGGGACGAAGGGGAGACTGTTGGTTTTGGTTTTGGATAACCGGCGGAACATTTTGGGACGCAGGGAAAAAAAGGGAAAGCTTGTCAATTTCGCGGCCGGCTTGCGGTTTTTTTTTTGAATTTTCGCGCCACGGCTTTGCAGGCGTAAACATCGGAGTGTCGTAAACGTAATCTTTTTATTTTTACTTATTTTTTGATTCCATCGTCAGAATCAGAATCAAGTATCGAAAAGCAATTTTCGTGGATCAACCAAAATTTATACCTCGAACGGTAGTAGAATTTACTTAAAATTTGCTGAGAAGCAATTCATATGTTATGAAATCGACAAACTTCCGCAATAATTTGTTACCAGTTGTCCATTTTTTATATTACAGTAGATATCAAAGGCGCATGCGAAAATTTTTGATTTCGCGCTAAGATTAAAAGTGGCTGGCTTTTTCTGAAAGTCAAAAAACTGGCCCCCATTTTGATAAGGTTGGCCCAGGGTTTAGCACGACATGCTTAAATGAGGGCGATGTGTGAATTGAGTGTCGTACTCGTAGGGTAAAAAGTATTGGAAATCAAAACCAAACGCGGTACGTCCTTTTGAATCGCTTAGAATTCAAAATAATCGAAAACTGCTGATTTTCTCCATGTTTGTCCCAAAATGTTTCTCGGGTTATCCCAAACCAAAGTTTGCCCTGTTCGTATCGCTGATTGATAATTACTTCGACGTAATGAATTGCAAGCTTTTCATCCTTCATCGGACCCTTCTTTCTAACAACAACCAGATTCAACACATATCCAGCTTTGATAATTTCAGTAACCGGGGCCGTTCTTAATTTTATTGTATTATCAATTCTCGAAATTCTGAAGACAACCAACGAGTAGATTTCTGCATTCGTCGATTTGACTTTGATTGCAAAATTCTGTTTTGTATCGTTTGTGATTTTCACAATGTTTTGACCTTCTGGCAGATTCCATTTAAGCGAATTTGTACTGAAATATGCATTTTTATCATATCATAAATTTTGAAAAAAAACCTAAATGTAAGCGACATATCTCCAGAAATGATTTATCTATCAGGAAATAGTCAATTTATGGCAAAATATGAGGAAATAAAATGGGAAGAGGAGTTCACGTACCTTTTTTTAAAATTAAGTGTATGAAAAAAATTAAAAAAAAAAGGGACCAGTTGAAAGTTAAATTAAGTATAATGGTATTTCATGGGAAAATCAAAATTATGAACAAAAATAATAAAATTTGATAGATGAAACCAACAAGAAGTTGAATAATTCAGGATCCGTTTAAAAGAGCGTCGATTTGTCTTGGATCACTGATTGGCGGAACATCAATATCTGGACTTCCGAGAAGATCATTTTCTTCTAATTCTTGGTTCGACATGCAATTATTACCATTCGTTTCTCCCTAAATTTAAATTATTTCCAACTGTTCAACATCGAATTTCTAATATTGTATAGAGAAGCATAAGTTTAAATACTGTGGAAGACAAATTTTGAAGCAATTGACAATTTGTCAATCATCTTCATCTTCAAAAAATCTCACATTTTCAACAATATTTTCTTGCTCAAATTTCACTTTTTTCAATTCTGACGAATCCGATTCTTCGATATTCTTTCGTTTCAGTGTAGTTGATTCGATAACATCCGTTTCAATGGTATTTAGATCTAAAAATACAAAATTTTATAAATATTAAATAAGAAACACACCGATATTATTATATTCCCCGTTTTTAGGTAAGGATGAAAATTGGCAAGAGGAAATATTTGAATCAGATACTTCGTATGATGAAGGCACATCAAAAATACAACGCAATTCTGAAAAAGAAGATTCAAGAATCGGTTCACTGGATGCTCTAGTTGTGCGATTAGGCATGGAAAAATTTTTTTGGCGATCCATGTGCGCTTTCAGATTCTAAAAAAAGATGTGATGTATTCATATTTTAAGATATCACATTACGTCAAAGTATGGACGTGACGGAGTTCGAAGATATTCCGGGAGGACTACAGCACTCGCAGCAGCTTGATTTCTTTCGTTTTCTTCGGAACTGGCTTTCATGGCTTCAATCTTTAATTAGTTTTGTGAGCAAATCGAAAATCGAGCATTTTTTTTCGAAATACCTCATTTTCAAGTCGAGTAAGCTGAGCTTCGTAGGTCGATTTGACTATTTCAAGCGATCTGTATATGCTTTCCTGCAATTCAAAGTAAAAATATAGGCTTGAACTCGCGCGAATTGATACCACAGCCATTTCCATTTGAAATGAAGATTTTTCATTTTTCAACCGATTCTCTAAATATTTTATTCGTTCATTTGCCTTTTCCAATTCTTGATTTGTCTTGAAATTGGTGGCCCGGAGTTCATCTTCCTTAAATCCTCCAGTTTCGAAAAATCGGTTATCCTCTTACTTTTTTTGAATAAGCCCATTCAATCCTTTTCTTTTCATCGGACCACGTGGATGATTTACTTTTCAGCTCTTCGTATTGTTTGAGAAATTGCCTAAAATGGTGAATGAAAATTTTCTACTCAATATTTTCTCAACTTTTTATCGTTTGTCGCCAATTCCAATTCATTTCTCATGCTTTGAACATTTAATTTGGCATTTTCCACGTACTTTTGTGCATCCGCGATTCTGAAAAAAATGTGGTGATAGTTTTGAACTCGTAAATTCATCAAGTAAATTTTACAAGTCTTCGAACCTCCCGAATTTTTTCTTGCATCCTTTTCAAAACAAGCCAAACCCATGAAGAGCGAGGTGTAGAGTGAAGGTGCGCGAATTCGGAACATGGGTCCAAACCTGCGGAAACACACTCGTAGTTGGCGAGCGTTTCCAAACAGCTACACACGCCGGCCACTCAGCGCTACGACGATTGTGTAGACTTACTCGTCATGCTGCCGCCGATTTTTCGCGACCAATTCTTCGCATTTCGTTTTTAAACCCGAATTTCTCTCGTTTAATGCTTTTATCTGATCATTAACTATTCCCAGTTGATATTGATAATTTCCAATTTCCTGAAAAATTGTTTGCTTATATAAGCGGCACTAAATTCGCACGTACGTTTTTTTGCCAAAAACTATGCGCTCAGCAATCGTGCCGAAGAAACAGCGGTGAAAACAAAATGTTTCTGTCTCTCAAAACACACACTCTCCCAATTAGTGTTTCATCGGCGATTCACCCGCGTTTCACCGAAATCTCTATTTACCGCCGTTTCTACCGCACGATTTGTTAAGGACCCAAGTGCCGTGGGAAACTAAGTTTTGGCACGCAGTTCACGGAGCGATTTACCCTTATTAGGAATTTAAAAAGTATTAAGACCTGAATAACCCCTTCAGAAAACAAAACAAAACCTCTTTTTTCATTGCCACCTCTTTGTTAGCAGTATCCAGAAGTGTTCTCAGTGATTTTCCTTCATTTTCTAAATCTTTGAAAGCCTTGAATGAAAAATGATTATCGAGAAGTTTCTTAATCGATTTATTACCTTTTGATACTCATTTAGTTTTTCAAGTGTACGTTTTCGTTCCATATCACATTGACTAAGTTTTTGATCACACATATGCTTCTGATTGCTCAAAACCCTTCAAATATTAAAAAATAAGAAAATACAAATTTCTTCTAAAATACCGGATATTGTCATTAAGTTGATTCATGCGAAACATTAAACCATGAATCGTGTTCTGATCAGCATGATACTGACTGTTGAGTCGTTTTATTTCTCCCTCGAGAAAGTTATTTGATTGAATCAGTTGTGATGTTGAATAACCCATATTCGATGCACTAGATGTTGATGGAATCGTTGATGAAGAATTTGGTTGAAACCTGTCCAATCGTTGACTTTTCAGCTGATTCAAATTGAAAATAATTACCCAAACATTGGATTTACGTGTATTTTTGGAGATGGATCTCGAGATCGAGATCTTCTACGACGATGATGCTTAAAAATAAAAATTGCGCTTTGTTAAATATTCAATTTGTTTAATTTGATTGAATTTAATTTGCTAAAGATTGTCATCAACAAGAATAATTTTTATCATATTCCTTTCAAGAGAACTCATTAAAAAATACGTTTATAGTCGGTGTCCGGCGACTGTTGTACGCGGGTAGATTTACGTGGTGAGCCATCCGCCAAGGTCTAACCCGGATCAACCGGTTATTTTGAATTCTAGGGCTCATTTCGAGAAATTCAAAGAAATATACCAAACTCATCGCGATAAATTAAATAGAAAAAAAATAGCAAAATAATCGCTTACCATTGGCGAAACCCTTTCAAAACGTGCACTCGTAAATCTACCCGCGTACAACAGTCGCGACTTATAATGATAATAATATTCATTCTAAAAAAAATTAGAGCTTCACTTTTCTGTGTTTTCGCCTCGGTGATCTCGATCTTGAACGATTTGTGTAATCCTGAAAATATTTCTACATGGATAGATTAGAAACCAAGTAGTTGTCAAAGCTTTCTTCATTAAAATTCACAATTTGTGCAAAATATGGAAGATTGAAAGTTGAAAATTTTTAACGCTCATTAACTATTATGAACCATACGGCATAATTACTGAGAATATTTTACTCAAAATATTTTGAAGAATACGAATAATTGGAAATTCCATTTTTATTTTCAATGTTTGTATAGTCGGCGTCCGGCGACTGCTGTACGCGGGATGATTTACCCGCATGCGCCTTGAAAAGGTCTCGCCACGTTTGACCGCTCCTTTTGCTGTATTCACAGGAATGATATATTTTTTCTTGATGAGATTGGCATTTCTTAGAATTTCTAACATCCTTCGATTCAAAAATTATCGAAAGGACCCATGAAATGCGAAATAACCAGTTAGTTCATGCGAGACCGAGAGAAAGTCGCATCCCCGTAAATCTACCAGCGTACAGCAGTCGTCGGTCGCCGACTATGTATTTATTGTCGAACAGCGGACAACGGAGAATTGGTTAAATTCCAACAAAGTTTAGGAAAAAATCTTGGTGAGACCTTTTTTTAACCTTTAATCCTTATGTTTGAGCTTGTAAACCAGCATTTAGTTTCGCGCCAAGACCACTGTCATTGTTTTTTTTTGGGCATTTAACCAATTTTCCGCAGTCAATTTCGAAAGTAAATATAATATTTTATCGACTATATACTTTAATCGCACCACTAAACTCACACTTGATCCTCCCATTCCGCTTATTTTCTATTTCATTCAAACGCACAATCCCACCTGAAACTTATTTTTCTGAAATTACTCCAAAAATATTCAGATATCAGAACGGACAGTTGAAAAACTGTTTCATTTATGAAATACCTTGTATTTCTATGCACGAAGAGGAAGTAGTAAAAAGAGTGGAGTCTTAAATGGACATTAGTATCCGGCTATTTTATAAAATTATAAACACAAATATTCAATGAATAAAAAATTCATCATCATCTTTCTTTTCATTACGATTGCCATCATTCGAAATATAGTTACAATACTAATAAACTAAATTCCGCCGAATTGGTGACAAAATCGGGGAGAAAGATTAAAAATGTATATAATGAGAAAAAAAATCGCCGATTGATGTTCAGAATAAATGAATAGCAATAAAATAGATACATGCGAATAATAATGATTATAATTGGAAATGATACAGAACCGATCTACCGACTAATAAATTATAATTAGAGAAAGAAATTTTTTTTGAATTAGGATTTAAAATTCAAACACGAGACATGGTGAGCAAACACGATTTCCGAAAACATTTTTCTACGCTAAATTAAAAAAAATCGGTTACCGGATGTGAAGACGGTAAATAGTTGTTTGAAGCGATAATCGGGAAAAGGAGCTGAAGAATAAAACATTGCAAGTTTGAGAGAGAAACATTGAAGAGACATCCTCCTAACTATTTAGTATACATACAGAAAAGAAATTAAGAGAAAGCATACGAATTATACAATAAATAAATAATTATCACTGTAAATTATTGATACATATAGAGAAGAGAACTGCTGACGTTGATTTGAAAAAAAGGTAAACTGCACATTGTTTAAAGAATAAGAGGAAAAAATGAAGATTGTTGCGACGGTTTCCATACAAAAGTCTGTACAATCAGCAAAACAAGTAAATCCTAGATATTAACTTAGTAGGCGCTTTCACATTCAATGAATAGATCATTCTGCAAAAAATATTCATTAATTATTTTCCGTTAATATTTATTGTAAAATGCAATTTTATAATATAGCTAGATTTAAACAACCAAGAATTAAATGAGTGATTTACGAGTTAAATTAGAACGGGGTAAAAAATATAATTGATTTTATAATATTAGGAAAATAAACGCACTATTTCTTTCCTGTAGCATCAGCACCCGATGAATTTTTCTTAACAGAAGCAGGCGATTTGTCACCTCCAGATGAACCAAAAGTCGAATTTGGTGAAACGCCTAATTCCTGAAATAAATCATTTTTTTAATAAAAAAATATTTTATATTTTCTAAACCCTTTGGGCGACCATTTGTAGATTCTCTGGAAACAATGACGGTTCAACTTCGTGCCCATCATTTGGAGGATTCAATTCGAGTGCTTCCATTTTTTTCCAAAATTCTTCCCTGTCTTTTTCGCGTTTCTTTTCCCTTAATTAATACATGGTTATTATCGAAAAAAGTAATTTAACCACTTCTGTCGTTCCGCTTTGTAAGTCGATGTCAGTTCATCGAACAACTTTCCATTCATTTCCATGAATGTTTTGAGTACATTGTATACAAGCGCAACAATTGTCTGATTCCAATGTTCCTTTGATATTCGATATAATGCCGGGAACATGATTGGCATCACCTGCAATAGTTTGGTTATTTTATAACTTTTTGGCGAATTATTCTTGAAACGGCCAATTTGAATGCCAAATGAAATGAAAACAGCACATTGGATTATAATGAGAATTAACAAACTGAATGAAACAAACCAATGAGCTGGTGTCTTCGATCAGCGAGAGAATATATTCGTTGTTCCAGAAATAAAGTGCACGCTCTGCGACTTGAAAATGCGCACTGCTCACACATTTCGCGAGCCGCCTGAAGAGAGGATCCAGAATTTTCTTGAACTGCTCCGGCTCAATGATATCGAGAATCTCTTCAACCTCTCCAAGGAACATCACTTCCTAAAAATTGTTATGAAAAAGTATTTTCAAATCAACTCAGACATTCTATCGGAACCAACAGCGGATCCTTTTTGGACAAAAAGAGGAAAAATTCTATTAGTTGAAAAAGAATTTGCTCATGGTTTACCCCGACATGCTAAATTGAGGGTGATGCCCAATTGGAGTGTCGTGTTTAAATTTTGGGAACATCGTCACCGTGTTCATACCAAAAAAAACCCGCCGTTTGTCCTTTATGAATAGATGAGAGGCAGTTTTTACTTACTTTACTGCTACAAGTTCTTGGCCAGAATTTAAGCAGAGCTTCGAACACTTGTGGAGTCAAGGACGAGTCTTTCTCGATAAATTGAACGACACAATAGGCAAGCTGAATAAATGGTTAAAAAGAGGAAGAAAACTATAAATCACCTGGGCGTGATATAACGACAAACATTTAGGTTTGTGCAATGGAAGCAGTACTTTTACAAGAAACACTTTATGTTCTTGTTTCAGCGGCAACGCAAAACCGTTGATGATGCTTCCAAGAATTTCCAAAAGCTCACCAATTCCATTGAATGATTCTGTCTCGTAGACGAACCTAGATGTATGAAAATTTAAACAAAAAGCACGAAACGTATAAACCTCAAAAAGATATTATTGATGTGTTTTCTGATGAATGCTCGAAGACCTAAGAATTTTCCGTAAATTCTGTGAAGAACTGTCTTCAAAAAATCGCGTTCACGTGGATCTTCAGAGTCAAAAAGATCAAGCAGCTGAAAAAAGGTTGAATTTGCGAAAATATATTGAACTTTGTTTTGCTAAAGGCTTATACCAGGCAAAGTAATCGCTTTTATAACTAGTTGCCAATTCAATAAATATGAGAATGATTACCTTCAAAACGAATCTTTGATCGATGTATTTCTTTCCTATCGATGCTTGAAAATCGGGCGATTCAAGGAAACGCAAGAAAAGCTCATAGACTAACTAAAATTTTCCACATATATAAATAAGCTAAAAAAAAAAAGAAATACCTGCAAATGTGGCCACGACACTTCAAGAGTTGGTTCATCCTCTTCCGGATCAAATTCCATATTTTCCGATGGTGGAAGAACGCGGAAAATGTTCTTCGAGACCATTTTAATCACAACTGGATAAATTGACTCTACAATGGCACCTTTCGTTGTCGTAATGTGATCAATAAGCTCATTTAATGCAGCTCTTTTGATCTAAATAAACTCATTTTTACGGAAACACATTACTGTATACTTCTTTGCATTTCAATTGGACGACTGGATCGTAGAAATCGAACACATACATGCATTGATTCAATTTCTCAATAACTAACGTATTCTGTTCAGATGGCGGCGTATCTGTAAAAATGCACGAAATTTTAATACATTATTAAACGTGTGTCCAACCTTTAATTAGAGGCAATTGAACAAGTTCTTGGTTGGAGTCCACATTGAAACGACTACTGTTACTAATACGACTACAAATTCGATAAATATAATTTGAATGATTTTAGTTTTTAATGACATACAGTCTTCTGCTTGTTCCTCTTTTGTTGTGAAACGGGTCGATTTTATCCACAAATTGATTGGCAGTTGCCGAAAGCTGTTGACCTCCTGTAGCAGCACCTTGTGTACGAGGCGGTGGAATTTGGTGCGGTGCTCCGGTCAAACTGTGACCTCCAATCATGTTCTTTTCCACTCTTCTATATCTTGAACTGTTAGATAGCTGAAATCCAATTTTTTCAAACATTTTTGAATTAAATAATCTTACAATTCACTTCAAGATCCACCAGACGGAACAAAAGTGACGATTTTCAGCTTATCCAAATTTTCTGAAAAATAAAATTTAGCAACTAAAACCACATAAATAACGAATGAATTACGGAAAGAATTCGATTTTGAAAATAAATAACGAGGTATTTTGGATCAAAGAGTTTTAACAGTGTATACAAAGGAAAACTTCGAAAAATAATTCACATGACAGGGAAGGGGCCGACTAGAGAAAAAAAACACGAACCCACAGAGAATCAATATTTTTCAATTGTTAGTGAGAAACTCGTGATTTCTTTTTGGTACTCTCGCACAGTATACTTACAAAACAATTGTCTGCAATCGGGAGCACAGTATAATAGTGCCTACATGCACATTTAAAAACATCTAATTCGATAATGATGTCCTATTTAATAGCTTTTATATAGCAATTATTTAGATAAAAGACGCACTGCTCAGTAAAAAATGTGCATTCAACGCACGAATCGCTTAACCCAACTCTTAGCTGGAAGAAATAAAAAGCATCGTAAATACATTTAAACAAGATTTTAACAATTTCTGAAAACATGATTGTTTATTTATTCATTTCGGTTTAATCCCAACCAATTGTGGGTTTATTCAGTGAAAAATTGTTTCGCTGAATAAAAAAAACGTTTTTGCTATTTAATTCACAGAATAGGTGCATTAATATCTTTAAAAAAACAAAAATTCCCCCAAATTGTTGTGGGAAGAAAACATGACTGGGGTAGAGCGAAATAGAGAGAGAGAGAGAGAGAAAGAGGAGAGAACGTGTGGCGAATCAGTATCAAGTGCTCATCCTCAATTATTACAGCATGCGCTAACAACATTATCCACGCGTTCGTCAAAAGCAACAAAAACGCCTCGGAAACACATGGAGTCGGTCCTAGTGAGAATCGGCAATCAAATTGAATATGATAAACAGCGAATGCGAAACGCGACAACATTTTCTATTGATTGACGAGTGCACGGAAACAGCTATTTTTCTCACGTCGGACATAAAAGAAGAATTTTTGATGAATGCGCCGATGAAAAAATTCTGGCTTAGAATACGTGAGAAGGTTAAAAAACGAGACATAAACCGCTATTCTAATGCCAGAGCTGCACTGTTGCACCGCGCTCGTTCACTTCGATTGAATTTCTTTGCCGCGGCCGCATGTTTCCGTTTTCTTTATCAACAACGCTCTCTATTCCAACTTTATTTCTCTGCTTCTAACAATTTCGCCCACATCGGCGCGCGGTCATATAGAGAAGGAGGGAGAACATATTTTGCGTTTCGCTCTGAAGGATAGAATGAATATATATATATATATATATATATATATATATATATATATATATATATATATATATATATATATATATATATATATATATATATATATATATATACACATATATACGCATAATGCAAAGTCAATCCGACGAATAAACGAGATATTGATAAAAAACGTATAATAATAACATATTTCCCATATGACCACAAGATTAGAATATTGGCATTCGAGAAAAAACTAATCTCAATAAATCCCTTAATCTCTTCATATATACAAATTAGCTATGTATTCACATAGTTTTTTTTGAGCAAAAAACTTACAAATAAAACGAATTCCAAGACATACTTGAAATGCTTATAATTTTGAATTGACTGAATTCATGATCACATTTATTTATTAAATTCGTAAATCTACATACTACCATTGCAAAAAGCGAAAAAATTAATAACTGTCGACCGTCGCATTTTTCGAGGCGAAAATTTAGTTTTGAATTTAGACAGTGGAAACTTTAGTACCGCATTATGGACCATCAGATAATCAAACTCACCGAAGATCGGCGCAGGGTGCTCTTTTTTTGCGATTTAATAAATAGCTTTACGGCAAGAATACTTTAAAAGTCGTTTTTTTCTTTTAGTCAAATTTTTTGACACCAACGTTATTGTTTAATCTTTTCAACATGCATAAATACATAATTTCCATCATTCCGCCAAAAGTTTCAAAGAAATAAGAATCCATTACCACAAACATTGGTTTTATTACGAACATTCAAAAAAGTATTGTTCAGGATAACCAGTAAGAGATGGAGAATATCTTTATAATTAAATTACAGAAGCGAAATGGTATGAAACAGAAAAATTGACGAAACACATTAAAAATGATTTAATTGATGAAGAATAAGCAGAAATAGAAATAAGCGGCTGCGTGGCAAGATATTAATGTTTAGATGGCCGATGTTCCTTTAATGCAAACAAGACATGAAACTCGGCCCCCACTGTCTCTTTGCATTTTCGTCGTTGTCTCTATCGATCGATCATTCTTTTTTCTGGTCTCGCGTGGTTTTCTTAATAGAGCTATTCATGAAACAAAAGTTGGAAAAAATACATCTAATGTTTTTTTTACACTCCTCGATTGGAAAAAGTTGTATTTTTTATGTAGTCGAATATTTTCTTGACAAATTATTTAATATTCTAATTATTTGAATTTTGATTGTTTTTCATGTAAATAAATAAAACTTTCATTATTGATTATTTCTTTTCATTTTCCTAATAGGAAAAATCTCCTGCTCAATACAGGATTTGCTATTTCCAGCAGAGTAATTTTAATTTATCAGACAAATTTTCAAATAAGTTGATGATGTTGCTTCTAATTTCCATGTCCACAGTTTACTAAATGTTTAAAAGTCTTTCACTATACTAGCTTACAGATATGACTACTGCTCATCGTCCAACTTTCTATCCAGCCCGAGGTGGTACAGCTCGTGGCGAGGGAGATCTCTCAAAATTGTCCGCTCAGTACTCGTCAAAAGATATGCCTTCACACACGAAAATGAAGTATCGTCAGACAGGTCAAGCTACTGAGGAAGAACTTCGCAGAAAGGTTTTAAATAATACAAAAATGAGATCCTAATCTAATAACAACTTATTAAAGGATTTCCGTCGTGAGCTTGAGGAAAAAGAAAAGAATGCTGAACGCGAACGTCGCTCTCGTAATTCCACCAATGGTGGATCTTCCAGCAAACGACCAAGAATGGACGAAATCGCAGAAAGTGCTGCGGTTGATGCAGATGAGGCCGTCGACGAAGTACATTTTAATGAACACTTCTGGAATTATTTCTGTTTATTTCTAGATCAATTCTTCGGACGACGATTCAGATGATGATGATACTGCAGCTCTGATGGCAGAACTCGAAAAAATCAAAAAGGAGCGAGCGGAAGAAAAAGCGAAAAAAGAGGCAAAGGAGAAAGAGGAAGAGGTACGCATTTTTGATTTAATACGAGACGCTGTAAAATTACTAAACCCGTATATGTTTTTTTCTTGTATAACTGAATCGCTTAAAGTTCATGTGAATCGCTTAAACTTCATATTAGGACGATTAGAGAAAACCAAAATCGCTTTTAAAATAGAAAATTCAATCTTAAATAATGTCATCAAAAAATCGTTTTCTTCACAGTATATGTATGTGCTTTATCATGGAACTTGATATATTTTCAGGAAAAAACTCGTATGGCCAATATTCTTGCTGGTAATCCGCTTTTAAACGACGGCTCAACTGGACAATCAACATCAAAGGGAGATTTCACAGTAAAGAGGCGCTGGGATGACGACGTAGTATTTAAAAATTGTGCAAAAGGTATTTTTGAGGCGAATCGTTCATATTAAACGTTTACGTTAAAGGAATCGAAGAGCGCAAAAAAGATGTGTCTTTCATCAACGACGCAATTCGATCGGAGTTCCACAAAAAATTCATGGATAAATATATCAAATAATTAATATTCCGATTCATAATTTCCATTCTCGCTGTATTTCGTTGATCTGTTCATTAATAAACATGAATTCGACGAAAGTTATCTGATAATTTTCAAAAGTTGTTGCATTTCGATTCGCGATTAATATCTATCGTAAAGCTTTTTTATCAAATGCCCTCACTTATCATTCGTAGGCAAATATATCAGTACATGACTGATTGCAAGATACAAATTATTACTAGATGATATCGAAAAAGGTTCTTGTTTTCATTGTTACATTCACCAGGTAATATTTTTACGATTTTGGGGGAAAGCTCAAAAACAAAGTTAATATTTTTTGAAAATTAAAATTACAGAAAAACCCGTTTTAACCGATTTTTGAGTTTTTTTTTAGTAATATCTGAATAAGAAATTTCTCTAATTTGTTATATATGGCAGCTATGGATTATACCACGCGAACAGAAAAGCACTGAGTGGTGTTAAATCTTCAATCAAAGCCGATTGGTTGAGTAATTCGACACATAGGGTTTCTTTCGAAATTTGTTTAAAATTTTATTTTGCTTTTTTAGCCGTTGTTCAATAATGAAGCCGATGCAAAACATTTTCTTGGTTCCCTTGATGCAATTTTCATGGCTGCATATGCTGTGGTTGGTTTCTTATTTTTTATTACCAAAATTCATTTTAAAAAATTCACGAAGTATTTTTTTTCTCTTTTATTTATTTATTTTAGGCATTATTCTTTTGGGGATGGCTTGGAGATCGTCTGAATCCGAAAATCGTCGTTGCTGCTGGAATGTTTGGATCATCAATTTTTGTCTGCTTTTTTGGCATTCATTGAAAAAACAAATGAATATTTCAGCTAACATTGTTCGGAACCCTTCCAAAATGGCTCAACTTCTACTCAACTTTCTATTATGTAATTATATATATTTGCTTTGGACTTGTACAAGCTTGCGGATGGCCCAGCGAAATTGCTATAATGGCGAATTGGTTTGGAAAAGGAAATCGTGGATTTGTGATGGGCGTTTGGGCAGCTTGTCAACCAGTCGGAAACATATTTGGATCAATGTTCACTGCTTTCGTCCTGCCGCTTGGTTATGAGGTATTTCTCGACATTTTTGCAAACTGTTCTCTTATTTTTTTTTAGTATACGTTCTTATTGAACTCTGTTTTGATTTTCATCGGAGCAATTGTTGTGCTCACTGCAATCGACGAAAAACCACACACGAGCCATTATGAAAACATTGAAACCCAATCACTTCAAAGGTAGCTTTTTCAAATAACAGCTTATAAATAGAAACTTGAAAATTGGACTTCATCTAATCTTATTTGTATTATATAAATCGAATTCAAATAATTTCAGGAGCATCAGGCTTCGCAATTCGAAGAGACATAGTTCTAGCTTTAGCATTGAGTTAGTTTCTATTTATTAATATGTAGTGTTATGTTGTGATGAATAGACAATAACATTGGGGGAATTGAGTTTGAAATTTTATTGAATAAAAAAATATATCAGCCAGCGCATAATATTTTTAGACTTCCCATGATAAATTAACATGCCACAAAAAAATTTTTCTAATAAAAAATTGGATTATCGGTTTCTACGTTGCAATACTGCATGTCTTTTTGAATAACTTTAAATAAATCAAACACTAATATAAACAAAAAAAAATTTTAGCGAAGAGCCAAACGATACACCAATTGGTCTCATAAAGGCTCTTTTCCTTCCCGGTGTTTTGGCTGTAAGTTTCAATCGCGAAATTGTTCCCAATTTGATTTTTCAGTACTGCGTATGTAATGCATGCCTTAAACTCGTAAATTATGCATTCTTCTTTTGGCTTCCGTTGTATCTTACTGATGCTTATCATTGGGAAGAATATCAGGTACATTGAAGCTACTACACGTCTAGTTTTCAATAAATAAATAAATAAATATGTATTTAGGCAGACCAATTGAGCATTTGGTATGATTTTGGTGGAATTATCGGTAGTGTAATCGGTGGATATATTACTGTATTAATATAAATGCACATACTATGAATAAATAAAATCCTAATTTAGGACAAAATGGGAAAACGGTCTCCGTTGATTGTCGCAATGCTCGTTTGTTCCATTGGATCGTTGTACTTGTATGCGCATGTCGGTATGCTTTAAACATTCTCTGTAATCAGCAACATTTTTAAAACTATTAGGTCCCTACATGTTCTGGAACGCTCTCGTTATGACTACAGTTGGAGTTACCGTATCAGGACCTTATAATTTGATTGTTGGATCAATTTCGATTGATCTTGGTTCGCAGCCTGCGCTAGCTGGAAATACACAAGTAATTGAATTTTTACGTTGATTGGTTTGCGGGGCATTCATACGTAGAGTTTTGCGATGAAAATAATAAAATTGGCAGGCAATGTCAACAGTTTCTGGTCTTCTCGATGGCACTGGTTCGGCTGGAAGTGCGATTGGCCAGATCTTCATACCCGTGATTCAGGATACATTGGGATGGAGGGCCGTCTTCTATGTATTTATGATTTTGGTATGATCTATTTTTAAATTCAAGAAATTTTTGAATATTTGTAGAACGGATTGGCTGTTTTATCAATTTTGAAACGTTGCTTCATCGATTTGAAGAGTTTGCAAAGAATCAGAAATGGCGAAGAATCGCCGCTCCTTGAAGACGGGGAACACGAAGATTAGAGTATTATTTATTATAAAGCGAATTAAACACATAACGCATGCTTTATTTATTATCTGTAAATAGACATTGAACACTGTGATAGGTAATTAATTGTTAATGAACGAATTAAAAATCATGTCATGGCATACATATATTATTTTTACAATGTTGAAAGAAATCTACATTAAAACTTTACCCAATAGTTTGTTAATGAAAATATTCAAATAATACTCGACCGAGAATGGAGTAGAGCTTACAATCCCCCAGATCAGGTAGAAAACAGAAAATCGGAAACGAAAAAAAACGACGAAAACAAACTGAGACGATGCTCCGTAGTTTGCTGCACGAACTGTCTGTTGACACAATCAGACAAACTCGAAATAAAAATAACGGGTTTTGATGATTCATTTGATTAGAGCTTAATCAAACGAAAATTGGAGCAATGCTCAGCGCTACTGAAACTTCTCGACTTTTTAAGTGAGAAAAAAATCAAATGAATACAGTATGAAAAATTCATATAAATTTATTTATAAATCCCATAGGAAACTGCAAAAGAACACAAATTTCAAAAACTCAATAAATTTTCGCAGTATGTTCTTTTGCCAAGAATGAAAACCCAGTATGGTGAGTGGATGGAGACTGCGTACCCAACTTCATTTTATCATTTTTTTTTTGAGTTGGCGTGGTTGAATTGCTTCAATAGGGTGATCATCGATCTAGAACATATTTTTAAGTTACTTCCTTCTTCTCTTGTTCCAGGGTACCATTTTGTTATTGTTGTGGTCCATCCGAACGACGTGTCCGACCCATTTGAGTTTTTCAATGCGGATCAATCAAGAGATTTAAAGGTGTACATAGTATTTGAATTCTCAAATGTGGGTGTTTAGAATCCTACTCTTTAGAGATTTTCAGAATTATCTACTTCTTGTTTTTTATTCGTTCAATTCGCAAATTTCCAACAGTAATGTCGATCCTATGTTTTGATACATTGTCAGGTGTAGTTGACACAAAAGTTATTCGCTCGTCCCACACTTTTTCGACGCAATTCAAAGAAAGCTTAATACTGATTGTTGATTTTCTCACAGTTCAATGTTTGAATCACTTCCTCGGTAATGACGAGATGTCAAGTATTGCGAGAAAAACGGTTTAACACCAGAAAAGGTAAGTTTGCAATGAAATCGAGTGGAGGAGAAGGACGTTTCTTGAGATGTCGCCCGAGGAATTGATGTGTTATTGTTTGCTCATGTCCCTGTAAGGCGGCTCAGCTCTCGGCTGCTCACAATTTCGGTTTCAGTTCATTTCTCCTACGATGAAGAATAAGGTGGATCCAGAAAAGTCGATCGACCCAATTTATCGAATCGATGGAGGTGCACTCGAATTATCAAATGTCGATGATGATATGGCTGGAAAAGAAGGTATGGTATTTATCATTTTCGATGCATACTATAGAATTATTTTTAGAATGTTTCTCATTAGCTGATGAAGATGCAGAAACTACTAATTGGAAATTAATTTATGTTACTGGAATCGTATCATTTTTGTGCGCTATAGAAGGCGCTGCTGTTCACATGAGCGAATGGCCCTACATGAGAGAGGTACATTTTCATTTAGTTTTCATTACTCTAGAACATTTCTAATTGGATTATTGAGGTTTTTAGATTGACTCGGAAGCTACCGTACAATTTTTTGGTTTTGCGAGCTCTGCTTCAAAAGCCGCGCATGCTGTTTTTGTTTTATTCTTTGCACTTTGGAGTTTCAAATGGAAGACTGTCAAGTATTTACATCATCTGCAATAATCTACATCTTTTCGAACTCGATTTCAGAGCGCCACTGATTGCTGGCCGTGTGATTGCAGCAGTTGCTTGCTGTATTTATCTAGCCGTTGAATATATCGAATTCGGCCGTCGTTATCTTATGACGCTCTGTTATATTCTGTTCGAAATCTCCGGAAGCTCTCCTTCAATTCTTCGAGCATACGTAGCTGCTATTTCCACATCAAAAGATAGATCAAAAGCATTTGCTACAATGTCATTATCAATGGTGCTTTCAATCATCTGTGGACCACGTAAAATTTAACTAAGATATTCCACGAAATATACTAAAAATATTACAGTGATTCAACTAATTTTCACAAAAATACCGTATCCTGGAATTGAGATCACAAAACATTTGAAATTTCACGTGTATTCAGCCCCAATTTGGATTGCAAATTCGACAAACTTCATTTCAATTGCGATTATCATATGGGCACTGGATGAGCTTCCTCGAAAACCAAAAACAAAAAAACGTAGCTAAACTCAATATTATGGTAATCAAAATGATGAGGATGATGAAATTACAGCAAAAAAACCGTCGATATTTGAATTGGAAGGTTTGAAAATGAGAATCGAAAAAATCAGGAAAGCCAACATTAATTGGTTGCTGGTTGTAATCTGTTGGATAGCGAAAGCAGGAAAAACGATGACTTCAAAATCAATCGGAACGTAATGATTTCTCGAGAAATTTAAACGTGTTTGAATAAATACTTTCAGCCTAATTTCGGTAATCCTCATGGTGGAGTATGGATGGTCCGGAATTCAAACAGTGCGAATCACATCAATTATCATGGGTGGCTCAGGACTCCTTTCAATGTTTGTCATCGGATCATTCATTTTCTGTAAACTCGGAACTGTGTAACAAAAAATAACCAGAATACTCGGCACAATCATAGCAATTTCAGGGTCAACCCAAGATATTTATATTTGTTCTCGATAAGCTTATTCGTGCTTTTGTATGCAGTCACTTACCCACATAAGTCATTCGGTGTTCACGTAAAACCATATAATGGTTAAAACTCTACTATCCAATTCTATGAAGATTGTGTGGTTTTTTTTTAGAAACTGACGGAACAGGATGTGATATTGAGAAATATAGTTGGTGTGAGGATGCGATTGCCCCACAGCCGATTCTCTTCCTGTCTTGTATGGTTTTTGTGTTTGGAATGACAATTCCAATTTCCAGTATCTCATTGGATACAATTTACTCAAAAGTCTTAGGAAAAATCGATCAGGTATGCACATAATTGTGAATACTTTTCGCAAAACCACTTCCAGAGTGTCATGCAAGGCGCCGCTGTGATTTTGGACGATATCATGCTCGTGATAACTCCCACATATGCATCGTAAGAAAACACAGTCTACAGTTGTAAGATGCACTTTTTAGTACAATGTTTACACTATTTGGATTGGCTCCTTTGTGGATAATCAACGGAATAATTGTCAGCTGTCTAACAATCATGTGGATCGTAATGCTTCCGAAATTCAAAAATGTCGCTTAATTAATGTTAATTCACGTCATAACGGGTTGCATAATTGTATATATGTTGGATTTCAGTTGACTTCTATGTTAAATAAGAAAAAATATATATTCAGCAATACATTTATTTCAAAACATGTGTCTCTTTGTTTATCATGTTAGTACATGTAAAGAATGCGTAAATGTAAAGAATTGTAAAACAATCAGTGTTGAAGCAAACAGTGCAAAATAAACAAACCGCTTTGAGATATGAACGGCAGTTTATTAATTTATGCGCTTTTGAACTTTTTTATTCAATTTTAAATAGCGAAACAAGTTCACCAATCGATTTATTTCGGTTTTCAAATTTGTTTTCGAATCGAGCCTAGTCTTTCACCGACTCATTATAGACCCATAAATGAAAATGAGCGAAAAACTACAATACGTAATTAGCTCTCAAGGCGGCAGAGCGGCGAAAAATAGCGGACAGACGCATGTGTTTATAATATATTCAGGTTGGTGGAACGAACCGGTACGCTACCGCCGCTAATCGCCTATTTTCGGACCCGAACGAGCGAACCGACAAAATAACAAACGGCCAAACACACACACACACATGAGCATTATATAAATTAATATGCACAAACAACATTGGCAATTGTGAAAACGATTGGCAAACGAGAAAGAATATCGAAGTTTTTATTGAAAATTATGAAATTTGATATCGCTTGAAAACTTTATTTCAAATTTGCAAAAAAAAACAACGGACCGAATTTTTTAAAAATTGGTATTCTGCCAAGGTATCTCGAGGCGAAGAAAAGTGGGTAACTCTGCATTTAAGCGTACGCGCATTTGATGTTCAGACGACGTTAAATTTACACATGCGTAAATCTACACTGATTTCGCGAAATTCAGTCCACCAATCAGTCATTTGAAATCTTAATAGATGATTAATCAATTAGTAGTTTGGATGATAAAACTTCAATTTTTTGTTGTTGATGTTATCTTTTTCATTCTTCGAAATTTCCGAGTTTGGTATTTTTAAAAAGTTTCTTATAGTATTTTGCGCATTCAAATTCTCGTTTATATTTGGAAATGTTTACTGAGTGAAGCTCGATTTCGAAAACAATTCGCTGTTGCCAGCTGCCAGATGGTGGTGGTGATTTCGGGCTGTTTGGCGGGGTTTCCCGTAATTACCACCCTGGTGCAACGAGACACGCCAACGGCCGGCTCTTCCTTCTATTCCTCTTGTTTGTACTCGATTTGTTTATCGCCTGTTGCATTTATTGCGTGCATTCGCCAACGGGCCAAAATTTCCTGTTCAAATGAGCTGCTCTTGCGAGCAATCTTGCAATCCCAAATTTCAAAAAGCCAATGTGTCGTCGATATGAATTATTTGTATTTGTCGGCATTTTGGCACCATCAGTTATCATTGCCACTAAATTCTCCTACTACTACTACTACTTGCATATGTTTTCAAGATAAGATTAAAAATTACTATTCACTGAAACATGTCATCTGACTGACACTCATGATACGGTTTCGTTAATTTTTACTTTTCCATATTAAATTCCATTAGGGCTTCCAACGCTTTAAATTAAATCTAAAATCTAGATTTCCAGTCAACATCGAGAAGAACATCCTTTTTAATCCCAGTTGCATTTCTTCGAATTTATATGGTACCGAACACAGACTTACTTACTTACTAAGTACTATGTAAGTAAGTAAGTCTGTGTTCGGTAGATTTCCGTGCATTTGGTCCCGTGTGGACTACATAACTGTCAATTTAGAGATCTAGACATTCAAGGAAATTGCAAATTGACCAGGAAAACATCAAAGTTAACATCCAAAAATCTACTCACACAGAGCATTAAGAATGCGTACTTTTTTTCCTCAAACGTGTATTCAAAAATTGTGATATTTATTTATTTATTTTGTTTCTCCCAATAACACGTATTGCCTTATCGTCGCCGTTTCCCCGTTTTATCTTCGTGTGATTTCTCAACGCCAAACCATCGGCCACTCGTTTCTTATCGTTTGACTCGGCTCTTCCGAGTTTCTCCTATAGGCTATTGGATTGTTCGCATTTTCAAATTTTTGTCTGCAATTTTAAATGCCCATCTTCCTTATCTCTGCGGCTACCGTACACCTAACAATGGAGTACGGCGGCGAGTATAATATGCAGTTCAAAAGCAACAATTTTGAACGATTTGTGTGCCGAGAGGAATAATGCACATGTGAGATGAACAATTATATTTAATTGTATCAGTGCAAACAAAGGAAGAGCGAGGTATTTGAAAATAATGAATACCTATTGATATCAATCATATCTCTTCATTTCAAACTTTGAATTTCTAGTTTTCAAGAGCCCATTCTTCTACTGATGAATAGATTTCGGGGATTATTTTAAAATAAAAACATTTATTCAATTCATTCAAGTATTCGTACTAGTAGCATCAGAACCACAATATTTCAAATTCGTCAGACTACACAAAAAGGAACAGGAATTGTTTAAAAAAAGTGGGTAACCGTTCGACCCGGTGGCACACAAATCCTTTCGACCTTCACAAACGAACCGAACTTTAATTCCTTTATGGTTCCATTCAAATGATTTGAGTGCACTTATACAAGCGCGCTCTCTCTGAAACTTCTCCTTATGTATTTACCATGTTGTATGTGTCACAAAACAATGACATTTCGTGATTGTGTCTGAGAAAGAAAAAAAACACACACAAGTACAAGAACATACAGACCTTTTTGTCATTCACATTCAAAATTCGTGTACACCTTTTTTGTGCTATTGATTTTCTTCGGATTGCTATTCGTTTAATACTGGTCCGTCCTAACTTATTTTTTCTCGGAAACAAAAGAAACTACATAGTTGGATTCGATTGTTTTTTTTTTCGATTCCCTTATTTTTCCATTTAAAAATTTACAATTGTGGCCTGGGATTTTCTATTGAAAATTTGAAATATGAATAGAATTGCGCAACAAAAAAGAATGGTGGTTTCAGTCTTCGTGCGACCTTCGCAGTTTCTTTCTCTCTCGCTCCTCCCATTTCATTGCTTCCCCTTAAGACCGTCTCGGTTGTCTTACTTCTTGCAATCGATTTGCTCCAAGAAATGTGAGCTCTTTTGCGGGTTTCTGGGTCACACCCATCGGCTCATGAATGCCTTTTCAAAGTGATTCATTGCCTATTCGCACGTGTTTATCGCTGAATCTCTTCTTCATTTGCTTCTATTTTTTCTCACTTGTTATTTGAATTTCATTCAATTAATAAAAAAAAGAAAATCCAGGTAAATATTCATAATTTGTGCCAAATAAAATCGACCCACATCAGAAAAACTCATATTCGTGATATTAATAGGCGGGATCACAAAAAAAATTGAGCGCCTTGCACCGATTTACGGCGAGTTTGATTCGCAGGTTATCCGTAGAACCCATCTCGAATTCGCACTTTTCGAATTCTAATCTGAATTGCAATTGTACAAGGTGTTGGTTTTTATAGCTCATACTTTATATATTCTCTGAGTCCTGCACTTCTGTACTTCCTTCTATTTCTTCTAAATCGGGTCATCTACATATTAAATCTCTCGCTATCTCTTAAAAAAATTGTATATTTTCTAACAAATAAGGTATTTTTGAGTTCAACAATCGAGACGACTTGGATGACAGTTATCATTTGAAAACGAAAGTCAAATAAAAGATGGTGATGCAGTTGTATTATATAATATATCGATGAATAACTGATGAATAACTATGCGGTACCACGTTGCACCGTTCATGTCCTTTTTTGAAAAAAAAAACCCAAAGTGAAGAGCATCGTGGTGGCCCACAATATTGCTTCTTCTCACGATTCAAATCACACACACACACACACACAGCTGCTGGCGAATCAGTTTCCCTGCGTCTCTTCGTCTCTAATGCTATTATTTGGGAAAGCGACCACTGATGTCGCCGTTCGTTTTCGTTTTGTTCTACGAAACCGAATTCCTCGCCATTTGTATTCAAACCGGTTGCAAGCCGAAGGGCAAATTTATAGTAAATAGGCAGTTGAAACGTAGGTAATGAGAGCGGAAAGAGGGGCAAAAGCGGTAGTGGTATAATGAATGAGTCGAGTGACGAGTTGAAATTATTTTGAAGGTTAAATTTCGCTTCGAATTCCAACTCATTTCTCTTATCTTCAAATGTTTAGAATGAAACAGATCAAATAATCTTAATTTATTATTGCTTTCTCCATTTATTTAAATTTTAATATCAATTGGGTAAATCAGCAAATGAGGTTTTTATTTTTCAAAAATCCGTTTTTTTTCCAAATTTATTCATTTCGGTTTTACGTCGAATCGTTTTTCTTTACCTAATTCTGTTATTTAAAAAAAACCCCTGGTGTCAAACTCAAATAGTTTTCTTGAGAAGAAAGACATCGACAAAATATCGGATTGAACATGTCATATCAGTAATTTTGTAAAACTTTTGAAGTTGAGATTTTTAGGAGATAATTAATTGATGATCTTTTTGATGTTCGTTTTCGGACCATTCCCATATTGATACCCGATGATTGATAAGCGGCTCCTTGCTCGGTTTATGATATCATCATTTACAGCCTTTGCGCAACACATCATTTACAACCTGCCTTCATTCCATTCGTCCATCTGAAAGGAAAATGGAATTATTATTTCCTTTTTTAGGCAATTTTTTTAATTTTTTGATAATATTTGAACGAGCAGTGTCAATTGCGGTGCCAGGTGCCCCTCCCGCCGGCCGCCTGCATTTTTTGATGACTTATTCCTTTGCGCTCCCGACTTAGTCACCAAATGAGCCGAATGCCGATGTGTGCCGAGCCGGTACAACTGTTTGAATTTTCGGTGCTCTCTCTCCCCCAATTTTTGTATATTTTTATAGACTTATCCATGCAATTAAAAATATTAAAAAAAAAATACACATTTTTCTAATGCAGTTATGTTAAAAAAGAATCCCACATTTAATGTAATTTCTTCATTTTTGAAGAAAAAAAAATCACAATCCATGAATATGTTCATTGCT